TCTCTCCCTCCCACCCTCTCCCCCACGCGTCACTCTCTCTCTCTCTCTCTCTCTCTCTCTCTCTTTGCGCGTAATAGCCGTGCGCTCCAAGGAGTGGAGCGGCGCCATCTAGCTAGCTTAGGCCACGAGACTAGATCCGAAAGACCTGAGCCAGCCTCTTCTTCCTAACCCCACCTGTTCTAACGAACCCAGGCACTCCAGCACCGGCGAGAGCTCAAAAAAGGCCTGATAGTTCATGGTTTCTCCGACGCCATTTCCGGCGACTCCGGCAATAATTTTTGTTGATCCAAGTATGAAATCTCATCCTCTCCACATGTTCTTGCTGTTTATATAGGTTTTTAGGATCAATTTTAGGGTTTGGAAACTCAACCTAAAACCTAGAAAATCTCTGACGGTTGAGTTGATTTTTCAGCCACTTCGGTTACTTTTTGGCCATGGTCCAAGAACCAAAAATTCCCCCTTTGTGTACTGAATGTATTGGTATATGTATTGTAGGGTGTTTCAAGAAATTTCAGTTGCCAAAAATTTCTCAAGACACCCACGCCCTGCTTGCAGCTGATGGCGGCCCATGGGACACTGTGTGACAGCCCATTAAGTCAAAATGTTCTCCTTGTGATCCTAAGCAAGTCAGTATGCTCGGATTTGGAATTGGTTATCATTTAACATTCGAACAAATATTGCACCCAATATGAGATATTCGGGTTCGATAGGTTCAGACCATTAGATGAGTCCCAACTTCAAATATGTCATTCATCGTATCTCTAGGATCATGTGGAAACTTGTGGATCGAGAATTGGGGTCCCTGATACTCCGAGTCAATGAATTTGGAGTTAGGTAAACTGGTTACCGTCTGATTGAGATCAATCCGACCGCTCAATCGAGACTAAACCCTCGGAACTTGGTTAGTAGACATTGTTGGATCTATTGGAACCTTCAGATCAAAAATTAGAAGTCGTGGGCCCTACGGACCCCATTGACAAAAAATGAGAAGTTTAACCAAATTGTTTGCCACGGGTCTTTTGAGACCGTCTCGTCCTTTGGGGAAAGTACTAGAATGGCTTTAGGACCTTTCTAAAGTACACACACACGTTAAGTTTCTGGGAACTAGGGTTTTGAATTTAATTTGTGGTTGAGGTCGATTACTGAGTTATGATAGTTGGACAATTGTTTTAAATGTGCATTGTTTTCAGAATTTTGGAATGTATATATTTATGTGTGGTGTGTTTGTGATACAAATTGGGTTATGGGGATGGTGTGAATTGATGCATGATTTGATGTTGAATGACGATATTTTCTGTGTGAGCCTAGAATTCGAATTTGATTGTGGAAAACTGAATGGTTTTGAAATTAGCACTTGCTTAATGGAGTTATAAAAATGTGCTATCGGATTGGTTTCAGCTTTTACACTGTGATTTGAGAATTACAGAGAATACATAGTTACTATTATTATGGTTATTATTAAAGTATATGGATTGGGTGATATGGGGTTTGATTACGAAAGTATTTTATGGAAATTGCATGTGTAAGCAAGTTTTGATTATTATTCGAATGATATTTTGGGTCTTATGGAATTGGCTTATTATCACATAATGTCCCTAAGGTTTATGAAACTATCAGATTGCATTCTTAATGTTTTTTTTTGTCATTCGTGGTCCTCAAGATTAGTATGCAAAATCACAAATGGTTCTTGCCGTTAGGTTCCGTAAAAAACTTCGTTAGTTTGCTAACGTGACATATGTGTATATCACAAAACATCCTCGAGGTTAACACACCTATCAAAAATGGTCCTTATGAATTTTTTAAATTTTTTAAATTTAAAATTTATAAAATTTTACTTTTCTTTTTAAAATTTTATGAATTATAATTATTTTAAAAAATATATTAAATTTTAAATACATGTGAGATTATATTATTGTAGTTGTGGGTTCCATATAAATGCCACATCAACAAACTAATGAAGTTTTTAAAAAATAATTTAAAATTCATAAAATTTAAAAATGAAAAAACCTAAGGGTTTAGGGTTCATAAATAGTCCTTAAGATTAAAATCCTTCTATAAATGGTTTTTTCATTTATAAATAATTTTAAAAAGAAAACCAAAATTATATGAATTTTAAATTAAAAAATTAAAAAAATTCGTAGGGACCATTTGTGATAAGTGTGTAAATCCTAGGGATGTTTTGTGATATATATGTATGCCATATCAGCAAACTAACAAAGTTTTTGACAGAACCTAACGGCAGGGACTATTTGTGATTGCACATGCTAACCTTGAGGACCATAAGTGACACAAAAAAACATTAAGGATGCAATCTGATAGTTTCGTAAACCTTAGGTACGTTTTGTGATAATAAGCTTATGAAATTTATGCTTTTGAGATTTTATTTTCTATACCATGAATAAAGAGGAGTAATTTTTGGGTGTTCCGGGTACACCATGTGGCTGGTGTACCATCCAATAGACGGAAGACATATGGAATATTTGCAATGCAGCTTGCCACATGTTATAAAAAGAAATACAATAAGTTGGACAATAATTCAACATGTCCTATGTTTATTGGAAGGTACACCAGCCACGTGGTGTATCCGGAGCATATAAAAATTTCTCAATAAAGAGAGGGTATATTATTTTATATTGGAGTATTGAGAATTTGAAAAAAAGTTTGAATTAATTATATATATATATATATATATATATGGGTTGATGAAAGTGGATTTCAGATTTTGGCTATGGGTTACATGCCATCATATGTACATCCCCTTGTATATTGGTGCTTGGATACTGACACTTGGAAATGATGGATACTTGGGAAATGATGGATATTGGATATATTGGAAACTGGGCACCCTTGGCGGGGTGTGTCGTGGGCCCTTGGCGGGGTAGTCTGCATGCATAAGACTTACTTCAGTCGCACGAGTATTGAGGATTCTGCTCTGCGTGTCTGGGAGCCCAGTACTCGGTTGGACGGCTCATTCCCTAACCACATGGTTATTGAGGATTTTTCCATGTGGTCTAGTCAAACAATCCTCCGATTGGATTGTTTTCCCCCGATACATGACGTGCACCATGATATATACCTCCCTTGAACAATGATATTGGAAACAGTGGATATGGATACTTGGATATGTAGGAACCTGAGCACCCCTGGTGGTGTGTTTCGTAGGCCCTTGGCCGGATAGTCTGCGCGCGTAAGACTTAATACAGCCGCATAAGTATTGATGATTCTGCTGCACTTGTTTGGGAACCTAGTCCCCCGGTTGGATGGCTTGTCCCCTGGTACATGATGATGGTGTGGGGAGTGTATATATATATATATATATATATATTCATTTATATATGTGAAAAAATTTGTGGATCCGTTTCCGGGTTGGAGTTTCTTGAGCGTGTGCATGGTGAGTGCTCTGCACCGGTGTAATCATTGTTTTGATGTTTGGACAGTGTTGTTTTGCAATATACTCCTTGAATAGGGTATGGTTGCGGGAAAGAAATGATTTTGAAAAAGTAATTGGAGTTTCAGAGTAAATGGTTAGTTTTAAAAGAGTTATGCATAGTACATGTAAGTTTTTACAGGGAAATGGTTTTGAGTTATGAATCATAGGGAGAAAGGAATTTATAAAATATTTAGTTATATGCCTTTAGAAATTGAAGTTGAGAATGAATCTAAATTTAATTGTTGGTCTTACTTGGACAATATCTATATATTTTTTGAATTGTAATCCTTTTTAGTCGGAAGAACTACGTGTGGCTTGATCCCTCTTTAAGGGTACGTAGTGTCACGGCCCGCATGTTGAAGGCTTAACCCAACAACTATGGGGCCAACCTAGAGGATCCATTTGTGAAGGTCAAGCCCCACAAGAGAAGCTCAAGGCCCAGCCCGTCGAATGGATCATGCTAGACCTCTTAGCCTACATGTCTATGTAAAGATATCAATGGTCGTAGTGCTGCCATGTGTAAGAAGATTGAAGAATAAAGCTGTTAAGATATTGTTACACCTGTTAGGCAGTTTAGGAAAACTGTTAGTATTGATAAGAGAAGGTTAGAGATGTTAGAGAGGTTAGAAAACACGTGAACAAGGCTTTAACTCAGCTGATATAAAGTCTGTAGTTGTCCTCAGTTGAGCTTAATGAGAAATACATCAAGTCTCTTCTCTATCCCTGAAATTCTCTCTGCTCTCTCTGCGTTATTTCTTTTCTCTCTGCTCTATATTTCTTTTCAGTCTTCCTATCTTAACATGGTATCCTTCGCTATGGATCGATCCTGATATTTTGTTCTTCTGCTTCCGCACTCTCTTCCTCTTTCTTTTCTCTCTTTGGCTTCTTTCTCCACTCAAACACAGCAACCAATTTCGTGTTCTTTCCTCTGCCTATTACCTGTTTGATCTTTTGTCTCATTGAAAATTCTTCTTCAATATTTCTTCTTTCTCAACCCTAAATTCTTCTCTTTTCTTCTTGGATTCTCCACATGGTGACTACTATTCAACTTCAGATTCTCCAATCTCCGATTACCTCTTTCATTCCTACTGTTTCTACCTCTCTCATTACCTCTGTTTCTTCATGAATTTCTCCTCTACTCCTTTTTCTTGAATTTTATTCCTTGTAGCAAGTTTAAAGAATAGTTTTGCCTGTCGGCTATTTACTAAATTGCTCCAATGAAATCCTAGTCTTGATTTTCTCCAAAATTGACCTTTCTAATTATTCTTCTTGTTCCACTTGTGCTCCTTATTTGTGTTGAAATCTTGAAATCTAGCACAATTACAATTTAACTCTTACTTAGAAGTAAGGCCCGATGGTGAAATTCGATTGGGAACCTTACATTCCTCTGTTTTTATGCTTCCTCTAACATTTGAGTTGCAATTCTTGCGATTATGGTTCAAGAATGATCATTGCTAGCCCACGACTGTAAATCCTCAGGTTATCTTCGTCATTCTGCTCTTTTGGGTTTTCTTGGATTGCATCTCATTTATTGGTTGGTGTGAGTAAAGATTCCTTTCTTGTTCCAAATATGGTGACTACCTCTCAGTTAGCGATTCCTCATTCTTCTATTGCATCACTGGTTCCTATGGTTTCTAATGTCCATGTCAAATTGGATGATACTAATTACTTGCAATGGCACTTCCAAATGAACTTGATGCTGGAATGTCATGGCATACTTGGTTTTGTGACTGGTTCCCATCCATGTCCACCTCAGTTTGTTATTGGTTCTAATTCTGAGGAAATTGAAGCATATAAGGTCTGGCAGTTACATGACAAAGCTTTGATGCTATTACTCTCTACTACTCTGCATGCCTCTGTTATTTCTTGTGTAATTGGTAGTACCAATGCTAGGGAGATGTGGTTAACTTTGAAAGAAAGGTTCGCTATTATTACCAAGCTTAGTATTTTTCTTCTGAAGACTTGTCTCTTCAATATGAAGAAAGGTTTGGATTCTATAGCTCAATATCTTAATCATATTAAGGATGCAAGAGATCAGCTATCTTGTGTTGGCGTGCACTTTGCTGATGAAGACATTATCATCTTGGCTCTCAACGGTTTACCTGCAGAATACAACACTTTTAGGTGTGTTATGCGATGCCGAGAAAGTATGCTCTCATTCAAGGAGTTTCAATGTTGTTGAGGCCCAAAAAATTCATGGTTGGGCCTGAATAAATTTCTAGCCCAAGACAATATATTATTGGAAAAAGATCCGATTTGGAGCACATGAAAGTATGACATACACGAGTCATACTCCGCACGCCATGCTAAATAAAAAAGCCGTCAAGCTAGGAATTGAGATTAAAATGATAAAAAGCATTTAGCTCTGCAAATCCATGCCAATTATCCTATCAAGCGCCATATTTAAAAGCATGCCAAGCAACATGCCATGCCAAGCGGGAAATTATTATTTCACACCCAATCGCACTACAAGCTTAAGTGGGCCCAAGCCACTCAAATGCCCGAGGCTTGCTTGAGTGGGTTGTGGTATGGATGGTAACGAATTGTCATGGGGCCCATTGATGGACCGAGAAATGGAAGTCTCGGGTCGCTTGGGGGCCTCGGGACTCAAGCCCATTTTCTTAGGCTCAAACGTGGGTAAGCACAAGAGAGGAAATAGCCCAATTGCTTCAACTAGAGTAGCCCAACCAAAATAACCCATTACTTTAGATAGCCCATAAAGCCCAAATACTTGGTGAATTTAACCCACTTATTAGATGACTTGGTCTTCTATATTAAAGGGCCCATACCATTTGAATAAAAGGAGTCCAAGGCCTTCAGCACTTGGCTGAAGTAGAAGGCCACGAAGAAAGCCAAAGATTCACATGTGAGGGGCTGCTGGGAGAACAAGTTCCAAGTGCAAGCATTCAAGAAACCAAGGGGTATTGGCACGCAGGGGAAGATGCTATCCCTTAAACCACCAGGCGCACCCATTTTCTTTCCTTCATCATATTTGGCCGTGTAAAGAGGAGGAAAGACGAGAAAGAAGATGGGTGAAAATGGAAGCTCTCCTCTAAAGCTGCTGAAGCCTCGAGCTCCCAAAAATCCCTGATTTTGTGGGATTAGGCAGAACTGATTTTTGCCTCCATGAGGTAAGTCAAGAAAGAGGAGAAGAAAGGAAGAGGAAAGCTTAGCTAGATTGGAAAGAAACCATTAGGGTTTCTTGGAGAAGACCCATTCCCAGCAGCTATAAATAGGACCCCTTTTACCCAACACAACACAACCCACAACCTTCAGAGAGCAAGCTTTCTCTCTCACATGCAAACCCAGGAATTTTCGTGCTATCCTCCCTCATTTTCCTTTATTTCCCCTGTTTTGGCAGATTGACAGAAGCTTTGACAGAGTCACTGTCAAGCTGCCGGAAACTGCGAAAGTCACCCAAAACTCTTCACCATCCTTCTCCCTCTTCATCAAACCTCCTTAGAACCTCTCTACCTCTCCATTAGAACCTTTGTACCTCATAGGAACCCACAGCTCTCTCTCCTAAAGTGCTAAACCCATGATAATTTTTGCTCCCATGCCATAAGTCACTCATGCCAAGCTAGAATATTTATCTGTAATTTTTTGTCATTTTCATTGGTGAAGCTAACCAAGGAGTTTCCTAAGGCGTCATCACCCTTTCGAGACATCCTTGGGGCTTGATCTTCGAACTCAGACACAAGAAGACACTTGCATCAGATTGCTCTTTACAGCAGCCCAGCCCACTTGCTGCCGGAAGAAAAAAAGCCCCTACAAATGTCAATTTCTTACTGAAGAAATAATGCTTGCTAATGAACAAAAAGAAATAATGCTTGTTCATTCTGGTCATGCTTGCTATAGAGGTTCACCATATCACAGTCCAGGTAGAGCTACTTCCTATTATCCTAAGGAATCAAGATCTTGTAATGCTACAGTCCCACAGTCGATAGGTCATCAAGAGATTTTGTTCACTACCTCCGCATCAATTGTTCCACCGTTACCAATCAAGACAGTCTTTAGTATTGATGCATTTGCTGAAGAGGAAGCCACTGTGTCTCCAATTGGTTCTCCAATTTCTAAACTCCAACTTTCAGATGAAATAATTGCTCTTACAGATGTTGTGCTGCCTCAGATACCCACACGCTCTATAGAAAGCCCTTTTGTGGGCCATGCATATGGTGCTGATTCCATTACATTATTTCAGGCAATGACCTTACATGATGGAAAGGCCTCTGGTTTTCGCGATGAGGGTGAAACTGGCAAGACTGTTATCTCTGGAAATGACAAGTTTGCTGGGGACATTCCTTTGGTGACCCCAAAATTGCACTTTGATCGCATTTTGCATTTTGATCTCAACGTAGTTCCAGATATGCAAATCTGTGTGCTTGCCAGTGATATTGATTACAATGCCACGGTCCTACTAGTAGTTCCATTAACCATTGTCAGTTTCATTTTGGCATTGGCTTGTGGTTTTCAGTGGAAACTCAAACACATGGCTCAACCTCCTAGTTTTACAGAACCTCTATATCTTGTTTGAACACTTTGGTTTTCTGTATTTCGGATATTGCATGCTCCTATTCTTTCTACAGACCAGTTTGCTGACATTCTCACCAAGGGTCTTTCTACTCCTCTGTTTCAGCAACATTGTTCCAATCTTATGCTTGGCTCCTCCAAGCATGCGATTGAGAGGGGATGTAAAGATATCAATGGTCGTAGTGCTGCCACGTGTTAGAAGATTGAAGAATAAAGTTGTTGAGATATTGTTAGACCTGTTAAGCAGTTTAGGAAAACTGTTAGTATTGATAAGAGAAGGTTAGACATGTTAGAGAGGTTAGAAAACACGTGAACAAGGCTTTAACTCAGCTGATATAAAGTCTGTAGTTGTGCTCAGTTGAGCTTAATGAGAAATACAACAAGTCTCTTCTCTATCCCTGAAATTCTCTCTACTTTCTCTGCTCTATATTTCTTTTCAGTCTTCCTATCTTAACAGTCTTGATTCAATGTACTGTGGTAGGTAGACTTCGGTTGGTGAGATTGTATCCTAGCCCTCTATTTTAGTGATAGGTGGGATAGGAACTCTATATAAGGAGGATGTCTCATTGTGTATCCTCACCCCCGCAACTTGTAAAGCATTGAGTAGCAATACAAGCATATATTCTCCCAAACTCTCTTGTGTGTTCTTTAGCGTTATTATCGTTCCTGCTCTTGCTATTGTGTTCTTGCTTGGTTCAATCTTATATTGTAGGAAGGAAGGCTGACTTAGTCTTGCTCGAGAGGCGATCAAGTCTAAGGCTGCATGAAAGGAAGACTCCGAAAAAGTCATCTCGTGACAGTAGGCAACTTGGGTTAACCTAGGTGCAGCTGCAAATTGATCTATCTGAGTTTTGTTTGATATGTTCTAGTACATTGTATTAAAGGATTGTTTATAAAGCTAGAGGCCCATTTTGTAATTTATGTATGGTATTGCATTATTGGTTGTTATTATGTTGTTTCTGACAGGTGGAAATTTTGGTAAGTTCATTTTTTAGGGGAGACTGCCGAAATTTTGGTAGGAGTCTCGACCCATTTTCCTTTGTTTCAGAGAAGAGGATGTTTTTAGCAAGTGGGCCCGACATCTGTTAGATTTCTGAAAAACCGCAGGGTCCGTAACGGATTCTGAGGAATTCGGGGTGGATCCTATCAGCTCCAATCAGCCTTACTCACCCAAAAAAAATAAAAAATCAACACAGTTTCAAATTCTAAAATCAAACCAAGAAGCATGGCCTCTAAAATAGTTTTTTTTGCTTTCAGTACAAAGGCTATGAAGGAGGTAAAGTTGCCAAAAAAAAAAAAAAAAAAAAAAAATAAAAAAAATATTAAATATAATTCCTCCTCCTCCGAAGTCTTTAAAAATAAATAAATAAATAAAATCAACATGTACAGTAGTCTCCAAGGCTTTGATTTGAGGCACCATTGTTGGCCATAGAGGTCCAGCCACGCAAGCAACCGCGAACTCCCAAACCCCATGCCCAAGCCACACCCCCACACCGCCACCCACCCATCATAGCAATTGCTCCCCCTACTCACCCACCACCGCACTCTTCCCCCCACCCCCAGCAACATTGATGGATCTCACTTCCTCAACTCCTTTTCGCTACCCATCTCTCTGCAATTTCAAAAACCAAAAAATGAAAGAAAAAAAAAGAACTTCGGATATTGCAGTGGCGGTTCCAGGATTTAAAAGCCGACCAGGCAAAACTTATATAACAAACTTGACGAAACGAGTGAATTTCATTAATAAACATTAAAAAAAAATTACATAGTAAGAGGAGACGTAATAAGCCTTACCCTCAAATGCATTTATATCTACAAATACAAAAACTAAAATAAAAACCAAAAGAAAAAAATAGAAAAAAAAATATTTCACATTAAAAAGAAAGATAATATAGAGGACTACATTAATTTTAAAAAAACAAGATTTATTTTGAGAGAAATGGGAAGGAAGAAAATTGGCGGAGCTAGGTTTTTATTTTAACGAGTTGTGACCTTATTTCTCTCTTTGTTTCCTTTTATAAACGTTTATTATGACATCCATTTTTAGGTTTCCACCTCGAGCTCCATAGCCCTATCAATCATGTTTTGCAATTTTTGAAATAGTTATCTTTGTGAAAGACAATTTTTTAAAATAATCATAAGTAATGTAGGTAATATTTTTCTAAAAAAAGAGAGAAGGAAAAGGAAGAAATGAGAGAGAGAGAGAGAGAGAGAGAGAGAGGAGAGAGAGAGAGAGAGAGATAGAGAGAGAAGAAAAAGAACAGAAAAAAAAGAGAGGAGGGATGAGAGAAGGAGAAGAAAGAAAAGAAAAAAAAGGGAGAGAAGAGAGAAGGAAAAGGAAAACAACGGAAAAAAAAGGAGTGTAAATGGATAAAATTGGAGTGAGAAATCATTACCCTAAAAAAAAGGAGAGGAGAGAGATGACAGTGTATGTAATATTTTTTTTTAACAAAAATTAGGGCCGGGCAAAAGAGACGAGAGGAGAGAGAAAAGTGCGGGTAATATTTATTTAACATAAATTTGGGCCGGCATGAGCCCAGCCTGCCACAGGCTGGAACCGCCTCTGGAATATTGTTTCTGTGTTTGGTTTTTGATTTTAATTAGAATAATTGGGGTTTATTTTGGTAAAATATGGAGCATGACTGAGGGTTTAAATTACTAATTGTATGGGTTGGATTAATCCAAGGGCCTTTATCAAATAGATCCTCACATGACCTCATTTTCAGGTCCTTAGATGATAGGGAATGGACTAAATATATGCATATATTTTTAGTTTTTTTCATTCACATAAAAAGTACGTTTATTTGGTTCATCAATCTATTATGAGTTCAAAGAAAGTTCTTATGTAGTTCGGTTTGTTTAAAAACATGGATTTTCTGAGAAGCCCTCAAAGTATGAAATCAGAATGTTCCCCCACTGCGAATTTCTTAGAATTGGGCATGGCGAATGAGAAAATAAATATACAATTTATAACGTAGAGAAAATTTTCATAGAATTATAACTTCATAGGTTTTTTTTTGGAGTGGGTATAACTTTATAGTTTGAGACAACGACGCAACATCTATTTTGTAGGGACGGAAGACGAATGTGTAAGTAAATAGAAAGAATCAAATGCACAGCCCAGCAGCATCGTCGATCGATCTACACATCCAACCTTGGCTTACGCTTCTTGATCGCCACACGGGGATAAAGTAGCCCTGTTGAAGAAGAGGCTTCTTGGCAAAATTTATTGTGATCCTCGCCCATGTTGTAATGAAGACGAACCATTACATTAGCCCTTTGTTGATCATCAACTCGATCTTCTCTGGCCTTTCTTTGACGATTTTGAACTGGCATGAGCAATTTATTGGTAGCGTCACTGTCGCGGTTGACGGGTAGCGGTCGAGGGTAGAAGAAATCGGTGGGAAAGAAGTTGTATTGGAGGAGGCCAGACATGGATGGATATGGCTCAAACGCAGTTGGAAAGCTCTTTGAAGTTTTGTTTTGTTTTGTGTCGGATGGTGGCCTTGTCGTTGAAGTGGCTGTATTTTATATTAAGTGAGGACTTGGGGCATAAGTCATTGGTTAATTAGTTTGGGCATTGACCGATCTTTCTTGTTTAGACGTTGAATATTCTTTGACCGCTGTATATTATTTGTTCCGCAAGAAAAAAGGACTGCGTAACGGCTAGAGTCTGGCTTCTGGATGTGAGGAAACTTTAAGCTCTCGTTTGTTACATGGAATTGGTTAGCACAGGACTAATCACAAGGATTAGCTAGGATTGGCTTGACTTGGACTAAGTCTTGTAAGCCTACCCTCCAGTTCAACAAAACCCACACAAATATAATACTGAAACACATCTTCTTCCTTTGTTTTCCGCAAACCAACAACCCACAAGGTAAAAAGCATATGAATACCATAAGATTTTCCAAAGCATAACCCAGTATCAAAACAAAAATAAAAAGAAAGATAAAAAAATAGAGAGAGAGAGAGAGAGAGAGAGAGAGAGAGAGAGAGAGAGAGAGAGAGAGATTGGAGGCTTACAAGAAGATAGCAGCTGGTTTGATTTGCGGCAAGGGTGATTTGGGACGACAAGCACGTTATATGAAGAAGACGACTCACTTGCGCACAGGAACGGACCCAGAATTTGAAAATAGCGTGGGCTAAATTTTTCTTACATATTTATAGAGACATATATAAAATGAACTTTAGCAGGAAAATCAAGTTTGAACTTGTATTTTTAAGAATGCTATATGATGAGTAGATTTTATATTATATATTTAACCCTATTCTTAATATATTTGGATTAATATTTTGGAAGAATTTTGATACTTTGAATTATATTTCCACTATAGGACTGTCGAACTTCCTCTGAAGCAAAACATAATCAAATGGACGAATTTTGGAGTAATTCCAGTTGGAGGACTTTCGTGAATCATTTAGCCTGATCGTATCAAAATATCAGATTCGTTCACCAAGCGGTGATTTCCTGGCGAATAAATAAAGGAGCGATGCGCAGTGCTGAAATAGTGACATTTTGGGCTTGAATTGAGTTTTTGGAGCCCAAGGTGACCTCGGATGGGTTCGGGGCCTTCTGGAGATGTGTTCAGACCATTTTTTTCGTTAAAACAAGCTATATTGGGCCGGATTTGGAGGAGATTTGAGGCTAAAGCGTGGCTGAACAGTTTCTGTGCAGTTTATCCCCACTTAATTAGGACTTCTTATATTGTATTTTATTTTACTATTTAGTTAGCTTCCAGACTGGTTTTCGCATGGATTGTGCGGCTGGTTTTTAGGGAAATATTTAAGGTTTTAGTCTGCCCTAGTTTTTTGGACACTTTTCTTTTACGTAACTTTGGGAGACAGAGAATAATTGCGTGGGTTCTTGAAGATCTTGAACTTCAAGGTGTTTTTATTCTTATTCATTCGAATGATATGTTCTTTGATTTCAATTATGAATATGCGTAACTAATTCTCTTTAGCTAGGGCGAAGCCTTGAACCTTAGCATGAATATGTAACTTTTATTTAATTGCTTATGATTGATGGCATGCATACTTTGAATTGTTAATCACACTTTTAAACTTTCTAATTGTCTTAATGCCTGATCACCATTAGGATATTTAGAAAAGTAATTTGATGCAATTTTGGTCGGAAGGTTACCTGAAATTAATGATGGTTTCTTGTGATTAATAATTGTAATTTCACTTAAGATGAATACTATGTCTTAAGGGTTGCATGGTTTTCATAAAACATAATGAGTCTTTCATGTTCAGATTTAATCCAAACGTCCAGACAGGTTGCATGTTGGATATATGTTCTATGTTGGAGGTTCCAAGTAGAGTATAAATTAGGAAAACCTAACATTCAAAGTGGCATGTGTAGATCATAAGTAATTGGTAAAAATTCATAGGATTGCTAGGTAATGGTGAAACCCTAGTGCTTTTATAAATTGGTTTTTAAAACTCTTTTCTTTGATCGTATTTGTTTTTAATCAACATTCGTTTTTAGTATTAAACGATTTCAGAATCATCCTTCTCAGCCTTTAATTTCAAGTAGTTAATTAGAGATTGTTTTTACATAAATTGTTAAATAGTTCTTGAGGAGAACGACCTTGCATGAGCATCTATACTACAATATCCTTGTATTCTTGCAAGTATTTAATGTGATGTTAACCTTATTTGCGTAGGTACTAAAAATCCTATCAAAAAATTGGCGTCGTTGCCGGGGACTATTTTAGATAATTTTTTTTTAAAATTTTCCTGATAAATTAACAATTTCATTTTATTGCAGATTCTGCAAACTACATGGTCCAGACCAGACCAGGCATTGCACAAATTGCACAGTTTGATCCATAACCAAAATGCACACTGCACAGACAACGATGAGAAATAAATTGGGCGTGGGATTGTTCACTGCATGACACTTTTCTATATAATTTGTTTACGGATTTTGTGGACAACAAGGGTAACATGGCATTAGCACTGCCTGCAGCAGGCAGACCACTTAGAGAGTGGTTGGCTGCCCATGCCAATGATGTCCCTAATTGCATTGTGTATCCTGAACAAGAAGAGGATGGTTCATTTGAGATCAAGCACCATATGCTTGAAATTCTACCTATTTTTCGTGGGCTACCTAGTGAAGATGCAAACATACATATTGCAAAATTTATTGTGAGTTGCAAAAATATTTTGACTATGGGTTTTTCTGCTGAAGCTATTAAGTTACGTCTTTTCCCTTTCACTTTGAAGGACAAGGCGGAAACTTGGTTGTTCACTCTACCGACAAATAGCATTACTACTTGGCAACAATTACATACAAAATTCCTAAACAAGTATTATCCATCATCCAAGACATTCAATTACAAGCAGGAAATCATGACATTTACTCAGAAGCCTAATGAAGAGTTCCATGAAGCATGGGAAGGATATATAGAGATGTACATTAAGTGTCCACATGCTAATATTGATTCAGATACACAGATGAATATTTTCTTTGACGAGCTTAATCCGATATCTAAGAGCCATGTTAATACATCAGCTGGAGGATCGTTGTCAAATAAATATGCAAAAGAGACATTTGAACTGTTTGATATGATGGCTACAGAATCTCAACAATAGGCAGCATAACATTCACATAAAAGGGGCATTTTTGAGTTATCAATAGGTTTTCTCAACATGTTTGCACAAATGGAAAAAATGGAGAAGAAAATTGATGAAAAGTTTGATATTCTTCTACAACAAATTGCAAATTCTACACAACAGCAACCACCTACATCAAAAGGTTGCAGTATTTGCAGCATGGCTACACACGATATAATGGGCTACCTGCATAAAGAATCCTTCCCGGAACTTGTTGAGCAACATGTTAATATGATGAACAGCTATCAAATGCCTAGGAATGATGCATATGCAACTCATTACAATCCAGGATGGAGGGATCACCCTAATTTCAAATGAGGTGACAATCAGAATAATGCAAAACCATTCCAGCATGCACAAATACCATTTGTTTCATCCAAACCAACTTTGGATGATCAGCTTGCTAAATTGGCAGCAACAACTCAATCATTTATCGAGGGCAACAATCAAAGATTTCAAAGTGTTGAAGCATCAATTAAAAGTTTGGAGCAACAATTTGGACAGCTAGCTGCACATATTTCAAAGAGAGAAAAAGACAAATTTTCTAGTCAAACAGTGCCTAGTCTAAGAGGACGTGAAGATTGTAACGTTGTTCGGACATTACAACGTGGAAAGAGCTAGCTATGACAATCGTGAAAATAGCACTAAATTCCAAAATTGTGTAGACAATTTTGAGGCAGCAGCTGAACCTGCCAATTATGCAGAAAAACAGAATCTGGCAGATATAGAAACTATTCCAAAACAGTTTTTTCAGCGTGTTTATGACCCTCAACTGCCTTATCCTGAATGTGTAATTCTTAAAGCAAGAGATCAGCAACTCAAAGATTTTATGCAGACATTATCCAAAGTTCAAATCAACATTCCATTGCTAGATGCAATAAAGAAAATTTCATCATATGCCAAATTTTTGAAAGAAGTTTGCAACAGCAAAAAGAAACTTGCAGATTTGGACAAAGTTATTTTGACAGCATAGTGCAGCGCAGTTTTACTACACAAACTGCTACCTAAGAAAAAAGATCCAGGGAGTTTTAATATTTCTTGTACTATTGGAAATTCTGATTTTGAAAGTGCTTTAATTGATTTGGGTGCGAGTATTAATTTGATGCCTTTTTCTGTTTTCTAGTGATTAAGACAAGGAGATTTAAAGCCTACATCAATTATACTTCAGCTGGCTGACCATTCAATCACTTATCCAAAAGGTGTTATTGAAGATTTAATTATTAAGGTTAATAATCTTTATCTACCGACAGATTTTGTGGTTTTAGACATAGATGAAGACCTTCAAACACGTATCACTTTGGGAAGACCGTTTATGGCATTAGCTAGGACTTTAATTGATGTGGAAGTTGGAACCTTAACTTTACGAGTTTAAGACCAATCTATTGTATTTAATTTGTTTGAGGCAGCAAAACATCCTGCTGAACAGCACGAATGTATGCGCATTGATATGTTAGACAGTATGGTTTAAGACAGTTTTATCTAGTTCAAACACAGATCAGTTACTGCATGTTTTAAAAGGGGAAATTGGGACAAATTCTGAAGATGAAGGTGTTCTTGAGTACATTCACGCATTAGACAGTCTGCCCAGACATCAACCACCAAAATTGGAGCTAAAACCTTTACCATAACATTTAAAATATGCGCATTTAGGGGCTGCAGAAACGCTGTCAGTTATAGTTGCAGCAAATTTAACTCCCACAGAGGAAGATAAATTGCTTCATGTTTTGAGAAAATATCAAGATGCATTGGTATGGACAATTGTCGACATCAAGGGTATTAGCCCAGTAGTCTGCATGCACATAATTTTAATAGAAGACGTCGTGAAGCCAACAGTTGATGCTCAACGCTGCCTTAACCCAATTATGAAAGAGGTTGTCAGAACAAAGGTTATGAAATTACTTGATGCAGGTATGATTTATCCTATTTCAAACAGTAAATGGGTGAGTCCTATGCATGTCGTTCCTAATCGTACAGGCATTACAGTGGTTACAAATGACAAAAATGATCTTGTTCCTATGCGTTTAACTGCAGGGTGGCGGATGTGTGTGGATTATAAGAAGACGAATGCAGGAACAAGAAAATACCATTTTCCCCTACCGTTTACAGACCAAATGTTGGAAAGATTGGCTGGCAGGGCTTTCTATTGTTTCTTGGATGGTTATTTGGGGTACAATCAGATCTCAATTGTCCCAGAGGACCAAGAGAAGACAACTTTTACATGCCCCTTTGGGACGTTTGCATATCTAAGGATGCCGTTTGGGTTATGCAATGCACCTTCTACTTTTCAGCGTTATATGATGAGTATTTTTCTAACTTGGTCGAAAATATTATGGAAGTTTTTATGGATGATTTTTCTGTATTTGGGGATTCTTATGATCAGTGCTTACCAAATTTATCATCAGTTCTTGAGAGATGTCAGGAGACAAATTTAGTGCTAAATTGGGAAAAGTGTCATTTCTTGTGATTGTAAAACTGCCACCCCCTACATCAATAAAACGGGTGAGGTCATTCTTAGGACATGCAGGTTTTTACCGTCGGTTCATCAAGGATTTTTCTAAGACTAGCCGACCTTTATGCAATTTATTGGCTAAGGACGCAACATTTTATTTCGATTAGGCTTGTTTAGAAGCGTTCAACAAGTTGAAATTACTCCTCACTTCGGCACCCATCTTTGCTGCACCAAATTGGGGTTTACCATTTGAGCATTGCAAGTTACTCTTTTGATTGATTCAATCTGAGGCCAGGCAGTTATGAGCTAGCAAATTTGGCCACGTATTGGCCATATTCCACTCCTTTTTTTTAAAAGAAAAATCAAGATAATAACTCAAAGAATTCCTCCATGTTATTCTAAGGTAAATTGCAAATTTTGGTTAAACACATTATATATTTGTCAATGGCGTCCATTATTTGTACATCATATACATAAATTGCAAATCAAAGTATGCTTTATCTGCTAAGCAGTAACCACAAAGGAAGAGCCGGGTTGGTTGCTTGCCCATGATTATGCAATGCTGAACTTGAGCAGCTACTGAAAGAGATGGCAAGCAAAGCTTTCTCCAAATCTGCAGTCATTCGTCGCTGGAGAAGTGAGAGTATGTAATTCATGAAGAGCGAGTCACATGGCAAGATGATAGGCCTACGGCTGCTTGAGACTCCAAACTCTTCTTCAGACATCTTGAAGAGCTCTTGGAAAATATGGTTGGAGAGATAGGATAAAGGCAGTACAAAACGGCTCTTGTCAATGGTATAGATAACAAAAGTTCCCTTTTCACCCACCATATCATTCTTCCAATTGTTGCCAACTACGCTTGGGCTTGAATTTTTGTTCCTCCCCATAGAATCTCTCTTCTGCCATTTGCTAGCAATTTTTATGAGCCTCTTGGGGCTGATTACGTTGTCCATGGAGCTATATAAAACCTAATTGAGCACTAAAAAGCAACTATGTATTTTCAAGAATGCTAAAGACTGAGTGATGGAGAACAATGGGGATTGGTTTCCTATTTATATATGTTCTCCAGAGAACGCTAGAAATTAATAATTAGTTATATTGGCATAGTACTTTGTTGCCTAGTTTTGTTAGTGGGGAAAATTCCTTTAGTTGCAACCGACGATTTTTGGATGTATGTCAAGTTTATGTACTTATTTTATAAAGCCGCACTTTTTGTTAGTAATTTTAGTGGAGAAAATTCTTTTGGTTGCCTTGTGGAGAAAATTCCAATGTTCGTCAGAGAGTATTACCAGTTGGTTACTAGGACACATGAAATCTTATAATAACTTCCAATCTTTGGAACGTTCCTATCTAACTACCATTTAGAGTTTTGCGCGACGAATACTAACGTCCCGCAAATATTTTTTGTGTTTTAAATTTTTTTTTGACTTTTTGTTTTATTATTTCTTTCATATTAATTTAATTGTATTAATATTTTTGAATTTTTACTTTTAAAATTTAATTTAATTGTATGATTTTTTTAATTACTAAAATTTAAATTGACATATTCAAAATAAAATTACATATGAAAATAGTGATCAAATTATCCAATAAATATATATATATATAATATTCAAAATGTACACATAAATTAACAAAGTACAATAATAAAATCCTAATACAAGCGTATTGTGGTTGTAGTGGCGGAGGATATATGTTTTGATAGCTTTCTAATCCTCAACTTTAGCCGTCAAAGTCTCGATGATTCCCTACAAAGAAAAAAAATATGGTCAAATAACAACAACGACAAAAAAGGCATAATTTCCCCTAAAATTGTTATACCAAAAATCCAACCCAAACTCCAATCCCTCCCCTTTACTCAACCCCAAATCCCACACAAACTCAAAACAAACTCCAAAAACACATATTAATGAAAAAAATTTAAAATTTGGAGAGAATATACCTTTTGGCAAGATTGAGAGTGAGTGTGAGAGAATTAGAGAAGATAGTGATAGAGAGATGAGAGAGTGAGTGAGAGTGAGAGATAGTGAAAAGAGAGATGAGAGAGTGAGTGAGAGTGAGAGATAGTGAAGAGAGAGATGAGAGATTAAGTGAGAGGAGTGAGTGTGAGAGAAAGGGTGGGATTTGGGGAGAGGGAAAGAGAGAGGAGAGGTAAGAGTAGAGAAAGACATTGAGAAAATGGTGGAGGAGTTATTTTAGTTTTAAAAACCGTTCACTTTGCGCGACGAAAAATATTGTTGGTTTTGCGCGACGAAAAATATTGGAATATTGGAAAATTAGTCGCGCAAAGTCTAAAAAAAATTATGAAAAATTAAATAAAATTCCCGCGTCCAATTTTTGGTACCCGCCCAACTTTTTAAATTTTTGCGGGACGAAAAATACATATTGGTCGCGCAAAGTCTAAAAAAATTCCCACATCCCATTTTTGGTACCCGCCCAAATTTTTGCGAGACGAAAAATATATATTGGTCACGCAAAGTTTTGAGCGAAAAAAAATATTGGTCACGCAAAGTCTAATTTTTTTTTAAAATTTTAAATCCTGCCCAAATTTTTAGAGTTTTGCAAACTTTTGAGAGACGAAAAATTGGTTCGTAGCACAATATTTATAAAAATAATTGTTATGAATAATAAAAATAAAATAATTTTATTTTACGATTTAAAATATAAATAAGGTTAAAGCTACTTAATAAATATATATACTATTCAATTTCTTAAGTGTTATACGTACAAAATAAATAAATTTAAAGCTACTTAATTAATAAATATATATATATATATATACACACACCATTCAACGATCCAACCGTCATACTTGTTTGTATATACTTCAAGATCGTATACCCCAAAAATCGCAAAAAACAGACATTCAGAAATCTAGTAACAGGACAAACCTTTTTTATGGTTATAAATGAAAAATCACAATTTAACGGTTATTTTAACTCCGATTTTGATAATTTTTTTATAGATACACTCCTTGACCCTATATGAATACAATGACTGAATTTGATCTTTAATTTAAAATATTTACACTAGTGGATACTACAAAATCTTATGTTATATTTAACGAAAATATAAATAAACTCTTAATTGTTAGTGAATATATTGTTTTGATGGCATACGCGTTCTACGAAACTAGTTTCAACGATCCAACTATCAAACTTGTTTGTTTATACTTCGAGATCATATACGCCAAAAATCGGAAAAAATAAACATTCAGAGATCTAGTAACGGGACAAAACTTTTCGACGGTTATAAATGAAAATGCATGATTTAACGGTTATTTTAACTTCGATTTTGATGGTTTTTTACAGCTACACTCCTTGACTTGACCCTATATGAATACAATAACTGAATTTGATCTTCAATTTAAAATATTTACACTAGTGGATACCACAAAATCTTATGTTATATTTCACGAATGTATAAATAAACTCTTAATTGTTAGTGAATATATTGTTTTGATGGCATACGCATTCTACAAACTAGTTTCAACGATCCAACCATCAAACTTGTTTGTTTATACTTCGAGATCATATACGCCAAAAATCGAAAAAAATAAACATTCAGAGATCTAGTAACGAGTCCAAAATTTTCGACGTTTATAAATGAAAAATCAAGATTTAATGGTTATTTTAATTCCGATTTTGATGATTGTTTACAACTACACTCCTTGACTCTATATGAATACAATGACTGAATTTGATCTTCAATTTAAAATATTTACACTAGTGGATACCACAAAATCTTATGTTATATTTAACGAAAGTATAAATAAACTCTTAATTGTTAGTGAATATATTGTTTTGATGGCATACACATTCTACGAAACTAGTTTCAATGATCCAACCGTCAAACTTGTTTGTTAGTACTTCGAGATCATATATGCCAAAAATAAAAAAATAAAAAAAACATTCAGAGATCAAGTAACGGGACAAAACTTTTCGACGATTATAAACGACAAATCATGATTTAATGGTTATTTTAACTCCGATTTTGATGATTTTTTTACAGCTACACTCCTTGACCCTATATGAATACAATGATTGAATTTTATCTTTAATTGAAAATATTTACACTAGTAGATACCACAAAATCTTATGTTATATTTCACGAAAGTATAAATAAACTCTTAATTGTTAGTGAATATATTGTTTTGATGGCATATACATTCAACAAAAATAGTTTCAACAATCCAACCATCAAACTTGTTTGTTTATATTTCGAGATCATATATGCCAAAAATCGGAAAAAATAAACATTCAGAGATCAAGTAATGGGGCAAAACTTTTCGACGGTTATAAATGAAAAATCACGATTTAATGATTATTTTAACTCTGATTTTGATAATTTTTTATAGCTACACTCCTTGAACCTATATGAATATAATGAACTAATTCGATCGTCAATTTAAAATATATATTTTCTAACAAAAACCCAATCCGAACAACAATATTTTTCTAACAAAATCCGATCCGATCTAAAATAATAAATTTAAAGCTACTTGAGAAATATATATACCGTTTAATTTCCTAAGTGTTATGCTTACAAATAAAAAACAAAAATAAATTGGTTTAGGCGACGAAATGTTTGGATTACGTCATGCAAAGATTTTAAAAATAATTTTTTTATTTTAAGGACTTTGCGTGAAGAAGATTATTGTTTCGTCGCGCAAAGTCACTTTGAGCGATGATGTATTGTCGTTACGTAAAAGTTTGTCGCGCAAAGTCACTTTGCGTGACGAATTATTTTTCGTCGCACAAAATTTGGTCGTGTAAGACTTTGAGCGACGATGTATTCTCGTCGAGCAAAAGTTTGTCACGAGAAGTGACTTTGCGCAACGAATTGTTTTTTGTCGCGCAAGACTTTGAGCGACAAAGTTTTGAATTTCATCGCGCAAAGTGACTTTGAGTGACGAATAGTTTTTTCATCGAGCAAAATTTGGTCGCACTATGGTTTTTTTTACTAGTGTTTGTATGTTAAGACTTGTAGGTTTATATACCTAGACCTAGAGCCCAAAAAAAAAAAAAAAAAAAAAAAAAAAAAAAAAAAAAAAAAAAAGAAGGAATAAATATCTCAAATAGCACTATTTCTGTAGTGAATTATTTCAATATTATCTCGATACTGTTAATATTGCCTCATTATTTCCATAACAAATAGTTTCATAGACTCTTAATATGACATTAAAGTATCAATATTTTGTAAAATTTGTATCATGCTTGATTTATAAAAATTGCAAGGTTTCTGAATTTTTGCAGGATTTTTTACGATATCAACATTGATACCGAATCATACCGGTCCCGTTTGGGTCCGGTATGATTTGAACATGTTCTCAAAAACTCACATCCCGTGTCATCCCATTCCGATTCCCCTATCCAGGATTGACACCCGGATGACCTCCATCTCGTATCATCCCGTACCGTGCCCACCCCTAGTAATACCTCATCTCTGTGTATATGTTCATATTAATTTAAAATTTTATTTTATTTCTCAAAATTTACATCTTTCAAGTTTACGAAAATATTGATAGCTTTCTAAAACTATTGTAGAGATTGTTGGAGATCCTCTTAGTCGCGCATTTCAAGTTAAAAAAAGAGGTTTTGATATGATTAAGAGGATAAAACTTTCAATTTCTAGATCCACCAAAGTTAGCCAAAAAGCAATTTCTACCAATTATAACCATAGCAACAACAGTACGATAATACTAACGGTCACAATAATAAAAATACAATAACAAAATGACAACAAAAACTTACTTTTGTGAAAGAAAACTTGTCAATTTAAAATAAAAACATTATCGCTCTGTAAACTAAAAACAAACGTACAAGAACAAGTCATGAAACAGGAAAATCAAGATACATAATGCATGAACGCCATGATATATTAATTATACATCGTATACAAATATATTCACATTCAGTTCAAGTCTCCCATCGCTCATTTACAAAACTTCTAGTATGATTTTATGTGCTCAGCAGTAACCACAAAGGAATAGTTGGGTTTCTTGTTTGTCCTTGATGTATTAACGTAGAACTTGAGCAGCTACTGCTGAAGAGAGAGTTGGCAAGCAAAGCTTTCTCCAAATCTACAGTCCTTCCTCGCTGGAGAAGAGAGACCATGTAATTCATGAAGAGCGAGTCACATGGCAAGATAATTGGCCCACTACCACTTGACAGGCCAAACTCTTCTTCAGACATCTTGAAGAGCTCTTGGAAAATGCAGTTAGAGAGATAGGCTAAAGGCAGTACGAAACGGGTCTTGTCAATGGTGTAGATAACAAAAGTTCCCTTTTCACTCACCATAGCATCTCTCTTTTGCCACTTGCTAGCAATTTTAATGAGTCTCTTTGGGCTGATTATTTTTTCCATGGAGGAGATGTATAAAATGACCCAATTGAGCAATAAAAGCAACTTTGTATTTCTAGGAATGCTAAGAACAGATTGATGGAGAACAAGGGGGATTGGTTTCCTATTTATATATGTTCTCCAGACAACGCTAGAAATTAATAATTCGTTGTATCGGCATAGTACTTCGTTGCCTAGTTTTGTTAGTTGGAAAAAAATGCTTTAGCTGCTTGGAGGTGAAAATTCCAATGTGCTGCAATATTTTGGATGTTTAAACTTATGTCAAGTTTATGTCTTGTGGCTCAAGGACACAAGAGATCTTACCAGTAGGATAGTTCATTATGATATAAATTTAAGCCGTATAATGAACCACAGTACTAAACTATAGGCTTGTTTGCGAGTGATTCTAGATAGGCCAAAAAGCACATCTATGGAGAATCACTTATCCAAATAATTACCTTAAGTTTTAAGTGATTTTATAGAGAAACACATGAGATGTGCTTCTGTCCAAAATCACTTAAAATCACTTAAAGTGATTATATGGAGAAGCACATAAGAAGTGGTACTCCCTAGAAGTGATTTTATATACTTATTTATAAAGCCGTACTTGCTTAGTACTTTGAATGGAGAAAATTCTTTTGGTTGCCTTGGAGAAAATTCCAATGTTCATCAAGAGAGCCAACTATTTGAAAGTTTTTCAAATTACTTCATGTTATAATATGTGTTGTGGTTGTGGCTTAAGGACACAACAGAGTATTCCGTTCGTTAGTATTATCAGTTGGTTACTAAGAAATCTGAAGTTCTAATTCTTGGGAAGTTCCTAACTACGTTTTGTCCATATATCCTTTTCATAGCTAATACTAATGAATTAGAAAAGGAATTCGATGTGAAATATATAATATTTTGTACGTCAAGAATTGTAAGTTTTACACTAACCTTGAACTTACCGAATTAATCTGGGAAATTCTCTCAAATGTTGGAGTAATAGAGGCCACGTGTTGATAACTGCTTATGAAGTGTTATCAAAGTTAGTTAGCTGATAAGTTGGGCTTAGTTAGAGTCAGTTAGCCTAGCTAAGAGCCAAATTGTACTCATATAAAAACAGAGTGTTTGATGCCATTGCTTTTAGGTTCGAACACTCATGGGACATTGATAGTGTGTGAGAAAATCCTCCTCCGCTTCATAACTTGAAAAAAATAAAAATAAAAATAAAAATAAAACAACAACAACAACAACAACAATGTTAGATTGAAAACCTTGATCTTCAGTATTTTTTGTTCTTAATTTTCCTTCAGTTTCTCTTAAATATTAACATGTTATCAAGTCCACGTTATTCACGCGACAGATCCAACACTCTCACGTTAGCAAATCCATTTGGAATCAAGTGGTTTCTATTACTTTACCTGCGAGTGCTGGAAATTAATAATTAGTTATAATGGCATAGTTACCAATTACACAAATCTTAGCTTAACCTGAGATCAATATGACTAGTCAACTAAGAGTCATAGACTAGCAACAATCACACACACAAAGTAAGCAATCAATACCTGCAAACCTAGAAAATCACTAGTGACAACTTAGGCACTCAGAAGGACCTGTCATGCAAAGTAAACCACACTTAATTTGATTGCAGTAATCACAAACCACACTTATTGTGACCAAATATTAATTTAAGATTAAAGAAAATAAGAAGATTCGACTTTAAGAAAAGATCAATGAGTATTTCTATCGTTTGGCCAAATGAAAAACTTAAAGAAAATAAGAAGCTTGCTTACCTCCGAAGAAAATCAGGATCAGCACTGATTTCAACTTAAGAGGTTCTGAGTTTGCATCATTCTTTCTGTTAATAAAAAACAAAAAAAATCAAATTACTTCATTTGTTTTTGTATGGAGTTTTTTTTCTTTCTTTTCAATTCTATGTATTTGTTTATTTCTTGTTTTCTGTCAAATCGTTTTTTATGAAAGATCAATTATTAGCCTATATTTTATATATATTTTATGTCTCATTTACTTATTTATTTGTTAATTTCATTGGGTTAAATTGGTTGTTTAATTGGTTTTGTAAGATTTGTGAAGGAATTATGAAATATGAGAAAGTGTGCTAAAAAGGGCAAGAAGATGAAGATTGGAGATTAAATCAAGTCAAGAAGCTAAGTCATTCCTTTTGTCGCAAGGAATGTTGTCAAATTTCCTAGTTCAAGTTGTTTCAAGTCTTATCAAGTCAAACAAGGAGAAATAAAGAAGACCCTATTTTAGAAGGAATCCTACTTTTATAACAATTGTAATTATACCTTAGATAGGATTTCTAGGGGAGTCTTATAAATAGGAAGTTTAGGTCATTGTTCAAAGAATCTATTACCCGTCATCCTCCATCATCAATTATCCTGGCATTTCATATTGTAGTGGGTGTAAACTTGCCAAATTTTCTGCATTACCTTTTACTAGAAGTTCCTCTATTTCTTTAGCACATTTGATTTAATTCACTCTGATGTGTGGAGCCCAACTCCTATTTCTAGTAAAGGAGGCGCTAGATATTATGTTTCTTTTATTGATGACTACCCTTGTTATTGTTGGATTTATCTCATGAAACGTCGCTCTAATTTCTTTTCTATCTTTCAAAATTTTCTCACCCTTGTCCGTACACAATTTTCTACTATCATTAAATGTTTTCGGTGTGACTTGGGTGGTGAATATACCTCTTGTACTTTCACTAACTTGTTTGCCTCATATGGTACCACACACCAATTTTCTTGCACTGTCACTCTTAAACAAAACAGTGTTGCCGAAAGAAAACATCAACATATTTTTGGTCTATGTTGCTTTTTGCCGATGTCCCAATTTTTTTTGGGGGGGAAGCAATTCTGGCTGCCAATCATGTGTGATTAATCACATTCCCACATCTCTCACATTCGGCATATCTCCGTTTGAAAGATTGTATGGTAACAGTCCTTACTATTTCTCATGTTTCTAGTTCCCATTACTACATTTTAAGTTTTGCGCGACGAAGTAAAATTCGTTGCGCAAAGTTAAATTTAGTCGCACATACTTCTGCGCGACAGAAAATTCGTCGTGCACATGCTGTCGCGCAAAGAGTGTGAAGAAAGACTTTGCGTGACCACTTTTTTGCATTCATCGTGCAAAACTATGCGACGTAGCACCTTCGTTGCAGAAAAGTTTTAGGGATGACACAAATGTCCGACGCACAAACCTTTGCGCGACGAAAGGGTATTCGTCGCGACAACAATGCGCGATAGAAATTTCGTCACGCGAGATTCGTGTCGTAATTTTTTGCTCAACAAAGAGTCCTTCGTCGCTCCATGTTTGCGTGATGAAAAAGTAGTTGTCGCGACGAACGCCGTCGTCACGCAAGCATAAATTATGGGTATTTTAAAAAAATTTACCTTTTTTTTTTTCTAAAAAGTGAATTTGCGAGACGAGAAACATTTTGTCGCGCAAAATTGATACATATTATTTAAATTTAATATTACATTTTTTTTTGTACAAAAATAAATTTGTTTTTTTTTTTTGTAATAAAATAAATTTGTTTTTTTTTGGGTAATAAAATTAAATTGCAATACAAAAATGAATTGTAAAGAATACATTTATTATATAAAATAAAATAAATGTATACTACAAGAGAAATATTTAAAAAATCATTCTGAAAATAAAAAACTAATCAAATAATGTTCCAAAATCTACATGGTCATCTGGCATATGCGGCTCGGAGATCTGGGGGTCTACAGGGGCCGTGGTTTGGTGGGGATGCTCGGGGTGGACGGGCTCGGAAGTCAGCGCACCAAAATTCGGGATTGGAATGCCGGACCGCGCGAGGGACTGCAGAATCACCGACATCTGACCCTCAAGCTCGCCCACCCGTGATGACAAAACAATCACCTGACTGTTTGCCTGCGACGATGACCGTGGTCTAGGTTCCCTCTATCGAGCATTCCCTATCCCTCGATAATATGTTCTCGACCTCTTCCCGAGAGTCTGATCCAATGTGTCCGTCAATATCTGAAATCCAGCATCCTGTGGAGGATCCACAGACTCAATCGGAGTCTCGGGAGGAAGTTGGGAGGCGGACTCCTGAAGAACGAACTGGCTCCTCTCCACCATCGTTGTCTTTTTAACATAACATAAAATACAAATTAAAACATGCATATAATTGAATGTGTAACATAAGAATTAAAATTAAATAATACTTACATGAAGGGACTCAGCCAACTCATTCCCAGGTCGAACATAAACGTCACCAAAGACCTCGATCTCTGAGAATTTCGACCCCCCCTAAATTGAACAAGAGAAGAAACATATTAGTATGAAAAAAATAAATTAATAATAATGACATATTAAAAATTAAATATAAATTATTTTATTATTACCCGCCGCAGTGCACCCATCCTATATGAGAAGGGCCTGGAACTGGAATGGTGGAGAACAGTCTTCTTCTTCCTATTGCCCTTATTCACATGGGCTTTATTCTGTTATACAAAAAATAAAACGTATTAGTTGAAATATAAAAATTTAAATAATATTTAAATAAAAAAATGAAATAAACATTCATAAGAAATATGTAATAATTAAACAAATATTATTAAAAAATACCACATAATTGGGCGCTTGAAAATGAGCGCAGAGCCACGCCCAACTATCCTCTCGCCCCTCAAGCTCCTTCGGGCAACCATCCTGAAGAGCGACTTGCGGATCATCAAACGCCTCAAAATGGTGGTGCAAGTTACTCTTCCACTGCTTGTACCTCTCACCGAAGAGTCTGTTGACGTACGCCAATGACTCCTCATCGAGGTCCTCTAAGTTGTAGTTCATCTGCAATAAATTAATTACATACATTAAGTAATAGAAATATATAAAGTTTGAAAGAAAAAGAATTAAAAGGTAGGTTACATACCGACAACTGGCCGCGAACCTCCATCTTGATCTCGTCAGGCATGACCTTCCAAGACTTCCATTGCATCGGGTAATGGGTCCGAACGACGTGGCCAATGTCATGGGCCGAGGAGCTATACAACTCCGACGTCGGTGCAGCCTGATGGCACGCGTCGTATCCAATACTGATACAACTGTTGGTCACCCGGGTGACCTTCGCTGTCTTCAGCTGCCGACACGACCCTCGAGTGTTCTTCTTGGCTGCAAAAAAATATGACATTAATGTTAAATAAATAACAAATTTAACTATACAATTCACAATACAAAAAAGTAAAAAAAGAACTGCAGTTGAAGCATATCTATACCTGGCTGTGCCCCCGAGGCACCAGTACCGTCGGTAGAAGTGGTGTCGGTGGTGTTGGCGGGCCGGTGCCGCTGCCTAGCGCTAACAGGCTGCGCCACTAAGGAAGCTGATGACGCAGGCGCCTGGGACCCCCCGAGACCAACTGGCACTTGGTCCATCAGTGCTGGAGCAGTGGCAGCAGATGCTGGCTGAGCCGAGGGCTCCGAACTCAGTGTAGTCGTCACCGCCCTACAACATCTAATCAGGTTTGACATCTGCACAATTTCATTAATACATATACAAATTAATCAAATTTACGAATATATACTTAAAGCACATACAATGTCATTAAGAATTTGAACTAATTAATTAAAAGAATAGCTTGACCTAGGGTTTGTGATTTCAGAGTATCCGGGACTCCGATCCATGATCTGTCGAATCCTACATGATCCTAGAAATACAAGGTACAACATATGTGAGTTTGAGTTCGATCCAACGGTCTGAACATATCATACCTTGAAATCGCACAATATGTGAAATCCGTTCGAGACTCAAACGGTAACCAAATTAAAATCCGAGCACACCTACACGCTCGTGCCAAATAGGGGATTGCTCTGGGACCCAATCCCCCACTGTCATAGTCTCCCACACGCCAGCAGCGCGTGTGTGTCCAAAGCAATAACAATCGCTGGAAAATTCTAAAAACTAAGGGCCAAGGTTCCTACCCTAGGTTCAAAACATCAATTGGAGGCACTTTTGTTCTCGGACCTACCCCGAAAAATGGCCGGAAGGGGCCGGATTTTAAATTCAAAAACTAGCCAAAACTTAGGGTTTAAATTCCAGAAACCTATTCATACAATTAACCAAATCCTAATCAACCGTCAGCTAGACCACAAAAAATAGTCCAGAAACCATACCTCAGGTGTCGGAATTGGTGGCCGAAGGAGAGAGAACGAGGCCAGCGAAGAATCTGTCAAACCAAGCAATTTCCAGAGGCACCTTCGACGGTAACGGCGGGGGAACGTCTGGGCTTCGAAGGTTGTGGCGGGCCGGTCTTTTTTCCGACAGAGCAGTGGGCTAAGGTGACGGCGGAGAGAGAGGCAGTTTAGGCTAGAGAGAGGAAGTGAGGACGAAAGGTGGCTGTCGCGATTTTTCTGAAAATTTAACGGATGTTGCGTGACGATGAGTACAGTGCGTTGCGCAAGGTCAGTTTTAATCAACCATGCACGACGGAAACAAAATAATGACGTCGCGCAAGGTAGTTTTCCGCCCAAATTTTTATTACATTGCGTGACGAGTGTCAAAAACCGTCGCGCAAGGTGCGTATTCCGCCAAAATTTTGGTCACCTTGCGCAACGAGTGGACAAAACCGTCGCGCAAGTTTGTTATGCCACCAGAAATTTTTGGGTTTAGGGTTTATTGAAGGGTCTGATCATTTTGCTCGACAAAGGAACTATATTCGTCACACAAGCCTGAACCCTAAAAATTTCAACTATGTGTTTAGGGGGGGAGAGATTGAAAGGTCTGAATGAGATTGCGCAACGAATACTTAATAGTTTCGTCGCACAAGCCTCTGGGAAAAATTTCAAGTGAGTGTTCGGGGGGAGAGAGTGAAAGTTCTTAATGAAATTGCACGAAGAATATTTAATAGTTTCGTCGCGCAAGCCTTTGTTCTATGCACTTTGCACGACGAACAACACTTTCTTTCGTTGCACAACCCTAAACCCTAAATTAATAAACCTTGCGCAACGTAGATGATCTTGTGCGTCGCGCAAACCTCTGTCCAAGTATAAGTATAAAGTGAAATTTACATTTTTTTTATACGTTCTGATACATATTATAAATTTAAATTTAAATTTTTAAAAATTCTTATGGTGTTTATTATTTTTTAATAGAGTATATTTTAATAATGTACTCTATTAAAAAATAATAAACACCATAAGAATTTAAAAAAAAATATATTTATACAAGGAAAAATACTCTATTAAAATAAGAGTATTTCAATTGATTTCTATAAACTCCACATAGAGTTTGATTGAATTCCTAGATTGATTTTAACGGTGTTCATTAGAGTTTTGTCATAAAGTTTAAAAGAGTTGATTAGAGTTCTAAAATGTTTTTTTTTCTTTATTTTGTTTTTTTTGGGGGCTGTTTATCGTTTTTCTAGATTTTCAAAAGAAAAAGTTCCTTTACAAAAACATATTGTAAATAACATCCAAACCATATACATCCAAAGAAAATAAAAGAAGGGCAACTATTTTGTTCAAATGTGCAACCATATAAGGATTTATGTCTGCGTGTTTATGAAAAATATGCAAAACTAAAAACATAAAAGTAATTTTCAAGACCAAAAAAATGATAAGTAAACCATATGAAGATAATTTTTTCCTTTTTGTTTTGGCATAGACTAGATATATATATATTGTACAAAACAAGAAAAAGAATGATTATAGATCGATGAAGAAGCCTATCATCTATATGATATAATGTATAGAAACCAAAAAAATTAAAATTAAAATTAACAGCAACTAAAAAAATATGTGATTTGTAAATATTTTTGCGTGACGAACAAATAGTTTCGTAGCGTAGAGAAGTTTTGCGCGACGAAGTATATCTTTCGTCGCCCATGGTTGTATTTTCACTGGGAATTTACCGCAACTTGCGCGACGTAAGCGTTAACTTCGTTGCGCGAAGAAGTGTTGTGCGACGAAGTATATTTTTCGTCGCGCAAACCATTTGCTTTCTCGGGCGACGGAAATATTCGTCGCGCAATTTTTAAACTATATTTTAAAAATCACGCTTCTGGCAAACTTGCACGACGTGGATGTTCTCATTACGTCGCGCAAACCTCTGGCAATGTTTTTTTTAAAGTTAATTTTTTTATTTTCTTTATTTTAAATAATTGTTATAAAAATTACACATGTTACCTTGAAATTAAATTTTTTCAATTTTTTTTATTCATTCAATTTGAAGATTTTAAACACAAAAAAGAGAAAACCATAATTCTTATATTCATAAAGACCACTGAAAATCAAATAGACAGATTCAAATATGTTTTCAAATTTAGGTATATATCTAAATTTAAATTTATATATTATATGTTGTAATTTAATTTGTGATTGCAAATTTTGTGTGCAACTTGATTTTAATTTGTGATTGCCATATTTACACTACCATAATTAAATTACAACAAATTTCGTTTACTTTGTTTTACATGGGTAGTCACTAATGAATTGCATTATTCATCGTCTGAACTATAATAACTTTCGCTATCCACCCTATCATCACTTTCGGTCTCCCAATCCTCCTCCTCATCACTTTCGTTGTTCGGGCCCACGGTATTTCGATTGAAGACACTCCTTGAAGCTGAAACGGTTCTTGTATAACATTTGTATCTCGAAGTGTTTCTGCATCAGTTTCTATGGAAGATTCCAACTGTTGGTCAGTGACGTTGTCGACGTCGTTGTCAATTGGGTCTAGTTCTGGTATAGCATACACATTCCTCTGATCCATCTGCTGAGCAACTTTTCGGCTTTAGGGTCATCTAGATACACAATCTGTCTTGCCATGTTTGCCAAAATGTAAGGGTCGTCATCATACCAAGTTCTGTTAATGTTCACTGATAGTAAGCCATGGTCTATTTTAACACTTCCCTGCCTATTTGGGTTTGTATCAAACCATCGACACTTAAACATGATCACTTGGTATCGGTCTTTGTAAAGCAATTGCACGAAAGTTGTGAGTTTGCCATAGAAATCAATGTCCGTACTTTCGCCACCACCTGGGACATGGACACCGCTGTTTTGCATACACAACTTGTCATCTCGTGCAGTCCCCAAAAACTTGATGCCGTTAACATGGCAACCTGAGAATAATTCAGTGCGAATCGGGCCGAACGCCAAGTTATATAACTCTAAAATGTAAGAGGGTGAATTCGATGATTTCAACTTATTCACCTAATATTATACAAATGAATTCACATGTTACTTTGATAACATTAAATGATACAAAATATATATATATATATCAAATACAAAACACTTATAACTTACATATTCCAAAAACCATTGTGGAAACAAATCACGGTGTTTCTTGGCATACAAATGTGATGGATGTTCTCGCTTCATCATCTCTTCATGCTCATCTAAGTATGCCATTATCTCATCACAATTGTTAAGTACAAACCAATGTGCTATCTCCATGTCATTTTTGGAAAACGACTCTCCGCGTACCGGATCTCCAAAGGGTCGTACGCTTTGGGCAAAAACAGAAAGTTTCTCATTTCTCAAACCTCCGTCCTTATTGCGCTGAGGATGATTGAATGGCGTGTCCACATCTTTTAAATACATTCCACAGAAAGTAAGCGACTCATATTGAACCCAAGCCTCTATAATTGATCCTTCGGGCTTCGCCCTGTTGCGTACAGTTTTTTTCAATTATCCGAGAAGCCTGGCAAAATAAAAAGAAATGATACAAATTAGCGAGCGTGGGATAAGGATGCATAAAAAAATGATGAGGATTATATACCTTTCTATTGGATACATCCAATGATAGTTGACAGGACCAGCGAGCAATGCCTCTTCTGGCAAGTGAACCATCACGTATCATACTTGTGAAGAAAGCTGGAGGGAATATCATCTCGAACTTGTATAGTACTTGGAAAATGTCATAGCGCAACTGATTAATGTCTATCTTTCGCAATGTTTTTGCCGTCAGTTGGGAAAAAAATCTGGACAACAACATGATTGGTTTCACTACATCTTCTGGCAAAAGGTGTTGAATACCCACAGGAAGTAGGCGTGGCATAAACACATGACAGTCATGGCTCTTTAGTCCAGTAAATTTACCCCCGTCAACATTCACGCAACGCGCGATATTAGTAGCATACCCATCGGGAAACTTTACCTACGATACAAACTTTAGAAAATCTTTTTTGTCATTCAGTTTCATGGAAAAAAATGTCAGATCCCTTCTAGCTTTATCATCGTCCCTCTTCGTCCATAAACCTCTTCGTATGCCTATTCTTTCCAAATCAAGACGAGCTTTGATCATGTCCTTTGTCTTACCCTCGATATATAGAATCTTGCCCATCAATGTGTTAAAGACATTTTTCTCAACATGCATAACGTCAAGATTGTGCCTCAATTTTAGTTTCGACCAATATGGGAGCTCAAAAAACATAGGCTTGTGCGTCCAATTCAAATGTGTAGAAGGTCTGGTCCGAGTAACTGTTTTCCCGAACAGAGAAAAATCCAAACGGTTAAGTTGTTCCAAGATCTCATCACCGGACCATTCTCTAGGTCTGAGGCGATGCTTTGTGTTCCCGTCAAACTCATTATCCTTTTCCCGCCACTCGTGGTTCCATGGTAACTATCTCCGATGACCAACATAACAAACTTTTCCCGCGTGCCAACCAGAAGTTACATCTTCCTTGCATACAGGGCATGCCATATAACCTTTTGTGCTCTACCCAGAAACCATTGCATATGCGGGAAAATCATTCACAGCCCACATCACTACTGCCCACAAAGTGAACATCTTCCCAGTGGCTTTATCATACGTGTGCACACCGTTTGTCCATAAATCCTTAAGCTCATCAACCAACGGCCTTAAGTAAACATCGATTGACCTGCCAAGATCCTCAGTTATCAAAACAGTCATCATCATGTATTCTTTTTTTCATGCATTTCCAAGGCGGCAAATTATATGGGAATACGAAAATCGGCCAAGTGTTGTGGTGTTGGTTTAGAACCCCGTACGGATTGAATTCGTCAGTGGCAAGTCTCAATCTAACATTTCGGGGATCAGCAGCAAACTCGGGGAATGTTCGATTGAACTCTTTCTATGCCTCCCCATCACATCGTCGTATACCCATTTTTTCTTATGTCATCTCATGTCTGTGGCAGTATGAGTCGACATATACAATCGTTGTAGCCTAGGTTTGAGGGGCAGATAACGCATGACTTTTTGTGGGATCTTAGTCGTTCTACTCTGAGATGTCATCTTGAACCTCGACTCTTTGCATATAGGGCATGTATCCAATGTTTCATACTCTTTGTAGAATAACATGCAATTGTTTTTGCAAGCATGAATTTTTTTATAACCTAATCCAAGACCATTCAACACCTTTTGCGCTTGTCTATTGTCTTTCGGCAAACAATGGTCCGTCGGAAGCATTCTCTTGAAAAACCCCAAAAAGTAATCGAAACACAGGTTTGACATACGATACTTTATTTTCCATGCATTAGCCTCACAATGGCCGTGAGAACGGAAAAGCTCTCGCACCCTAGGTATAACTCTTGGTTGGCACTTTTTAACAGTTATTCATATTGTTGAAACTCTGCACTGTCCATTGGGTTAGGCACGTCACCTTCTGCTCATAATTCCTAAAACCACAATCACAACACAACAATCACAACAACTTCATACGAAGTTATAATGTCACCTTATGCCTCCAGTAAGGGCCTTATCAAATTCAAGAACGCATAGTCCTGTCACGTATCCTACGACTACATGAGATTAGATTTCAACGTGGATAAATTTCGGCAGCATCTCGATACAGTTCTTGAGGTGGGCATAGATATGAATACCTACGCACCACCCAAAGAACGTACCGAGATGATATCGAAATCTCCATAATCGAAATCTAATCCTGTGGTCGTAGATTATGTGACAACACTATGCACTACCAAACTGTCCAAATAATGGGACAATTCAAGAATTAATTGGACCGCAGTCATGTTTTACGCATCCATGCACGAAATCCAACTAATCTCGAATGAGAAACTAAGTGTTACTAAAAAATAATAATAAAAGTACGAAGTTGATTTCAATTAACTTCGTACATCACAACACATTGTGCTACGTCACGCACAATTTAACAACATCATATAAATATAATTTCACAACAAAAAATATAAATATAACACTAAGTTCGACATAATGTAATTAATTTAATATAAAATGAATAAAATACCTTCTCAATCGTTCTCCACAATTGCAAATTACAAATATCTATAATGAGAACAAAATTAATACCGTTAGTACGAATTTACATTAATACTTTTAAACAAATGACAAATAATACTTACCCAATTAGCGTATTAAATTCCTAGCAGAGGCAGCAGCACAGACAAAGGAAGGTTCGAATTGGCAGAATCCAGAGATGTAGACGACAGTTTTTCCTCGACGAAACAATATTTTCGTCGCGCAAGCACCTGTCAACATCGGAGTTTTGCGCGATGAAATTTCTTTATCGTCACTCAAGCCTTCGTCGTGCAAATGATTAACGAGTCGCGCAAGCGCAAATTCCCGTCGCACAAGAAAGTGCCGACATCAAACCTTACGCGATGAATATTTGGCGCCAAAAAAATACATCCGGGTTTTCCTTCCCCACTTTGCGTGACCAATCTTTTATTTGTCGTGCTAAGATACTTTGCGCGACCAAAGTTGTCGTCACGCAAATGTTTGGCGCCAAACAAAAAACCCCGTGTTTTTTTTCACCATTTTGCCCAACGACTTACTTGTTTGTCACACTATGAATCTTTGCGCGACCAAACTTTTCGTCGCGCATGTTTTCATCTTTTTGCGCGACAAATAATTTTTTTCATCGCTGGATTGTCTTTTGCGCAAAGTATCGTCACGCAAATAGTTAAATGTAGTAGTGTCCCCTTCTAATCCTTGTGTTACTTCTCTTTCTATTACTCAAGTGTATTCTCGCAAGAAACATGTCATAAGTTCTTACACTAATAATCCTTATTCTCCTTTGGCACCTGCTTCAACTTCTGTGGATGTGGATCTAAAAGCACCTCGTTATCCTTCACGCACTCATAAGCCTTCTCATCGGTTTGGTTATTCTTCTAATGATTTTAGTTATTCTTATTATTCTCATGATTTCACTTCTTTCTTATCCTCTATACATACTCTCTCTGAACCCACCTCCTGCAAGGAGGCTATATGTAATCCTCTTTGGCAACAAGCTATGAATGAAGAACTTTCTGCTCTGCATAAAACTGGCACATGGGATTTGGTTCCTCTTCCTCTCGGTAAAAATGCAATTGGATGTCGATGGGTCTATAAAATTAAGACTAAGTCTGATGGTTCTCTTGAGTGATATAAGGCTCATTTGGTTGCTAAGGGATTTACACATGAATATGGCATTGATTATGAAGAGACCTTTGCTCCAGTGGCCAAGATGACTTATGTTCGTACCTTACTTGTTGTTGCATCAGTTCATCAATGGAGTTTATCATAGATGGATGTTAACAATGCTTTTTTGAATAGGGATCTTTTCGAGGATGTGTATATGGTTCCCCCTCCAGGTGTTCTTCATAATCCCGGGGAGGTGTGTCATTTACAGAAAGCTTTGTATGGTCTTAAACAAGCTCCTCGTGCTTGGTTTGAGAAATTCTCTGCTGTTATTGGTTCTCTTGGTTTTCAATCAAGTTCTCATGATCCTGCCTTGTTTGTTCGTTCTACCTCTGTTGGTTGTATCCTTCTCCTCCTTTATGTTGATGACATGATTCTTACGGGTGATGATTTGGATGGTATCACCCAATTAAAATTGGCTTTACATGATCAATTTGAAATGAAGGATTTAGGTCCCTTGCGTTATTTTCTTGGCATTGAAGTTGCATCTTCCCCTAAAGGTTATCTCCTTTCTCAATCTAAGTATGCTGCTAACGTTCTTCAGAAAACTCATATTACAGATACTAGAGTTGCTAATACGCCTCCTGAGCTCAATGTGCGTTATACTCCTTCTAATGGTGCCCCTTTGGATGATCCTACTCTTTATCGTACTACTGTTAGGAGCTTGGTTTATCTCACTATTACTCGCCTTAATATTGCATATGTTGTTCATATTGCTAGTCAGTTTGTCTCTTCTCCGACTACTCTTCACTGGGCTGCTGTGATTCGCATTTTACGCTATCTTCGAGGGATGTTGTTTCAAAGCTTATTACTTCCTTCCACCTCAACTTTGGAGCTTTGAGCCTTTTCTAATGCTAGTTGGGCTGGCGATCCTTTTGATTGGAAATCTACTACTAGTTATTACATTTTTCTTGGTGATTCCCTTATCTCCTAGAAGAGTAAGAAACAATCAGTTGTTTCTCATTCTTCTGCTGAGGCTAAGTATCGTGCTATGGCCTCTACTACTGCTAAAATTGTTTGGCTTCGACGGTTGCTTCAAGATATGGGTGTTTCTCTCTCGATGCCTACTCCTATGTATTGTGTATAAAAGTGTCATTCAAATTGCTCAAAACTTTGTCTTTCATGAGCGCACAAAGCACATCAAGTTGGATTGTCACTTTGTTCGCCATCATTTCCAGCAAGGCACTATCTCTCACTACTACATTTTAGGCTTTGTGCGACGAAGGCAAGTTCATCGCTCAAAGTTAACTTTAATAGCACGTAATTCTGCGTGATAGAAGTTTCGTCGCGCAAAGATTGTGAAGAAAGACTTTGCGCGACAAATTTATTTCCTTCGTCTTGCAAAAAATTGCGACGTAGCACCTTCGTTACAGAAAACGTTTCGGGACGACACAAATGTTCGACGCACAAACGTTTGTGCGACGAAAGGGTATTCTCGCACCAAGACTACGCGACAGACAGTTTCATCGCGTGAGATTCGTGTCCCAGACATTTGCGCGACGAAAAGTCCTTTGTCGCGCAATTACTATTTGCGCGACGAAAGTCGTCGTCGCGCATACACATTTCGCGCGACGAAAGACTTTGTCGCGCATGATTAAATTAAGTGTATTTAATTTTGTAACAAAATAAATTTGGTTTTTTTTATTTATTAAAATGAAATTGCAATAAAAAGATTAATCGTAAAGAAAACATTTATTATATAAAATAAAACAAATGTATACGAGAAATATTTTAAAAATAATTATGAAAATAAAAAAATAATCAAATAATGTTCTAAAATCTACATGGTCGTCTGCCACATGCGGCTCGGAGGTCTGGGCGTCTACAGGGGCCATGGTGTGGTGGGGATGCTAGAGGTAGACGGGCTCGGTGGTCGGCGCACCAAAATTCGGGATTGGAATGCCGGACCGCGCGAGGGACTGCAGAATCACCGACATTCGACCCTCAAGCTCGGCAACCCGCGATGTCAAAACAGTCACCTGACTGTTTGCCTGCGACGATGACTGCGGTCGAGGTTCCCTCTGTCGGGCTTTCCCCAACCCCCTACAATATGTTCCCGGCCTCTTCCCGAGAGTCTGATCCAACGTCTCCGTCAAAATCTGAAATCCAGCATCCTGTGGAGGATCCACAGACTCAATCGGAGTCTCGGGAGGAAGTTGGGAGGCAAACTCCTGAAGAACCAACTGGCTCCTCTCCACCATCGTTGTTTGTTTAACATTACATAAAATATAAATTAAAACATGCATATAAATTGAATGCGTAACATAAGAATTAAAATTAAATAATACTTACATGAAGGGACTCGACCAATTCATTCCCAGGTCGAACATAAACGTCACCAAAGACGTCGATCTCTGGGAATTTCGACCCCCCCTAAATTGAACAAGAGAAGAAAAATATTAGTATGAACAAAATAAATTAATGATAATGATGTATTAAAAATTAAATATAAATTATTTTATTCTTACCCGCCGCCGTGCATCCATCCTATATGAGAAGGGCCTGGAGCCGGAATGGTGGAGAAGAGTCTTCTTCTTCCTATTGCCCTTATTCACTTGGGCTTTATTCTGTTATACAAAAAATAAAACATATTAGTTGAAATATAAAAAATTAAATAATAATGAAATATAAAAAATAAAATAAACGTTAATAAGAAATATGTAATAATTAAACAAATATTATTAAAAAAATACCACATAATCGGGCTCCTGAAAATGAGTGCAGAGCCACGCCCAACTATCCTCTCGCCCCTCAAGCTCCTTCAGGCAACCCTCCTGAAGAGCGACTTGCGAATCATCAAACGCTTGAAAATGGTGGTACAAGTCGCTCTTCCACTGCTTGTACCTCTCAGCGAAGAGTCTGTTGACGTACGCCAACGACTCCTCGTCGAGGTCCTCTAAGTTGTAGTTCGTCTGCAATAAATTAATTACATACATTAAGTAATAAAAATATATAAAGTTTGAAAGAAAAATAATTAAAAGGTAGGATACATACCAACAATTGATCGCAAACCTCCATCTTGATCTCGTCAGGCATGACCTTCAAAGACTTCCATTGCATCGGGCAATGGGTCCGAACGACGTGGCCAATGTCGTGGGCCAAGGTGCTATGCAACTTCGCCGTCAGTGCAGCCCGGTGGCGCTCGTCGTATCTGATGCTGATACGACTGTTGGTCACCCGGGTGACCTTCGCCGTCTTCAGCTGTCGACACGTCCCTCGGGTGTTCTTCTTGGCTACAAAGAGATATGACAATAATGTTAAATAAATAACAAATTTAACTATAAAATTCCCAATTAAAAAAATTAAAAAAGAACTACAGTTGAAGGATATATATACCTGGCTATGACCCCGAGGCACCAGTACTGTTGGTCGATGTGGTGTCGGTGGTGCTGGCGGGCCGGTGCCGCCGCCTAGCACTAACAGGCTGCACCACCGATGAAGCTGATGATGCAAGTGCCTGGGATCCCCCGGGACCAACAAGCACATGGTCCTGGTCCATCAATACTGGAGCAATGTCTGCTGATGCCGGTGTAATCGTCACATCCCTACGACGTCTAATCAAGTCTGACATCTTCACAATTTCGTTAATATACATACAAATTAACCAAATTTAAGAATATATACTTAAGCACATACAATGTCATTAAGAATTTGAACTAATTAATTAAAAGAATAGTTTGCCCTAGGGTTTGTAATTTCGGAGTATCCGGGGCTCCGATCCACGATCTATCGAATCCTACACGATCCTATAAATACAAGGTACAACATACATGAGTTTGAGTTCTATCCAACGGTCCGAACATATCAAACCCGGAAATCGTACGATAGGCAAAATCCGTTTGAGACTCAAACGGTAACCAAATTCCAATCCGAACACATCTACGCGCTCGTGACAACTAGGGGATTGCACTGGGACCCCATGCCCAATGCTACAGTATCCCACGTGCCACCACACGTGCCAGCAACGCGTGGGTGTCCAAAGCGATAACAATTAAGGGCCAACGTTCCGACCCTAGGTTCAAAACATCAATTGGAGGCACTTTTGTTCTCGGACCTACCCCGAAAAACGGCCGGAAGTGGCCGGAATTTCAATTCAAAAACCGGCCAAAACCTAGGGTTTCAAATCCACTGCCCTATTCAAACAATCAATCAAATCCTACCCAACCATCAGCTAAAGTATCAAAAATAGTCCACAAACTATACCTCAATTGTCGGATTTGGTGCCCGGAGGAGAGAGAACAACGCCGGCGAAGATTCGATGAAAGCCAAGCAAATAACGGCGGTAGGATAGACGGTGACGACGGGGAAGCTCCGAGGTTCGAGGGTTGTGGCGGCCGAGTCTCAATTCGGGCGGAGTAGTGGCTGAGGTGACGGCGGAGAGAGAGAGAGAGAGAGAGAGTTAGGGCAGATTTGAAAAACTAGGGAAAAAGGAGAAGCTCGCGACGTTTCTGAAAACTTATTCGACTTTGCGCGACGAAGGAGTAAATGCGTTGCGCAAAATCATTTAAATGAATTTTGCGCGACGAAATTAAACCCATTTCCGTCGCGCAATGTTGCCACTCTGCCAAAATTTGGAATTAGGGTTTAGGATTTGCGCATTTTGCGCGACGGAAAAGTATTGTTTCGTCGCGCAAGGTTGTCCATCCGCCCAAATTTTGGGGTTCGAGTTTGAGCGGGGAGATAAATTAAATGATCTTGCTCGACGAAAGGTACATCCATTCGTCGCGCAAGCTCTGATTTGCCAAAAAAAATTACTAGGTGTTAGTGGGGGGACTGAAATTCTGAGTGAGATTGCGCGACGAAAGGCAAGTATGTTCGTCGCGCAAGTCTATAATTTGTCAAAAAAATTTACTAAGTGTTGGGGTGGGGAGGGATTGAAATTCTGACTGAGATTAAGCGACGAAAAGCAAGTCCGTTCGTCCCGCAAACCTTTGGTCTGTATACTTTGCGCGAGTGAATTCGTCGTGCAAGGCTTTGTTCTGTGCACTTTGCCCGACGAATGAAACGTCCTTTTGTCACGCAAACCCTTCCCCTTATACCCTAAACCCTAACTCCTAAACTAGTTTCAATGATCCAAGCAGCAAACTTGTTTTTTTATACTTCAAGATCGTATACGTCAAAAATCGGAAAAAATGAACATTCAGAGATTAAGTAACGGGACAAAACTTTTCGACGGTTATAAAGAAAAAGTCAAGATTTAACGGTTATTTTAACTCTGATTTTGAAAATTTTTTACAGCTGCATTTCTTGACCGAATATGAATACAATGACTGAATTCGATCTTCAATTTTAGATATTTACAGTAGGGGACATCACATAATCTTATGTTATATTTAAGGAAAGTATAAATAAACTCTTCATTGATGGCATACGCATTCTACGAAACTAGTTTCAGTAATCCAGCCGTCAAACTTGTTTGTTTATACTTCGAGATCCCCACAAACCCAAACAAAAAAAAAAAAAAAAAAAAAAAAAAAAAATCAGAGATCAAGTAACGGGACAAAACTTTTCGACGGTTATAAATGAAAAGTCATGATTTAACGGTTATTTTGACTCCAATTTTGATGATTTTTTACAGATACACTCTTTAACCCTATATGAATACAATGAACTAATTCGATCGTCAATTTCAAATATATACGTGTGTATATATAAAAAATATATATATATATGTTTGCGCGACGAGAGAGCTTTTTTCGTCGCGCAAAATATCATGGCGCGGCGGATTTTTTTGTCGCGCAAAATTTTAAGTTTACGGGACAAGTAACTTTTGCGTCGTGCAAAATATGCGCGACGATGCCTTCTTCGTCGCGCAAGGATTTGGCACCATGTCAGATTGTTTATGATTTTCATTTTTTAAAAGTGTTTTGTCGAAATAAAAAATGATTTGGATATATTGATTTACCAATGGTTTATAACTAAATTTATTTTAATAATGTTTCATTTCTCCACATATATAATGTTTGGATATAACAACTACATATATTCAAATATTTGCATTACACAAAATATGTCCACTAACATAATAAAATTACAAAAAAACTCATTATTCATCATCTGAACTATAATAACTTTTGTTATCGTCGCTATCATCACTTTTGGTATCCCAATCCTCCTCCTCTATAACTACATCATCGTCGTTGCTCGGGCCCACTGCAACATCGTATCGCAGAAGATCACCGAGGTCAATTGTAATTGACTGAATCGGTATTTTATTGAAGACACTCCTTGTATTTGAAACGGTTCTTGTATAACATTTGTATCTCGAAGTGTTTCCGCATCATTTTCCATTGAAGATTCTAAACGTTGGTCAACCACATTGTCGACGTCGTTGTCAGTTGGGTCTAGTTCTGGTATAACATACACGTTCTTATGATCCATCTTCTAAACAACGTTCCAACCACTCCCGGCTTTAGGGTCATCTAGATACACAATTTGTGTTGCCATGTTTGCCAAAATATAAGGGTCGTCATCATACCAAGTTCTGTTCATGTTCACAGATAGTAAGCCATGATCGATTTTAACACTTCCCGTCCTATTTGGGTTGGTGTCAAACCATCGACACTTAAACATGATCACTTGGTATCGATCTTTGTAAAACAATTGCACGACAGTTATGAGTTTGCCATAGAAATCAATGTCCGTACTTTTGCCTCCACCCGGGACATGGACACCGCTGTTTTGCATACACAACTTGTCATCTCGTGCAACCCCCAAAAATTTGACGCCGTTAACATTACAACCCGAGAACAATTCAGCGCGAATCGAGCCGAACGCCAAGTTATATAACTTATCACTGTAAGTTGGGGAATTCGATGTTTTCAACTTATTCACCTAATATTATACAAAACCATTCACATGTTAGTATGACAAAATTAAATACTACAATTTGTATTTCTTAAATAAAAAACACTTATAACTTACATAATCCAAAAACCATTGTGGAAACAATTCACGGAGTTTCTGGGCAACCAAATGTGATGGATGTTCTCGCTTCATCATCTCTTCATGCTTATATAAGTATGCCATGATCTCATCACAATTGTTCAGTACGAACCAATGCACTACCTCCATGTCATTTCTAGAAAACGACTATCCTCGTCCAGAATCTCCAAAGGGTCGTGCGCTTTGGGCAAAAACAGAAAGTTTTTCATTTCTCATACCTCTGTCATTATTGCACTGATGAAAGCTGGAGGAAATATCACGTGCATTATACTTGTGAAGAAAGCTGGAGGAAATATCATCTCAAACTTGCATAGGACTTGGACAATGTCATGGCGCAACTTAAACATGTCCGTCTTTCGCAATGTTTTTGCCGTCAGTTGGGAAAAAAATCTGGACAACAACATGATTGGCTTCACTACATCTTCCAGCAATAGGTGTCGAATACCCACAGGAAGTAGGCGTTACATAAACACATGGCAGTCATGGCTCTTAAGTCCAGCAAATTTACCCCCGTCAACATTCACGCAATGTGCGATATTATAAGCATATACATCGGGAAACTTTACAGACGATACAAACTTTAGAAACTCTTTCTTGTCATTCGGTTTCATAGAAAAGAATGCAAGATCCCTTCTAGCTTTATCACTGTCCCTATTCATCCATAAACCCCTTCGTATGCCCATTCTTTCCAAATCAAGACGAGCTTTAATCGTGTCCTTTGTCTTGGCCTTGATATCTAGAATCGTAACCACCAATGTGTCGAATACATTTTTCTCAACATGCATCACATCTAGACTGTGCCTCAATTTGAGTTTCGACCAATATGGGAGCTCAAAAAACATAGGCTTGTGCGTCCAGTTCATATGTGTAGAAGGTCTGATCCGACTAACTGTTTTCCCGAATGGAGCAAAATCCAAATGGTTAAGCTGGTCCAATATCTCATCATCGGACCATTCTCTAGGTCTGAGGCGACGCTCTGTGTTCCCGTCAAACTCTTTATCTTTTTCCCTCCACTCGTGGTCCCATGGCAACCATCTCCGATGACCAAGGTAACAAACTTTTCCAGCGTGCCAACCAGAAGTTACATCTTCCTTGCATACAGGACATGCCATATAACCCTTTGTGCTCCACCCAGAAACCATTGTGTATGCTGAGAAATCATTCGCAGTCCACATAACTGCTGCCCGCAAAGTGAACATCTTCCCAGTTGATTTATCGTACGTTCGAACACCGTTTGTCCATAAATCCTTCAGCTCATCAACCAACGGCCTTAAGTAAACATCGATTGACCTGCCAGGATCTTCAGTTATCAAAACAGTCATCATCATGTATTCTTTTTTCATGCATTTCCAAGGCAGCAAATTATATGGGAATACGAAAATCAGCCAAGTGCTGTGGTGTTGGTTTAGAACCCCATACGGATTGAATCCGTCAGTGGCAAGTCCCAATCTAACATTTCGGGGATTAGCAGCAAACTCGGGGAACATTCGATCGAAGTCTTTCCATGCCTCCCCATCTGCAGGATGCCGCATCACATCATCGTCTACCCGTTTTTCCTTATGCCATCTCATGTATGTGACATTATGCGTCGACATATACAATCACTGCAACCTAGGTTTCAGGGGCAGATAACGCATGACTTGTTTAGGGATCTTAGTCGTTCTATTCTGAGATGTCATTTTGAACCTCGACTCATTGCATATAGGGCATGTATCCAATGTTTCATGCTCTTTGTAGAATAAAATGCAATTGTTTTTGCAAGCGTGAATTTTTTCATAACCCAATCCCAGACCATTCAACACCTTCTGCACGTGTTTATGGTATTTTGGCAAACAATTGTCCGTCAGAAGCATTCTCTTGAAAACCCCCAAAAAGTAATCAAAACACAGGTTCGACATATGATACTTTATTTTTCCGTGCATTAGCTCCACAATGGCCGTGAGAACGGAAAAGCTCTTGCAACCTAGGTATAACTCTTGGTTGGCATTTTTTAACAATTTTTCATATTGTTCAAACTCCGCACTGTTTATTGGTGTAGGCACGTCATCTTCCCCTTCTTGATTGATGTTGGTCGATGCAAATGGAAAAGCATCCTACATAATATCCATGACTTGATCATTGTAATCCACAATAGGTTCAACATTGTCCACTCTTGTGGCATTTGAAGACGAAGCATGGTCTAATTGTTCCCCGTGAAGGTTCCAAATGCTATATGTCTCAATCATTCCATTCCGTACCAAATGAAATCCAACATTTTCAATTATCTCCCACAACGTGTTGTTACACCTCCTACAAGGACAACGGATTCTAGTTGCACCCGGGTTGTGTCTACGTGCAAACTCAAAAAAATCCTCGATTCCATCCAAGTATTTGTCTGCGCATCTGTTTGGGTTCTGTATCCACATTCTCCTCATAATTCTTGAAGCCATAATCACAACACAACAATCACTACAACTTCATACGAAGTTATAATGTCACTTTATGCCTCCGGTAAGGGCCCTATCCCATTCGGGAATGCATAGTCCTGCCATGTAACCTACGGCTACATGAGATTAGATTTCAACGTGGATGAATTTCGCCAGCATCTCGATACAGTTCTTGAGGTACCCATAAGTATAAATACCTACGTACCACCCGAAGAACGTACCGAGATGACACCGAAATCTCCACAATCGAAACCTAATCCTGTAGCCGTAGATTACGTAACAACACTATGCATTACCAAACTGTCCAAATAATGGGACAATTCAAGAATTAATTGGACCGCATCCATGCACGAAATCCAACTAATCTCGAACGGGAGACTAAGTGTTACTAAAAAATTAATAATAAAAGTACGAAGTTAATTTCAATTAACTTCGTACATCACAACACATTGTGCTACGACACGCACAATTTAACAACATAATATAAATATAATTTCACAACAAAAAATATAAATATAACAAACTAAGTTCAACATAATGTAAATAATTTAATATAAAATGAATAACATATCTTCTCAATCATTCTCCACAATCGAAAATTACAAATATCTATAATGAGAACAAAATTAATACCGTTAGTACGAATTTACATTAATACTTTTAAACAAACGACAAATAATACTTACCCAATGAGCGTATTGAATTCCCAGCAGAGGCAGCAGCGCCGCACAACACAGACATATTTTTAAAATTTTTGTAAAATTTTGCATTCTGACTCTGCAATGGTGGAATGCAGATATGTAGAAGAAGGAGTTTGCGCAACGAAACATCATTTTCGTCGCGCAAAACAATTTTTTCGTCGCATAAAATAACATTTTTTAGTCGCACAAAGATCGGAATTTTGCGCAACGAAAATATCTCCTTCGTTGCTCAAATCTCCGTCGCGCAAACCCTAAACGGCGTCGGGCATACACAAATTTCCGTTGCCCGAGATCGTGCCGACATCACACTTTGCGCGACGAACTCTATCTCCGTCACGAAAGCATTTGCCGCCAAAAAATCCGTGTCGCAGTTTTTCCTGTCCACTTTTACGCGACGAAATTTGTTACCGTAACGCTAGGATACCTTGCGCGACGAACTATATCGTCGCACAAATGTTTGGCGCCAAAAAAAATTAACCCGGGTTTTTCTTCCCCACTTTACGCGACGATTCGTTTGTTTGTCATGCTAAGTATCTTTGTGCGACCAAATATTTCGTCGTGCAAGATTTTGTGGTTTTGCACAACGAATTTGTCTTTCCGTCGCATGAGTGAATTTTGCGCAATGAATTTGTCTTCGTCGCACAAATAGTAAAATGTAGTAGTGTCTCTTCCTTTTGTCTCCTCCACCATGCAATTGGCCGACTTCTTGACCAAGTCTAACACTCTTGCTCACTTCCACTTTCTTCTTAGCAAACTCTCGATGCTTAATACTGTAATCATGAGTTTGACAGGGGGTGTGACGATTGTATAGCCAATATTAATATATATTTGAGTCGGTGTCTTTTAAGGGTAGTTAGGTCTTTTAATTATCTAGGGCATCTTTATATGCCTATATATTGTAAGCGTACAGCAGCTTTATTATCCAATTGATTTGTGAATATATTGGCATTCTCTGCTTCTGCTTGAATTGTTCACATCATCAACCTCTCTAATCCTTGCCTTATTAGGCCTACTTACGCTTATGATACAATGAAGGTTTATAATGGACCTATGACCTATTTTAACCCGTAACTCTTGGGTTGACATTGGTGAAATGTAATTGATATATGCTCTATCATATGAGGAAGTGGGCAGCAACAGATTGGCTCTTTAATTATGTTTCCTTCTAGCATCAATCCCATTTTAGCTCACTCTAAAATTAAATGCCATGTTTATAAATATTTGGCCATGTAAAAGTAAAGGGAGATGGGAGATGTTAATTGCACTCCAACACACCATCGCTTTTTCATTGCATTATCATCTTACAGGAAACTCCTAACACCAATCCTCCAAAAAAGAATAAGAAATTAAGTCCTCAATTGACAAGTATAAAATGAGCATTACCAGCAATGAGAGATATTGCAAATGCCTTTTCGAACAACTTGTTGAAATCTTTCTTGCTAAGTATTTAGGGGTCAATAAAAGCATCTTCACCTTCGAAAATTTCGCTGAATATGAACTTCAGCTACTTGTAAAACCAGTACTCAGAGCAAAGTTTTTAGAAGATTTTTTCTTTTTCATGGTGAAAATTGTCTGATCTAGATGAACGGTTAGCGTTTCAGTTGCATTGTCGATCATTGAATCGTCTAGCATTTGAACATTTCTGCTTTCCTGAAAAAGACAATAATTATGTGGCACAAGGTAGATAGATGTTAGAAGAGGAAATGGTAGACAATAAAAAGAAAAAGAATTGCTTTAACTTTGACAGCATTTTGGATTTGTCATAAGTTTTCCTGTCTTTTTATTTGAATTCATCTGAAACAAAAAATTCAGATGATTTCAGATTAAAGTACCCGCAGAGAAAATGAGTATTTCTTCATCCGCCCTCTTTTGATCATGGCCTCTTGCTTTCTTAGCCGAATGGCTTCCATGTCTTCCTTTGAAATTATACTGCAATCCCACCCTCTCTGGCTGCTGCATTCAAGCTGTCCATAACAAAGATCTTCAGTAAATCAAATGAGGACTCAGGAGTTATGTGGCTTTTATGAAATCAAATTATATTAGGATCCATTCAGAAGTACAATTAAGAATGGAGAACTCTCCCATTGAAAAGAAAAAAAGAAAACAGAATGAAGAACTATATCAGGCAATGAATGCAGGTTTTACCACCAAAACTGTTCTTCACAGAAATGGTTCCAACTTTAATAAACAATGACATTAAACTAACATTTTCTCTCCAATTATATATACCAATGTAAATTAGCAATTCTATGTCCATATGAATCATCTCACTTACTGTTGCTTCTTTTTCTTCTAACTCCCTTTGTGGGCTGCTGAGCTGTTTCTTTTCGCTGTCATTTCATCCCTCATTTGCGGCTGGAATGCTCCTTTTCCAAATCTCTGCCTGACCTCTTCTGTTGGATGGTGAACGCTTCAAAGTGGTAGCTGGTGTCTCACAGCTCTGCCACGAACTATGGCTTGAAGTCTCACCAGTCCCTTCAAGGCTCGCAATTCTTTCCTTGCCTGTTTCACTTAAAAGTTTTAGACCATGCTACAGAGGAGTGGTGATTATGTCAAATTCAGCTTTCACATTTCAAGGACATAAATCAATTTGACTGAGTTATATTTTCAAAGTTCAAACCAAGGGCCCCATTTTTATGATCTAAGACTCATAGAGCTTCCGGCTATCTTGTCAGAACTTAGAAAGGTGAACCCAAAAAAAAAAAAACAAAGAATCAGTTATACAACCTAAATGCGAAGTGCTTATGAATTCAGCCAATAAAACTGGATGCAAAGTCAGAAAAATATCCAATGGGTTTTCACAATGAAAATTTAGAGAACAACCATCTTTAAGCTATATATAAGGTCAGCTTGATTTAAGTAATGGTGTATATACAGCTGCATTAGAAATGAAGACCATTCAAAATACTTTAATTCAGTGCCAATGACTTGAGAAATTTACATTCAAATCAGGAAAGAACTCAGAAAAGCTCTGTTACCATCCTATGTTTAGGAGATGCAGATGATCAAATTGAAGGTTAAAAAATATATCTATTTGGTCTTGCTTTAAATTACACTAAATATATATGCACACGTATTTATATGTATTTTTCTCACTTACAAATGGTTAATATATATTCAACTCTTTGAGCTGCCTGACTATGAACAGAGTATTTATGTAAGAGAAAGTTTCCAAGAAGCTCACAAGATGCGCCCGATAAGCGCTTTGAATTTTAATGGCAGCCAAGTTCTTGTCAAACTTTGTGAAATAGTGGTAAGGTTGTGAAGTAAGGCGCACAACCTCTGCTGCAGCTGCTGTCGCCATTGCAACATTGAAAGCATGTTTTTTCTGCTCTTCCGTAGCTTCACGTAGCGTCCTCTCTGGTGCTGTCAGTGCAGCCTGTGCAGGGTATTGATGAAGTACTTCAAGTCTTCGAAAAATCCATCTCCAGTCGTTTGATTTCTGGAGATTAACAGGACTAATTAACATTACCCAAAAGAGGGCCATAGATAAGCAGTTAAGCATGTTAAGGCAATGAAGGAAGAGTTTAAATTCACCAACCTTTTGTGTCCTTGTCTTTGCTTCAGAAGTAAAGAACCTCTTGACCCAACCAAACCAGCCCTTTTTCTTCGCCATTGATCTACTTTTAAGACCATGTTAATCCAATATGTCAAACATCATCCTATATTCTTCAGGCATTTCCTGCAATTTAGGAAAAGATATATATATTTATATGCCAAAAGTACATAACAACATGAACAAATACTATCTCATGAATCATGATATATACTTGAAAGCTTATAGACTCATAGTTTTCTTCAGTTAGTGATACCAAAAACACTCAAAACCTCTTAGAAGTATAAAACTATTACCATTACTTATGATACTCCAAATGGGATTTTCTTTGTTTTGATATATCGATCGGTAGGTGTTCCATGGTTTTTGCTTTCAAACATAAAAATCAATAGCATACAAGGGGGAGAGGGGCAGAGAGAGGGGGGGAGAGCACTATTAATAGAAACTGTGCACACCTAGGGTGGTGGCATAGCTTCACTCTCTCTCTCTCACCTGTCAATTCCACAACAACTGCTATTGACGAGTCTAAATGTTGTTATTCATGAAATTACTGATGCGACCTCTATAACATAGCATTAATTATAATGATTTATGAAAGTCTAACATGTGCAAGGCCAAAAATCTATGGGAATTAATGATTATAGTTAAATGGCTATAATAATTGGGTAACACTAATACTGCTCTCCACATTCCATCTCTTGCATGCATTTCTAAAGAAATATTTTATATTTTCGTGCGCACTCACAAGTGCAATGGAAGCTCAAAAATAGGGCAAGTCTTAGAATTAATTTTTTGTCAAGCTTGAGTGGCAGTTATGTCAAAAGCATGCATAGCATGATAAGTCCTTTTGTTTAGAAGATAACTCGTTACCTCATCCTTCCTCACCATTTGAGGTAACTTTGACGACTTGACCTCCAATGCTTAGGTTAAACAAACAAAAACAAGAATTAGGGTTCTTAGACTCAATAAATTTGATGGTAGAGACATGATGCTCTGCTTACTCGTGTGAACGATGTTGTATGCTCCTAATCAATGCGTAATTAAGGTTGTGTTGGTTTCCCACGCATCGACCTAAGGGGTAAACTTATTGTCTTCAAGTGTATCATTTTTCATATCAATTTCGAGCCTCCAAAAAGAGCTTCTTAATCTCAATTAATAAGAAAGGACATACAAATTGGATTAAGCACTTGACAACAAGTGATTAGAGAACTTCAAGGATTAAAGTTTCTTGGTCTGAGAATGGATTAAGTATTTGACAACAATGAAATGCAAATGGGACCTCTATTCTATAATTAAAAAGATTGGTCCCCTTACTTTTAATTCTTGAGGCACCACCACATGTTGTGACTATGTGAACGAGTTTTGACTTGTCAAATTGGGACCTTCGCCTTCATCCCTAATCCTCCCAAAGTGAGACCAAAGTAGCTTTTGAGCTGTTCAACGTCCATGATTCAAGACTTTATCAAATGCAGAATTTTGTGCAACTTTTGCTTTGCTTAGATTGGACTTTATCAATGAGTTGTCCTAAATAAAATAGAATGGCCCTTTTTTCTGAGATGAATTTGAATAAAGTTTTGCTTTCCTTGAAAACTGATAATTCAATTTTAAGTAACGTAATTTATCAGATTATTAGTTCCCTCAACTTATTGATAAAAAATTGTACCAATAAAATCCACCAAAGTTCTCATAATTGTTATTTTCATTTATCTAGTTTGCTATATGTTTATTGTTTGTTTTCATTTTGAGTCTACTCTAAATCTTATCTATTCACGGCAATACCAATGGTCTTAAGTTTGAATACACAGGACACCTTGAATGTGTGTGTGAGAAACCCCGGCCCTCTCCCTTTTATAATTTAAACTATCACTTGTAATAAATAATAAAAATTAATCCTAATATTATACATTTTATTCTTGTATAACTAGATGCATTGTTGATTTAGTTAGAAGACAACTAGCCCATATTAAAATCCAACTGCTATTAAAGATAGATATCTTTGTTTATGTTTTCTATAAAGAACATGAAAAGATTTGAATCCATGGGTCAACCAATCATCAGTTTTAGGATAAAGAAGTTGACCATGTAAGAAAGCATGACATTATTGAATTGAGAATGCATCTCTGAATCAGTTATCTAAAGAGGAAAAGAAACATGTCATAATAGTTCCATGCATTTGTCAACAATATTGATGCATGCATTGCTTCATTTCCTCCATATTTAAAATTTTATGTGACACCTAACATTAACATCAACCATGCATTGGGAACGGCGGAGGATTGATTTATGTTCCAAGGGAAAAAAAAAAAAAAAAAAAAAAAAAAAAAAAAAACCTATTTCTCTTTTATTTTATATTAATGATTTTTATTTGGTTAATTAGTTTGAAAATGTTTGTACATGTGAACCAATTATTGTGTGGTATGACCCTCTTTTTTCTTTTCATTTTTTTTCTTTTTGATGAAAATAATACAACTTGTTTAGACTGCAAAAAGAAAAATATGGGTTTTATTAACTCTAGGATTAACAAGAACTTTAACTAACTAGAGCTTGAAACAGAAAACCAAAAACCTAAACATCAACACCCTCAGGCACAGGTGGCTAGCCACTGGTTTTCACAACCAGGGCACACTCAGTCAGCGTAACTTGGATATCCCTATCAAGTTTCGCAATATCTAAAGTGAGTGATTTAGGTATTTTCTTTGTGCCTAACAATGCACAAATGGGGCATGGAATTACCTCGAATAGCTGAGAGAAGGTTCAGTTTTTTTCGGTCTTCTCTTTTCCAACTATGCCTCTATTTGAGTCCAAAGTGACCCTGGAGTACAAGATAAAACCTAAAAAACAAAATTAGTAAATCCTATACTCAGCCTAATGCCTCCTAGAGTTGATGATTGCATCCCTTCGCTGAAGCAAGTCTGCACATGAGTTGATCTTTACATCTCTTGGTTTCTTGAGGTCTTCAAGTCTTCAATTGTTCTAGCTAAGTTCAAGTTCAAGGAATTTGCAATTCCAGGTTCATAGACCAACAATGAAAACACTTCATGATTGGTTACATCCACAAAAATTCACCATTGTTGAAGATTTTCATGAAAGCTTTTCCAAATTTCCAAAGCAGTATTCTAACTCAGAGCAGGTGTAGTAGGATGTTAAAGTTGGTCAGAGGATGTGTGTGCCTGTGCTTATACACGTGTTTGTTTATCATTACCGGAACACTGTACCCCTTTTAAATTTTACTGGATGTGTCCTATTCAGGAGCATGTATATAGGGCAATCATGCTCATCTTTGACCACACCTATGCAGGGTAAATTTTTATGAGAGGGAAAAACATTTGACCTCACCTTGGCAGAAACCCTTTCAACCAAAAGTTTCATGATACCCGTTTCAGCTTCTTGGGTTGCTACCTTCTCTTTGTTAATCGAGCCCACACAAGGCTTGTGTACGCCAAACAATGGAGCAACTTTCTTATAAGCACAACTTGGTATATGCCAAAAGATTATCTCCGGGACCCTGTCAAATAAGGCTTTCTTTGATTGACAAGATATACAAGAGTAAGAATAAAAAGAAGATTCATTACCATCAATTTTGTCTTATTTTGAGAATGAAAGTAAATCTCGGAAATTCATGTAAATATCTTTCACCACACACGCACACAAGATAATAAAGTCCAAATTTCTGGAAGCGCCCGCCAGAAAATCAGATACCAAGCTAACACTAGTTAATAAGGTGACAGAAAGACAATATCAGGTCATTCTTCCATAATTTTGTACCTTGAATCAGGGTTAATCTCTAAAGCTTTCTTCCGGAACCATTCTGCTTGGGCACTGGATATAACTTCTGGTAGGATTGTTCAGAATCATCATCTTGGAGAATACCCGGATCAAGTTCCAACTAACAAAGAAAGATACCAAAGGTTAGTGGGAAGATTAATCTACTTGTCTCATACTCGGCCAAACATTGCTTATACGGTGAGTGTCTTCAGTCAATTTATGCATTCTCTGAGTGAAGACCACATGAATGCAGTAATTCGAATACTTAGATATTTAAAGTCTGCACCGGGAAAATGACTTGTGTTCTCAAAACATGATCATCTGAATATTGATGGTTACACTTATGCAGATTATCCACATCTGGTTACTTCACATTCGTGGGAGGTAATTTGGTCACATGGCGAAGCAAGAAACAAAAGGTACCGCCTTATCCCATGCAGAAGCCGAGTTTAGAGGTCTAACCAAAGGAATTTGCGAACTCATTTGGTTAAAGAGGTTGCTTACTGAACATGGGTATAGACCTACATCTGTAATGAATCTTTTTTGTGACAACAAGGTTGCAATAGCTATTGCATAGAATCCAGTTCAACATGATCACACCAAACATGTTGAGGTACATCGACACTATATCAAACAGAAGCTCAAAGCTAAAGTGATTCAGTTTCCTTTCGTAAAGTCCGAGGATTAATTGGCGGATATTTTGACAAAGGCAATTTCCCGTAGAGCATTCCACAATTCACTGAACCAGTTGCGCATTGGCTACATCTATGCACCAACATGAGGGAAAGTGTTGGTGTGACTTGTGGACCATTAACTTTCTTTCCTTACACACCAAGGATTCCCATTATAATTACATTTGATTTACTTTAATTCTTGATTTATTATTGTAAATAGAAATTTATTATTTATTTGGCCACTAAGGCTTCGTTGTATTATAAATTTGACACCCTACAAGGAAAGAAATATACTGAAAATTCTCACAAACAAATATTCTCTCATAGTTCTCATATTTTAAGCATATCCTACTCGCGAAGAGCTACACCCAATTGAGCTCAACCAATTGCAATTTATTTTCAATAATTTTACGGAGATCAAATTTTTGAATCACATTTGAAGATTACATGGTATGACATGACATGCGATTTAAAATGTAGATTTGTTTGAAGTTGATGTTTTTATCCATTTTGACATGTTATCATCTGCAACTGAACCTCATTGCATCATGTGGACACCATTCGATCACATTAAAAGGCATTGGCAGAATATTCAACCACATAAAATCATCCGTAATTGTTTGTAACACAAAGAAAGAGGAGTAATATATATTTCACACAAATTCTATGCAATATATTTTTCAAAAATTCTTTGTGCATGACGTTAATTCTATCTTTAATTAAATACCAAACATTCGATATTCACATTGATATTTAATTGAAGTTGGCAAAAGTATATTATTATTTTTATTGATGATAATAATATCGACACATTATCAATTCCACGTGGACAATTCTATCTTTATTGAAAATCAAATGCTTGATACATAGCCAAACTATAATAATCGACACGTTACGAAATACATGTCGAGAGCCTTACCTTTATTAAAGATCAAACGTTTAATATAGAGCCGGACTAATTGTCGACACATTACATGTCGAGAGTCCTATCTTTATTTATTAAAGATCTTGTCCTTTGTATAGTTCAGATATATGTATGCTCATCATGGGCAGAAAGTAATGACGTAGTTAGGTCCACCTTTGTATGTAAATGTACCCTTTTTGTCATCATAAGTGTTTATACCAAAATGAACAGCCAATGAATATCGGACACGTGGACCAAAATAGAGCTTTGGGTGCCTTCGGCACCTACCTTCGGTATCATTCCTACCGGTCGCATCATTAGGGCAACCTCACCCCCTTCGACACGTGGCAGTCCCACAATTGATGTCCATAGTCCCACATCGAAACTCTAAACAAATTGCACACCTCCCAAGGCCTATAAAAGAGGACAACCATCCCAACTTGGAGGTAATCAATCAGAACTCACGGCATACTGCCTATTGATCTGTAGTTCAAACTTACTAAATCCGTACTTACTTAAGCATCGGAGAGCCTTCGGCCGGTATCACACTGATACCTAGGACTTACCGAGCGTTTGCTATCTTACAGGTATAATACCCTACCGAGGCCATAGCATACCGAAGGTAAACAAAATCATTAAGTTACGCGGGAAAGTGCCGAACCATTTTTCTGCGTCAACAATAAGCATAGCTGTAAGCGTTGGGGCATGCATCATGGAATATCCGAGAGTACTTTGTCGGGTGGCATGTCTTTGAAGTGTTTTGAGGCGGAGTGCAACAGTACTTTGGCTTATTGAATGCAACACATGCGCTCAAGCAGGCAACCACTTTCCCATTGGCCCCTTTCTTTTGCAGCTCTCTCGGACAAACTTTGTTCACGTTCGTTGGGCAACTAGCCGTCTTGCAGTCGCCGGTACCGCCTTGTGGATTCACAGACATGGGCAAGTTAAAGCCATCAACAAGACTAACGTCATAGAAATCTTTTCCTCCGCCTGCTGGAATATTGAATTCTGCTAAAGTTGCTGGCGGAATAGCACCGTTACCGTTGCACTTGACCTGACCAGAGGCACAGTCTGCGGTGGCGCAGACGAACTTTCCAGAGGCGTCCGTGGAGCATCCAGTTCGGGCCCAGAAGCTGCCGTTCCATGGCACCGGAGTGTGTAGCTTGAACCTAGCATGGGGTGCTAACTTGAACCCTGTGGTTGATAATTGAGGTTTTTTCCCGGAGGTTTGGGTTGCTGGCCAAACCGTGTAGGGGCAATTGTTTTTGAAAGACATTTTCGCTGCATGTGCACCTGCCATGCAAAGTAAACCACACTTAATTTGATGCAGTAATCACAAACCACACTGATTGTGACAAAATATTAAATTAAAATTAAAGAAAATAAGAAGCTTCGACTTATTGTGACCAAGTATTTATGTGGTTTGGGCAAAAAGAAAAACTTAAAGAAAATAAGAAGCTTGTTTACCTCCGAAGGAAAGGATGGTTAAGCTGAGCTTAGTGCGGGCCTAACTTTTGTTCTTTTGCAGGGCACCTTCTACAGTGCACCTGGGGTACCGATACACCCAGATTTGTTTTTTTTAAAATGAAACGTTGTTGTTCAAGTTCCAGCTGGTTTCTTCTTTTTTTTTTTTTTTTTTTTTTTTTTTTTTTTTTTTTTTTTTTAATATTTTAATTTTTTGCTCCTTTTTTGTAGGAAAGAAACTTTGTCTTATTCAAATTTTCTGCCCCGAGGTTAGGGTTCCTTTTTGTTTTGGCATGGACTAGATATACATAGATATTGAAACAAAAAAAAGGATGAACATAGATCGATGAAGAGGGCTATCATCTGTATAATATGATGCATAGAAACAAAAAAATTAAAAACAAAAATATAAATAACAGCAATTAAAAACAAAAGATTAATAATAACAGCAACCAAAAAATATAATAATAGCAGCAAACCTTGACAAGCACACACACGTTATATGATATGCATCGAATACAAGATGTGCAATTGCTTGGATATATGACGGAAAAGTAGAAACAGCAATTGCTTGGATAGGCAACAATAACTATTCAACTATTCATACATGATGTGCATCGAATACAAGCAACAACAATTGCTTGGATATATGATGATGTATAGCAACAACAATTATTCAAGCACTGGATCACTTACTTCATGACCACCAATTTGGCTATGATTGCTGTAATTTAGCAAATGGTTAAAACACTCGTCGGGTTTCTAGATGGATTCATTTGGAGTCGTATGTTACTCATGAATACCTACAAAATTATTAAAGAAAATCATGAATACTTCAAAACTCATAAAGAAATATAGTCACAAAACCAGTCATATGCACAATACATTATCAAGTTGTATGTATAATTATTGTAAGTCTTTATCTCGTCATAATCGGGATACTCGGGAAATCTTTTCTTCTTCATATTATTGTATGTGTGATCATGCCATATTCGTGTTTGCACATAGAGGAAGGTGGTGGAAGAGAGGATGGAGGAATAAAGCAGAACTTAGGAATGAAAAACTTGAAAATGAAAACACCTCAAAATTGTTTTCAATTTTTAGTTTTCATGTGATGCACCATGTCACACACATTTCTTCTACATTCTCACCCTTTTTCATCTTTCTTTTATACCACATATTTCCAATTTATCTCTAGAAATGAAAAAAAATAGAAGCGAAATAGCTACAACAGGCCTTAGTTACTCTGCATGCCCTCTTGGATTTTGTCCATTTTTCCCTTATTCATTGTTTTACTTTTTACCAATCAATTTTTTGCTTTGAAAATTTTTTTAAAATTGAGGAAAAAATATACTTGTGGGCAGAGGATCGAAACCCCCAAGCATCCATTGAATATTTTTGTAACCTCAATCTCCCAATCTCTTGTACTAAAAAAACACTTGTACTAAACACCCACCCTAACTAGGGTCGGCTGAACACTTCACCGATGCACCCGTTCCATGCACCACTTGCCACTGGATCCCCTCCCCAACATCTGCTCTGTCAACGATGTATTTCCGTTTTTTGGCCTGAGAGTTTTCATTTCTAGTTTCTATGTGTATCCTTATGGGTACAGAAAGTAGTATTAAGAGTTAATTTCAAGGTATATATTGTCCCTCAACTCAAAGATTTGAAGGAACTAGCTTTTTTTTTTTTAGTACAAGCATTTGGGGGAGTGGGGTTTATACAAATATTCATTGGGTGCCTAAGAACTTTGAACCTCAACCTGCACAAGTGGAGGTGGAAGAGCTCAACCAATTAAGTCATACCCTACTAACAAAGGAAGTAGGTTAAAATGTCGGTAGACAAAATAATTGAGCGACCTAGCTACTATTATATATGCATGACTTGAGAATTAAATGATGTTAATAATGTCAATATAGATGGTGTATGATCCTTGACGTAGGCCTATGTGTGGAAATTTTTGAGACAATTATGTGCAGGGCACACAAAGCATTATTGACTTGCTTCACTCTATTCGACTCTTGTCCTCTCCTTCTAGCTAGCCATCGAACTTTTAACATTCAGTGTGAGTACAATGTTGCGGAAAAGTATAAGGATAACCTGTGAAGAAACTAACGTAATTATTAGTCCATAAAATACAAGTATATCTCTCAAAATAGTTTGTTTGTTCATAGTACATGATGAGAACCATAGAGCCACCCTTAAAGAGCATGATTTGGCTACTTAAAATTAAGGGATCCTCCTTAAAACGAATGGACTCTGACATTTGTTAAATTCCAACAACATTGACAAATTTTCAACAACAAAAAAAGAATATTTAAAAAATTGACACGTGTCAAAACCACATTGATATCGACACATTATCAATTACATGTGGACAATTCTATCTTTATTGAAGATCAAATGCTTGATACATAGCCAGACTATAATAATCGACATGTTACCAATTACATGTCGAGAGTCTTACCTTTATTACAGATCAAAAGTTTAATATAGAGCCGGACTAATTATCGACACATTACACGTCGAGAGTCCTGTTTTTATTAAAGATCTTGTCCTTTCTATAGTTAGATCATGGGCAGAAAGTAATGGCGTAGTTAGGTCCACCATTGCATGTAAATGTACCCTTTTTGTCATCATAAGCATAGCTGTAAGCGTTGGGGCATGCTTGACTGAATATCTGAGAGTAATTTGTCGGTGGGCATGTCTCTGGAGTGTTTTGAGGCGGAGTGCAACAGTACTGTGGCTGATTGAATTTAACACATGCGCTCAAGCAGGCAACCACGCTCCCATCGGACCCTATCTTTTGCAGCTCACTCGGACAAACTGCGTTCACGTTTGCCGGGCAAGTAGCCATCTTGCAGTCGCCGGTACCGCCTTGTGGAGTCACAGACATGGGCAAGTTGAAGCCATCAACAAGACTAACGTCGTAGAAATCTTGTCCTCCGCCTGCTGGAATATTGAATTCTGCTAAAGTTGCCGGCGGAATGGCACCGGCACCGTTGCACGTGACTTGACCAGAGGCACAGTCTGCGGTGGCACAGACGAACTTTCCAGAGGCGTCCGTGGAGCATCCAGTTCGGGCCCAGAAGCGGCCGTTCCATGGCACCGGAGTGTCTAGGCTGAAGCTAGCTTGGGATGCTAACTCGAACCCTGTGGTTGATAATTGAGGTTTTTGATCGGAGGTTAGGGTTCCTGGCCAGACCGTGTAGGGGCAATTGTTTTTGAAAGACATTGTCGCTGCATGTGCACCTGCCATGCAAAGTAAACCACACTTAGTTTGATACAGTAATCACAAACCACACTTATTGTGACCAAATATTAAATTAAAATTAAAGAAAATAAGAAGCTTCGACTTATTGTGACCAAGTATTTATGTGGTTTGGGCAAAAAGAAAAACTTAAAGAAAATAAGAAGCTTGTTTACCTCCGAAGTAAAGGATGGTTAAGCTGAGGCTGAGGACTACTACTAGGGTCGTCATCATCGGAATGTCTTAGTTTGCTTTGCTTCGAATTTGATGAGCTTGGGCTTTAGTTATATAGGCTTAGTGCGGGCCTAACTTTTGTTCTTTTGCAGGGCACCTTCTACAGTGCACCTGGGGTACCGATACACCCAGATTTGTTTTTTTTTATAAATGAAACGTTGTTGTTCAAGTTGCTTGGTTCCTGCTTTTTTTTTTTTTTTTTTTTTTTTTTTTTTTTATTTAATTTTTGCCCTTTTTTGTAGGAAAGAAACTTTGTCTTATTCAAATTTTCTGCCCGGAGGTTAAGGTTCCTTTTTGTTTTGGCATGGACTAGATATACATAGATATTGAACCAAAAAAAAGGATGAACATAGATCGATGAAGAGGGCTATCATCTATATGACATGATGCATAGAAATAAAAATAAATAAATAACAACAACTAAAAACAAAAAATAAATAAAAAAAAAAAAAAAAAAAAAAAAAAAAAAAAAAAAAAACAGCATTGACAAGCACACACACGTTATATGATATGCATCGAATACAAGATGTGCAATTGCTTGGATATATGACGGAAAAGTAGAAACAGCAATTGCTTGGATATATGACAGCAACAATAACTATTCAACTATTCATACATGATGTGCATCGAATACAAGCAACAACAATTGCTTGGATATATGATGATGTATAGCAACAACAATTATTCAAGCACTGGAAAGTGTAGAAAGTGTAGAAAAAGAGAAGAGATTTTTTACCTCCACTTGACAAGCACACACGTTCAAGGACTGGAAAGCGCATAGCACATTCAAAGTTTCTAGGGTTCTCATAAGATTTGTCAAAGCCTTTTGTATTTACACTTACCACTTTATTTTCTAACGAAATCAGGCAACTTATTAATTCCTTCAAAATAAATTACTTTTTTAATACACCTAAATTTTGTTATAATTGAACACACCTAGATTTCGATGTATTTTGTTAATATCAATTGAAATTTGAATTGAATACACCCAAACTTTTACAAACTCTTTTAAAATCTGAACTGAATACACCGTGATTACATTAATGATTCATGTTGTAGTTTTTGTAAAAACCAGGATTGACAACATTAATGATTCATGTTGTAGTTTTTGGGACTTGAGAGTTCTATAACATTGTAAAGGTTATCCATATGCTTGTAAAACCATTGGTTTACAACCTTAGGGAATCATATTAAAATGTTTGGCATATAGACGTTGCAAAACATTGTAAAGCGTATCCTTAATATTGTAGATTACAAAATTTGGATTCGAATTTACGAGCTTTTGTACTGTGATTACAACGTCAATGACTATGGCAATTGATTGGTAACAAATTGGCAATTGATGGGTATCGAATTGGCAATTGATGGGTATCGATTTGGCAATTGATATATATCGATTTGGCAATTGGACTGTAATATATTTTAATATTTAATAAACCTTTTTACCTCTAATACCAGGTTTCCCGGTTTTCCAAGGGTGTAGATTAGTCCATATCCCACTAGTCTCAATCTAAGGGCCCATATCCTTTGGTGTACCCTTACACCAAAGGACTGTAGAATTTTCCCTTTGGCAAGACTATGGCCGCTGCGATGACAAGTGACAAGACAACTAGTCTTATGAACTTATCAAGTTGATTTATAGTCCACAAACATAAATTTTTTATCTAGTTACATAATTTTGACAATATAAATAAATTATATAAATTCAAACTTCAATATATAAAAATTTAAAATAAGAGCCTACGCTTGATACATTCAAATCTAATGCATAAACAAGATAAATATTTGTAACAATTCAATCATTTCTTTTTCTTTTTTGACTTTCAAATTGTTGTTTTTTAAGGAATCATTGCTACTTGAAATCAGAAACAGTACAAGGAAATGCAATGAAAATTTAATACTTCAAATAATAAACAAAGAACAACATAACTTGGAATTTGGGAAATCCCCCTCTACAACAAACTTAAAACTTCCAAATTTGCAACCAATTAGAGCTTAAAAGAGTTGGAACACCCCATGTTACTTTTTTAAAAAATATTAAAAGAATATATAATAAATATAATATAACTCTTTATAAAATTAAAAAGTAAAACTTTTTGGGCTCCCTTGGACAATGGACCCAGAGCAGTCGCACTGACTGCTCCTGTCCAAGACCGGCACTGATTTCGACTTAAGAATTTCCGAGTTTGCATCCTTCTTTCTGTTAATAAAAAAACAAACAAAATGAAATTACTTCATTTGTTTTTGAATGAAGAATTTTTTTTTTCAATTCAATGTATTTGTGTATTTCTTATTTTCTGTCAAATCGTTTTTTCAATTCTACTAATATCGCTTGTAACTATCTTATTGGACTTTTCTTCCTCAAAGACTAGTGGTGCAGATTCAAGTCTTTTTGGTCTTCTATCTTTGTAGGTGCTAAAATATGAATATGGTTTGAATGTATTAGGTTGAATTATATTCTTCTCCATAAGGATGTATATATAGGAGTTTACATGAGTGCTTTACAAGGAAATAGATACAGTAATCAATTAGGATAGTATCTCCTAATTATATAAAGATTCGTCAACTAAATAAAATGGGAAAGTAAATCCATTAATTAATCAAGAAAATAAATCTCCTTGATTAATTAGGAGACTCACGCCAACAATAGGCTCCAAGACATTCAAGTAATCTTTAATAAGTCTCAATTTTTCACAGACCAGCATCATGAAATTTGGAAGTCGTCATTCTGCTAAATTAATTTGGCTGCAACTACCTTCAATTATATTGTCGATCGTCTGACCCCGGACCACAAAACTCATTGTCTTCTACATTTGTTGAAATAATATGTCGGAAGATGTCGGAAGCTTTGATGCTTAACATGATTTTTTATTATTTCTTTTTTACAAATGACAACGTATTTACACGATACTTCAACTCCATCAACTAGCTATAACTAAATATCAAACTAATTATGAATATGAGTTGAACTTCAAACCTCTTACAACCAGCTATAATAGTCATGCAAACACAGTGCACTATTTAAATCTATGATTTCACGTTTGACAATTCTTTCCATCCTTGACAATATTGCTGACACATATATGAGTTTAGAACTTACATTTTCGCACTACTTTTCCTATTCATGTTTCTAGTTTGTAACTTCCTTCTTTTGAAATTAGTGAGACCATCGTCCTTCTTTTCCTATTCAATTTGTACTTAATCCCACATTTTGTTAATATTATATATTAAATACATCTAAATTCATCACTAACCCCTAAAAATTTACCTTTCATTTCCAAGAGGAACATCTCGATTTTCTTCATCTGTCTCTGAGTGGTTTTGGTCTCTCTCTCTCTCTCTCTCTCTCTCTCCACATCCAAGATGAACAAGATTTGATGCATCCTTTTTTCGATTCCAAATTTCTTGACTTTATACTCTCCCCTGTGATTTCTCTCTCATCTATTATAATGTTGTTTGCTCAATAAACTCAAGAATTGTTTTCTGGTAGTAATTTATATTGGTGGATTTAGCTTTATGCTCATACACTCTAAATGTGAAGGGGAAAATACAATATAACAAACTAAAGAACAACATAATTATGGAGATGTGAAGCCCGTAGGCTACACAGAGCTCCTACCCAAACTTACTTGAGACAAATTTTAATAAGATTGATACTTCAAATATACTACTACAACACACACTCTTGATACACACATAACATAGAGTGGATATGCCGCCTATTTATAGGTCATAATATTAACTCAACATTAAACATAATCATAACCACTATACTCACTAAACCTCACTTTAATTTTAACTCATAAACTAGACATAATAGCAAAACCATTTAGATTCTAACTTTTTATTTCCTTAACTTCTGACCTTTGAAATTACCCCAACAATCTCTCCCGTAATTTCAAAGCTTATTAACGTAGATACTTTCCCCCTTACTCGTCTTCCATGTCGCTTATGTTCACGATACTTTGAGGCTGGCCAATACGATGTTCTTCTAGATTTTCATCTTGTGTTAGTACTCCAATTTCTAGTTCTAGATCCATCACTTGATCTTATAGCGTCCCAATATCTTCCTGCAGCTTGCCACATTCGATCTTGAAATTCATCAATGCATTAAAGTTGAATCGAACACTTTAATGATGTCCTATTCAATCTAATAATTCAGACAAAAATATGCCGCCAAGTGTTCTGCCTCTTTCTTTGTTTTTTTCCACCTGCTTGAAAAAATTCGGATGTGCACCTTCATCAAAACTAATATAACAAACGAATTGCATTGCATGAGCCGGTCCCTTGGTTACAAAATTAAAATGTAGTTCAACATTAAAGTTGCGTGCAACTTCAATCAAAATGGGCTTGAATGGTACAACGACCGATATACTGTCATGTTTCATTTTCTGACTGCAAGAGAGAAAACAATTAATAACTAAACACTTTCCTTCATGAATCATAAAACACTCCATTTTCTTTCCTTTTTTCTTTTGGGTGCACATTTGCCCCAATCTTCACAGGAACCATTGTTCCTTTTTTCTCTTCGGCATCTTATGCCTTTCTCTCTTCCTTTGGCATACTTGTGCCTTTCTCTCTTCATTCGGCATCCATGTGCCTTTATTTCATTGACATCAATATGCCTCTCACTTATAGCCAACACACAAATTATTATTATTATTTTCTTACACATCTCAAGCCCACGATAAAACATTTTAATAACAACCAAAAAAAAATATTTCATCATGCCAACACAATTTAAATATAAAACCACCACCAACGCTTCATGCTACATGCCAAAAATCATTTAAAAATTGGACCATGCTCCAAATGCCACATATGTGATACAGGTCCTCATGACCGTATCAGCTATGATACCACTTATTGGATGATTTAGCTTTACGCTCATATGCTCTAAATGTGAAGAGGGAAATACAATATAATGAACTAAAGAATAACATAATTATGGAGATGTGAAGCCCGTAGACTACGCAGAGCTCCTACACAAACTTGAGACAAACTTTAATAAGATTGATACTTCAAATACACTACTACAATACAGCACACACTCTTGATACACACATAACATAGAGTGGATACGCCGCCTATATATAGACCATAATATTAACTCAACATTAAACATAACCATAACCACTAAACCTCACTTTAACTTCAACTCATAAACTAGACATAATAGCTAAACCCTTTAGATTCTAACTTTTTATTTTCTTAACTTCTGACATTTGAAGTTACCCCAACAATTTACTGTCCTCCACAGGGGTGGAACCACAGCCAGTAACTTGAACAAAAACTAATGATAAACCATAAGAAGTTGATGCCTCTTGGTTTTTTCTCAAAGTGCTATCTTCTTTTCTTTATCTGCCGACTTTTTTTTTGTTTTTTTTGGTGAAATTATATGTTGTCTATGGAAAAAGGTTTTTGAAGAAGAAAACAAACTTATATGGCCCATCATCAACTACAACATTAGGGAAATATTATCTCAAGTTTATTTGTATTCTTTTTCAAGAACAAAACTTAGACCAAAAAAAAAACAGAACAGTACGTTAACCTAAATATATTGTTCTTGTGTTTATATATATATATAACTTAATTATTTATATTTTTGCACTTTAAAGTATGTCAAAAATTTGCATTTTGGAAGCTTATACGGATATTTTAATAGATTCAAACAGCAAAAGTAAGATTTAAAATTCTTGGTCCTCCACATCTGCTCCATCCAGTTGAGTTTCATTTTTTTTTTTCAAATTTGTAAAGCAAAAGTATGACAGATCACCTCGTAGGACGCTGGAAGTAATGTGGAGCGTGACTTTGGAAGGGTAATGTTTTCTGTCAGTTATTTACTATGCTCCACAGGGACGGAACCACAGCCAGTAAGTTTTGAACAAAAACTAATGATAAACCACAAGAAGTTACTGCCATTTGGTTTTTTCCTTTGCAAAATCTGCTGCCTTTGGTTTTGTTTTTTCTCAAAGTGCTATATATTTTTTCTTTATCTGAAGATTTTTTTATTTTTTTTGTGGAATTATCTACTGCCTCTAGTAAAAGGTTTTGAAGAAGAAAAAAAAACTTATATGGCCTACCATCAACTACAACATTAGGGAAATATTATCTCAAGTTTATTTGTATTCTTTTTCAAGAACAGAACTCAAAACAAAAAAAAAACAAAAAAAGGTTAATGAGCGTGATATACAATTAGGGCTTGTATTGGCCCTTTTGTGCCGATTATATTAAATAAATGTCCTTTAATATTTTCGGAACTGAAAGTGTCAATGCAAACCTCCCTCAATCCCTTGTTTAAAAAAAAAATAACCTACTTGTGGAAGCTGGAAGTGATGTGGAGCATGACTTTGGAAGGAGCAATAATTTTTTATTGCTACTTCTATAACTATTAGTAATTAGTGGTGAACATATCCAAGTTGACAATAGTGATCGGCTGCCTTTTTCAGTGTTCAGTGTTTCAATCCCTCCCCAAAACCCAAACTCGACAACAGTGATCGGCTGCCTTTTTGGCTAAGAAAACCCTAGTTCAACAAATTGCAATGAAGAAAAAGTGTTCTTCTTTTCCATTATTTTCCTTCTATTCTTTTCGCACCCACCAAACAACAAATAAAGATGCCAAAGCTGAATTCAAAATAAAAAAACAGCAAAAAAAAAAAAAAAAAAAAAAAAAAAGAAAATAAGACGAATTGAAGATAAAAAATCAGCGGGTGTGGTTAAAGAAAAAGACGGTGGTGTTGAGAAATTAGAATGAGAATTCCCTAAAACCTAGAATGGAAAACCAAAAGCATAGAGAAGCACAGAAACTAAAGCCGATTTTACCTGAACATTTTGCAGACTTTTGGGTTCCGACTCGTAGTAAACATGGATTGAGTAAACATGGTTTTACATATTTAAAAGGCAATATGAGGAAAACACATGGTTTTACATTTACATCTTTAAAGGCAATATATGCAATATGAGGAAAAGACATTAAAATAATTTCTAGGCAATAGACTATTCAAATCCACTTTTCATATGGACGAAGGCAAAAGCATGAACTCTGGATTCAAACGAAGACATAATTATGTTTTTCGAATGACGAAAGAAAATATTACTACAATTCGGCCCTCTCCTATCATAGAGAACTACAAGAATTAGTTGAAGAGATAACAGAAAATCGAGTTAAGAAAAAGAGATTTAAGGAGATAGAAGAAGATCTGCCGCTGGAAATTGTCCCGTTGGAGAGGGCTGAGAGACGGCACTGAGACTGAGAAAATTTCGAAGAAAATCGAATTAAGAGAGAGAGAGAGAGAGAGAGAGAGAGAGAGAGATTTAAGGAGGTAGAAGAAGGGAGAAGGAGGCTTACCCGTTGGAGAGGAGAGGAGATGCAGCCGCCGGAAATTGTCCGCTGGAGAGGAGGAGCCGCTGTAGTCGAGATGGAAGAAGGAGAGGAGCGACTCGAAATGGAGAAGAGAATGACCCAACCCTAAGGGGGTGTATCAATTCTAACTTTAACGACTTTTTTCTTTTTGAAAGTTAAGAGCAGAGAGAAGAACTTTGGGATTTTTGACAGGGAGAGAAGAGAGAGAGAGAGAGTTAGGTTTAAGACTTAGTGAAATTTTTTGAGGGAAAAGGATGAAATATTTTTGGGGGAGTTGATCTGGGTATAACACATCGGTCAATGAAACTTTTACTTCAAAAAAAAAGAAAGATATATGGCATCAATTCAAATATTGATCGATGCTACTTCCATATAAAGGCATCAGCTCAGATTGCCCAATATTGGTTGTGATGTCTTTACACTCCTATGGCCTCGGTTTTTTTTAAAACTGAAGCCTAAGAGACTAATAGCATCAATTTCATGTTTCACCGATGCCTATTAAGTGTTGCCTAAAGTGAATTTTGGCATAGTGGTACTTTGTTGCCTAGTTTTGTTATGTTTATGTACTGACAATTTAGTTGCTTGGTGGTGAAAATTTCAATGTGTTGCAACCGAAATTTTTTGGATGTATGTCAAGAATTGTAAGTCTAGAGCTGACCCAAAAAAATTAGGAAAATTATCTCAGATAGCACTATTTCTGTAGCAAACAATCCCATATTATATCGATATTATCTCGATACTGTCGATATTACCTCATTATTTCCATAGCAAATAGTTCCATAGAATCTTGATATGACATTAATCAATATTTTGTCGATATAGTCTATTTACTACTGCAATAATAGTGCTATTTGGGAACTTAGCTAATAGTGGTGTTTGAGAGCATTTCCTTATAAATTAATGTACAACAAAATATAGAACAAAGTGAACCTAATCCAGATGTAAAATTATAAGAATCCTTAGTTTTTGGGTGGCTGATTGCTTGCATTTTTAGTACTGTGTCATGTTAGGAATGTGCCCTAAAGTCAATGAAGGGCAGTAACACCTCATCTCTGTATTATGTTCATATTAAAAAATTAAAAAATGTGTTTCATCCCAAAATATACGTCTCTAAGGCACTGGCGAACCCATGAATTTTTTAGCGGAGGTGCAATTTTGAAAGGTTAAAAACTCTTTGTGAATTGAATATCTAAGGCTTTTTACCTAGATTGACCTTAGGTCCCTTCATGCATTCATATCATACATGAAAAATTGTTCTATGTAAAAGTATTGACTAAGTATGAAAAATGATTTTTCGGAATAATCATTTTCCCAAGATAATTTTTGGTGGCTTTTATTCCTTACACATCAAATAAGAAAACCTGATTTTATAGGATTTTATTATGAAGTATATATTGACTTAATGAACTATCATTTTTAGCCTAAATCGTATTTTGCACTAAAACTGATTTTTTAAATTTTGATTTGGGGGGAATTTGATTTTCTAGTATTTTTATTTGAATCCAAATGGGGGGTACTTCCTTATTTACATTGTAAACTTAAGTAAATGGAGTAATATAAAAATAAATGAAAGTAAAAAAACAAAGACATTTACTTAAATGTTGAAGATGGAATTAAGGAGCAAAGGGGCAATTTCAAGCACCAACAATAGTTTTTATGGCAAGGAGAGGTGCAGCTGCACCTCTTTGCTCCTTAACAGATCCGCCAGTGCTCTAAGGTTAACAAAAATATTAATAGCATTCTAACATTATTGAAGAGACTATTAGAGATACTCTTAGTAGCACATTTCAACTTTAAAATGGGCTTTTGAATGATTAAGAAGATAAAACTTTAAATTTCTAGATCCACCAAAGTTAGCCAAAAAGTAATTTCTATTTATATTCATAGCAACAGTAGTGTGATGATGATCATAGCAACATAAAACTCTTTAAACTTTTGAAATTATCCTTTGACGTAATCTCCGCAGCTTCCTCAGGAGGCACTAGTGTCTTCTTAACATCAAAATGATAGTAATACTGTCAGATCGCTTGTTGCACGATGTATTGAATTTATTCAAATTATAAAACGTAAGACAGTGTATTGAGTTCATTCCAATGATAAAACGTAACACGTATAATGAGTTTATAGTTACACATCCATGATTGAGTGTCCAATTACAATATTCCTGTAAATTCCATGGTTGAGAGTTCTAGAAGCAAAATTATTGCGGCGTAAACTAAGAACAAACGTACATGAACAAGTCATGAAACATTGGAAAGCGAAGATAAATAAAGCATGATCTCTCCATGATGTATTTATACATCATATACAAATATATTCACATTCAGTTCAAGTCCCATCGCTCATTTACAAAACTTACTTCTAGTATGATTTCATGTGCTCAGCAATAACCACAAAGGAATAGTTGGGTTTCTTATTTGTCCTTGATGTAGTTTAGAACTTGAGCAGCTACTGCTAACGAGAGAGTTGGCAAGCAAAGCTTTCTCCAAATCTCCAGTCGTTCCTCGCTGGAGAAATGAGAGTATGTAATTCATGAAGAGCGAGTCACATGGGAAGATAATTGGCCCACGACCACTTGAGAGGCCAAACTCTTCTTCAGACATCTTGAAGAGAGGAAAATGCAGTTTGAGAGATAGGATAACGGCAGTACGAAACGGCTTTCGTCAATGGTGTAGATAACAAAAGTTCCCTTTTCACCCACCATATTATTCAGCATGTTGTTGATAGCTGCTCTTGGCGATGAATTTTTGTTCCTCCCCATAGCATCTCTCTTCTGCCACTTGCTAGCAATTCTAATGAGCCTCTTGGGACTGATTATATTGTCCATGGAGATTATATAAAATGACCCAATTGAGCACCAAAAGCAACTTCGTGTTTTCTAGAATGCTAATGATGAGTGCTGTGGTTGTTGAATCATTGGGATTGGTTTCCTATTTATACTTGTTCTCTATAAAACACTTGTTGGTTGGTGGTGAGAATAACAATGTGTAGCAAAACAAACAGTTTTGGATGCTTTAAATTATGTCAAGTTATGTCGTGTACCAAATGAATATGTGAAGTTTATTTTGTAAATCCGTACATGATTAGAGAATTCTTTTGGTTACCTTGTATGGAGAAAGTTCCAATGTTCATATAATGTCATGTGCCTTAAGGACACAACATATAATATTCGTTCGTTAGTATTATCAGTTGGTTACTAGGACACAACAAATTTTGACTTCCAAATCTTTTGAAAGTTCCTAGCTTGTTCTTTTCTTCATAACATCGGAATGTACAGAAAGTAAAGAGGTTTCAAATGTCGGAGATCCCTCAATCCAACTCTGGTATAATAACAAATAAAAATGAAAGCCAAAGATTTCTCCATTTAGCTACTTTTAAATACAAATTACAATATTGAAGAAGCTGGAGATTTCTCTATCCAGTTTAAACAGAAGATATGTTTATATAATATTCGTTCGTTAGTATTATCAGTTGGTTACTAGGACACAACAAATTTTGACTTCCAAATCTTGTTCTTTTCTTCATAACATCGGAATGTACCAATGTTTGTCAAAAATCCTTGTCAAACGGAATACGAAAGAATTATAGAAAAGGACCTAGATGTGTACGTAAACACTTGTAAGTTTTACACAACCTAAAACTCATCAAATAATAAATAACGAAAATGCTCTCAAATATCACTATTTCTATAACAAGAACTTCGCTGCTAGAATTTTATGAAAATCACCATATCGCTGCATCTATAGCTCCTTTTTTTTCAAAAGTGAAAATGAAATATCATTTAGTCTCTACTATTGTAGTACGCAAGGACGGAATCAGAAATTTTTCAATGAGTGGGCTAGCTAAAGTTATTAGCTTAAAATCTAATGATAATTTTTTTTTTACTTACATTTTCTATATTTTTTCTAGAAATAAAAGTATACATTAAATCATATAAATAATGCTAATGTATTTTTAGACAAAAAGAAAGAGGAGATTACTACTACAAAAAGTGACAAAGACGACCAGAAAAAAACGACGGTCTAAGTGAAAACCGTCGTTGTTTTTTAAAAGACGACAGTTCTATAAAACCGCCGTGTAATAACACCTTAGACACCTAAAAAATGGAGATTCAAATAGCTGTTCCTAAAACATGACGTACCTAATTAAAAAACCGACGTCTTATTGAAATAGGATTTCCGAGTAGTAAAATCAAAGCCAACAAAGAATGGCAGAAGTTATGAACCGACCGACGTAGAAAGTAAAGACGACGATTTCAAAAAAAGCCGCCGTTTTTACCCAGAAATTAACACGACCAAGTTTTCGTATAAGGCGCTGTATAATTACAAATAAATCCACGGCAGTAAAATACAAAATACCGCCGTATTAAATTAATGTACAACTACGGCAAAGATAAATATAACGACGTCTTTCTCGTATAGTTCTACGACGGTATCTTTAAATCTCACCACGTTGGGGTTTTCATTTAACGACGTATTATAAAATTTAACGTCGTATTTATTCACTTTATACGTCATACATTATATTTAAACCGTCGTCTTAATAAGAATTTTTTTTAACAATTTATTTCTTGGATTTTGTTATCCTACGTTGGTAGATCTACTTAATGACAAGAATTGAAATAACCACGACGGTTTATATAGAAAACCGCCGACATAATCAGATTTTTCTGAGATCACAAGGGTTAGGAAATCTTACAAGATGGAACTCTGTTCCTCATCATAATCTTACCAGAAAGACAATAACGCACATACACATTAACATCCAAAAAATTGCCTCTGAAATTTGACGACGGCAGTCTCAGATTTGCAATCAGAGAGACAATTGTTTGGAAGTTGATGATATGTGTGTGTTTGTGTATCTACACAAACGCACACACACATCAACATCCAAACAATTGCCTCCTAAAATTTCACGACGGCAGCCATAGATTTGCAATCAGAGAGACAATTTTTTGAAAATTGGTGATGTGTGTATGTTTGTGAATCAGATACACAAACATACACACACACCAACATTCAAACAATTGCCTCCTAAGAGATAAGGTGAGACAGAGAAACGGGCAAGAAGAAGTTGAAAACCTAATCGAATACTAAAACTGAAAGAACCCATGAAAAAAAACCCTATTTATAATTAAAAAACCAAATCCACGTCGGTTATATTATACCTAACGACGTTTAACAAAAAGAATCCACGTCGCGGAACAAATACATTACGTCGTCTTAGTCTTACTTAAGACAACAAAAAAAGACGATGGTATAACAAAAAACAGTCGTTGTTTTTATATTCGTATTTGATTTAAATTAGTCACCCAAAAAAGAAACTTTACAAATTCTAGAACATTAATTTCCTTCATTTTAAATTTCCTCGGGAAAAAAAAACTCTATTTATAACGCACTGTTTTTGAAAAATAAACTGAAAGAACAAGGGAAAAAAAATTCTATTTATAATTATACAAATAAAATCCACGTCGGTTATATTACACCTAACGACGTTTTAAAAACGAATCCACGTCGCGAAAAAAATATTGCGTCGTCTTAGTTAAAAAAAGACGACGATAGAACAGAAAACCGTCGTTGTTTCAAAGCATTGACAGCTCAAGCCATCTGATTCGATTGCTCAGGCTTTAGAGGCCATCTGAAGCCATTTCTATTCTTTATCGCATTCTTGAAAACCCATCTTCTTCTTCAGAAGCTCTACGGATAAAGGAACAGGCTATCACAAATATGACGGATCTTCTTAGCCAAGAAAATCGAGCAGAGGAGCACATCTGATCTTCAGGTTTCCTTGAGAAGCGAACTTTCCTTCGACAGCGAGTGGAGGCCAGGCTTGCATCTCTTTTGATGGAAAGCAAGGAGTATTCAGAAGCACTAAGTCTCCTATCAGGCTTGACAAGCTTCCTCTTGTGGACATAGATTTGTTGGAGAGTAAGCTCCATTTCTCTTTGAGAAAGACATCCAAATTATTGTCTTTGAGATGTGAGAGAGAGTGTCTGTGAGAGAGGAAGAACTTGGAAACCTAATTGAAAACTGAAACTGAAAGAAAGCGACAAATTTATACAATAAATTTTTAAAACCCAAGGCGGTCCTTACACACAAACCGCCATTTAATTCTAAAATCCACGTCGGTATATTAAAAAAAACTATGTATATTATAAAAATCAACGTTGGTATCTTACAACAAAACGACGTGTTAAATACTTCTACCATGATGCGAGATATTAATTTATCGACTTTTATTTTGGAGTTTACTATGACGGTACCTACAACACTACTGTCGTATTTATTTACCACGTCCTAAGTTCAAATTATCATCGTAGTTTGTTTATTTATACGTCGTCGTTCTATGTAAACCGCCGTCTTATTTTTATGAAACAGTTTGTATATATACAACTTTTCGTCTACCTGACTTACACATGCACTGTTTCCAAACCCGAGAAAAAAATTCAATCTCCCAGAGAAAACTTTTCGTCTTTTTTCCTTGTCAGAGTATCTCATCGTCTTCCTCTCGTCTTTGTCGTCGTCTCTGAACTTAAACACCAAACTCCGAGAGAAAGCTTTCATTGCACGCAAAAGGTAAGCTTTCATTTCTCACTATTTTTGTTGCTATTTTGCATGCTCATACGGTTTTTGTTTTGAAAATCTTTTTACCTTTTTTCTGGCCAAAATCATTTTAATTCTTTCCAAGTTTGATAAAATATACAAACAAAGAGGGAAAGTTTCCAACTTTGAACACAACTACATCAACTAAATAAGACGACGGTAGCTTCTTATTTACGTGGTTAAATATGTAGACCACGATGGTTCGTTAGTCGTCCTAGCGTCGTCTGAAAATTGATCTAAGTTGTTTTTAAAATGACCGTCGTTTTTTTATTTGCTTGTTTAATTGCAGGTTTGATTTCTCTAAACCATGGTTTTTGTTTTTCCTAATTTGATAAAATACAAAGACAAAGAAAGTAGGGTTTGGTATCTTATATAGACGACGGTATCTTATTATTGACGCCGTGTGAATGTTAATACCACGACGTTATACTAAGATACCGTCGTCTATATAAGATGCCAAACCTTTCTTTCTTTTTCTTTGTATTTTATCAAATTAAGAAAAACAAAAACCATGTTTAAGAGAAATTAAACTTGCAATCAAACATTCACAGAGAAAGAAAAAGGTTTTTGGATTCTTATACGGACGACGGTATCTTATTTACGTCGTGTGAATGTCCATATCACGACGTTATATTAATATTAACGTCGTGCGAATTTAAATATCACGACGTCGTGTAAATATCGCCGTAATAAGTTCTTATTATGTCTTCTTTTATATTGTTTCGTCGTTGTTTAAGTACTCTCGTTTTAAACATTTATTACGTCTGATGTTATGTTATTGCGTCGTGTAAAATCTTATCATACGTCGTGTTTTATAAATAACCGTCGTTTGTGTTCTTAATTTTTTCCTGAAATATTTTCACTTGCAGGTTTGTTTTTTCTGTAACCATGGTTTCTCAAGACCAAAGTAAGGACTCTGGCTCCAAAAAAAATGGAGGTAAGGAGCTTGGAATGGTAACTCCTCAAGACAAGCCCTTGAAGAAGATGAAGTTTGTTTCATCTGTTGAGACAGAACCAACCAGCACGACAACAATTTCTGAGGATTCAAAGTCAGGTAGAGGTATGAGCACAATGCCTCGTGTTGTGAAGAGAAAATTTTAGAAAATCAAGCCAGTTGTTGAGTACAATAAAAGGGGGAAAGGATGTGGCCCTGCACATACTAAGATGCAGTCCTATATTGGTGTGTTGGCACGCTCCAGAGTCCCACTTGTGGACAAGAAATGGGCTGAAATCCCCAAGGATATAAAGGAACAGATTAGGGAAACCGTTGACATGGCTTTTGTGGTAGGTCAAGGGGGCAAGAACTCGGTGTTATCTTATGCTGCCAAGAAATAGAAGGATTTCAAGTCTACACTAACGAGGCATTATATCCTTCCATACATCAAGGAGAGGGAGAAATTAAGCCAACCCCCTGAAATATATAAATTCATAGAGAAAGCAGAATGGGATGCCTTTGTAGCTTCAAGGTTATCCAAAGAAGTTGAGTCTGTGCATTCTCAACATTCACAGATTAGGGAAAAACTTGAGTACAATCATCGATTGTCTCGAAAAGGATATGCTGGTTTGGAGGATCAATTGGAGGAAACCATGCCTGGGGTAGAAATTGATACCTTATGGAAGAAAGCTAGACAGGACAAACATGGTAACATCCCGGATCCAAAGGTGGCAGAGAAAGCAAAATTAATTGTAAGTGAAAATGGTACTTAGGTGACGAGGGGTAAATTTAATCACACAAACAAGACACAACAACACAGCAATCTTCACACACTTTAAACCTTGACCAAACACACATATGAATAGTCAACTGCTAGCCATGAACAATCACAATCAAGAGAATACAGAGAGCATGCCACAATGTACCTGCAACCCTAGAAGATTACTAGTGACAACCTAGGCACTCAGAAGGACCCGTCAATCTAGGCACTCAGAAGGACCCGTCAATCTAGGCATCCCCTGTGCTAGCAACAACTATGGTGCAAGTGTGTGAAATCATCATTAGCATGTAAACATCAAACAACAGATAAAGATGACTAGTCAACCACCAAGAACACAAACCCAGAAAAATTATAAATATGCAAAACAGATTTTGTTCACCCAGAAACCCACCATTGGGAAAAACTGGGAGTCATCAACCGACCAGGCAATCCACTAAGTAGAAAAAGATTCTTACAAAGCAAACACAACCAAGCTCAAGAAGCACCTAAGTCTATTTAGGAATATGAGCAATACCTCCTTTGTGCAATCTTCTTCTCCAACTTAGCAAAACTTGACTTTGATAGAAGAATAGGACAAAACAGTTTGTTATCTAGCGGGAAGCAAGGATGACTAGTCATATGAGAAACGGATGACTAATCATCATTTTATGAAGACTGTTTAATGTAATGATATGCAATGCATAATACCTTTGTCAACTTGCTTGAACCTCCATAGAGCAGAAATTAGAGAAGAACACCGAGAAAGGTTTTCCTTAATCTAAACTTGAGCTTGATAAATAACAATACAAATCCTATTACAAAGTTGTCAAGGGAAGCCAAAAGAAAGTAACAAAAACCATACATTAAGAATCTCCCCCTTTTTGGCTTTCCTTGACAACACATTCTCTAAAAACACTCAACCCAAAACCGAGACTAAGGAGATGATGGAGTGAAGGTACCTGCAAGAACAACCAATCTCCCAGGCACAAAAACAAGCATATTATCACAGAATTTTTAAAACAATATGCAATATGGGGTTGAGAGTGTTCTCCCCCTTGTTGATAAGGAAAGTGCAAAAAAGCCAGAGAGATAGAAACAACATACAAAGGGATTAACCATAAAATGATAGGCAGATATGAACAAGGTTAACAGGACATAACTTAGATTGATGACTAATCAAATAACAATTGTTTAAAACAGTACAGAACATAGATTTATGACTAGTTAAATACCAGTTGTTCAAAACAGGACAGAACAACTCCCCCTATCACAATGCACAGACTACCCACAATGTGTTTACAAAAACAATTCCCCCTATCAAAATGCACAAACTACCCATAATGTGATTACAAAACAACTCCCCCTATCAAAATGCACAACCTGTCCAGAATTAATTTTCCTATCTAGGACACAGCAAAAAGCAACACTAAGCTAAAAAAACCAAAGAACCACTAGAATCCACAGAGTCATCCGAGTCCTCAACTGCAGGAGACGTCTGAGTATCTGCATCAGCAGCAGCAGCAGCAGTTTCAGGAGTCGAAGAGGGCGGAATGAGGCTCAAAAGATGCTGAATATACTCCTCATTGGCAGCCAGCTGAGCTTTGAGAGAGGCAGTCTCAGAGGAAGACGACACAGAGGAGAGAAAGGTTCTGGAAACCTTCTGGCTAAGGGCAGCAGAGGCTTTGCCATAAGGAGCAATGGGAGGATGCCATAAGGAGCAATGGGAGGATGCCATTGATCGGAATCATGATATACCACCCCGTTTCTCTCACATAGACGCTGAATCAGACAGGGGAACACAAGAGTCCCCTTGTGCTTGGTACCATGACCAATGGTTTTGCCAAGAATGGCATGATAAAGGATATCACCAAAGGGAATGTTATCATGATTCACCATGGAAATCATGAGTTGACAGGCAGCAAGAGTGGGATTAGAATTGTTCCCAGTGGGGAGAACATTATGACGGACAAAGTCCCACAAAAATTTATAAACAGGTGACAGGTAAGACTTGATAGGCAGACCTTTAGAAGTCAAAGGCATAGATTGATCAGTGTAAGCCATGGATTTAAAAAGATCAACAGAGTATTCAGCAGAAGCAAGAGCAAATTTCACATAATCAAAACCAGGGCATGATTGAAAACCTAAGACACGATTGATAACCGAAGGTCTCAGAGTAATGGGCACTAACCTAACAAAAATCTGATACTTTGACTCCTTAGGGTCAGCAGGAAAGTTATAGTAAAACTCTTGAATGACAGAGATATTAAACTTACCAGAGAGAGAGTTTAGGGCATGAAGGGAAGAAAAACCAAAAAAAAAAAAAAAAAAAAAAAAAAAAAAAAAAAAAAAAAACAAAACAAACGACGCGACCCTAAAATAAAAGGTACCGCATACAATGCATATCTTATCTCTCTCTTAGAGAGACACATATACAATGCATTCTTAAGACATGATCATAGTATGGGCTCACAGCAAAAAATCAGCACTCTCTATTGACAAAATGTTTGATGATTTATTTTGTGGTACTTGCACATCCCGAACATAAGTGCTTTGAATGACCCAATTTTACGGCTCTTTGCTCTAGATTCTTCAATCAAACCATCTTCATACCTTCCTAGAGCTACGTGACTACATTCTTCCCTTTTTTTTTTTTTTTTTTTCAAATTTGAAATAGATTGGCTAAGAGAGTGAGACCAACTAAGAGATAATAACAAGAACAGTCCAAAATGAAGCCGAGATACATGGCTCACCAAGAGGACAAGATAGCATGATTTTGGTCTCAATTAACAGCTCAAAAACAAGAAAAAGGATTATGCACAAGTCAAACAAAGCACAAAAGCATTCAACATGCACACCAGCAGAGATGAGTGATATGAACAGTGACATATCAACATCAAAACATTTAAAAAAATTTGGACTTGACTAGGCAACTGTTTTGGATTGTGCTGAGGACAAGGAGCAGACAAGCTAATCAATCAATTGAGCAAAGGCCAATTGACTGCCTAAGTGTACCATGTTTCTGAAAGTCCAAGGCCTTGGTGAGTATATCTGCTAGCTGTTTTTCAGAGGGAACAAATTTCAAAGATAAAATTTTGTCTTCCACAAGATCTCTAATAAAATGGTGCCTAATGTCTATATGTTTAGTCCTAGAGTGTTGAACAGGATTTTTTGAAATATCTATGGCACTCATGTTGTCACAATAGATTAGAAAGCATGATTGAGCAAGACCATAGTCTTCCAACATTTGTCTCATCCAAAGGAGTTGAGTACAACAACTCCCAGCTGCAACATACTCTGCTTCAGCAGTGGATAAGGAGACAGAATTCTGTTTTTTGCTATGCCAAGAAACAAGGTTGTTTCCTACATAGAAGACCCCCCCGGAAGTGCTTTTCCTATCATCACTACAACCTGCCCAATCGGCATCACTATACCCAACAAGATTGACACAAGTGTCATAGGTATACCACAACCCAAACTCAATAGTCCCACTCACATATTTTATGATTCTCTTAACAGCAAACAAATGAGACTCGTTTGGGTCACTTTGAAACCTAGCACACACACCAACACTAAAAGAAATGTCAGGTCTACTAGCAGTCAAGTAGAGAAGACTTCCTATCATGCTTCTATAGAGAGTTTGATCCACACTTTTGCCATGCAAGTCTCTATGAATCTTAGCACTAGTGCTCATTGGAGTTCTTGCAGATTTTGCTCCCTCCAAACCAAATTTTGTCACAAGATTTTTTGCATATTTAGATTGAGATATAAAGATCCCATCATGGCTCTGTTTGATTTGAAGACCTAAGAAATAGTTAAGCTCACCTACAAGACTCATTTCAAATTCACTAGTCATGACATAAATAAAATCTTGAACATGCAAATCAGAGGTAAAACCAACCACAATATCATCAACATACACTTGAGCAATCAAGACATCCTTTTTAAACCTTTTCACAAACAAAGTTTTATCAACGGACCCTCTAACATACCCATTTCCTAGAAGATGAGAGGATAACCTCTCATACCATGCTCTAGGAGCTTGTTTCAAACCATAGAGAGCCTTTTTTAACCAAAACACATCATCCAATCTTCAAAACCCTTTGGCTGCTCAACATAGACCTCTTCATTTAGGACACCATTCAAGAAGACAGTTTTGACATCCATTTGATAAAGTTTGAATTTCAAATGACAAGCAATGGCAAGAAGCAATCTAACTTATTCTAATCTTGCAACAGGGGCAAAAGTTTCATCAAAGTCAATGCCTTCCATTTGAGTGTATCCTTGAGCAACCAATCTAGCCTTATTTCTCACCACATTACCTTGCTCATCGGTTTTATTTTTGAAAATCCACTTAGTGCCTATGAGATTTGTGTGGACTGGTCTAGGAACAAGGTACCAAACGTCATTTCTCACAAATTGATTTAATTCTCCCTGCATTGCAAGAAACCATTCACCATGGTGCAAGGCTTCTTTCACATTTCTAGGCTCTTCCTTGGAGACATAACACACATGGCTAATTTCTTGAGCAAGTTGTTTCCTAGTTCACACTCCCTGATTAAGAGGGCCAATAATGACACTCTCAGATGGAGTGAGAGGACTATGATCAGTATGAGAGCTGGCAGCCTGGACAGATGAGATGGAACTAGAAGTTGAAGGGGTTGACAGGTCAACCGGGACAGAATTTCCAAAAGTTGACAGGTCAACCACAAGATCCAAACCTGGAGATTCTTGCTCAAGTGGAGGAGGAGGAAAAAGACCATCCTCATCTAATGCCATCTCTATAGAGGCAGCAAAATCATCAATAGTGACATTTATGGATTCAATGATGGTTATGGACCTACAGTTGTACACTCTATAGGCCTTGGTTGTAAAAAAAAAAAAAAAAAAAAAAAAAAAAAAAAAAAAAAAAAAAAAAAAAAAAAAAAAAAAAAAAAAAAAAAAAAAAAAAAAAAAAAAAAAAAAAAAAAAAAAAAAAAAAAAAAAAAAAAAAAAAAAAAAAAAAAAAAAAAAAAAAAAAAAAAAAAAAAAAAAAAAAAAAAAAAAAAAAAAAAAAAAAAAAAAAAAAAAAAAAAAAAAAAAAAAAAAAAAAAAAAAAAAAAAAAAAAAAAAAAAAAAAAAAAAAAAAAAAAAAAAAAAAAAAAAAAAAAAAAAAAAAAAAAAAAAAAAAAAAAAAAAAAAAAAAAAAAAAAAAAAAAAAAAAAAAAAAAAAAAAAAAAAAAAAAAAAAAAAAAAAAAAAAAAAAAAAAAAAAAAAAAAATCAATGTCCTCCTCTTCATTTTCCTCTCCTTCATTTCTATTACTTGGCCCTTCATCCCATTGCATGCCATCCACTTCCTCATATCCCTTAAATAGATGTGACACGACACAACGATTCGTCCTCTCTTTCAGTAAAGCTATGTCCCTTCTCACTTCCTGCTCAAAATGAGGACCTAAACAGTGGCCCAAATTTTTTCCATCCGTATGACCTTTAACTCAAGGACGTCCTTTTCCCGCTTTACTTGAAACAACTCGGACCTCAACAAGCTTACCGCCTTGTTCAACTCATCAAGGTCAGCACATGAAGAAGGAATTGACTCTGCCGAGACAACAGCAGGGCGACCCTGTGGCCAACTCCAATATGGTTGTCTCATTTCCTCTTCACTTGGACATAGCGCCCGCAACTGAACTGACTGTTTCAGAAAACAGACAAGAGTCATATGCAATCATTCTACTTCATAATTTCATTGAATCTTATAAATAGTTCCAAGGGCTGCAAACCAAACCTCTTTGCTCTGGAAAAAATAATTGTTCAACTTTCTCATCTCGGGAACAGACGTAGTAGTTCTCCATCGCAAAATACGCGGGAGAGCTGTCGGATCAACAACCTTGCAGTAATTCAGGTCCACCATTCTAGGAATTAATTCATATACCCAAATCTACACAATTCACAGGACACAAGTTATTATTTAAGTTTTAAAGTCAACAAAACATAACGACATGAACATTATTACCATGTACCTGGAAAGCATACGTGAAACCTTTAAAACTCCAGCCACCCCTTTGCACTTCACCATGGTTATCCTTCTTGCCCTTCTCATTTCTCCGGCTTGTTCCGGTTACCTTACATTTCCCCTTCCCTCTTCCCTCTTCATTTTCAAAGCTTTTCACATACTTTGTTGGTGCAGAAAACAGACTGTCTTGGGTTTTGTCAAACGACACCGAACCCCATGGAAACCTGTTGAACGCATCCAAGTCCTCTACAAGGGTCAGGTAATTTAGATTGATGTTCAAATGTTTGTCCCTTCCCAAAACCACTAACTCAGCAAAGTAAACAAGAGCTAGCTTGTAGACGTCATCTTCCTCTGTGCACCTCACAAATGCTTCTTCTAAAGCATTACATGTAATTCCTTCGTCTATAAAATATCTTTTCTGAAGTCTAATTTCATCACTTTCTCCACTGGAAACTTCAGGCACTTCCCCAAAACGAAGCCCTGAGATCAAACAGAAATCCTGACGAGTGAACTGAGCAACGTCGCACCCTATTAAGAAACTCAGTCCATCCAAGTCTTTCACACCCTGCCCCGCTACTCTACGCAACACAACCCCATGCACAATCTGCCCGCTAAACTGAATCTTATCTATATTCAGAAGATGGCCAAAGCATGATGTCTTGAATTGTTCTAATTGTTCGGCACTCAACTTCGCTCGAATTACAGCTAGGGATGAATTTGCATGTGAGCAGTTGTTCACCCGTGAGGAATATGCCTCTGACTCTGGCCATACCAGCTCAACGTTGGATCCCATTTCCTGAAATACAAGATGAAATAACGTGAACACATATACTACCACGTATTTGCACAATCACATTGGTATTTACACAACTAGTCAACCAGCACATTACAAATTTTACAAAGTACATGCGCATAGGGATTACTGATCACAGGCTTTAACATCATCAAAGCAATATGACATATTTTGTGCAAATACCTGTTAATGCAATGATTCTGTGAATTACAAGCACTAGCATGTGTTTTATTTATGGATCCAAACTCCAATCAATGGTTGATGCATGAGTGAGTGTGAGTGCAATCTAGGCAAGTTCTGCACTTCACACACATGACAATTATTGTCATTTCATACACAACACAAAATAAATAAATAAATAAATGAGAAAGATGGTGGAAGGAAGCAAAGCAAAGCATCTGCTCTGCTATCTGCTCGCTAAGCCATTGCCACATCCTTCTTTCTTTCTAGCTTTTTCTTCAGTCAGCCATAATCGTCATAGATCAACCTTTTTTCAAATGCTTTGCACTTTTATTCATGAGTTTATTATTATCTGTTCTCATTTTTAACAGGCAAATTTAGTAACAACGGAAATAATATTTATTTCAAAAATTATATATATTCTAGCTCCAGAGAGATAATCTGCACTCTGCACTGCTTCAAATGTGGAAGGTTTTGAGGGCCTCCTCCAATTCAACACCATTACCTTATTCATATCATTATTGACATGTTATTGACATGTTATTGACTTTATATTCATTCGTTTTTTAACATATACCCAAGCAAAAATTAACATGCAAGTGAAGCACAAAGAAGAGATGCCAAATCTAACAACATTCATGGTACAAATTGGGGGAAAACGGTTACTCTAACCCTAAACTCAAATTCCATAAATTACTCACCAAATGCTGGTTATTGAACAATCGCAAGGTGTCTGTGTTGGGTCTTTGTGCGGCTTTGCTCCACAAATGGAACCTATCACTTCCAACGAATACGGCTTCTCTCCTTCCCCTTCCACTGCTTCGTCTTTCACTGTTTCAGAATCCACGCCTTTGCTCCTTCCACTCAAAATAAATACTTTTTCACGGTTTAGATAGTGGAGTTGCGTTCAACCGTCGTTAACCTTTGCCTTCAACCGTCGTTGCCCGTTGCCTTCAACCGTCGTTGCCCGTTGCCTTCAACCGTTTCTCAGAGCTTAGCGTTTCTCTCAGCTATGAGTTTGAGATCAATGGGTTTTTTCTGTTCAAACTTCGAACTTGCCTCTCTTTTTTTTTTGTTGGGACCAACTTCATTGCTGGATATTAAATTCGGGTTTGGGTTCCTCACCTACCCGATTGCACAACTTTATCCCAATTCTCCCCAGCCCTTCGATTGATCCAATGACTATAAAGTGAACCCCTTATAACTTACCCCTTATAACTTACCCCTCATTAGGCTGCCGCTAAACCAGGCACTGATATTGTCCTCCTTAACCACCTAGGTCCATATGTTGGGTTGAGTTATGCCCAATGGATCTATAGGTGTGAGATTTTACCTTTAAAAAATTTATGTGGCATCTGCACAAAAAAGAAAGTACATGTGGTATGTGACTTGCACGCGACTCTTTTCAAAGAAAATCCTAACAATCTTGACAACATATTTTTCTACCAAAGTTTAGTTTAGGTCGTAAAATGTCGCAAATAAATAAAAATACAAACAAAGTTTAGGGGGTCAAAATGTCCAACGACTTAAAGTCCACTAGTATTGCTGAAACTTGCCAACTATTAAAGTACCAAGAAAGTATTGTTCATAAGTACTCAAAGTTAATTTTGTCCTAATCAATTTATTTGAGACTACTCAAACACTGTGATTCTATGTTAAAACTTAATGAAACATATGTGGGTTAGGCCATTTTACACTACATGTGACAGGACCCAACCCAAATGCCTCGAGGTGCCCGACACCTACACCTAGTTGTCGGGCATGCACAGGGCGGCTCAGATTCCAAAGTGAAATTTGGGTAAGTGTCGAGCACACCAAAGGGTTCGGCTTTAGAGCGGGTCTGTCAACATGATTAGGGCAATTATTCCGTCCCCTTACACCCAAGTTCAAAATTTCCCTCTCGGTAAATTAGATTAATTTAACATAGAAAGTAGTTTAGACTATTTTCTCAACAAAACAAAAAAGTTGTTTAGACTATCGGTTATATATAAAAAGATATTTTAAATGAATTAATGCTGTGTGTAAATTTCTAAAAGAGAAAAAAAAATAAAGAAACCTGCATAAAAGCATATTACTATATATATTACAAAAACAATTTAATTGTACTACGAAAAAGCCTCTTATCTAATGTTGTAAAGCACTAGGTAACAATGATTATCCATACCATCAGAAGGTCCTGAATAAAAGAGAGAAGAATATATGAATCCCAGATTCACTATCTGCTATTTTAATCTCCCTCTCATTTTTCCGTGATTTCTCCCTTGGAATGTTTGGTCTTCGGCATGGGAGCTCAGCTATGCCCACCCCAAGAGAGAATCAGGCCAGGTAAGTAAAACCGGTGACTGGAGCCATCATCAAGGGGATCAAAGAAGATATAGATGTGGGACTCATCTTGAACTCCATAATCAACCAGCGAAAACCCCATCATCGCCATCATCCTTCATCATAAGTCTATGATCATCAGCGCCGAGAATCAAGATCATACGGTCGTAAGGGAGTTTCTGTTGGGTTTCAATCTCTCGCTTTAGATCAGCAACCGTGGCATTGTTGCCCACTTGAACATAAAAGAGACTTCCTGTCAAATTCTCTACCACCACCTTCATTGTACAAGACAAATGCTACCTTTTTCCATTTCTACTTATCAAACACATTTAAGAGAGAGAGAGAGAGGGAGAGAGGAGAGAGAGAGAGAGAGAGAGAGAGGCAATTGCGTAGGAATTGAAAGGTGGTCACGTATGCTGCATTCTCGGTAGTTAGTTTGTTGCATGCTGATGGAATGGGCTGATTTTTAGTGTTAAGCAAGTGTGATAATTTAATGCTTTTCCTGATTGGGTAAATTTTGCAATCTGATAATAACACCGTCACGAGATGTTATCAATTCACACATATTAATGTTATACCTTAAATATACTTATTACTATCACGTCTTATAATTTTGATGGTTGATAACACCACGCAAGTGTTACACTAAAAAACAAATCTTACGTCGGATTAGATTGGATTTCTAAGTGTAAAGAAATTAGTAAGTTTTTGGCCATGCAAGCTCAAACAAGAATGTATGAGGAAACAAAGCATATGGTAGTGCACGCAGATAAAATGGCAATAAATGAGAATATAATGCGTACTTGTTTATGCAACGAAATGGAATTGAGCATATTTCGCATCCCCTACGTAATGAAAATATGTGAAACAAGTGAAAGAAATTGTATCATTTGTCAAAAGGAAGGAAAAGCTTTGTGTGGACATGGATTTGAAATGGAGAGGATTTACAGAGAGGTCATTTTCTTAGAAGTAAGAAAGACTGTAATATCCACTAAAGAAGAGATAGAAGCTGTAGTGTTGCAAAAAACCAGATACCTAATCAGTAATTTTATTAAAGCTTTTCCCACACCTACGACTAGCAAAGAATCTTTCTAATGTTCTACTTATGAATCAATTTTTCTACAGAAATTACATATTCAATTCAGTCGTCATTTATTTCCTGGAAATCACAATCAGAAGATCGATCAAGCATTTCAAACATGTTATCAATTTTAAATTAAGCTTCACATTCTGTATGCATGAAATAAGCATAAAACTGGGGTCGCTCTAATTCGAATTTCCAGCATTGCGGGGGTGAAAATTAGGAGAAAGACAAATGATTAACAAGTAAATTCCAACAACTTAGTCTGTGAGTATGGAAAGATGAATCAGTGAAGGATGGCTGCCATTCAAGTGTTTCCCCAGCAAACATTGGAATGATTTCTCCAAATGGAAACGAGAAGCAGTCTGGTACCTTAAATGAAGTCTTGCTCAGCTTTATCTTTGACGTGTTTCGAGGAAGTCCATAGAAGTCTGGCCCATTGAAGCTTACAAAGGACTCTAGCTTGTCAAGAGCACCTGCCTGAAATAAGCAAAGTTTGTAATACCATGCCGTGTCACTGACATGTAAACCTATTGGCAGCAGAAATGAAGCAAATATCACAGTTTTCATTTATATATATAATAGCAGAGACACACAGTAAGTTGATGAAACTACCAACTTATCTACTCAACTCAACTGGAATACCAAATGTATAGGGCCGGCTACAAAGATCCTTATTTGGTAGAATTTATCATAACTATATTTATTTATTTTTCCAAGTGTAATAACTAGAATTCACCGCATGATTATCTTGAGCTTCCTTCACTCTTTGATTCTCCTACTTGGATCAGCTCACTCTTTTGCACTGTGTATTTGTATCTCAACATTACACATGACCAAGCTAAATTTAATCACCAACCTTTTAGATCATCATAGATTTCCCAAACTTCCCAATTTTTCCTATATACACATGACCAAACTATGTTTTTATGATGCCTCACTGGTTACATATGAAATTAACCATTAGCAAAAAGAAAGTGAAACGTAAGTGCAAACAGGAAGCCCTATCAACATAAGCAGATACCCGAATTATTACCTCTTCAAAGACCTTGGCATATAATGATAGAGCAACAGGGGCACTGTATATACCAGCACACCCACAAGAAGATTCTTTTCTTCGTCTCTCATGAGGAGCACTATCAGTTCCAATAAAAAATCTTTTACTTCCACTAGTTACAGCTGACACGATAGCCTGTCCTAGATGAGGAATAATAAATCAGCTTGGGAGAAAGAGAGAGAACTAAAAAAATACTTGATTACTTATTTTGTTGTTTATAAATCACAAGTGAAACATGCAACTCCGCAAGATCAAATAATTTGAGAGTGCACCACGAGGACAAACCAGCAACAGTGCTTGAAAGTCCAATTTAGCACATAAAAGGTTTGCAGCATCAGAAATATTTTAATGTAACTTACTGTGAATCTCTCTTTTGAGTACAGGCAGACAGTAATTGTGAGGCTGCAATCCTCCTTGGAAAAGAGAATTTCTATTCAGAAGAAGATGTTGTGGAGTAACTGTAGCTGCTACAAAACCTAGAAAATAGAACTACATGAGATTGGCATGTTCATTTCAAAACTTGTATAATAAGGAAATCCAGTTGTTGAAATGCATCTCTTGTCCAAAAAGAGGAAAATTGTGAATGCAAGAACCCAGATGTGTTGCGTTTAACTGATTACGCATACCTTCTTTGCAAGACCCTACGAACTTAACAGCATCCTTAGTAGTGACATGCTCCATCACAACCTTCAGCTGTGGAAGTCTTTGGATTAAAGGTCGTAAAACAGTGTCAATGAAAACCTTTTCACGATCAAATACATCAACGTCAGCATCTGTAACCTCTCCATGAACCTAAAATAAAATAGCACAGGATGTTCGTTATAGGTTGTCATTCCAGATGATGTCGTCAACAAATGGACTAACAACACAGCTTGTGAAGGAAAGAAGTACACTTCAACATGTAATCCGTTATACATTGTAGTACAACTTACATTAAAGTTAAACAATGAGTCAGTTAACAACTCAAATTAGCTAAAACCATGCACAAATATAGGAAATGTCTGTAAAATCTATTACAATAAGGCCTATATGTAGGCAATTCCATAATGACAAGAAAAGCCTTAAATAAGATTTAAGAAAACGTAATAATTAAACCCTAAATGATAACACAAAAGGCAAGTAATTATAGTATTCAAATTCTTGGAAATATAAACACAATTTTCTAAGCTTCTGCATGTGCCTATAATGAGAAACCTCCGGTATAATTATAAAGAAAACATAACAATTTATCTTAAATTCCAATTCTGAATAATAAAGAAAAAAGTAATTTCTGAGCTTCCTCCTCTACATAAAATTAAATGCTTTCTTCAACAAACACGCCAGCAAGATGTAAATTGTGAAGACATCAACCTGAAATTGGGGTCTGATTTTACTTGACTTAATTTACGAAATAGCATAAGGATCTTTAAAAACAATGCTGGCCAGCCTAACATTGTGACTATAAGGAAATAGCTGCTTTAATGAATTTTCTTTTCATGTCCTCAATTACAATTGAAAGAAAACATACGATCAAAACTGCCTAACCAACACTTCAGTATAAGCGGACAAAGAAAAGAGTTCAAGCTTTTGAGGTAGTAAGAATACCAGCAGAGGCATATTCTGTTGGGCCATCTCCTCAAGGACAGGTAGGCATTTTCCAAAAAGATCTGTAACCCCATCTTGAGAATTTGTTGTGGCACCAGCAGGGTACAACTTCACAGCATACACAACCCCACTTCTTTCTGTCGATATAATCAGAATCAACATGGGGGCACTATTCTCTAATCTAAGAAAGTAAAGAAAAAGAAAGAAAAATTTTAAAAACGAAAGTGCATATTCCATTTTGAGAAGAAAAGCTATATATAAAAAAATATTTTAAAAATGCCTGCATGCATCTAACTAGACAAATGAATGATAAATCATATAAATTGGACCACTGATAAATCATATAAACTTATCACAAACAAACAGACAACAACAAAAATTAAACGAAGGAAAAAAAAGAAGAAAAGAATAAAAGGTTGATACATACGGTGGCAATATTAGAAAGGAAAAACTTTGATGACACATACAAGGTTTAGCAGTAGAAACATACCATCAATTTGTAATACTTAAAGAAAACAAATACTAGAAAATGGACAACTATATCACCACGGATAATATCAACTCTCAGTTATGCTATCATCATTTTGAATCGTGAAAAAGAAAAAAGAACGATAAAACGAAGATTTTTGAAGCTTTAAATGGGTTGACTAGAGTTGAAGCATGATTTAATTTTAAAACACCAAAAGCTAGCTGCACATCAAATAAAGTGGGGGGCTTACTTGCAAGCTTGATCTCGTTAGGATTTGTGGTGTCTGTCAAATAGAGAGTCATAAGAGGAGTGAAGTCACTACCGGCAGGCAGTGCTTTCAAGATGGATTCTCGGTAAGACACAGCTGCAGCTGTGGTAGTGATGGGAGGTTTCAGATTTGGCATCACTATTCCTCTTGCAAAGTGACTTGCACTGCAGGTAATATTGACATCAGAAAACAACAACCCATAATCTACAAGAACATATGTACGCATATATTTTCATTATCAATCAAAAGTAACCTGTGAGGAACTACAGCTTGAAGAAGTTCCCCGTCACGAAGGTGAAGATGCCAATCATCAGGGCGTGTTATAGTGAGCTCCATTTTTGTTCCTTTGTGTCGTAACTGGTTAGACCCTTCAAACTTTGCAGAGGGAAACTTCAATGCCTATGTCACAACAAAAATATTGAACAAAATCGAAAAACTTCAATGCCATAGTATCTTAAGAAGAAGATAATAAACACACCTTGCAAGGCAAGACCAAACTCTTTATCATTCCAAATGCCCCCAAATGCCAGTCCTCTTCAAATTTGAACAATTTTGACTGTTTTCCATAGAGGTAAAAGACTACATCACAAATATTCTGAACACTCCTTGAAGAAATGCAATAAATGTTGTGAACTCATGTCTCAGACAATAATTCAAACAGTTGGTGTGCGAAAATCCAAACCCAAAGAAATGGCGTTAAATTCCGAGCTTAGTCTATATTACTTACAGAGTCCCAATTGGAAGGGCTGACGCTTGAAGCTGATAGTTTGAGAAAGCAGCAAAATCAGAACTTTACCTCATAGTCCTAGACGTTGCGAATGTGCAGAAAAAAAACATGAGTTTTCTAGTGAGGATCCAAAATTTGGAGACTTGTATTTAAATTTAAAAACTGGCACGTGTTGAAACATGTATTATATAATCCAAACAGACAATTTTAAAAAATTATGCCAAACTCGAAATTTAAATAAATTCAAATATTTAATTAATTAAAGAGATATTTAGTGATATACCCATTCTTAGCACTAATATTATAAATAAATCCTACACCATTAAATTTCTATAAACAAACCCAAAAAAAACCTAAAAAATGACAGCTGGCCTTATTGAATTTAATATTGAATATTAAATTACTTTGATGCCTATTGAGTGTTTTGGATATTTTTATGAGATTTTAGGGTTGAGCTTATTTTAAGAAATTGATGGCAGTTATGTAATTTATAAGAAATTAAAAGCTTATTTGTTATGTTATAAATAGGTTTTGAGTGTGTTTATAAAGTCTATTTCATATGAGGTATTTTTATAATTTGGTCCTCTATATTGGGTATAATAGTGAATCTCCCTTAATTAAACTGGGGAAAAAATTAAAAAAATTATGCATGATATTTGAATTTTAAAATAATTTAAATATTTAATTAATTATTTGGTTTAATTAAATCATAAACCCAATATTCTAAGGCCCATCTTTTGATTTATTAAATAGGGTTAATTTCAGTTTGGTATGTTGTAGTGAGTGCTTCTATAGTGAGTGGAAAGTTATAGGGGGGAAAAAAAAAAAAAAAAAAAAAAAAAAAAAAAAAAAAAAAAAAAAAAAAAAAAAAAAAAAAAAAAAAAAAAAAAAAAAAAAAAAAAAAAAAAAAAAAAAAAAAAAAAAAAAAAAAAAAAAAAAAAAAAAAAAAAAAAAAAAAAAAAAAAAAAAAAAAAAAAAAAAAAAAAAAAAAAAAAAAAAAAAAAAAAAAAAAAAAAAAAAAAAAAAAAAAAAAAAAAAAAAAAAAAAAAAAAAAAAAAAAAAAAAAAAAAAAAAAAAAAAAAAAAAAAAAAAAAAAAAAAAAAAAAAAAAAAAAAAAAAAAAAAAAAAAAAAAAAAAAAAAAAAAAAAAAAAAAAAAAAAAAAAAAAAAAAAAAAAAAAAAAAAAAAAAAAAAAAAAAAAAAAAAATCCCTACCACTTGAACTTTTGCCTGAAAGGTAACTTTATGGCCAACGGCTAAAACTCTTTTTGAGAGCCTTCGGCATTAAAAAAAAAATTTCCTAAGTACATTACCGATAAGGAAGTAAGATGCAATCAAGTCAAAATTGAAACAAGCTAAAGTTAAAACACAATTTCAAATTAAAATATGCCCACGGCATCAAGGTTTCAGTCAAAAGATGCCCACGGCATCAATATTACATAAAAAAATACATAGAAAACAATGGGTGGAAATGAGAAGAAGCTTTTGGACGAGGCCTTCTGTCAGGCGGCAGCCTCATCGGCTTCGGCGGCAACCCCATCGGCTTCGGCAGCACCCCCTTCGGGATCGGCTGGGACCTCCTCTGTCATGTCCTCCCCCTCGTACTCCTCGACCATTTCTTCGGTTATACCTTCAGGAAGAGGGGGAGGATCGGCAATGAAGTTGAGGTTGAGCTTCTTCCCGGGGTTGTACCGTTTGAAACGGTAGATCAGGTCCGCCATTTCCAAGCCTACCTCCTTGTCCAGCAAGGTGGAAAACTCGGTGGACCGACGGTAGCCCCGTATCGCCTCCTGAACGGCAGCCTCGATCTCGGAAGCCCTGACCCGCTCGGACTCCTCAAAGGCCACCTGGACCGCCTCCTTCAACTCCACAGCCTCCTTTGCCGTCAGCTGCGCCGCCTCCAAGGCTGCCGACATCTCGCCAAGCTTGCCTTGATAAACTTTTACCTGCCGTTCGGCAGCCTGCATGTCCTTGGCCAAATTCGCCTGAGCTTGGATGGCTTTGCCAGCTTCGGCAACCTTCGCCCTGCCGTCTTCGTATGCCTTCTTCGCCTTTTCGGCGGCATTAATGGCTCGCTTGACGCAGAGCCACATGTCCATTGAGGCCTGAAAACGGCAAAGGAAAACGTTAGAGGGAATGTGGAAACGAACGGCAGAAAATCGCTAAAACAGTAGGCACCTACCGAAGCTTGGAGACGGAAGGCGCGGCCAGCCTCCTCCCGAAGGAGCTTCTTCGGCAGGTCGTCGATCTTGGACAGCTCCATTTGTGAACCGAGGATCATATGGTTCACAAACTGTACCGTCTTCGAAGGACAGCCAGGGTGACAGCTTCAGGAGGCGCCTCGTCGTCCTCGGCAGAGAAGATGGCCCGAGCAGGCTCGGCTTGTCGCCCGCGTTTTGGCGCAGGGTCGGCATCAAGGTCCACCGTGATCGGCCTTTTGCCTGCAGCTCTGGAGGAGGTACCCTCGGTAGGCGCGCCTCGGCTGGGGGACGGACCAGCATCGGCAGCTTCGGCACGGGCCGATTCAGCATTCATCTGGCGACGGAGCTCGTTGAGGGTCAGATCGTCAGGGTCCACCCCTCCTGAACTCGCCGGTGCCGTTCCGGCCTGCCGCCCCTTCTTCTTCCCCTGCATGCCGAGCATGAGGCGCCTCTTTGATGATTCGTTCATCCTCTTTGCCTCGGCAGCTTTCCTCTCTTCGGTCACTGCGAGAAGGAATCGGTCAGATTCCCGATATGCGTTTTAAACTATCAGAATGGTAAAGTATGCTTACTCTCGGCAGGGTTGACGAGTTGAGCTTTGATGAGATTGGCGGTGAAGAGAAGCTTCGGGTAAACCCTCTCCACGGCAGGGACCTTCAGCCTAACCGTTTCAATCTGCCGGATCTCCGCCTGTGTAGCACTCGGCTGCTTCAACTTGCCTGCACAAAACAAAACGGAATTAGCACTACCAAAGGAAAACACGATCTACATGCCCTACCGAACGGTAGGATAGCCTACCGGCGATTTGGAACGTGGTTGGAATGTGGAAACGGACGGGATGTCCCGAGGGCGACTCCCAGTCACCGGACAAAAGCACCCGCCGTTTCCTCCACGTCTTCTGGGAGGTCGGGAACAGCGTTGATGAAGTGACCACGCTCGGTAGCCTTCAGGCAGTTAGCCTGGACCCAGCCCCCGTGATCGGCACACTTCGACTTCGTGACACTGTACAGATGGGAGAACTGCTCGTACGAGGGCTCTCCCTCCCCAGCCATGCCGAAGGCTGTGACTACCCCCATAAGCGCTACCCAGAAGTTGGGATTGAACTGGCCGAGAGCATAGCCTATCTGCGCCAGGATCCTCTGAACGGCGGGCTGCAGAGGGAGCCTCACCCCTTGCAGAAGCACGTCCGTGAAAAAGACGACTTCGCCGTCCTTTGGACTACTTAGAGATTCGGTAGGATTTGGGATCCTCATGCCTACCGAATCTGGTATGAAGTATTCAGCCCGAAACCTCGCAATCTCCCTCTCGGTGATTCTGTTGGGCTCCAGATAATCTACACCGAAGACGAGCTCCTTCGGAACCCCCATCGGCACCCTAGGATTGCTGGGGTAGACTACCGAGACCCTCGGCCGGTTGGATGGTTCGGCAGCTGGCTCACCACGGCCGGAAGTGGAGGCCTCTGGTTGGTGACTACCGCTCGCCTCCCCAGGGGCGCCAAGCCCCACATGGCGACCGTCGCTATAGACAATAGACAACGGTACCGGAGCGGTCATAAGCCCCTTTCCGATGCCATGTACAGGGACGGAGCTGGGCCCTTCGCCGAGTATCTCGACATCGGTATCACTTCCCTCCTCGGCATCAGGCCCTGCCGCTTCAACATCGGAGTCAAAGAGACTTTCCGATGACTCCTCATCGAACGCGTTGGGCTCACGCTCGGAGAAAGACTCGCTATCGGACATCTACAAAAAACAGGGAAGAAAGGAAACTAAGGTTCATGCCGGATCCTATCCTACCGATCCCTACATCACTACCTATGGCGACTAGACTACCGAATGGAACCCTATGGTCAGTCTAGTTCAAACCAAGGAAGGACGTAAACTCTTAAGATATGTAAAGAGGGAAAAGTAGGGCTACCGAACGGTACCTTAGTTGAACTTCTGGAAATGGACGCAGACTGTGCTTCAGATCGCCTGGACACGAATCGCCCTTCCTACCGTGGTCTACCGGAAATCGCCTGGATACCGTAGCTCTTGTCGGAAATCGCCTGGAATACCGTTAGCACTTGTCGGAAATCGCCTGGAATACCGGAAGCACTCGTCGGAAATCGCCTCAACAGAGCTCTCGTGTGCTCACTAAGTCCAAAGTGATTGCGCCCCCGGAGTCGCCCCTATTTATAGGGTGAGCGCGCGAAACGGCATGCCTCGAAAAACCAAACGGCGCATTAATGCGCCGCGCGCCATCATTACTCTCGCCACGTGTCGCTCATCCTGTGGGGAACAGACGGCACGCGAGGCGCGGAAGTCGAAGCGGTCAGACGTCCCTTCGCCCGTCAGCTCGACGCGACTTCTGACTTCGCCAACGTCAGCCTCTGAACAAATAATGCCGGAAGGGACAAAGTTTAGCCCCTTCCCCAAGTTGGACTACCGAACGGTAGGGCCACGGTTCTTTCCGAAGACAACTTCAAATCCCCTTCCGAGAACTCTCGCAAGGGGACTTGGGGGACTCCTGTTTATACCAAAATGAACAGCCAATGAATATCGAACACGTGGGCTAAACCAGGGCCATGTGTGCCTTCGGCATCCACCTTCGGTACCAAACCCACCGATCGCAACATTAGGGCAACCTCGCCCCCTTTGACACGTGGCAGTCCCACAACTGACGCCCAGAGTCCCACATCGAAACTCTAAACAAATTGCACACCTCCCAAGGCCTATAAAAGAGGGACAACCATCCCGTCTTAAAGGTAATCAATCAGAACTGACGGCATACTGCCTATTGATCTGTAGTTCAAACTTACTAAATCCGTACTTACTTAAGCATCGGAGAGCCTTCGGCCGGTACCACACCGGTGCCCTAGGACTTACCGTGCGTTTGCTATCTTACAGATCGCACCCCTTACCGAGGACATCAGATACCGAAGAGACTAAATCACTAAGTTGCGCGGGAAAGTGCCGAACCATTTTTCTGCGTCAACAATTACCATTACTTATGATACTCCAAATGGGATTTTCTTTGTTTTGATATATCGATCGGTAGGTGTTCCACGGTTTTTGCTTTCAAACATAAAAATCAATAGCATACAAGGGGGGAGAGGGGCAGAGAGAGAGGGGGAGAGCACTATTAATAGAAACTGTGCACACCTAGGGTGGTGACATAGCTTCACTCTCTCTCTCTCTCACTTGTCAATTCCACAACAACTGCTATTGACGAGTCTAAATGTTGTTATTCAAGAAATTACTGATGCGACCTCTATAACATAGCATTAATTATAATGATTTATGAAAGTCTAACATGTGCAAGGCCAAAAATCTATGGGAAATAATGATTATAGTTAAATGGCTATTGTTGATGTTCAAATGGTTGGGCCAAGATTGAGTCCAACTTAGTGATGAGGTGTGATGGATGATGAATGAAGGTGAGGACCTTAAGCATGTGTGTAAAGACTTGGGCAAGCGATAAATGTAAAGAAGACAAGATATACGTTGTTCACCCTTAATGAATGGGCTACGTCCACGGAGAAGTATTCTCTCATTATAATGGTGTATGATTACATTTGTACATGGGGTTGGACCTGAATATAAAGATGACAAGTGAGATGCCCGGGCCAGGGATCTAGGAGAGAGTCCCCGGCCCTAGGGTCTAGCTCTGAGACCCGGATCCTCTTCTAAGTGGAGAGAGAAGTCCCACTTTCACATGATACTATTCCCTATTTATAGGGAGGTGAAAGTGGGAGGTTTGCATAGAATTTCGATGTGGGACTCTTGCAAGTCGTTGTGATGGTGACACGTGTCATGGAAAGTAGTTTTGGCAATTTGGGAGCTTCAGCAGGTGCTTGGCACCTCGGAGGAGTGTCTTCCTTCGGCATGAGAGAAGGCGTGTCTACCTTGGTGCTAGTTGATTTGAGGCTGGATATGCTCGGTTGATTGTGGTGTAAACAGTAGTCCCCCAAGTTCGCGGTCAAGAAGTAACTTATGGGTTGGGAACTTGTGAGTTTTTGTGTAATCATGACCGAGCATTCCAGGCTCAGTGGGAGCCATAGGGCATTCCCTAGTCCCCCAAGTTGACAAGCTAGAAGTTGCGTTAATACTTGGAAGGTATGATAAAAGCTATGTTATCTTCTGGGATTTTTGGTAGCTAGGTACCTGGATTTTTGACAAGTCCTTGTAGCCGAGCCCTTAAGTTTCGGGAGCTAGGCTTTGGCAAAGGGAGGATTGGGTGAGCCATTCTTTTGCTTCAATGCTCCCTGCATCTTTTTTTTTTTTTTTTTTTTTTTTTTTTTTTTTTTTTTTTGGAAAGTGGTATGGGCTTCATAGTGCTGGGCCCAGGAAGGCTCAGCAAATAGTGGAGCTGGGTCATTTGCATAGTGAGTTGGCATAAGTCGGGGTGGGGGCCAAGTTGGGCTTGCGATTTGCATGTGCTGGGCTCTAGTTGGCTTCGGCGAGGTAAAGACTCCTCTATTGTTGCAACTTGCAAGCACGCCTCGAGACCTCTTCATGACCCTTGCCGTTCGGCAAGGGCAGTTTGGGAAAAATAAATAAATAAAAAGAATCTGAAGCCGAGCTCATTCTTGAGTGTACTTCGGCATGTCAAGCAGGCTGGGCCTTCTGCGTGGCCCCTCCGTGTTAGGGTTTGGAATGTAGAGGAGTGTAAATACCGTCTTGTAAGTCTTGCAGTTCGGCAACATAGATGCTTCACAGCTTCGGTAGAGCTTTTAGCTGGGCATTCGGCAGGTTCTTCCAAAGTTGGTTATGGAAGGAGAAGAGGTATCGGGGACCTGGGCACTGTTCACCCAAGCTGCCGAACGGCAAGGGCTGACTGAATCTTTTGGAGCCTGTGGTGGCTTCAGAAAGAGGGGTGTTCGAAGAAAGTTCCAGCACATTCGAGCTTCGGCAGAGGGGGTCTTTGTGAAGCAGCCGAGCGTTGGGCTTAAGTCCTTGGTGTCAGAAATAAGGGATTGGACCCGGGTTTCTAGACCCATCAATTTTTCAGTCCCCTATTTTTTGTCTACACGGCCCTTGCCGAACGGCAAGAGTGTGTTTTGTTCTTCCGCTGTGCCTTGAGCTGGGAATTGGAGCTGGAGAAGAGGTTTCTAGGAGCTGAGCTCGGCAAGCTAGAGTTTGGAGCTGGTTGCGTGGGCTCAGCAGGATTGTTTCTTCCGTAGGTGCTGGAGAGCTTGGGCAAAGTGAAGCTGGTTCGGCAAGATAGCTTGCATGCTTTGGGATGGTGACTACTTGCGCTCCTGTTTTATGCCTTTGGTTTTGCTGAACCCTTGCCGAACGGCAAGGGTTATGTGAGTTGTTGTTTTGAGGTTACCTGCGTGTTGGCAGAGAGTTTGGAGCTAGGTCGTGACTTTCATGGACTTCTCAAATTCGCAGCATGGCCCCTGCCGTTCGGCAAGGGTGCCTAGAGTAAATTTCCGAAGCTTCTGAAGTGCTGGGATCAGGTATGGGAGCTAGGATTTGAGACAGCTGCAAGGAGGAAGAGTTCGAGACGGCAGGTGCCGTTCGACAAGAGACCCGATTTGGCTTGGGTCTGTCGACTTTTCGTTGGTGAATCACGAGCCCCTTGTTCGGCAAGCATGTATTTTGTTGAGGGCCTTGTCGCAAGCTTCAGCAAGAAAGACCTAGGATTTTCTGCAGAATCCCGGAGAAAATTGGGCTTGGGGCTGGGCCTTTAGTGAACCCAAGAAGTTCTGTCTTGGCTAAGCTGGTGTAGATACGCTTATGAGCTGTGAAGGCAGATTTGGAAACCTTGGGATTGGGCCCTTCGGTGTGTGAAGTGAAGCTGGGCTTTCGGTGCTTGGCTAAGCTACACGAGCTGGGCCCTTCCCTTTTGAAGTGTGGCTGGGTCTTTTTGTTTCGGCAGGAGGAGTTGTTTCTATTAGCCAAAGCTCAACCCCTGCCGTTCGGCAAGGGTGGCTTGAGAAATTTTAAGACCTTGCTGAAAGTGTTGGGGTCTTTGGCAAGATGATTTGGAGTGTTGATTTTCGAGGTTCTCACATTGGCAAGCTGGTCCGTGGGTACTACCAGCTTCGGCGAAGAGATTTGGTTGACGGGCTGTGTTGGGACCGAAGGCTTTGTAGCTGGAGCACGGGTTGGCAAGGGAGGGCCTTGGTGAGGCTGAAAATTGGGTTGGATGCAGGAAGGACCGTGAGCTGGGCCCTTGCCGAGTCCCCTGGTGTTCCAGCTTAAGTGAGCTTGGAGCTAGACCTCTGAAGATTGGTGTGAATTTGGAGCTGAGGAAGTTGAGAGGAGTTCGGGGCCTCTCTTGCTAGTGCCTTGAATTTATTGAAATTGTCGTTTGGCAATTGACTTCAGACAAGAGACAAATGGGGTCTGTCTTTGAGGTTCTTTGTTGTAGAATGCCTAGCCAATAATTTTGCTGAATTTCTGATGCCTCATAGTGGGAATGCAGGTGGGCATTTTTTTGGATTAATTGGAACAGTGTTCTGCTCCTTGGCCATGCAAAGTGACGGCAAGACATTCAGCAACCTCCAAATTGGTGCTATTGTCAATGTCTTGGGCGTTCCACTCCCTTTCTTCCCTTCATTTAACTAATTGAAATTGAAACACTTGGGCTTCCTTCTGGATTGAAATAATGGCTTGTCCTGGGCATGCAAGCCATGCAAAGTGATAAATATATATATATATATATATATATATATTTTTTGAGGGCCTAAGTACCTTGCGAACCCTTGGGCTAGGCCAGTCCGTGCGTGACCTGAAGCTGGGATTTGGTGGCTAGGCCATTCGGCAAGCTGAGTACTTGAGGGTGCCTTGATAGGAGCTGGGCCATTTGATGGGTGCCTAGAGAAAATTTTGAATTTTCTGAAGTGTTTTTGTGAGCTGACTTGGGTACGCTTTGGCAGGTTCGAGTATTGGCCACGGATCTGAGGAGCTGGGTCATTTGGAGCTGTAGCACGGGTCGGTACCCTTGAGGCTGGGCCACTAGGTGCAGGTCGCTAGGAGTTGGGCTCCTTGACATTCGGCAAGAGAGAGAGTCTAGAGCCGGACTCTTGGTAGGTGTCTTGAAGGATTTGGCGAACGTTGGAGCTGGTCCTGTTTCGGCTAGGAATTAGCTAGGATTTGGAGCTGGGCTCCTTGAGGTTTGGTGGTCTTGACTTGGGACTGTGAGCTGGGCCATTCGGCAAGCATTTGAGGCTAGGCCCTTAGAGCTACGTCATTATGAAGTTTCGTGGAGCCGAGCCATTGTGAGGCTGGGCCATTCCGCAAGTGCGTACTTAGGCTTAGGAGGCGGGGTGCCTTGATCAGATTTGGTGGCTGGGTGAGCATTGAGGCCTAGGATGCGTTGCTTGCAGTCAATGAGTAGTGCTGATTCGTGGCAGATATTGGTCAGCATGCATTCCCCAATAAAAGCCAGGCGAGATGGTCTCTTCGGCAAGATAGAATTTGGTGAGGCCAAGGGGCTGGGCTTTCGACAAGATAGAATTTTGGCATGCTGTATAAATCCTTCAGCAAGTCTTAATAAATGGTGAAATACTTTGTGGCATGTGTAGAATTGTGGTAGCCCTTTGTTGATGTTCATTTCTCCATGCAACGTGATGCCCTCTTTGTTGTCGACATGCATTGTCCAATATGGTGAAAGGCACGTAAAGGACAAAGAGGAAATATAATAATGGGGCATGGATTACTTTAGTTGTTCTAAGTGATAATGGACAAAGATAGGAAGAAGTCTTATCTTTTTGTAAACGTGGCAGCCACATTTGGGTTGAACGGTGACAACTCCATGCAAAGCCATGTATGCCACGCATGGTGATACCCTTGGTGTATTTGGAATATTTGGCCACCCATAATTTGAGACTCCTTCAAGGTGACTGAAGGGTGGTTCCTTGGGCTGAAATGGTGGCTTCCTCCTTTGGCCAGGCAAGGCGAGGTGTCAAAGGCATCGCTCACGCCGGATAATGATGGGGTGCCGAAGGCATCGCTCTCGCCCAATGATGACGGAGGTGCCGAAGGCATCGCTCGCGCCTAATTGTGGCATGGTACCAAATGTAACACAGAGCTTGCATATTGCAAGGCTTTGTAGCCGGGCACGGGGTGTCGAAACCAATACAAAGCTTGCGTGTCGCAGAGCGAAGCAACTAGGCACGATGGTGCTGAACGCGACATAAGGTGTGACTAGGCACGGGGGTGCCAAGTGCAACACAAAGCTTGCATGTCGCAAGACGATGTGGCTAGGCACGATGGTGCCAAAAGCGAAACAAGGTGTGGCTAGGCACGGGGGTGTCGAGTACAACACAAAACTTGCGTGTCGCAGAGCGATGTGGCTAGGCATGATGGCGCCGAAGGCGATACAAGGTGTGGCTAGGCATGAGGGTGCCGAGTACAACACAAAGCTTGCGTGTCGCAAGGCGATATGGCTAGGCACGATGGTGCTGAAGGCGACACAAGGTGTGGCTAGGCACGGGGGTGCCGAGTGCAACACAAAGCTTGCATGTCGCAGAGCGATGTGGCTAGGCACTGTGGTGCCGAAGGCGATACAAGGCTCGCATGTCACAAGGCGATGTGATTAGGCAGGAAGGTGCCGGAGGCAACACAAAGCTCGCTTGTCGCAAGGCAATGTGGCTAGGCACGATGGTGCTGAAGGCGACACAAGGTGTGGCTAGGCACGGGGGTGCCGAGTGCAACACAAAGCTTGCATGTCGCAGAGCGATGTGGCTAGGCACGGTGGTGCCGAAGGCGATACAAGGCTCGCATGTCGCAAGGCGATGTGATTAGGCAGGAGGGTGCCGGAGGCAACACAAAGCTCGCTTGTCACAAGGCAATGTGGCTAGGCACGATGGTGCTGAAGGCGACACAAGGTGTGGCTTGGCACGGGGGTGCCGAGTGCAACACAAAGCTTGCATGTCGCAGAGCGATGTGGCTAGGCACAGTGGTGCCGAAGGCGATACAAGGCTTGCATGTCGCAAGGCGATGTGATTAGGCAGGAGGGTGCCGGAGGCAACACAAAGCTCGCTTGTCGCAAGGCAATGTGGCTAGGCACGATGGTGCTGAAGGCGACACAAGGTGTGGCTAGGCATGGGGGTGCCGAGTGCAAAACAAAGCTTACATGTCATAGAGCGATGTGGCTAGGCACGGTGGTGCCGAAGGCGATACAAGGCTCGCATGTCGCAAGGCGATGTGATTAGGCACGAGGGTGCCGGAGGCAACACAAAGCTCGCTTGTCGCAAGGCAACGTGGCTAGGCACGATGGTGCTGGAGGCGACACAAAGCTTGCATGTCGCAAGGCAATGTGGCCGGGCACGAAGGTGCCGAAGGTAACACAAAGCTTGCGTGTCGCAGAGCGATGCGGCTAGGCACGGGGGGTGCCGAAGGCAACACAAAGCTCGCATGTCGCAAGGCAATGTGGCCAGGCACGAAGGTGCTGGAGGCAACACAAAGCTTGCGTGTCGCAAGGCAATATGACTAGGCACGGGGGTGCCGAAGGCAACACAAAGCTCGCGTGTCGCAAGGCAATGTGGCTGGGCACGAAGGTGCCGAAAGCAACACAAAGCTTGCGTGTCGCAGAGCGATGCGGCTAGGCACGGGGGGTGCCGAAGGCAACACAAAGCTTGCATGTTGCAAGGCAATGTGGCCGGGCACGAAGGTGCTGGAGGCAACACAAAGCTTGCGTGTCGCAAGGCAATGTGACTAGGCACGGGGGTGCCGAAGGCAACACAAAGCTCGCGTGTCGCAAGGCAATGTGACTGGGCACGAAGGTGCCGAAGGCAACACAAAGCTTGCCTGTCGCAGAGCGATGCGGCTAGGCACGGGGGTGCCGAAGGCAACACAAAGCTTGCATGTCGCAAGGCAATGTGGCCGGGCACAAAGGTGTTGGAGGCAACACAAAGCTTGCGTGTCGCAAGGCAATGTGACTGGGCATGAGCAGCAGCGCCGGTTGATGGCTGAGTGCCTAAGGCATCGCTCGCGCCAGTTGATGGCTGGGTGCTAAAGGCATCGCACAAGCTATATGATGAAGATTGTATGGGTGCCGAAGGGCTCTGAGGAAGGGGAGAACGACATAAGCCTTTTGTATCAATTCCCACAGACGGCGCCAAACTGTTGATGCTCAAAATGGTTGGGCCAAGATTGAGTCCAACTTAGTGATGAGGTGTGATGGATGATGAATGAAGGTGAGGACCTTAAGCATGTGTGTAAAGACTTGGGCAAGCGATAAATGTAAAGAAGACAAGATATACGTGGTTCACCCTTAATGAATGGGCTACGTCCATGGAGAAGTATTCTCTCATTATAATGGTGTATGATTACATTTGTACATGGGGTTGGACCTGAATATAAAGATGACAAGTGAGATGCCCGGGCCAGGGATCTAGGAGAGAGTCCCTGGCCCTAGGGTCTAGCTCTGAGACCCGGATCCTCTTCTAAGTGGAGAGAGAAGTCCCCCTTTCACATGATACTATTCCCTATTTATAGGGAGGTGAAAGTGGGAGGTTTGCATAGAATTTCGATGTGGGACTCTTGTAAGTCGTTGTGGTGGTGACACGTGTCATGGAGAGTAGTTTTGGCAATTTGGGAGCTTCGGCAGGTGCTTGGCACCTCGGAGGAGTGTCTTCCTTCGGCATGAGAGAAGGCGTGTCTACCTTGGTGCTAGTCGATTTGAGGCTATATATGCTCGGTTGATTGTGGTGTAAACAGCTATAATAATTGGGTAACACTAATACTGCTCTCCACATTCCATCTCTTGCATGCATTTCTAAAGAAATATTTTATATTTTCGTGCGCACTCACAAGTGCAATGGAAGCTCAAAAATAGGGCAAGTCTTAGAATTAATTTTTTGTCAAGCTTGAGTGGCAGTTATGTCAAAAGCATGCATAGCATGATAAGTCCTTTTGTTTAGAAGATAACTCGTTACCTCATCCTTCCTCACCATTTGAGGTAACTTTGACGACTTGACCTCCAATGCTTAGGTTAAACAAACAAAAACAAGAATTAGGGTTCTTAGACTCAATAAATTTGATGGTCGAGACATGATGCTCTGCTTACTCGTGTGAACGATGTTGTATGCTCCTAATCAATGCATGATTAAGGTTGTGTTGGTTTCCCACGCATTGACCTAAGGGGTAAACTTATTGTCTTCAAGTGTACCATTTTTCATATCAATTTTGAGCCTCCAAAAAGAGCTTCTTAATCTCAATTAATAAGAAAGGACATACAAATTGGATTAAGCACTTGACAACAAGTGATTAGAGAACTTCAAGGATTAAAGTTTCTTGGTCTGAGAATGGATTAAGTATTTGACAACAATGAAATGCAAATGGGACCTCTATTCTATAATTAAAAAGATTGGTCCCCTTACTTTTAATTCTTGAGGCACCACCACATGTTGTGACTATGTGAACGAGTTTTGACTTGTCAAATTAGAACTTTCGCCTTCATCCCTAATCCTCCCAAAGTGATACCAAAGTAGCTTTTGACCTGTTCAACGTCCATGATTCAAGACTTTATCAAATGAAGAATTTTGTGCAACTTTTGCTTTGCTTAGATTGGACTTTATCAATGAGTTGTCCTAAATAAAATAGAATGGCCCTTTTTCTGAGATGAATTTGAATAAAGTTTTGCTTTCCTTGAAAACTGATAATTCAATTTTAAGTAATGTAATTTATCAGATTATTAGTTCCCTCAACTGATTGATAAAAATTGTACCAATAAAATCCACCAAACTTCTCATAATTGTTATTTTCATTTATCTAGTTTGCTATATGTTTATTGTTTGTTTTCATTTTGAGTCTATTCTAAATCTTATCTATTCACGGCAATACCAATGGTCTTAAGTTCGAATACACAAGACACCTTGATAATGTGTGTGTGAGAAACCCCGGCCCCCTCCCTCTTATAATTTAAACTATCACTTATAATAAATGATAAAAATTAATACTAATATTATACATTTTATTCTTGTATAACTAGATGCATTGTTGATTTAGTTAGAAGACAACTAGCCCATATTTTATTCTTGTATAACTAGATGCATTGTTGATAGATATCTTTGTTTATGTTTTCTATAAAGAACATGAAAATATCTGAAACCATGGGTCAACTAATCATCAGTTTTAGGATAAAGAAGTTGACCATGTAAGAAAGCATGACATTATTGATGCATGCGTTGCTTCATTTCCTCCATATTTAAAATTTTATGCGACACCTAACATTAACATCAACCATGCATTGGGAACGGCAGAGGATTGATTTATGTTCCAAGGGCCAGGAAAAAAAAAAACCTATTATTTCTCTTTTATTTTATATTAATGATTTTTATTGGGTTAATTAGTTTGAAAATGTTTGTACATGTGAACCAATTATTGTGTGGTATGACTCTCTTGCATGCTTTGGTGGTCCACTAATTCTTTGCTTTAATACAAAGCTGTCTTGATTATGATTGAGGGCAATTCAATTCAATAAGATTGAATTAACTGAACAGAATTTGATACTCCTAAAGTAACAGATCAGAACCTGTGTCAAGAGTCTCCTGCTTTTCAATTCATCAAACACATATTTGAATGCCTACATTCAAATTTTAGAACATTAAACTTGCAGTGTAGAACAAAAAAAAAAAGGATGCAATCATAATCAATGGTAATGCTCATTGACGAAAGAATTTATTTGCGTGATTTTTTTTATTATTATTATGTTTACATTCCACATATTATAGTAGGCCAGAATGAAAGCTCTTGAGAAAAATCAAACTTGGACACTGGAAACTTTACCACAATGAAAAAATATTGTCGGATGTAGATGGATGTTTATCATAAAACACATCGCAGATGGATCTATCGAACAATACAAGGTAAGACTTGTGGCGAAAGGGTACACACAGACTTATGGTGTAGATTATGAAGAAACCTTTACATCAGTTGCAAAATTGAACGCAGTCAAAGTCTTACTATCCCTCGCAACTAATTTAGACTAGTCACTATACCAGTTTAATGTAAAGAATGTTTTCCTACATGGAGAGCTCACGAAGGAAGTGTATATAGACATTCCTCCTGGATATATTACTACTCAGACTGGAATAGTATGCGAATTACGAAAGGTGTTGTATGGACTGAAATAGTCACCATGGTTCACCATGGCAATGAAGAACAATGGTTTCAGACAGAGTAACTCAGATCACACTATGTTCTTGAAACATCAAAAAAGGAAGGTAATAGCTTTAATAATCTATGTTGACGACATGATTATTACTGGGAATAATAAACATTAAATATCTCAGCTACAAGACTATTTGGCTACTGAATTTGAGATGAGGAATTTAGGTGGTCTCAAATATTTCTTGGAGATTAAGGTGGTCCGATCACAACAAGGCATATTTCTCTCTCAAAGGAAATATGTCTTGGACTTGTTGACAGACACAGGAATGCTAGATTGCAAACATGTAGACACTCCTATTGTTCATAATCATCATCTTGGAGAATACCCGGATCAAGTTCTAACTAACAAAGAAAGATACCAAAGGTTAGTGGGAAGATTAATCTACTTGTGTCATACTCAGCCAAACGTTGCTTATACGGTGAGCGTCTTCAGTCAATTTATGCATTCTCTAAGTGAAGGCCACATGAATGCAGTTATTCAAATACTTAGATATTTAAAGTCTGCACCGGAAAAATGACTTGTGTTCTCAAAACATGGTCATCTGAATAGTGATGGTTACACATATGCAGATTAGGCAGGAAGTAAAATGAATAGGAAATCCACATCTAGTTACTTCACATTCGTGGGAGGTAATTTGGTTACATGGCGAAGCAAGAAACAGAAGGTGGTCACCTTATCTCATGTAGAAGCCGAGTTTAGAGTTCTGACTAAAGGAATTTGCGAACTCATTTGGTTAAAGAGGTTGCTTACTGAACATGGGTATAGACCTACATCTGTAATGAACCTTTTTTGTGACAACAAGGCTGCAATAGCTATTGCATAGAATCCAGTTCAACATGATCGCACCAAACATGTTGAGGTACATCGACACTATATCAAACAGAAGCTCGAAGCTAAAGTGATTTAATTTCCTTTCGTAAAGTCCGAGGATCAATCGGCGGATATTTTGACAAAAGCAATTTCCCATAGAGCATTCCACAATTCATTGGACCAATTGGGCATTGGCTACATCTATGCACCAACGTGAGGGAAAGTGTTGGTGTGACTTGTGGACCATTAACTTTCTTTCCTTTCACACCAAGGATTCCCATTATAATTACATTTGATTTACTTTAATTCTTTATTTATTATTGTAAATAGAAATTTATTATTTATTTGGCCACTAAGGCTCCATTGTATTATAAATTTGACACCCTACAAGGAAGGGAATACACTGAAAATTCCCACAAACAAATATTCTCCCATAGTTCTCATATTTTAAGCATATCCTACTCGTGAAGAGCTACACCCAATTGAGCTCAACCAATTGCAATTTATTTTCAATAATTTTATGGAGATCAAATTTTTAAATCACATTTGAAGATTACATGGTATGACATGACATGCGATTTAAAATGTAGATTTGTTTGAAGTTGATGTTTTTATCCATTTTGACATGTTATCATCTGCAACTGAACCTCATTGCATCATGTGGACACCATTCGATCACATTAAAAGGCATTGGCAGAATATTCAACCACATAAAATCATCCGTAATTGTTTGTAACATAAAGAAAGAGGAGTAATATATATTTCACACAAATTCTGTGCAATATATTTTTCAAAAATTATTTGTGCATGACGTTAATTCTATCTTTAATTAAATACCAAACATTCGATATTCACATTGATATTTAATTGAAGTTGGCAAAAGTATATTATTTTTATTATTGATGATAATAATATCGACACATTATCTGTTCCACGTGGACAATTCTATCTTTATTGAAAATCAAATGCTTGATACATAGCCAAACTATAATAATCGACAGGTTACGAAATACATGTCGAGAGCCTTACCTTTATTAGAGATCAAACGTTTAATATAGAGCCGGACTAATTGTCGACACATTACCTGTCGAGAGTCCTATCTTTATTTATTAAAGATCTTGTCCTTTCTATAGTTCAGATATATGTATGCTCATCATGGACAGAAAGTAATGACGTAGTTAGGTCCACCTTTGCATGTAAATGTACCCTTTTTGTCATCATAAGCATAGCTGTAAGCGTTGGGGCATGCGTGACTGAATATCTTAGAGTACTTTGTCGGTGGGCATGTCTCTGGAGTGTTTTGAGGCGGAGTGCAACAGTACTTTGGCTTTTTGAATGCGACACATGCGCTCAAGCAGGCAACCACTTTCCCATTGGCCCCTTTCTTTTGCAGCTCTCTCGGACAAACTTTGTTCACGTTCTTTGGGCAACTAGCCGTCTTGCAGTCGCCGGTACCGCCTTGTGGATTCACAGACATGGGCAAGTTAAAGCCGTCAACAAGACTAACGTCGTAGAAATCTTTTCCTCCGCCTGCTGGAATATTGAATTCTGCTAAAGTTGCCGGCGGAATAGGACCGTTACCGTTGCACTTGACCTTACCGGAGGCACAGTCTGCGGTGGCACAGACGAACTTTCCATAGGCGTCCATGGAGCATCCAGTTCGGGCCCAGAAGCGGCCGTTCCATGGCTCCGGAGTGTGTAGCTTGAACCTAGCATGGGGTGCTAACTTGAACCCTGTGGTTGATAATTGAGGTTTTTTTCCCGGAGGTTTGGGTTGCTGGCCAGACCGTGTAGGGGCAATTGTTTTTGAAAGACATTTTCGCTGCATGTGCACCTGCCATGCAAAGTAAACCACACTTAATTTGATGCAGTAATCACAAACCACACTTATTGTGACAAAATATTAAATTAAAATGAAAGAAAATAAGAAGCTTCGACTTATTGTGACCAAGTATTTCTGTGGTTTGGGCAAAAAGAAAAACTTAAAGAAAATAAGAAGCTTGTTTACCTCCGAAGGAAAGGATGGTTAAGCTGAGGCTGAGGACTACTACTAGGGTCGTCATCATCGGAATGTCTTAGTTTGCTTTGCTTCGAATTTGATGAGCTTGGGCTTTAGTTATATAGGCTTAGTGCGGGCCTAACTTTTGTTCTTTTGCAGGGCACCTTCTACAGTGCACGTGGGGGTATCGATACACCATATTTGTTTTTTTTTTTTTTGTGTTGTTCAAGTTGCTCGATTCCAGCTTTTCTTTTTTTTTTTTTTTTTTTTTTTTTTAATCTTTGCCCTTTTTTGTAGGAAAGAAACTTTGTCTTATTCAAATTTTCTGCCCCGAGGTTAGGGTTCCTTTTTGTTTTGGCATGGACTAGATATACATAGATATTGAAACAAAAAAAAGGATGAACATAGATCGATGAAGAGGGCTATCATCTATATGATATGATGCATAGAAACAAAAAAACAAAAAACAAAAAACAAAAATATAAATAACAGCAACTAAAAACAAAAAATTAATAATAACACCAACCAAAAAAAATAATAATAACAGCAAATCTTGACAAGCACACACGTTATATGATATGCATCGAATACAAGATGTGCAATTGCTTGAATATATGACGGAAAAATAGAAACAGCGATTGCTTGGATATATGACGGCAACAATAACTATTCAACTATTCATACATGATGTGCATCGAATACAAGCAACAACAATTGCTTGGATATATGATGATGTATAGCAACAACAATTATTCAAACACTGGAAAGCGTAGAAAAAGAGAAGATATTTTTTACCTCCACTTGACAAGCACACACATTCAAGGACTGGAAAGCGTAGAGCACGTTCAAAGTTTCTAGGGTTCACATAAGATTTGTCAAAGCCTTTTGTATTTATACTTACCACTTTATTTTCTAACAAAATCGGGCAACTTATTAATTCCTTCAAAATAAATTACTTTTTTAATACACCTAAATTTTGTTTGACTTTTAAAAAGTTATAATTGAATACACCTAGATTTCGATGTATTTTTTTAATATCAATTAAAATCTGAATTGAATACACCCAAACTTTTACAAACTCTTTTAAAATCTAAATTGAATACACCATGATTACATTAATGATTCATGTTGTAGTTTTTGTAAAAACCATTGACAACATTAATGATTCATGTTGTAGTTTTTGGGACCTGAGAGTTCCATAACATTGTAAAGGTTATCCATATGCTTGTAAAACCATTGGTTTACAACCTTAGGGAATCATATTAAAATGTTTGGCATATAGACGTTGCAAAACATTGTAAAGTGTATCCTTAATCTTGTAGATTACAAAATTTGAATTCGAATTTACGAGCTTTTGCACCGTGATTAAAACGTCAATGACTATGTCAATTGATGGATAACAAATTGGCAATTGATCGAATTGCCAATTGATGGCTATTGATTTGCCAATTGATATATATCAATTTGGCAATTGGACTGTAATATATTTTAATATTTAATAAACCTTTTCACCTCTAATACCAGGTTTCCCAGTTTTCCATACCAAGGGTGTAGATTAGTCCATATCCCACTAGTCTCAATCTAAGGGCCCATATCCTTTGGTGTATCCATACACCAAAGGACTGTAGAATTTTCCCTTTGGCAAGACTATGGCCGCTGCGATGACAAGTGACAAGACAACTAGTCTTATGAACTTATCAAGTTGATTTATAGTCCACAAACATAAATTTTTTTATCTAGTTACATAATTTTGACAATATAAATAAATTATATAAATTCAAACTTCAATATATAAAAATTTAAAATAAGAGCCTATGCTTGATACATTCAAATCTATTGCATAAACAAGATAAATATTTTTAACAATTCAATCATTTCTTTTTCTTTTTTGACTTTCAAGTTGTTGTTTTTTAAGGAATCATTGCTACTTGAAATAAAAAACAGTACAAGGAAATCCAATGAAAATTTTATACTTCAAATAATAAACAAAGAACAACATAACTTGGAATTTGGGAAATCCCCCTCCACAACAACAAACTTAAAACTTCCAAATTTGCAACCAATTAGAGCTTAAAAGAGTTGAAACACCCACTACTAAAAACTCACCCTTGCGCGACCAAATTTTGAGAGACGAAAAATTATTCGTCGCTCAAAGTCACTTTGCGCAACGAAACTCAAAACTTCGTCGCTCAAAACCTTGCGCGATGAATTGTTTTTTGTCGCGCAAAGTCCTTACAAAAAAATAATAAAAATAAAAAAATTCTTTTTTAAAATCTTTGCATGGCGTAATCCAAACATTTCGTCGCCTAAACCAATTTATTTTTGTTTTTTATTTTGTATGCATAACACTTAAGAAATTAAATGGTATATATATTTTTATTAAGTAGCTTTAAATTTATTATTTTAGATCGGATCGGATTTTTGTTAGAAAAATATATTATTGTCGTTCGGATTGGGATTTTGTTAGAAAATATATTTTTTAAATTGACGATCGAATTAGTTCATTGTATTCATATAGGGTCAAAGAGTGTAGCTGTAAAAAATAATCAAAATCGGAGTTAAAATAACCGTTAAATCGTGATTTTTCATTTATAACCGTCGAAAAGTTTTGTCCGATTACTTGATCTCTGAATGTTTATTTTTTCCGATTTTTGGCGTATATGATCTAAAGTATAAACAAACAAGTTTGACGGTTGGATCGTTGAAACTAGTTTCGTAGAATGCGTATGCCATCAAAACAATATATTCACTAACAATTAAGAGTTTATTTATACTTTTGTTAAATATAACATAAGATTTTGTGGTATCCACTAGTGTAAATATTTAAATTGAAGATCAAATTTCAGTCATTGTATTCATATAGGGTAAAGGAGTGTAGCGGTAAAAAATCATCAAAATCGGAGTTAAAATAACCGTAAATCATGATTTTTCATTTATAACCGTCGAAAAGTTTTGTCCCGTTACTTGATCTCTGAATGTTTATTTTTTCCGATTTTTGGCGTATATGATCTCAAGTATAAACAAACAAGTTTGACGGTTGGATCGTTGAAACTAGTTTCGTAGAATGCGTATGCCATCAAAACAATATATTCACTAACAATTAAGAATTTATTTATACTTTTGTTAAATATAACATAAGATTTTGTGGTATCCACTAGTGTAAATATTTTAAATTGACGATCAAATTAGTTCATTGTATTCATATAGGGTCAAGGAGTGTAGCTGTAAAAAATCATCAAAATCGAAGTTAAAATAACCGTTAAATCGTGATTTTTCATTTATAACCGTCGAAATTTTTTGTCCCGTTACTTGATCTCTGAATGTTTATTTTATTTTTTTAATTTTTGGCGTATATGATCTCGAAGTATAAACAAACAAGTTTGACGGTTGGATCGTTGAAACTAGTTTTGTTGAATGCGTATGCCATCAAAACAATATATTCTAACAATTAAGAGTTTATTTATACTTTTGTTAAATATAACATAAATTTTTGTGGTATCCACTAGTGTAAATATTTTAAATTGACGGTCGAATTAGTTCATTGTATTCATATAGGGTCAAGGAGTGTAGCTGTAAAAAATCATCAAAATCAGAGTTAAAATAACCGTTAATCGTGATTTTTCATTTATAACTGTTGAAATTTTTTGTCCCGTTACTAGGTCTCTGAATGTTTGTTTTTTGCGATTTTTGGGGTATACGATCTTGAAGTATATACAAACAAGTCTGACGGTTGGATCGTTGAATGGTGTGTGTATATATATATTTATTTACTTATTAAGTAACTTTAAATTTATTTATTTTGTACGTATAACAATTAAGAAATTGAATAATATATACATTTATTAAGTAGCTTTAACCTTATTTATATTTTAAATCGTAAAATAAAATAATTTTATTTTTATTATTCATAACAATTATTTTTATAAATATCGTGCTACAAACCAATTTTTCGTCTCTCAAAAGTTTGCGCAACCAACAGTTCGTCGTGCAAAAACTCTAAAAATTTGGGCGGGTACCAAAAATGGGGACGCGGGATTTAAAAAAAAAAAAAATTTAGACTTTGCGTGACCAATATTTTGTGTCGCTCAAAACTTTGCGCGACCAATATATTTTTCATTGCGCAAAAATTTGGGCGGGTACCAAAAATGGGACGCGGGAATTTTTTTATATAATTTTTTTAGACTTTGCGCGACCAATATATATTTTTTGTCGCATGCAAAAATTTGGGCGGGTACCAAAAAATGGGACGTGGGATTTTTTTTTTTTGACTTTTATGTATTTTTCGTTGCGCAAAAATTTCAAAATTTGGCGGGTACCAAAATGGGACGCGGGATTTTTTTATATATTTCATCGCGCAAAGTGATACGGTTTTAAAATGAAAATAACTCCTCCACCATTTTCTCAATGTCTTTCTCTACTCTTTCCTCTCCTCTCTCTTTCCCTCTCCCCAAATCCCACCATTTCTCTCACACTCACTCCTCTCACTTAATCTCTCATCATCTCTCTTTCACTATCTCTCACTCTCACTCACTCTCTCATCTCTCTATCACTATTTTCTCTAATTCTCTCGCACTCACTTCTCTCTCTCATTCTCACTCACTCTCAATCTTGCCAAAAGGTATATTCTCTCCAAATTTTAAATTTTTTTCATTAATGTGTTTTTGGAATTACTTCATTTGTTTTTGTATGAAGAATTTTTTTTCATTCAATGTATTTGTGTATTTCTTGTTTTCTGTCAAATCGTTTTTATGAAAGATTCAACATTCACATCCTTCGCCAATGTAGAAAGTGCCACTCTAGGAGAAGAAGCTGCCACGAACAAACAGAGGTGGATTCAAGTCGTTTTTTCAATTCTACTAATATCGCTTGTAACTATCTTATGGACTTTTCTTCCTCAAAGACAAGTGGTGCAGATTCTTGTCTTTCTTGGTCTTCTTTCATCTTTGTAAAAATGAATATGAATATGGTTTTTTGTTTTTTTTTGTGATGAATGATTGAATTTTTTTTTTTTTTTTTTTTTTTTTTTTTTTTTTTTTTTTTTTCAATTCAAATATTTGTGTATTTCTTGTTTTCTGTCAATCGTTTTTTTATGAAAGATCAACATTCACATCCTTCGCCAATGTAGAAAGTGTCACTCTGGGAGAAGTTGCCACGAACAAACAGAGGTATGTTCAAGTCGTTTTTTCAATTCTACAAATATCACTTGTAACTATCTTATTGGACTTTTCTTCCTCAAAGACAAGTGGTGCAGATTCAAGTCTTTTTGGTCTTCTATCTTTGTAGGTGCTAAAATATGAATATGATTTGAATGTATTAGGTTGAATTATATTCTTCTCCATAAGGATATATATAGGAGTTTACATGAGTGATTTACAAGGAAATAGATACAGTAATCAATTAGGATAGTATCTCCTAATTATACAAAGATTTGTCAACTAAATAAAATGGGGAAAGTAAATCCCTTAATTAAACAAGGAAATAAATCTCCTTGATTAATTAGGAGACTCACGCCATCCAAGACATTCAAGTAATCTTTAATAAGTCTCAATTTTCACAGACCAGCATCATGAAATTTGGAAAGTCGTCATTCTGCTAAATTAATTTGGCCACAACTACCTTCAATTATATTGTCGATCGTCTGATCCCGGACCACAAAACTCATTGTCTTCTACATTTGTTGAAATAATATGGTCGTAAAGAGAAAGATGTCGGAAGCTTTGATGCTTAACATGATTTTTATTATTTCTTTTTTACAAATGACAACGTATTTACACGATACTTCAACTCCATCAACTAGCTATAAACTAAATATCAAACTAATTATGAATATGAGTTGAACTTCAAACCTCTTACAACCAGCTATAATAGTCATGCAAACACAGTGCACTATTTAAATCTATGATTTCACGTTTGACAATTCTTTCCATCCTTGACAATATTGCTGACACATATATGAGTTTAGAACTTGCATTTTCGCACTTCTTTTCCTATTCATGTTTCTAGTTTGTAACTTCTTCTTTTGAAATTAGTGAGACCATCGTCCTTCTTTTCCTATTCAATTTGTACTTAATCCACATTTTGTTAATATTATATATTAAATACATCTAAATTCATCACTAACCCCTAAAAATTTACCTTTCATTTCCAAGAGGAACATCTCGATTTTCTTCATCTGTCTTTGAGTGGTTTTGCTCTCTCTCTCTCTCTCTGCGCTCCACATCCAAGATGAACAAGATTTGATACATCCTTTTTCGATTCCAAATTTCTTGACTTTATACTCTCCCCTATGATTTCTCTCTCATCTATTATATGTTGTTTGCTCAGTTAAACTCAAGAATTGTTTTTCTGGCAGTAATTTATATTGGTGGATTTAGCTTTATGCTCATACACTCTAAATGTGAAGGGGGAAATACAATATAACAACTAAAGAATAACATAATTATGGAGATGTGAAGTCCGTAGACTACACAGAACTCCTACACAAACTTACTTGAGACAAATTTTAATAAGATTGATACTTCAAATACACTACTACATCACACACTCTTGATACACACATACATAGAGTGGATACGCCGCCTATTTATAGGTCTAATATTAACTCAACATTATGTAAGTCTGTACCTAAGCCTTTGTAATAATACTAACCTTGTTCAGCCATTGTAGCAGTAGAGAATCTGTTTCGTCTAGAAAGTCTTCTTCCTTCTGCAGCTCTTTATGTCTCTGTCTCTTAGATAGGGTGAGTACTGATTTAGAGGCGTGTGTTGCGCAAGGGAAGGGACCTCTATTTAGATGCATCACTACGAACGCCTTGCCTATCAAGAAGTATTCGAGTGTCCTTTTTGCATTAGATTGTTTTGTTTCAATCCATGTTGTATTAGGAATCCTGATAATACTTGTGTTTGATTTTAATAAGCTATGACAAGCATTATCTAATGAGGATTGAGTTGTATCTCCTGATCAAACCAAAACCGAATCCTCTTAGGATTAGAAGATCACCTGTTATGGATTAAGACAATAATTGTCTTACATTCTCCACTTGATCGATTAATCCAAAGTTTTGTGTTGATCACTTAAGGCCTTGGTGAAATATAACTCAATCTGATTCCATCAAGCAATTGTCAATTTTAAAGAATGAAAAGGAACCATCAAGACTTCACTGAATATATAAGGATCCAGAGTCTTTATAATCACATTGATCATTCTTTAAAACCACATAAGCTTCCATCATGATTAAACAGAAAAATAAACATGTTTCACTGTAAAGCTTTATGAACATGTCTATTCACATTGTCCCTTAATTTGACTACTAAGGTCTTATCATTTAAAATGATATCCTGTCATGAATGAAAATCATATGCATACATCTTCAGCTAGCTTTCTGCTCAATTCATTCAAGTGTTTATAAGTATATATACATAACAATTAACGTGTAAACTGTTTAACTAGAAAACTTTATTTCTGAATCAGAAAATGAAATCAACATCCATCAAAAACCATGACCAACTGTAAATTAAGACTTCAACAGAAAACTACTCTAAACTTAACAAGGCTCCCACTGATTTAAGCATTCAAATCATTCCTTAATCCATGCTCATAACATGCCTATGGAACACTGCATTTGGGACTCCTTTTGTGAGAGGGTCTGCTATCATTTTGTCTGTACTGATATGACTTATATTAGTATAGCCTTGAGCAATTTTCTCCTTCCACTATTATGAACTTGACATCCAATAGTCTTGAACCCTTTGTCCTTTTGTTTCCTTTTGCAAACAAAATAGCTTCGCTGTTGTCATTCCATATTTGAAATGGTCTGTGTATCGATTCAACCACATTCAAACTGATAATGAAATTTTCTTAACCATATGGCTTGAGAGATGGCCTCATAGCATGCTAGAAACTCTGCAAAACATAGTTGAACCTGCTGTCAGAGGTTGTTTACAATTCTCCACGACACTGCACCTCCTCCAAACATGAATACAAAACCTGATGTTGATTTCATGGAGTCTTGACATCCTGCAAAATCAGCATCTGCATAACCTTGTAATTCCAGCGTGCCACTTCTTTTGAATGTTAGTTTGTAATCTTTTGTCCTTTGCAAGTATCTTAACACTCTTTCCCTGCAATCCAGTGAGCTTGTCCAGGATTGGATTGAAATCTTCATAGCACACTGACTGCAAAGGCCAAGTCAGGTCTGGTACAAACCTGCACATACATTAGGCTTCCAACTAGTGAAGCATATGGTTTGTTAACCATTTCCAGCTTTTCTTGCTCAGTCTTAGGTGCTTGTTCAGTGCTTAGCTTATCCCTTTTGCAATAGGAATATCACTTCCTGTGCGTTTTGCATATTGAATCTCTTGAGCACCTTTTCTATGTAGGATTTTTGTGATAGTCCAAGTACCTCATTCTTTCGATCTCTGCTTATATCAATGCCTAAAACATATGATGCCTCAGCTAGATCAGTCATTTCAAAGTTCTTAGATAGGAAATTCTTGCAGTCATGTAACATGGTGAGATTTGTGCAGGCTAGTAAAATGTCATCTACATACAAAACTAGTAAAATGAAATGTCTCCCACTCATCTTCATGTATATGCATTCCTAAAAACAAAACACATTTTCAACAAAACCAAAGTCTTTCACTACCTGTTGAACTTATTGTCCACTGTCTGGAGCGTGCTTTAATCCTCCATATATTACGACTTGTTACTTGCAGACCAGTCCTTTCCCCTTCTTGAACAAAACCTTCAGGTTGCACCATGTATAATGTCTTCTTCCAAATCTCCATTTAGAAAGCTGTCTTGACATCCATCTGGTGTAAGTGGAGGTCAAAATGTGCTCAAAGCCCTGATACCCCTTTAATGACTCCTTGGTCGAGACCGTGTAAGTCCTCATTATAACAAAAATATCTTCCTTCTTTCTGTGTGAATCCCTTTGCAACCAATCCTTGCCTATACCTTTTATCTCTCCTTTGGTTCCAGTTCGTTTTTATATTCACTTACTACCAATTGGTGTGCACCTTGAGGTAAGGCCAGCTTCCAGCCTCCATTTTTTCTCCATTGAGTCAGTTTCTGACTTCATTGGCTGCAACCAGTTTTTCTTTCTTTTCAACTTCCTTGCCTGTTGAATGGTGCCGATCTTCCATGGTATTCACATCATGTTTCTGCTCCCTGTCAAATAATCATCTCCTACAGGCAGGTTTTCTTTGCCTTTGTGATCTTCTTAGTTCCAAGTTTGGTTCTGGATTTGGCTACTTCTTGTGCTTGAGCCATGTCTTGATTTCTACTGGTGGTGCTTGATTGTCATTTACTCCATTGGTTTCTGCAATTTCAGTTCATTGACATTGGCCTCTTCATTGTGTTCGAGTGAGTTGATTGAATCCATTTGAGTAATCTTAACACTTTCTTTACTTGATTCTGTGGCATGTCGTGGTTCAAGGATTATTTCTTCAATCCACTGCACAACTCGTTTTCTTCTCCCCATGCCGAGTCTCTCCCCTTTGGAGGTCGTTGGCGAACTGTCCCCTATAAAGACCTGCTCTCTTGAGGTTTTCCTGTTTATGTATTCGTTGCCTACGTGTTGGGGATCAATACAGCGGTTGTATCCCTTTTTGGTTCTCCGTTCAACAGATCTTCTCCATACAAGAAAAACCTCTCCATACCTGGTTTGTTGGCTTCGATCCAACACTTTCTTTCTCGCTGTGTCTTTGTAAGGTTTTGCGTCTGCTTTTGTACACCCTACGCTACATGTTGGTCAGTTCTGTCCCTACTGCCCTCAGGCTGCCGGTGTCTTCCAGGCCACACTGCCGAGGGTAATGCACTAGCTATTGGATTGGCTGTGTGGTGGTGGCAGGCGATTGAGAAATTAGAGTCCTTGTCGTGCGTGTCTGTTAGTTTACACAATGCTGTCTCCCCAGAGACCCAAGCTGGGCAAGTGGCTGCTACGGCCTTGTCTTCTCCTTGACTTTCCTTGAAAGTCTCCAGGTGGGGGTCGGAGGTGTCACCTTCCGTCATTGTCGCTCCGCGGCCTACCTTGCAAGCTCCTGGACTGGGCGCTTCGTCCCGCCTGCTCCGGAAGTTGCTAATCGTAGCACAGGGTCCCAGTGATTCCCTGCCATGGCTCAGCAAACCGTCAAGCCGCTCCGCCTCGAGGCCGATCGAACCACCTTTATGTCAAGGTTCAACTGGTGTGGCGACTTCACGGCCGGAAAACCAGTTGGTGAACGTGGGCCAGTGCACGGGAAGGGGGCGCCGGAAGGAGAGAGAGAAAGCCACCGGGAAAAGCAAGGGGGGAAAAGGTCGCAAGTGGAGGAAAGCCCTCCCGTGAGTGGGAGGCGGGAAAGGGGTCCCATGGCCCGCGGAAGGAGTTTCCCAGGAAACCCTCTTCTGCCCAGGCCCTGGCTTGGAAGTGGGAATTGAGCCCGGGATACAGGGATGGCACCAGACTTGGCGTTGGCACAGGATCAGCCTGGGAGGGTACGCTACAGGAGAGTCCGCGACCACAGGGGAGCTGTCGTAGCCTGGACGTTTGGCTAACTGTCCACTCGTGTATGTCCACTAGGATGGGGAAGGGAAGCTCCGGCGGGGTCGGGTGGGTGGCATCAGCGGGTGATTTCCCGTTCAGAGCGGGGTGTCAGTGTAAGCGAAACAGCCCTATGCCAGGTGCAGACCTGGCGTTGCCAACCCTAACCTCGGTATTCGGGGCTGTGAAACAGACGAAACAAGCAGGGCCATGCAAACTGTGCAACGGAACGGGAACGGTTTTCCAAGGCGATTACTGAAATCAACTGGTCGGCAGAGATGGAACAGAATCGACGGCAGCTTACTACGGCCAAACAAAACTTCCTAACGGGCGCCGCGCTCGGCAAAAAAAAAAAAAAAAAAAAAAAAAAAAAAAAAAAAAAAAAAAAAAAAAAAAAAAAAAAAAAAAAAAAAAAAAAAAAAAAAAAAAAAAAAAAAAAAAAAAAAAAAAAAAAAAAAAAAAAAAAAAAAAAAAAAAAAAAAAAAAAAAAAAAAAAAAAAAAAAAAAAAAAAAAAAAAAAAAAAAAAAAAAAAAAAAAAAAAAAAAAAAAAAAAAAAAAAAAAAAAAAAAAAAAAAAAAAAAAAAAAAAAAAAAAAAAAAAAAAAAAAAAAAAAAAAAAAAAAAAAAAAAAAAAAAAAAAAAAAAAAAAAAAAAAAAAAAAAAAAAAAAAAAAAAAAAAAAAAAAAAAAAAAAAAAAAAAAAAAAAAAAAAAAAAAAAAAAAAAAAAAAAAAAAAAAGGGATGGAAAGGGGGATGAAGCAAGAGCTTCGTTATGTCTGAGGTGTGGTACGTCGGTTGTTAAAAGGTCAACGTTAGGAGGAGTTGATCACAGGGAGGCCAACAACTAGACTCAAAAAAAAAGGAAAAACAAACAATACGACGGTTAAACCTAAATATAGTGGGCGTTTTCGTCGGGGGGTTTGAAAAACACCTTACTCCCTAATATCTTATACTTATTTGGGAACACACATGATACAGTTGGTATTTACACAATGTTTTGATGCACTTGAAAGTTATGTCAAGAAATTTGCATTTTAGAAACTTATAACGGAGATGTTTTCAAAGATTCAAGAACACTGCAAAACAGTCTATTTAAGCGCTGTTCTTGGTCCCATCCTTGGCCCTCCACAGCTGCTATCCATCCTTTTGAGTTTCAATTTTTTTTTTTTTCAATGATGTTTGTTAAGCAAAAGTATGACAGATTCACCCTCCTCTGTGGGACGGCTGAAGTTTGGGGGTCTACCAGCTCTGGCGACCATTCCATAGATGATAAGCTTCAGGGAGGATCGTGATCTCCTTGGCTCCATGTGATCGTTATTTGACTTGGCGGTCCCAACGGGGACGCCACAACAGCACGCAGTAACTGACGCCGAACCATCATCGAGCTAAGAACCACAAGAAGTCGTATTTCTCTGCGACCAACACACACACTGTGTATGTCTGTGCCCTCCTTGAGCCAAGACCTTGAACTGCGCTTTTCCCCTCCTTGCGTGGTGGTGTGAGATGTCAGACACTGGGGGGTGTCACAACACACATACACTGAGATGCCGCACGAATCAGGGTTGGTTTAACGTTATCTGAAAAAAAAAATAATCGGTAGTTGTGTGGGGGAAGGATCGCGGCCCCTGAACCGGGGGGGAGAAGAAAAAAACTGGAGGGCCTACCATCAAACGACCACGGAGAAAGTGTAAATGATGAGTCGCGGGTAATTTATCTTGCGGTTTCAAGAACAAAACGCATACACCAAAAAAAAAGGTGTAAGGAGGGCGTGAGATACACACGGGGGCCGCTTTTGATTGGCACGTTTGTCCGATCATAGTTCAATAATGGCCTTTAATAGTCGCGTGGGTAACTGAAAGTGTCAATGCAAACCGCCGCTCAATCCCTTGATCCGTTTTTTTTATAAAACCGGTACCTTGCTGGAAGCTGTACGAGGGGGGGGGAGGGGTAGCATACTTTGCGCGTGAAACCTGACGCCACAATCGACTTTTTGGATTGCAGCGGCTAACATACTTCAAGTTTGACAAGTAGGGATCGGCTGGCCTGGGGTATGGGCAGTGTGGCAACCCGCCCCCCCAAAACCCCAAACGCGACAACGGATCGCGGCCGGTTGCCGCTATAAAAAACCCTAGTCAACAATTGCAAGGAAGAACATGGTCGGCGTCTGTCAGTAGGGGTGTCCGTCTAGTCGTTACGGCCACCGCACCAAACAACAAATAAAAGATGCAAAGCGAATTCTTCCCTGTCGCTCACCAGAACCATCCACCCTATCTCAGTACCGCCTGTAAAAAGCCACCTAAAAAGAGATGGCGAATTTGAAGATAAAAAAATCCCGGGTGTGTTGAAGAAAAAGACGGTGGTGTTGCGAAATTAGAATGAGAATTCCCGCTAAAACCGAGAATGGAAAACAAAAGCATAAAGAGCACAGAAACTAAAGCCGATTTGTACTGAAACATTTTGCCAGACTTTGTGTTCCCGATCGTATACCATGGTTTTAACATATCTTAAAAGCAATAGAGGAAACACTATGGTGTTACATTTACATCTTTAAGCAATATAGCAATATTGAGGAAAAAGCCTACGTAAAATAATTTCCTATCTAGAATTAGTTATGTCCCTATCCACTTTTCATATGGGAACGAAGCAAAAGCATGAACTCGGTATTCACGAAGTACATCAGCACACGCCACTTTTTGTCGAATGAACGGAAAGAAATATGACTACAATCTCGGGCCCTCTCCTATCATATGACTACAAGACTTAGTTGAAGAGATACGAGAAATCTAGTTAAGGAAAAGAGATTTAATGAGATAGAAGAAGGGAGAACAGACGAGGCTTACCCGTTGGAAAGGCGACGAAGATCTGCCGCTGGAAATTGTCCCATTGGCAGAGGGTCTAGAGACGGCACTATGAGCACTTGGAAAATCCGTTGTTTTTTTTTCAAGAAAATCGATTAAGAGAGAGAGAACGAGAGTAGTCATAGTTAATTAGGTATGTAAGAAGGGAGAGATAGGCTTCCCCGTCGGAGAGGAAGGAGATGCATCCCTGGGCCGGAAATTGTCCGTGCTGGAAGTATTTTATCCACGCCTGTAGTCGAGATCGGAAGACAGGAGAGGCATCTCTCGAAATGGACGTGAGAGAATTCCACCGACTCAACCCTAATGGGTTGCTTCAATTCTAATTTACGCTTTTTTCCGTTTAACTTGATCTTTGAGAGTTTATCCATGGACACAGAGAGAATCAGCTTTGAGGTAGATTCCTTTGCAAGGAGAAGAATCGTAGAGAGAGAGACGAGTAGGTGGTATTTTTAATCGACTTATGACATTTTTTTGATGGAAACAAGGATGAAATTTTTTGGTGGGTTGACCTGGTATAACACTATCGTTATTGCAACGTTTACTTTCAAAAAAAAGAAAGATAAGGGCATCATTCAAATCTTGAGTCTATGCATACTCTCCCATATAAATCAGTTCGTGGCCTTATGATTGCCCATATTGTTTGTGATGTCTTTACACTCCTATGGCCTGCGGTTTTTTTAAACAACCAAGCCTAAAGAGATTATTTAGGCATCAATGTCATGTTTCAACCGTCCCGATTATAGTGTTTCCTAAAGTGCAGTTATTGGCATAGTGATACCCTTGTCTGCCCTTTATTTGTTATGGTTTTATGCCTGACAGTTTATTGCTTTTGGTGGTGAAATTTCAATGTCTTTGTCACCGAAATTTTTTTTGGATGTATGTCAAGAATTGTAAGTCTAAGCTGGACCCCAGAAAATTAGAGTAAAATATCTCACATACACTATTCCTGTAGCAAACAATCTATAGTAGATGTATTTATATCTCGATCTGTCCGATATTACTTCTTAGTTCCAAGAATAGTTTCCATAGAATCCTTAGTACTAAGACATTAATCAATATTTTTTCGATAGAGTCTAGGCTACTACTACCGCAATAACATGCTATTTGTGAACTTATCCTCATATCAGGGGGTGGCTTTGAAGCTTTCCTTATAAATTAATGTAAACAAAATATAGACCAAAGTGGAACCTAATCCAGATTATAAATTAATAAAAGCCATTAGGGGGGGTTGCGGCGGTGAGGGACGCGGACGACCCGGCCGCTCCTCCGCTCCGGCGTCACAGGGGACATAGCATCTTGTGGGGTGTGCATGTGTGACCGTAGGGAGGAGCGCGTAAAGTCCATGACGGCAGAACACGCTCATCTCCGGTCTAGGGTTCTATAAGAGGTAAAAAATAGACAGGTGGTTCACTCCCAAAACACATAACGCCAATACAGAGGGGGGTTTTAACGAAAAATAGAGCAGAGCATTCTAAAAGTAGGGAAGGTGGAAGAACATGGGGTGGGGTGAGAGATGCCGCTTAGGTACCTGCCACGTACAACGCGGTGAAATAGTACATAAGGCTGTGTGAAGATGGTGGGAGGGATAGATGAATAACACTTGAAAGTATGCAATACCACCAACGCACTAGTGAGGTGCCAAAAAGACCTAAATTCAGGAATTTAAAAATGAGCAGAGAGCTTGGGCATACAGAGGGGGGAGCGAAAAATGATCGAGAGACAAGGGCAAGACGGAAGGCAACGCGGGTCAAAAGAACAGGTCTAAAGGGATTGTGAAAAAAAAAGGGAAACCGAGAAAGGAGAGACCAGACGAGTGACCGTTACGCTCCAGGCAGCTGACGCTTTAGCAATGCGTAGTGAAGCACGAGGGGGTCTTGCGTGGCCAGGCAACCGGAGTGGTAGAGGAACGGATCGTCTAATCGTTCTTGTTTGCACGATGTTTGAATTTACTCAATTAACAACGGAGACGGTGTATTGACAGGTAAACACATTTGCCAGATGATATAAACGTAACTCGATAGACGGACGCATATGATACCAGTAGTATAGACGAGCTTAGCTATCAGCTATGACTCTTGAAGCATGACTTATAGCCAAACTACATAGTCTCAGGTAAGTTTCTCAATGCTGTGACTGAGACGGTAACTCAACAGCAAAAATGAGGTGCGGACGAGAATCTGAGAACAAACGTACATGAACAAGTCATGAAACATGGAAAGCGAAGATAAATAAAGCATGATCTCTCCATGTTGTATTTATACATCATATACAAATATATCACATTCAGTTCAAGTCCATCGCTCATTTACAAAACTTACTTCTAGTATGATTTCATGTGCTCAGCAATAACCACAAAGGAATAGTTGGGTTTCTTATTTGTCCTTGATGTAGTTTAGAACTTGAGCAGCTACTGCTAACGAGAGAGTTGGCAAGCAAAGCTTTCTCCAAATCTCCAGTCGTTCCTCGCTGGAGAAATGAGAGTATGTAATCATGAAGAGCGAGTCACTGGGAAGATAATTGGCTGATTGCTTGCATTTTTAGTACTGTGTCATGTTAGGAATGTGCCCTAAAGTCAATGAAGGGCAGTAACACCTCATCTCTGTATTATGTTCATATTAAAAAATTAAAAATGTGTTTCATCCCAAAATATACGTCTCTAAGGCACTGGCGAACCCATGAATTTTTTAGCGGAGGTGCAATTTTGAAAGGTTAAAAACTCTTTGTGAATTGAATATCTAAGGCTTTTTACCTAGATTGACCTTAGGTCCCTTCATGCATTCATATCATACATGAAAATTGTTCTATGTAAAAGTATTGACTAAGTATGAAAAATGATTTTTCGGAATAATCATTTTCCCAAGATAATTTTTGGTGGCTTTTATTCCTTACACATCAAATAAGAAAACCTGATTTTATAGGATTTTATTATGAAGTATATATTGACTTAATGAACTATCATTTTTAGCCTAAATCGTATTTTGCACTAAAACTGATTTTTTAAATTTGATTTGGGGGGAATTTGATTTTCTAGTATTTTTATTTGAATCCAAATGGGGGGTACTTCCTTATTTACATTGTAAACTTAAGTAAATGGAGTAATATAAAAATAAATGAAAGTAAAAAAACAAAGACATTTACTTAAATGTTGAAGATGGAATTAAGGAGCAAAGGGGCAATTTCAAGCACCAACAATAGTTTTTATGGCAAGGAGAGGTGCAGCTGCACCTCTTTGCTCCTTAACAGATCCGCCAGTGCTCTAAGGTTAACAAAATATTAATAGCATTCTAACATTATTGAAGAGACTATTAGAGATACTCTTAGTAGCACATTTCAACTTTAAAATGGGCTTTTGAATGATTAAGAAGATAAAACTTTAAATTTCTAGATCCACCAAAGTTAGCCAAAAAGTAATTTCTATTTATATTCATAGCAACAGTAGTGTGATGATGATCATAGCAACATAAAACTCTTTAAACTTTTGAAATTATCCTTTGACGTAATCTCCGCAGCTTCCTCAGGAGGCACTAGTGTCTTCTTAACATCAAAATGATAGTAATACTGTCAGATCGCTTGTTGCACGATGTATTGAATTTATTCAAATTATAAAACGTAAGACAGTGTATTGAGTTCATTCCAATGATAAAACGTAACACGTATAATGAGTTTATAGTTACACATCCATGATTGAGTGTCCAATTACAATATTCCTGTAAATTCCATGGTTGAGAGTTCTAGAAGCAAAATTATTGCGGCGTAAACTAAGAACAAACGTACATGAACAAGTCATGAAACATTGGAAAGCGAAGATAAATAAAGCATGATCTCTCCATGATGTATTTATACATCATATACAAATATATTCACATTCAGTTCAAGTCCCATCGCTCATTTACAAAACTTACTTCTAGTATGATTTCATGTGCTCAGCAATAACCACAAAGGAATAGTTGGGTTTCTTATTTGTCCTTGATGTAGTTTAGAACTTGAGCAGCTACTGCTAACGAGAGAGTTGGCAAGCAAAGCTTTCTCCAAATCTCCAGTCGTTCCTCGCTGGAGAAATGAGAGTATGTAATTCATGAAGAGCGAGTCACATGGGAAGATAATTGGCCCACGACCACTTGAGAGGCCAAACTCTTCTTCAGACATCTTGAAGAGAGGAAAATGCAGTTTGAGAGATAGGATAACGGCAGTACGAAACGGCTTTCGTCAATGGTGTAGATAACAAAAGTTCCCTTTTCACCCACCATATTATTCAGCATGTTGTTGATAGCTGCTCTTGGCGATGAATTTTTGTTCCTCCCCATAGCATCTCTCTTCTGCCACTTGCTAGCAATTCTAATGAGCCTCTTGGGACTGATTATATTGTCCATGGAGATTATATAAAATGACCCAATTGAGCACCAAAAGCAACTTCGTGTTTTCTAGAATGCTAATGATGAGTGCTGTGGTTGTTGAATCATTGGGATTGGTTTCCTATTTATACTTGTTCTCTATAAAACACTTGTTGGTTGGTGGTGAGAATAACAATGTGTAGCAAAACAAACAGTTTTGGATGCTTTAAATTATGTCAAGTTATGTCGTGTACCAAATGAATATGTGAAGTTTATTTTGTAAATCCGTACATGATTAGAGAATTCTTTTGGTTACCTTGTATGGAGAAAGTTCCAATGTTCATATAATGTCATGTGCCTTAAGGACACAACATATAATATTCGTTCGTTAGTATTATCAGTTGGTTACTAGGACACAACAAATTTTGACTTCCAAATCTTTTGAAAGTTCCTAGCTTGTTCTTTTCTTCATAACATCGGAATGTACAGAAAGTAAAGAGGTTTCAAATGTCGGAGATCCCTCAATCCAACTCTGGTATAATAACAAATAAAAATGAAAGCCAAAGATTTCTCCATTTAGCTACTTTTAAATACAAATTACAATATTGAAGAAGCTGGAGATTTCTCTATCCAGTTTAAACAGAAGATATGTTTATATAATATTCGTTCGTTAGTATTATCAGTTGGTTACTAGGACACAACAAATTTTGACTTCCAAATCTTGTTCTTTTCTTCATAACATCGGAATGTACCAATGTTTGTCAAAAATCCTTGTCAAACGGAATACGAAAGAATTATAGAAAAGGACCTAGATGTGTACGTAAACACTTGTAAGTTTTACACAACCTAAAACTCATCAAATAATAAATAACGAAAATGCTCTCAAATATCACTATTTCTATAACAAGAACTTCGCAGCTAGAATTTTATGAAAATCACCATATCGCTGCATCTATAGCTCCTTTTTTTTCAAAAGTGAAAATGAAATATCATTTAGTCTCTACTATTGTAGTACGCAAGGACGGAATCAGAAATTTTTCAATGAGTGGGCTAGCTAAAGTTATTAGCTTAAAATCTAATGATAATTCTTTTTTTTTACTTACATTTTCTATATTTTTTCTAGAAATAAAAGTATACATTAAATCATATAAATAATGCTAATGTATTTTTGAGACAAAAAGAAAGAGGAGATAGTTTTAAAGGTGTAAAGTATTTTTTTTCCTATTAGAACCATCTAGTGCTTGTGAAACTGATCTTGTGGAATATATGATTTGATAAAAAACGGCAGGATGAAAACAACCTCAACCTCTGCATGATCTATAATATAATTTGCACCCTCCTGGACCTGCATTAACACAATACTTAAGAGAAGTTCAATAAATTACTGAAATCAGAATTGCACAAACTCATATAATGACTATAACCCAGAAAGTAATCTTCTCTTTCCATGTTGTGACATATTCTACCTTATTTTAGGAATGTCCATATTCACAATTTCTCAACGTAGTGTTTTTATAGCAATATATGCATGACAAAAAAGAACACTATTGTTAAACTAAAGTAAAACTTAGCATGTAAACGAAATTAAAGCATTAAGTTGAACTATAGGAAAATTATGAAACAACTAACATAAGATCCTATTTACTGTAAACATCAATCAAAATAGATTATAAATACTAAATTTCTAAGCTTTCTAATGTAATCTTAAAAAATTATAAATAAATAACACGCATCCTATAATTTCTTTAAAATGGAAAACTTATACGTCATTTAAGTTTAACTTAGTAATTAGTACCCAAAAAAAAACAAACATAAAGTAAGCACATATAACACAACTCTTGCTTGATGGTATTCATATCTCCAATGTTTAAGCCCTTTGTTATTAAAAGAAAGTAAACGTACATAATATAATATCGGAAAATTGTAGCATTAAACTTTTTATGAGAGCAAATACATGCCATCGGTAATAGACAATCATTTCCGATAGCAATTATGACCCCTCACTAATATACACCATCTCGAGAGAACTAATGATTGCCTTTGGAAGTACATAATCACTTCCGACAACAACTAATTACCCTCGAAAAAAGAAAAATTAATTCCGACGACCACTTATTGCCCTCGGAAATAGGCTATGATCTTCACGCGCATAAGATTTGTCGGAAATAAATGTGGTGCCAACATTTCCAGCCAAATATTAACTATTTCCAACGGCTAGAAAACCATTTTTCAAGAGCATTTTGGGTGCTTGAAATAGTAAGCATTTTCGGTGTCAGATTGTTTGTCCATTCTTCTTTCTTTCAAATGCCTTTTGTTTTGTAATATAATCTGGACAGTTTTCTTTCTTTAAAAAAATATTAGTTGATACTAAAAATGGAAAAGCAATTATCCATTATCATGTAAGTCACAGCCTCTCTCACAAACCCAACTCCCTTGTCGCCGGTTGCACCTGCCAGCGGAGTAACATAAGTCATGGGTTTGGAATGAAGTGAAGGCACTTTGGACAAATGTTCTTAGGGTCGTCGCAGCCACATAGCATACATCACCGCCGGAGTAGGAGTAGGAGTACCTTGACGACTGGAATGAACGACCGACATGTGTACAATGCTTTACCGTTTCATTCACCATCGGTCAACAAATGAAGGATTAGATGGGCGCCACCAATTGGCACCTTCTTATTCTTAAGTTTTAGAAGGTGTTGGTCCCTTTTTTCTCGACACTCTTTGTCTCCTGGGTTGAGTTGCTCTAGAGAGTGGAAAGGCTGTCGGGTCAACACCAATGTCCCGATTGGATTTTTAGCTCGTGAGAGGACTCTTTCAACTTTTTGGACAAAATTGAAAGTTGAATCAAGTTAACAAGAACGGGCGAGCTTAGGCTGGGCCCTAATGACTTGCTTCTCCTGACCTGATTGCTGATTACGTAGGTGTGCCACTATTGGATATAAGACCAGCCCAATGGACCTGGTATATGTGATGTAGGATATCTATTTGGTGGATTCGCACTTGTTCTGGACTTCTGATCTAGCCATTGTGCTCCAAAGGGGGTACTCACTTAGATGAGTTCTTTTTATGCCTCAATCAAGAGGACTTCAATATTCTTTCACTCGTGTGTTGCTGGTTTAATAGATACGAATAGTACCTGATTAAACAAGAAGGAAATCAATGTTGTGGTTAATGCTCCCTTATTTGGGTTCAAAAACCTAACTTGGGTCCGAGATGACCGGGTAAAGATTCAACCAATTCGAGCCCAAGAATGTAGTTAGGACCTGGACAGGCCCTTACTTTCGGACTAATAAAGCCCTATTCGGGCCTAAACCCTTATCTTGGGTCCAAATAATGATAAGCTTAAATTTGCAAAGGCGGGAAAATAAATTAATCTACAATAGTATATAAAGAAACTAAATGGCAGATATTTAATGAGGTAGCTAGAGTAAATTTCATAAAGTAAAGAGGTTTCAAATGTCGGAGATCCCTCTATCCAACTCTGGTACGATAACAAATAAAAATGAAAGCCAAAGATTTCTCCATTTAGCTACTTTTAAATACAAATTACAATATTGAAGAAGCTGGAGATTTCTCCATCGGCCCATGGATAGATTATTCAATTATCTTTATGAGAGCCTTCTCAAAAAAGAGACACACAAAAAAAACAAAGTAATTATAGGGGCGCATTTACAGTTATCTAATATATAACATAGCATTCACCAAAAATATATACGTAACATAGCATGCCCCCTAGGGGCGTAGCGCAATGGTTAGAAGGACAAGCCGGGTCCAACTGTAAACTCAGAGTTTGAATCTTATTGTTGTTGTGAGAGTTTCTGATTTACCATCACACCTCAAAGGGTTCCTTGATATCAATACAATTTCTTCATTCGAAGGGAAACGAGAAAAGCTTGAAATCCGAAATAAGGAAACCTCCAAAATGACATCATAAAGCAATACGAATCTCCTTAGTTCACAAAGCAGAAAACGTTTTAGGCCCCCAGGAACACTTTGGTAAGGACTGCACTGGTCTCGAAGGATGCCTTCAGCAGCTTCAAACCCTACGAAGAGAAAAAATACAAAATGTCAAACAAATAAGCTTTAAATCAAAGCAGGGACGAGGAATTAGTTTGAATGTTGGGTTGCATGATGATTCGGCCTTATTTATTAATCCAACAAGTATATATATATATATAATTAATGAAAGATGAAATCAAAACAGAAAATATATATTAATCCAACAAGAGAACATAACAAGTTGCCCTATATATTATAGAGTTAAAGTATAGAGATTATTAGGAGGAATAATATTCAGACCTCTTGCATCCCAAGATGAACCACCACCTCTTGAAGAGCACCAACATCCTTCACATTGAACTGGTTAAGTACAGCAATACTTGAAATGGTGGACATTGGCTTCACCTCCAAGTTATCCATGACCATGTATGTTACTACTCCCTTGACATACCCTCCCTCGCTGCCGGACTTTGCCACCACCGTAGAAGAAGAAGCTTGTGGGGAAACATAAGTCACCTTAGTGGATATGGAATAATTGTAACTATTTGGGCAAGGGGTATTACAAACATCGGAAATATGGCGCGGATTGCAGTATGAACACATGTAGAACTGTTTAGAATTCGAGTCGACATTAATATTGTTGGTCAGCTGAGGAAGGATATTGGCACCAACAGCAACTGTGGCCTTTGGTTTCAGCAAGGTGTCCTTGTCAAGATTGGGTTGCAAGTATGTGTCATTTAGATTTTCGACACTCTCATAAAGCTTTCCCATGCTACCAACCATGCCGTCTTTGGAGAGGAGCCAGATCACAGTCCCAACAGGAAGAGACAGGAGACTGAAGAGAAAATCAACAACATCCTTGCTCGCTTCGGCAAACAAAACTTTGCAACCCCTTGTGTCGATCAGGAGTTTCAAGCTCACACGTGTGGTGTTGGAGGTTGCCATATTGATGTGCGCAATATGTTTTTTTTTCTTTTGGATACTATATTGATGCTATGTTGAGGCTTAGGTTACCTATCAATTTATAGTCTTAGAAGAAAATTTACTAAAACATTTCAAATTAATTATTCAGGTCTGTGAAAAAAAAAATTAAGGGCAAAAGTTAGGGAAGGACTCAAAATACCTCTCCCCTAAACACGTAGTCTACATTTTCATAAAGACAAATTGAGACGAAACCAATTTAGCATATGACACTTATGTCCCTCAAATTTGTCCTCCACCGACCGATAAAGAAGAACCCTTTCCTTTTTATTGGCAAAAAAGAAGAAAAAACCTTTTTTTATCTTTTCTTTTTTTATCTTTTTCTCCTTTTCTTTATTACTTTACAATACTTTTCAGAACAAAGTAACACTACATAGTACATATTCGGTGCGCTTAAGCTTAACAAAATATCCTTAGTTGCCAAGGATCCTCTCGTTCAACAAAATTTCCTTAGTTGCAAAGGATCCACTGGTTTAATAAAATTCCTTATAATTACTTGCTAAGGATTCACTACCAAGCCTCCCAAACTTTGTCCTGGATTCGAGTCCTATTATGTGTGGGTGAGTTTAGATGAATATCGTCAATTTCAATAGGAGAGACCCTATAGCAAATTCCTTAGTTAAAAACCACTCTTACATTTTATCCATTTTCCTTTAGAAGAAAGTTTATGTTCCACTCCAAAATTAACTCGCAATGCAGAAGAAGAGTAGCTCAATTCCTTATAACTTATGCTAGTTACCTTAACTTTTCAATATGCAATAAAATTCAATAGGGACCACTATTATTATTATTTAAGTAAATTTTTATTTTTGTTTATAAGCAGACTTCTAGTCTAAAATAGGGAAATATTATTGTAGTAGTATTATTATGCTAAACTGTCCATAATATTTCATTTGATCACTATGTTATAGGAGTCATTCTATAGTGAGGGTGTTAGATAACATCCTTAGATGAGACCATATCTCTTAACCATTTGATCAACAATTTGATCCAACAATTAACCAATTCGATTCAATGAGCCTTAGATAAGACCCTCACTAGTGCATGCTATTATAATTGGTACAAGACAATCATGAAATCCTCGAAATTTGAGACTATACATTTCCATCAAGCTTAACAAAATTTCCTTAGTTGCTATGGATCCTCTGGTTTAATAAAATTTCCTTAGTTGCTAAGGATCCACTCAATTAATAAAACTCCTTATAATTAGTTGTTAAGGATCCACTGGAGTAGTGATTTGGAGCCAAGCTCCCCAAAGATGGTCCTAGATTCAAGTCCTAGCATGTGTGTGTGAGTTCATGTTAATATTGTCCATTTTAGTAGGAGAGGCTCTAAAACAATTTTTCCTTAGTTAAAAACCACTCTTGGATTTTCTCTATTTTCATAGAAAGTTGACGTCTCACTCCAAAATTAACTCGCAATTGAGAAAATTAGTAGCTCAACTCCTTAAAGCACTTCCATCGCAGGAGCCCAGGCAAAAGGCCCCCTAAGCCTCAAAAAGTGATTCCAGCGTAGACGCAAGATTTGGGGTCCATCAAGCCCAAGTAAGGCCCAAGGTAAGATCAGCCTGAGCTGTTGCCTAAGGGCGCTGACATCAACGAATAAAATTTTTTATAAAAAAATCGAAAATAATTCTAAAAATTTTCCAAAAAATTCAGAATTTTTTTATTATACATACCTAGCAAATTATTTTCTTATTAATCTCATACATATAAATAGTAATTGTCCTTGGGTTGTGATGTATGACGATATATGGGTCATTTATGGAGGGAAATATTAATTAAAATAAAGTGGCTCAAAGTTGGAAGGAAATTGTGCAAGAGAGGAACATTCTGGGTAAGCATCAATTATGGCGCTGGGAAAAAAATGACGATGTATCATTGGCATTTTCTTGTTGCTTAATTTCGTGATAAAATTTATATTATATTTACATTTTTTTACAATAAGTTATCAGTTAGGATATTATTTTCCTGATATGATTTTAATTAGTTTCTTATTAGTTAAGTTTTAGGAACATTCTAGAACCTAGGGTTCCCTACGGTTTTAGGATTTCTTGGTTTTCTATTTAAGCCAACTCATGACATTGTATTAATTAGTTTTATGATATTCTTAATCAAATTTAGGATTTTTTCTATTTTCTAGTGGATTCCAGTCTTTCATGGATTTCAATTTATCTTTTTATGATATTCTTAATCAAAAATATTAGTGAGCAGCCGACATGCCCAAGTTCAGTAGGTCAAATGAAGTGGTCAACCGAGACCAATATTTAAAGCTACAAAGCTACAAAAAATAAAAAATCTTCATCTACTTTGAAACTTCAGCAGGAGACTCCCCGTTGTTGACGTCATCTTTAGCTCTAGTTTGATTAACCGCATTTCTCTTCGGCTTCTGTCTCACTGACCACCTACTCATCAGCTGTAGCCACACGCTCATTAGCTTTGGCTACCTGCTTGATAGCATTAGCCTCCGCCTTATCAGCTACCCCCTCATTGGCCTCATCTTCCTTGATTATAGGCTCATTAGCCACCATCTCACCAGCTACCAACTCCTCAACAATATTTGTGTTCATGATGGTATATCATGCTCATCTCAAGCAGAAGACTCCTCCAAAACCATGATGTTTCCATCTCTCAAACATCACCAACTGGGGTCAGAACACCTTTCTGCTTTCATGGCTTGGCAAACTTTGGCCATGTCTGATTTGAGATCAAGCCTTTTACTGATCTCTTCAAACTGCCGAATACAAAAGTCAATTGGTCATGCTGATCTTTCAATTTCATGTCAAGTTGATGCATATTTTCTGGTATATTCTGTTTTTTGCATTTTAGTGAAAGACAAACTGCATTGCAGTGAACCACAAACTGCATTGCAGTTTCTGTGAACTGCATTGCAGTGAACCACAAACTACATTGCAGTTTCTGTGCTTCTTGAATGTTGCTCATTTCACGCCATGTTGTTATGTAGTTTCTGTTGTGTTTTGTAGTTCTTGTTTTGGCTATGCTGATCTTTCAATTTCATGTCAAGTTGATGCATATTTTCTGGTATATGCTGTTTTTTGCATTTTAGTGAACCACAAACTGCATTGCAGTGAACCACAAACTGCATTGCAGTTTCTGTGCTTCTTGAATGTTGCTCATTTCACGCCATGTTGTTATGTAGTTTCTGTTGTGTTTTGTAGTTCTTGTTTTGGCTATGCTGATCTTTCAATTTCATGTCAAGTTGATGCATATTTTCTGGTATATTCTGTTTTTTGCATTTTAGTGAAAGACAAACTGCATTGCAGTGAACCACAAACTGCATTGCAGTTTCTGTGAACTGCATTGCAGTGAACCACAAACTGGATTGCAGTTTCTGTGCTTCTTGAATGTTGCTCATTTCACGCCATGTTGTTATGTAGTTTCTGTTATGTTTTGTAGTTCTTGTTTTGGCTATGCTGATCTTTCAAATTCATGTCAAGTTGATGCATATTTTCTGGTATATTCTGTTTTTTTGCATTTTAGTCAAAGACAAACTGCATTGCAGTGAACCACAAACTGCATTGCAGTTTCTGTTTGCTTGTAGTTTATCTCTACTTGTCCTAATAATATTTTCATCCCTTCTTGTTGCAGATCACAAATGGCACAAGAAATGTCACCACAAAAGGAGGAAGCTCAAAACCAACCAAAGCGAAGATTCAAAATGATGGCTCAAAAGAGTAAATCAAAGCCAAAGCCAAAGCCAAACTATGATCGGAAAGCAAAGCACCCAGATTATGTCCAATTTCGGTGCAATGTCAACGCTTTCAACAGCATCATTACGGATGTAAAAGACAAGCTGAATGAAAGGCAGAAGAAGCTTCTCAAGAACACCCCATTTTGGAACTTGATTGAGGTGTTTTACAACCGAAGGATTGACATGAATAACATGAATAAGTCAGACCTTGACTTAGTTCAGCTGCTCAAGAAGTTTGATCCAGATACAAAGTCCTTCAAATTTGGCACCGAAGCATTCAAGATCACAGGCAATGCAGTGACTCAGATTCTAGGACTGCCAAATGAAGGAAAATCTGTCAAACTTGTCAATGATAGGTACACTTCTACCTTCAGAATAAGGCACTTTGGAGAAAAGGGAAAACCATCAAAAAATTTGGTAGAAGCAGAATTACTGAAGACAATTTCATTGGCAAACCAACCGAAGAAAGAAAAGGCCAAGGCAGAGCAAAAGAAAGAAGCTGAAGAAGAAGAAGAAGAAGTTGACTACGACAAGGAGGTGGTCAGCATAATATTGATTCACCTATGCATGACATTCCTTTTTGCCAACGCTTCGTCTACTTTGCATTGGAAAGTATTTGAGCACTGTGTGAATCTGGACACACTTTTAAGCTATTCTTGGGCAAGTGCTGTTTCAGCCTACATGAATGAATCCTTGGTCGCAAAAGCAAAAGCAAAAGCAAAGAAGGGAGGAGAAGGCTCTATAGGAGCTGTTTCGGGTTGCATTATCCTAATATTGGTATGCATTTTGAGTTTTAGGCAATGCAGTTTCCCTTTAGTGCAATGCAGTTTCTGTTTTATCCTAATTTATGATATATCTTGTTTTTGAACTGTGCAGTTTCTACTAACATAATACAACCATCCTGGGCAAAGAGAAAGAAACTCCTGCCATTCTTAAATGGAGTCTTGTGGAACTCCACACAAGATTCAACCAAATAAAGGACTTGAATGACATCGAGGTATGCAATTTATCGCATGTTGTTCTACTTTAATGTATCTTGAATGTGAATTCATGCTAAATCATTCTCATTGTACAGGGTATTTTCAAAACTCCTAAAAAGCGAAAAACTACCAGGGAAGAGGAAGACACTGTTGACAAGGTATTTTAGTGAACCACAAACTGCATTGCAGTGAACCACAAACTGCATTGCAGTTTCTGTGCTTCTTGAATGTTGCTCATTTCACGTCATGTTGTTATGTAGTTTCTGTTGTGTTTTGTAGTTCTTGTTTTGGCTATGCTGATCTTTCAAATTCATGTCAAGTTGATGCATATTTTCTGGTATATGCTGTTTTTTGCATTTTAGTGAACCACAAACTGCATTGCAGTTTCTGTGCTTCTTGAATGTTGCTCATTTCACGTCATGTTGTTATGTAGTTTCTGTTGTGTTTTGTAGTTCTTGTTTTGGCTATGCTGATCTTTCAAATTCATGTCAAGTTGATGCATATTTTCTGGTATATGCTGTTTTTTGCATTTTAGTGAACCACAAACTGCATTGCAGTTTCTGTGCTTCTTGAATGTTGCTCATTTCACGTCATGTTGTTATGTAGTTTCTGTTGTGTTTTGTAGTTCTTGTTTTGGCTATGCTGATCTTTCAATTTCATGTCAAGTTGATGCATATTTTCTGGTATATTCTGTTTTTTGCATTTTAGTGAAAGACAAACTGCATTGCAGTTTGTATTTTATCCAATGCAGTTTTTGAATCATTCAATCTCATTGTACAGGGTATTTTGAAAGCATATAAAAAGAGAAAAACTACCAGAGAAGAGGGAGACCCTCTTGACAAGAAAAGAAGATGCAGAAAAAAGAAAAAGAAGATGAAGGACAACAAAGAGAAGCAGAGGAAGCAGAAGACCAAGGAAAACCTGATAATACTGATCAAACTCCAGAATTAAAAAGGATGGAAAGAAGAAAATGTTTGAGAATGAAGCTGGAAATGAACCTCTTGCAATTCAAGACCTCTTGGTGAAGTCCATGACAGACCAAATCAACTATCACCAACGTCAAGATCCTAGCTTCATTTGCCCAGAAAGATTACAACTGTGGAAGGATGAAAAAAATGAAGACAGTGAGAAGAAAATGAAGGAATTGTGGGATATATTTATCCAAGGAGAAAAGAGATCAAAGGAGCTGGAAGCGAAGTTGGCAACATACGTAGAGAAATTAGATAATGAAGAATATGTGACTGCCACCATGACAGTGGAATCTACCGTTCAGCTTCAGGAAATAGAAAATCTAAAAAGGAGGATTGCAGAATTGGAAGGCAAGGAAACTCGGATTGACATGGAGAAGATTGCCAAGAAAAAGGAGATTGAAGAAAAGTACAAGGTAGAAATTCAAAGCTTGTTGTCAGACCCAACAGTCTTTGAAATGGAGATGGATCTGCCTACAACACAACCAACACAACCAGTTGAAGAGCAAGAAGAAGAAGAAGAAGAGAAAGAAGAAGACAAGAAAGAAGAAGAGAAGCAACAAGAAGAGAAAGAAGAAGAGAAGAAGCAAGACGCTCCAACACCTGATGTTCCTTCAAGAGTACTAAGGCTGAAGAATAGAGAAAGAAAGAGGCTTCAAGCATCTTGCTATGTGTACGAAAAAAATAAGAAACCAAAAATGAAGGCAAAAAAGGATGATGAAGAACTACCACAATTCAAGATTATCTCTTCCGAGGAGCAATCAACACAAGAGGATCCTCAAAATCAGAAGGTGGTATGCAATTACTGCAGTTCAAGCTGCTGCTTTTCTGTTTTCTGCTGCTTTACAGAAACGGAAACTGCATTGCAGTTTCTGCTGCTTTACAGAAACGGAAACTGCATTGCAGTTTCTGTTTTATCAAATGGAGTTTCTAATTAGTTTCCTTTCAATCTGCAGTTAACACAAGAGGCATCTCAGCCCGATGCCACAAATCCAATTCCTGATCCCCCAAAAGGAACGAGCCTTCATGATTCAATACTTGTAGGTATGCAAGAATCAAATGATGAAGATGAAGGACAAAAAAAGCCAACAAAGAAAAAACTAGGATGGGGTCAAAAGAAGGTTTGGCAGAAAATTCCAAAGGAGGACAGGGACAGAATTCAAGAATACTACTTAAGTACTCAACCTAGGTAATATCTCTATTCCAAAAGAACAACTCTTTCATCTTTTAATTACAATTAAACTAAAACTAATCTTGTGAATTTCATGTATTTGAATCCGCAGTGATAACTTTTGGGCAGGACTCGATAGTGAGAAAGTGACAAACCATGACATCAAAGATATTGTATGGGACTTGGAAATGTCACAAAACGTAAGTATAAAATACTAATTCTATAACACACACTGCACTGCATTTCTTATTTGTGCTACCTATATTACCCGTTAATAATTCCATTTTTCTCTAATCAATGTGAAACAGGTTATTGAGGCCTATATCCAAATAGAGGAGGAGAAAATAGGGCCCATGCAGACAGATAGTCCACAGTACATGTCTACATGGACTTGGGTAAGAATTATTTTGAAAATTCAAAGTTGTTTAAACAGACACGGCACTGCAGTTTTCGAAAAATATATACTAACAAATTGCCATTCAATGATATTAGGCTTACATGCAAACCTTTCTAGAACCAAATTGGCATAGGGCCCTGTATGAACACTTACTTGAAAAACTCGGGAAATGCAATGTTCTCTTCTTCCCGATCATTTCAAGTTCTGAGTTCCACTTTACACTTCTCACATTTCACAAAATTGAACAAAAGTGGAGACACTACAATCCACTTAGATCGTTGGGATCTAGAAAAGAAGAAAAGTGTATTGACATTGCTCAAAATTTTGTAAGTGGAATGAAAACTGTCTTAATTTCTCAGCACAAACACAAACAGAAACTGCAATGCAGTTTCTGTATTATATGTACTGCTTAATTTCGGACCAAAACTATAATATGCAATGCACTGATTACCATTTCTTTTTCTCTTTTTTTCTTCTTCTTTAAACAAGTTAATATTGTGGAAGGGTGGCTAGAATATATCAGACCACAAGCACAAGAGTTCTTAGAAACTAAAAAAATACCAAAACTTGTGAAGCAAAAAGAAGGGCCCCCTACACCTGCACAGGTTGATTTGTCCCCAAATGAAGAACTCACTCTAAATTGGATTCTGCAAAATCCATATCAGTTTCCATTTGAGGATGACACAGAATGTGCTCAACAAAATTCATCTTCGTAAGAATTGTGTCTACTCAACCATTCATTACAATTTGAAATCATTCAAAACCAAAAGCTAATCTCGTATTCATTTGCAGGTTGGATTGCGGCATGTTCGTCATGTTCTACATGGATAAAATAGCACAAGGACAGCCCATTCCAAAAAGTGTGGACAAGAAATTCATGAATGAATATCGAGCACAATATGTCACAAAACTCCTACACCACAAACACTGTGTAATTAATCGTCTCTAGTGATTTGCCTTTCGTTAACTCAAGACAATATGTATCTTAATTCTTGTGGATGTTTGTAAATATTTCTAGTTATTGTATATGAGAACATACTTGCAAAAATTATTCTGAAATTGAATTATCGAACAAGAAACTGGGCTGCAGTTTCTGGTCAAAATCTGCACTGCTGCTCAAAAGGTAAAGGCATAATCAAAGTACTAAAACTAATATCAAAACACATTTAAGTAGGTCAGCAGTTGTAACATTCCAATATACTTGCAAAAATTATTCTGAAATTGAATTATCGAACAAGAAACTGCGCTGCAGTTTCTGGTCAAAATCTGCACTGCTGCTCAAAAGGTAAAGGCATAATCAAAGTACTAAAACTAATATCAAAACACATTTAAGTAGGTCAGTAGTGTAACATTCCAATATACTTGCAAAAATTATTCTGAAATTGAATTATCGAACAAGAAACTGCGCTGCAGTTTCTGGTCAAAATCTGAACTGCTGCTCAAAAGGTAAAGGCATAATCAAAGTACTAAAACTAATATCAAAACACATTTAACTCCATGAGCAGTTATAACATTCCCATAGACTAGCAAAAAGTATTCTGAAATTGAATTATGGGACAAGTTCTGTTCAAAATCTGCAACAAATAAACAGAAACTGCAGTGCAGTTTCTGCAACAAAATCTGCTCAAATCTGAAAACAAGCATTCAATGGCAGTCAAAAACGAATATCCACTCATGAAACAATTGTATAATTTTCATTAACTTCAAAAAAGAATCATAATATCCAATTAGAAGCTGTGTAGCCAATTAAAAGCAACTAAAACTGCAATGCAGGTTTTGCAAAAAGTGCAATGCAGAAACTGACTATACATTCACTAAACCATATCTAACGTAAGCAATCGTCAACTGAGAAGGAATGTTCATATCACAGCCTTGCAAGTCTTCCTATTATGCCCAGTAACACTACACCGACTGCATTTCAATGGCCTTTTAAATTCACCAAAAGCTTTGATCCTCTTTGTTGGTGGTCTTCCGGCTGGCCTCTTTGTAATTGGCGGAAGCACAACTCCAGCTGCAAAACTGTTGCTGCCCAAGCCTTTCCCAATATCTGGAATAGGAAAAATAGGACTCTCATAGGCTTTTCGAAAGAAGTCAGTCCTATAGTAACACTCCACGTAATCATAAATTGAATCTTTCTTTGCTAGAATTGCAGCTACCGCATGCGTGCAAGGAAAACCGTCAATTTGCCAAAGACGGCAAGAACAAGTCCTTTGCTCAAGATCAACCATCACAAAATAATCAGCAAATACTTCAAAAACAGTGAAACTAGAACGACGAACTACCCAAGTCCTACCGGCCTCCGCATTTTCCCACAGTCTAGTTTCCATCTCCGGACACAAAATTGTTGTCCACTTCTCCGCTTCAATTAGTCGTTGAGAATTCAATACCATCAATTTCTGTCAAATCCCTTCTATCAAAGGTAGAACCGGCAAATCTCGAAACACACCAACCCAATTATTAAATGACTCCGCTAAACTATTTGCCATCTCCCCATACCGCATTCCTTTGAAATATGCGTTCGCATAGTGATCTCTAGACAAATCAGATATAAATGTCTTCACTTTCGAACTCCCAACAATCACCAACTCCTCCATTGCTACCGTAAACTCTTCCTCTGTAACAGCATATGCGCACCTACTAAATAAATTGATAACACGGTCTTGGAGCGATTTCCCATAACCTGACTTCGGGTACTTCGATATCAAATTCTGTTTGAGGTGATAGTAACAGTAAGAATGAGGCCATCCAGGAAACACAAACCCCATTGCATTTAACAAACCTTGATTGCGATCCGAGAAAAAGGTCACCACTCTCCCCATCGGTAGCAAAATAGAAGCCAAATGTTGAAGAAACCAAGTCCAATTCTCCTCCGTCTCAGAATCAACAACTCCAAAAGCTAGAGGATAAAACCCTGCAAAACAAAACCAAAAGCACAAGTATAAGCAAAAAAGGGAAATTGCAGTGCAGTTTTTGAAAACAAATCTGCTCAAATTTGAAAGGAAACCAAAAGGCAAATCCATGATCCAAGTACTAAAACTAAGTTTAAAACACATTTAAGTTCATGAGCAGTTGCAACATTCCCACAGACATACAAAAATTATTAAGAAAATCGAATTATGAAACAAGAAACTGCAATGCAGTTTCTGCTAAAAAATTGCAACAAATGGAATCTGCAATACATTACAGTAACCATACCTTGATTTCCCATTCTTTCCGGAAGCACAGAGAAGCTGCCCCTTGTACTTGCTCTTCAAAAACGTAGCATCAACGAACAACAAGGGTATGCAATATTGAAATCCAGCAATGCAACCGCCAAACGACACAAAAAAACCGTCTAAAGCGATTAATTCCAGCTTCACATTCAAGAGTGCAGAGAGAACCAGGGTTAGTTTCCTTTACGGCGTCCGCATACCACACTAACTCGTTGAAGGACTTCGACTCATCACCGTGAACGTTCAATTTAGCTAACTCTTTGCCAAACCATGCATGGTAGTATGAAATGTCTATACCATAATAATCTTTGAACTCGTGTATAATCTCAACTAGTTTTGCACGAATTCTGTCCACAATGAGGGAGGACACCACACGAGACTTCATCATCTTACTCTTTGATTCCCGTATCCGACCCACACATGTATGCACATTATTTAATGTCCGAATTACAAAACAGCCAGTAGCTTCACAACGAGAAGCATAAACACGCCAGCTACAACCCTCCAATTTCTTATTCGAACAAATAGCAACCACCCGCTTCTTGTCATTGCCGGCATATAAAAAATTAAATCCTACTTCAAGAGCGTACTTGCACAATTTCAAACGGAACTCCTCTGCACCACCGTCAAACTTCTGCCCTACATGATGTATGTACGTCTCCCACTCATTCGACAACAAAGGCTTAGCACTTGCTCTCTTCGACCTGCCCAAAAATTCATTTCTGTCTTCGACAGTACTAGAACACGACGACTCGCCCTTTTCACATGCAATCAACTCCTTATTTACACAAAAATCACCACTATATTCACTGCTTCCGCATAAATCCTTCACTAAAATATCAACACTCTTCTCATTTGATACAAACAAAAATGTCCTCATCATGTCCAAATCGCTATCCGTTTCTAGAAAACAACTCGGATAACTGGGCAGCGAATACCGTAACGTAAAACAACCCAACTGCAAACCCTTAAACCTTAGACACAAAGTCTTCAAAATATCAACCATGGATGACTCTGATGAAACTGAAAACATCATGGTTTCCGACTTATATGTGCACTTGGCAATGACACACACCTCCATTAGCCTTGAAAATGCAAACAAAACAACAAACAAAAACAGAAAACAATTTAAATCAGTAAATAATGTACATGAGCAGTTGTAAAATTCCAATAGACTTCCAAATATTAGTCTGAAATCGAATTATGAAACAAGAAACTGCAATGCAGTTTCTACCAAAACTACAACAAACAGATGTAGTTTATGACAGAAAATCAAAACAATTCGAATAGAAACCAAAAGGAAACCACGATAAAAGTACTAAAACTAAATTCCATAAACATACAAGTCGATATAAACGAAAACAGGTTCTAAAGTACTCATACCTCAAAACTTAGGACTGCCAAAAATCTCCACAACCAAACAGCAGCTTAAAATCAAATCTGATCACGAAACGAAGAATATAGGGTTTAGCATTGAACGCCACAAGATCGCGCCGCAAAATCGAGCCACAAAACTGAGCTCGAAATACCCGAACTAAGGAGAACAGAAATCACCCAAAACTGACAGTCATTCAGCATGCAAATCGAACGAAAACGTAGCAGAAAAAAGAAGACAGAAAAACGAAGAAAATAAAAGCAAAACCTACCAGAAAATTGAGCTCCAATGGCAGAACCCAGCTCTGAAACGAAGAAGAAAACGAACGAAAAAGAAAAGAAACTCGCGCGTCGTTTAAAACGTTCAGAGGCAAAAGCGTCATTTAATTTGTAGGTTTACAGATGGGCCAGGCTTTTTAAGAGAAAAGGGTAGAATTGTCTTTTTATTTGTTATTTTAAGCTGGCCCAACGAATCTGGGTCAGCCTTTGGCCTAATCTAAAATAGCTATTTTTTTTTAAGTATTAAAACCCAAACTAAAATACCTAATATCTCACTTACTAATTAGTAAACTTAATAATGTCTAATACCTAATTTTCCTTTCTTTTTATTGGCTAAAAGGAAGAAAAAACCTCTTTTTTCTTTTTTTCTCTTTTTCTCCTTTTCTTTATTACTTTACAATACTTTTCAGAACAAAGGGACGCTACATAGTACATATACATTTCGGTGCTCTCAAGCTTAACAAAATTTCCTTAGTTGCCAAGGATCCTCTCGTTCAATAAAGTTTCCTTAGTTGCAAAGGATGCACTAGTTTTATAAAATTCCTTATAATTACTTGCTAAGGATTCACTAACAAACCCTTTTAGAGATTGTCCTGGATTCGAGTCCTAACATGTGTGTGTGAGTTTAGATGAATATCATCAATTTCAATATGAGAGATCCTAAAACAAATTCCTTAGTTAAAAACCACTCTTACATTTTATCCATTTTCCTTTAGAAGAAAGTTGATGTTCCACTCCAAATTTAACTCTCAATGCAAAAGAAGAGTAGCTCAACTCCTCATAAACTTACACTAGTTCCCTCAACTTTTCAATATGCAACAAAATTCAATAGGAACCACTATTATTATTTAAGTAAGTTTCTGTTTTCTTTTTCCCGTAAGTAGACTTCTAGTCTAAAATAGGGAAATATTATTGTAGTAGTATTATTATGTTATACTAACCATAATATTTTATTTGATCACTATGTAGAGGAGTCATTCTATAGTGAGGGTGTTAGATAATGCACTTTGATGAGACCATATCTCTTAACCGTTTGATCAATAGAATCGAACTAACCAATTTGATCCAACGATTTACCAATTCGATTCAATAGTTAAAAGGTGCCTTAGAAAAGACCCTCACTGAAGTGCATGTTATTATAATTGGTACAAGTCAGTCATGAAATCCTGGGATGACTGGTAATTTGGCAGAATTTGAGACTATACATTTCAATCAAGCTTAACAAAATTTCCTTAGTTGCTATGGATCCTCTGGTGTAATAAAATTTCCTCAGTTGCTAAGGATCCACTCGTTTAATAAAACTCCTTATAATTAGTTGCTAAGGATACATTGGTGTAGTGATTTGGAGCCAAGCTCCCCAAAGATGGTCCTGGATTCGAGTCATAGCATGTGTGTGTGAGTTTATGTGAATATCGTCCATTTCAATAGGAGAGGCCCTAAAAAAATATTTCCTTAGTTAAAAGCCACTCTTAAATTTTCTCTATTTTCATTTTGAAGAAAGTTAACGTCCCACTCCAAAATTAACTCGCAATGGAGAAAATTAGTAGCCCAACTCTTTAGAGCACTTCCATTGCAAGAGCCCAGCCCAGGCAAAAGGCCCCCTAAGCCTCCAAAAGTGATTCCAACTCAGGCAAGAGCTAGGGTCCACCATTCCTAGGCAAGATTAGCCTGAGTTGCTTCCCGAGGGTGCTGACATCAGCGAATAAATTTTTTTATAAAAAATCAAAAAACAATTCTGAAAAAATACCAAAAAATTCAGAAATTTTTTTTTTATACATACCTAGCAAATTCTTTTATTATTAATCTCATACATATAAATAAAATTAGTCCTATGTAAATAGTAATTGCCCTTAGGTTGTGATGTAAGACGATGTATGGGTCATTTATGGTGGGAAATATTAATTAAAATAAAGTGGCTCAAAGTTGGAAGGACATTGTGCAAGAGAGGAACATTCTGGTTAAGCATCAAATATGGCACTAGGAAAAGAAGGACATCGTTGGGATTTTCGGGTTGCTTAATTTCTTGAGAAGATTTATATTATATTTATATTTTTTAGAATAAATTATCAACAAGGATATTATTTTCCTAATATAATTTTAATTATTTTTCTTACTAGTTAAGTTTTAGGAATATTCTGGAACCTAAGGTTTCCTACGGTTTTAGGATTTCTTGGTTTTCTATTTAAGCCAACTCATGACAGTGTATTTATTAGTTTTATGATATTCTTAATCAAATTTAGAGATTTTCTCTATTTTCTAGTGGATTCTAGTCGCTCGTGGATTTCAATATATCTTTTCGGGTTAAGACGTTTATCAATCCGTAAATTTGTGCTTCTGTGTTGCATCAAGTGGTATCAGAGTGAGTGATCATTCAGAGCAAGGATTTTCCTTCTCAATGATGAGTGGCGATGGGAGGAGGTACGCAAACCTCATCGATGATCGTGGGCAAATATCAAATATTAAAGGGGAACGCGCTGGTGGATTTTCCTGAAGCCAACCTCATGAATCCTATGTTGCAGATGTTCCATGCTTTATGGAAAGCGACAACATTGAAGGGTTTCTCGAACCGCTCCTATTTCTCCGACCACCTGCTCATCAGTTGCAGCCGTACTCATCCGCTTTGGCTACCTTCTCCATAGCATTAGCCTCTGCCTTGTCAACTGCCCCCTCCTTGGCCTTATCTTCCTCGACTATAAGCTCATTAGCCACCATCTCACCAGCTACCTACTCCTCAGTAGTATCTATGTTCGTGACGATATCATGCTCACCTTAAGTAGAAGACTCCTCCAAAAAACACTAATGGGGAACATGCTTTCTCTTTCTAGATGCATTGGTCGAGGACTTATTCCTTTCATCGAGCTGATCAACCAAGTCGAGACCATGATGTTCCATCTCTCAAACATCACCAGCTGGGGGCAAAACACCTTCCTGCTTTCATGGCCTGGCAAACTTTGGCCATGTTTGGTTCAAGATCAAGCATTTTACTGATCTCTTCAAACTGCAAGTAGAATACAAGAGTCGGTTGGTCACAATAACTCACATATAATAGCTTTGGATATGTGATTAAAGCAGATCAGTGCAGTTCGAGACATACCATAGCAAGACATTGCACCAGTTGGCCAGCACAACAGCTACCCAGTCCAAGCTGACCGAAACACAGCATAGCTACTCTACCAATCCCGTGATTGGCCCCCACATCATGAATGAATCTCAAAGGCCTCCTTTCGTTAGGAACCCAACTCACAAAAGGAGCCCAACCTTTAGAAGGAAACATAAATGCAATTGAAAGCCCGATAAATACTTCTCATCTCCTTCACACCATATAAGCGTCATGCAGAAGCTAGGGGGGCATTTGTAGGAACACATATTTCTGCAACTAGTGGATAGGCATCACATGGAAAATGAATATTCCTTCGGTCAACTGATTACCCTAGTTAAATCCTATTTATTAGGGAAATTATCTTTGATTTAAGATGGGAATGTCTCTCCAAAGCAAGGATGAGATTTCCATCAAATCTCCTTGATTAATTTCAATCTCTTATTTTTGTGTAAGAATAATCCTAACCAAATAAAGATTATTCTTCAAACCCAAGCCTACGTGGAGCATTATAAATACATGGCTACATTACATATATGAGGTAATCTGATTTCTACCCTTGAAGCACCTTCTCTCTCATGCCACTCTCTTCTTCACCTCTCCGGCCACCCTCACACACGGCTCCGACCACCTGGCTCTTCCCATAAGAAAAGACCTATATCCTTTCTGTTATCTTAGTATCTTTTCAAGAATATTTTACTGACTTAGGCATTAGAGGGCCTTTGGCCAACACCCCCTGAGTGTGGTCTATTTACTCCAATATTTTTCACAAAATCGAGGAAGATGAGACAGAAGGAAACTCAAAACATGAAGAATCAACCCACAAACCCCATGTGAAAATTTGCTTAAACAAGAACCTCAACATTTTGCACATGAACATGATATTTTGGAGGCATATAGCCACCAAACAATGCCGGTCCTGAATTTTTCAGGGCCCAGGGCAAAAGTAAAAATTAGGCCCCTATATATATTTAAACTCAGTGGTGAACTCACTCTTATTTTTCAACCAAAATCTAACATGTCCAAATTAACTAAAAATTTAACATTCAAGCCAAATAAATTGTATCAATTCAAATTTCAATAAATATAAATTTAGAATAAAAGGCTACAATATATAAACAAGATAAATACATATAACAATTCAATAAGTTCTTTTTAATCCAGCAACATGCAACCAGCCAAAAAAAAATTTCTCTACATGCTGAATAGTCGAAGCAAAACAACATCAATCTATTTGAAATCCCTTTGCATCCTTAGCAATCAGCAAAACAAAAATGTCTTTACATCCTCAATAGCCAAAGCAAACTGCAGCAGCCTACTTGAATCTCTTTGCATCCTCAGCAACCAGCAAAACAAAAATGTATTTTCTTCCTTAATAGCCAAAGCAAACAACAGCAGCCTACTTGAAATCCCTTTGCATCCTTAGCAACCATCAAAATATCGACATCACCACCTGCAAGATAAGGTGAAAAACAACAAAATTACAACTAAAAAAGTATATTTAAATGATTTTCTTCTTGCATTTTGAGAAGCAAAATCATCAATGATGCTTTCAAATTCAAGCTTTTCTAACATCTCCTTTTCAATGGATAAGATTGCTAGCCCATTTAGCCTTTCTTGTAACATAGTAGACCTCAAGTAAGATTTCAATAATTTTAATTTAGAAAAACTTCTTTATGCAGATGCTATAGTCACAGGTACAGTCAATAGTATTCTATAGGCAATCAAAACATTTGGAAAACAATCCGTATCTTTTACAAACTCTACAATTTCAAGTACTGTGTTTACTGTTGATGGTAAAAGACATTGCAGCACCTATAACTCTGAAAACAAATCACTTGCATCAACATTAGAAGACTCGCCATTTCTTAAAGTAGTTAAGGCTTCACACAACAATTTTTCAATTCCTCATCACCCAATGAAGTTAACTTCTTTGAATTAAACAAGAACCCAAAAATACCATCATATGTTTGCATTTGTTCACATCTACTCCTCAATGAAGAAAGAGCCATATCCACTACACAGATGAAATAATTGACTCTAAATGATTCTTCAACTTATTGTACTATCTCATCATTGGCATTCTCATCAAATTGTTTCTTTCTATGACTTTAACGTTTTTTAGGAAATTCAGGTTCAATCCCCATATCACAAGCAATAGTTTTAGCTTCAATCATAGCATATGCAAATCCATTTTCTCTATAATTCTCAAAAAAAGAAATGAGCCCCTCCAAATTTTTTAAAGCAGCATCAATGCACATATCTTTAGATTGTAACTTTTTGCTGACTAAGTTAATTTTCAACAAAATATCATGCCAAATAACCATGCCTAATAAAAACTCAAAATTTTCCAGTTTATGTGTTGCTAAACTTTCAGCTTCACTTTTTGCTTTACCATCTTCACTAGTTTTTGCTACTTTAAATAAAGCTTCTTTTATTTGAGCAGCTTGGAATCTTATTGCTTTAACACTCTCTACACGACTTTCCCAACATGTAGTTGACAATGTTTTGAGAGTGAAACCATCTACATAATATTGTAAAATCTTCCAACGCTTTGTAGAATTAGCAAAAACACAATAAATGCGTTGAACCACCCCAAAAAAGGATTTCTCTTTCACACAACAGTTTAACATATCATATAGTGTTAAATTAAGAGAATGACAACCACATGGCATGAACAAAGCTATAGGATTTATTTCAAGTAATCTTCTTTGTACATCTTGATTTTTTCCTTTCATATTAGAGTCATTATCATAACCCTGTCCTCTAACATCATCAATTTTAAGACCAAAGGACTCTAGGACAGATTGCAATTCATTAAAAAGTCCTAATCCTGATGTATCTTTCACAATTAAAAACTCTAAAAAGTACTCTTCTATTTTCACTGGACTCCTTGACAAATCCACACACCGTATTATCAAAGTCATTTGTTACTTGTGACTTGAATCAGGAGTGCAATCAAGTATCACTGAAAAATATTTTCCTTGTTTGATTTGCTCAATGATTGCACTTCTGACTTTTGAAGCCAGCAAAGCTATCAGCTCATTTTGAATCTTATGGCTTAGATAGTGATAGTGAATCTCATCATTTTGAATTCGTCGAAAATTTTCTTGCATTATTGGATCAAATTCTGCAACCATTTCATCCCTGGGAAATTTGATATTATTATCTCTTGCAGGACCTTTTTCCACAAGTAAAGCTCTTTTTTTTTCATTTAGATTATCCCAAATTCTATGATAAGAAATGTTTAAAGGAAAACTTGGTTCTACAACCTCAAGTTCAGTGTCTTCATTATTACAAAGATGATTAAAATCTTCATTCTCAACATGTTCATCATCACCTAAGTCACCTACCTGTGCATTAAAATCATTCTCAGTTCCTACTAATTCTTCCACATGATTTTGTTGTTCAGATTCATTGACTAAATCATTATCAATTCCTACAAATTCTTCAACATGATTTTGCTACTCAGACTCTCAACTAAATCTTCAGTTGAGTTATCAAGTGAACTATTTGTTTTGTTTTGAAAAAATTTATCCAAAGCTCCCTTTTGAGATTGAGTTAATTCTTCTCTCTGTCTTTTTCTTTTCCTTTTTTGACTTCTAGATGGATGTTTCTTAGGGAACATTGTTACGTGAAAACAGAAACAATACAAGGAAAGCCAATGCAATCTTAATACTTCAAAGAATAAACAAATAACAACAAAACCTAGAATTTGAGAAATCCCCCTTTGAGAAATCCCCCTCCACGGAAACAAACTTAATATTTCCAAATTTTCAATCAATTAGAGCTTAAAAGAATTCCTGCAAAGAGAATGTGTAACTACATGAGTTCACAAATCTACAAACAAAAAAAAATCATATTTCCCTTTTCAGTTGATATCAAATCATAAAAATTACATTCAATTGATTTCCACAAGGACCAATTTTGCACTGAATAAAAGCCCACACTTTGGATTTTGGATTCTATCCAAATAATTTTAACCTGTAACTAAAAGAAGAGGATTCACAAGGACCAACTTTGTTTGTACCATATCTGACCATCCACTCACATCATGACACATGGAAAGTGAACGAGGTTGAGACCAACCTTGTGAGGCCGGGCCGAATAAGCCAAACTGACATGAATCAACACACACCACTGATTCATGCATACCTTTCAATCGGTACATTCTCCCGAATGAAGACTTGAATAGAGACCTTCGATACCCCATACCGAAGGACCTTGAAGGCGCGATCAGCACGCCCGACCGATCCTGCAAGACAACCTCGGAACTTCCGCCAAGGCTTGTTTGGACGCGTGTCGCTGAAGACACTCCCACAAGTCCCACATCGAAACTAAGCACTAAAAGATCACCCAACGCCCTCTATAAATAAAGCCCCTTGGCCCTAGCCAAAAAGGTAATACTGTTTACTTGACTTATGCTTTCACACTATCAACGAATTTCTCTTAGTCACTAACTTTGGCATCGGAGGGTCTTCGGCCGACACCACACCGGTGCTTTAGACCTCACTTGTCGTATCTTCTCTCAAGCCGAATCCAACATCGCGCCTCGCAAAAGGACGACACGGACCGAAGGCTCCTTGGATCTAAACCATCCACATCACCTGTAAGTTAGCCTTATCTCTATCTGTTTAATTTAAGCGCAAACAAACTTAGATGGAGGCTTAGGATTTTGGATTCACGAATCAGAAGGACCAGCTTAGATGAGGCTTAGGAGAGGATTCAAAACTTTGTAGAAGAAGAGAAAGAAGAAAAAAAATAAGAAGAAGAAGTAAAAGCGACCTGGAGGAGTGGAGTGGAATAGGAACAGGTCCTCTTCTTCTTGAGAAGGGGAACAGACCAGATCATTGGTCTTTTTTTCTTCTCAAAATATTAAATCAATTAATAGTTATGATAATATAATATAATACTTACTATATAAAAAAATTTGGGCCCCCCACAATAATGGGCCCAGGGTGGTCGCACTGACTGCCCTTGTTCAGGGACGGGCCTGCCACCAAATGAAAATCAAGTAGGGCACTGCTCTTTTTCTTTTCCCATAATCAATCACCAGACTAACCATCCTCCAAAAAATTTGTTTCATAAAAAATAATTTTATTTGCATCCTGAGTTCGAGAACGTTGTTTTACTTAGTACATATCCTTATTTCTTTTTGTTTTGTCAACAATATCTCTTGCAGTCCCAACTATATGCAAGTACTTATTTCATCGAATAAGACAAAAGTTGTGCTGTGTGGGTTAGTTTCACCCTCAACCCAAAGGTGAAAGTGAAAATCATCTACCTAGCATCATTCTTACAAATTCATTGCTTATATATAGAGCTGCAACTACAGCTAGGTGCTTGCCATGCTTTCTAGTCATGTGGCGCTCTCTGTAACACATAGTAGGCCCTATATGCAGCCAATTTCATTCCAACGCGTCTTGAACACTATGTACTGGGAGAGATTTAGGATTTCAAGCCCAAGTAATTCAAGTTCAACACATGAATACCATATCAAAAAGTCAAAGAAAAATTAGGTATTAGACATAAAAATCTTTACAAATTAGGATTTGATATATATAGTATTTCTGTTTAGGTTTTGATACATAGGAATCAAATTTTGTTTTAGATTTGGCAAAGAGGAGGCCCAGATTCATTGGGCCTGTCTAAATTATAAAGACTAAAAATACAATTTTACCCTTTTTGTTTAAAAGCACAAAATCAGATTTCCCTCCAATAACGCCGCTCCGAAAGCTCTCTCTCTTCTTCCTCACGATGAGTCTGCTCCGAAGTAAAGCCTGAGCTTGGCCGTAGCAAGAAGCTATGGCAGGGATCATCCGGGTGCATCATTGGTGGTGGCCAATTCTGGCGGAGGAAGGAAAGGCTGATTTCAGAGAGCAAATGAGGGCAATTCTCTCTGTCTGATTCTTCCTTCTTTGGTGTTAAGGTCGTTCTTGGGTGGGCGCTGAATTGTATTGATTTTGAGGTATTTATGTTTATGCAATTTCTTCTTCGTTGTTGTTGACAGTTGGAAAATGACTTATTATTGATTTTGAATAATTGTGTAGTTTGATGACAGTTGGAAAATGACTTTTTTCTTGCTCTAGATTCTGTGATGCTGTTTTGATCTAATCTGCGTAGTTGTTGTTAATTCTTTTTATTTTCTTGTGTTTGTGTAAATTTGTGAATAGTCACATTGTTTGTACTGAATTTTACTTCACTAAATTGGTAATTTTTGCTAATAGTGATGTATAGGCATAAAGATCTAACTTTTTAGTTCAATTTTTTGATTGGTGGTTAATGTGTAGAGTGTTGGGGTTTGATTTGGACTAGGAAGGGAGTTTGCATTGTGTGAGCTCGCACTGTAGCATTTGCACTTTTTTGAACATTGTTTGCTTGTTTGTGAAGAGAGAGTTGATTAGATTACTTTGCTATAGAAAGTGATCTAGTAATTGTAGCTGGAGTTTCAATCTCTATAGAAAGTTGCAGCTTCATTCTTGACTCTCTTTGATTGAGAATTTTTCATTAGATTTCATTAGCAATTTTAACACCAGATAGAATTAGACTCTTCAGTCTTTGGGCATTTTAGGTGTTATTTTACATAGGTTGATTGATGAGTCATCTCTCCCCCATTTCAACCCCTATCATATGATTTGGAGGGGCAAAAGCACCATGTAAAAATATTCTTTAGATTATTGCTCGTGGTAGAGTAAATACTTGTGGTTCAAAAGAGGCCTAAAGTTAGTCTATCTTCTCATGGGTGTATTATGTGCAAGAGGGAGGCTGAAAATAGTGACCCTTTTGGAGCTGAAAATATTCTTTAAAAAGCTTTGGCACAAAATGTTCATAGAAGCTTGGCCATGCATTTTTATGGTTTCTGAGAAGCACTATCCTTTTTTGAAGGGGAAAGACAAGAACTCATGTGGAGTTGTAGTGTATGGTTGTAGGGTTTGTATGGATGGAATGAAATAAGAGGATATTAACATATTCTAACAAATCATCCAAGCACCATCAAAACATACTGAGAAAAAAAAAACATTTTACCTTTATTTAACCTTCATGAATAGAGTGGTGGGAGAGAAGAAAAGCAATGGAAAGGGGGCAAATTTAAAGGGAGAGTCCTTATACCTAATATGACTGTTGTCCCTGCAAGGACCTTTGTGAACTTCATAACTCTTGTAGAATCCGTAGCTCTAGCTCCCATGATGGAATTTTGAGCTCCTTTGGAAAGATTCTCAACATTCGAAGTTGATGATTTTTAACTTATTTGAATTTGCATTATTGTTGGGATTGCTTAGGCTTTCAACTTCTTCCTATTTTAGAAGTAAAAGTGTCAGTAGAATTTTCAGCCAATCAACTATGGCAAATGGTATGTTCAATCAACTATGGCAAATGGTTTCCGTTTTAGTACTTTCATCATGGTTTTCCATTTGGTTCCTCACTTATTAATATGTTTATTTTTTTTCCATACTTTGCAATGTGGTTTCTAATTTGATTATATGATTTTATTGGTTTGGTTGTTTCTTACTAGTTGTTGGCATTAATTTGTTTTGTTTTCAGTTGCTGATTTGATTGGTTTAGGTTTCTCTTTACTAGTTGCGGTCATGTAGTTTTTGGTTTTTTAGCTGTTCTTGCAACTCTTGCTTTTGATCTTAATGTAAACCATCCATATAAACTGCTAGTTGAGGCAATAAAGAAATTCAAAGTAGCTTAAAATGCTCTTGCTCAAGTTGCATGGAATTTTGTTAATGACGAGTATGTTTCTCTTAGTTCATATATCTTGCTTGTTCTTCTTGGCCTTTCTTCAATTTCTTTTTGAACTTGGAATGTGGCATGCATACTTACTATGCATTTGTCTTGATTTGGAAATGGTCGATGCCATCACTGTCATATGATATTTTGCAATACCATTTAAGCTTTAGTTCAGTGAAATTTTATACAGGTTCTGCATCGTAGTTTTGCACAAACTTTCAGAAACTTCATTGTAGTTTTGGTACTTACAATTGGATTTTTGCTCTTTCCTTGGTCTTCAACCTCACCAATTTGAAGAGTAGAGTCTACCCAGATGAGGAATTGGGTGGGCAAGAGAAGAGTAGAACTACCCAAGAGTAAGGGAACTCAAAATTGGACTTTTAGAAACTGCATGGCAGTTTTGGAAACTGCATTGCAGTTTTGGAAACTGCATTGCAGTTTTTATTTAATTACTCTTTCCTTGGTCTTCAACCTCACCAATTTGAAGAGTAGAGGCTACCTAGATGAGGCATTGGGTGGGCAAAAGAAGAGTAGAACTACCCAAGAGTAAGGGAACTCAAAATTGGACTTTTAGAAACTGCATTGCAGTTTTCATTTAATTAGAATTGGATTTTTGTTCTTTCCTTGGCCTTCAACCTCACCAATTTGAAGAGTAGAGGCTACCCAGATGAGGAATTGGGTGGCCAAGAGAAGAGTATAACTACCCAAGAGCAAGGGAACTCAAAATTGCAAAATTGGATCAAATTGTTCATATTGGTTCCTCCATTTTGCTTCAATAATTAATTTTTTATTTTTGTTTTTGAATTTTTTTTTTTTTTTTTTTTTTTTTTTTTTTTTTTTTTAATAATAATAATCTACATTGTATTTTTGTTGCAGTTTTTCTGTTTTTATTTGTTGTTTTTGTGTGAAAAAGTGTTGAAATGATTTTTTTTTTAATTTAAAAAAACCGTTGATTGTTTATATAAATATTGTATAACTGAATAAATATTACAAAATCAAGTTTGGTGTAGTGGTTTGTGAGTGAGCCTTCCTCCTTTGAGGGTCAAGGTTTGAGTCCCTTAAATAACACAAAATCTTTTTTTTTTTTAAGGTGAATAAAGGGCAACGGAATTGGTCCCTTGCAGATGGTGGCAGGCCGGCTAGGGGCGGTGGCGGTGGCGACAGTTGGCCTGCGGCAGGAGGCCGACGGTGGTGGCCTGCGGTGACGGTGGGTGGTGGTGGCATGTGGCCGGCGGTGGTGGTGGTGGACAGCAGTGGTGGCTAGATTAAATAACACAAAATCTTTTTTTTTAAAGGTGAATAAAAGGCAATGGAATTGGTCCCTTGCAAACGGTGGCAAGCCGGCAATGGGCAATGGTGGTCTGTGGTGGTCGGTGGTGGCGGTGGTCGTGGTGGCAGGTGGCCAGCAGTAGGTGGTGGCCGGTGGCGGTGGGCAGCAATGATGGTCGGTGGTGGCCGGCAGTTGTGGCTAGATATGGACATGTGGCATAGTATGCTTGCTTTAGAAGGCATTGTGTGTAATTTTGATATTTTTTAATGGTATTTTTGTAAAATTATGTACTACATTTTGGTGTTTGGCCTTATGCTAATTAGATGAAATTGTATTCCTATCTTCCAAATTAGTAAACTATATTGTGTTTTAAAACTAAAGCTCCCAAAAATCAATTATGGTAAAATTCTTATATATATAAGCTTCCATTTAGATGAAATTGTAGGCCCCACTTCGGATTGTATTTCACTAATCCAAACCGTCTATTTTGTACATACTCATTCAAAGATCATCTCTATAAGAACTTATTTGAATCCGATATCATTTGACCACTCATTTGAGTTATTGAAATTTTAGTACTTTCTTGAAGCACTGTGTTCATTGATTTTGTAAGACACAATTGGATGTCGAAACGGTTTCCGATTTGTCTAATTTTTTGTAAGGATGATCTATGAATGAAGACCTTAAAAATAGATGGTTTGGATCATTGGGAAAAAAATTGTAGAGACATTCAAAATACCAGAAAGTGCCCTTGGTTAATTCAAACATTAAGAATTAAAATTATTAATTAAATGAGGGTAATATGGTAAATTCACATTTTTTTCATATTAAAAAAATAAAATTAAAAACAAAATAAGATAATATGGAACATAACTACCCATATTATATTTTCTTAATTCTAAAAATAAAATTAAAAAGAAAAAGGAAAACCAATTGGCACTTGCGTGAGTATGTGCTAAGGGGCTAGTATATATATAAGATTACATTGTGTGAAGTCAAAAATAATAGTAATGTACTCCTAAGTCAACTACACAAAGTAACTACCGTCGAACATGCATGGACAACTTTTATATATACCTACCTGGGCTTAAGCCCACCTAACCCAAAGGTCATAACAACTGGCGTCCATAGCCCTCAGCCCATCCCTTACTTTTTATTTTCTTCATGAACAGCAAAGCCCCTGCAATATATAAACCAAACCAAAGTATTAGGTACCAGAGCATGTGATAGTCTCTCTGCCAAAGTCCACCAAACCAACATCTCTCTCAGTAGTTATTAAATAACACTCCTTTCTGCTCCCTACTTTTCCATGGCGGGTCTTCAATACAACTTCTTTCCCACTGATTTCTTTTACCCTCGCACCGCTCCACAGGCCGTCAACAAACCAGTTGTTCTTCCGCTCCAGACCACCAAACTAGATCATGTAGCCGCCGGCGATCTCGAGCAGCTCAAAGCTTTGGCCATTCAACGCCGCGGAGTTCAAGCCGTCCAGGTTGCCAAATCTCCCCCGATGCATGGTTGAATTATATGCAAGAATTTGATGAAGATCAACGTAATGAACTTTGGGGTATTATTATTATATGCTTAAGGGATTATATTATGGGATTCTTTTTCCTTTCCCTTTTTATAGTTTAATTTCTCCATGTAACAAGATGGTGGGTTTTCTAAGGTATTAGCATCATCCAGAATATGTGATTTTTATGATTAGATTATTATGAATATATTTAGCAGATATGGTGATGCAATTTCTGCAACTTAATGTCTAAAGAAAATCGTTTGTTCCTCAAAATGAAAAAAAGAAAATAATTTTAAAATAAGTTATCAAAATGAAGTTTGCTTCTGTATACCTTTTTTTTTTTTAAACCTATTCATCACTTTACAGAACTCAAATGTAAGATCTTTTGCTCCTGCAGACTTGCTCATCTAGCAACCACGTCTTTGAGCCTAAAAGAATAATACAAATTTATAAATAAACCCAATTCTAGACATGTATTTATAAAAAAACTCAAGCACTATTTAAACATAAAAACACACTCATTTTGGATGTTTTAGTGAAACTCCCAAAGAATAATTGCAGCCAAATGGTTGATTGACTATTCAGTTCATTTTTTGTGCTTACTTTTTTTCTTTTTCCCAACTGTAGGAAAATGTCTTCTTACAAAATGGAGGCTAATGGTCGCTAAACCAAGTTCCCATTGACAAATTTTTTATATGCTTAAAAAATCTTACTACCGAAAAATTTGATTGTAAAGTTTAAAAGATGAGACCTGCAGCCAGCAGAAAATGGAAAGTGATGACTTAGATTTTGCGAATGGCTCCAATAATTATGAGCGATATATTAGATGTGCAGGTAAATTTAATACGCAATATACATGAAATCCAACTATCTAGATTATAAAATGCATAACTAATTCTTAACATAAAATATTTATTAAAGAATCCTCAACAAAGAAACTCCCCAATTGACCAAAACATAAAAAAAATAAAACAAATAAATAAACTCCCATGACATAGAATTCATGTGGACATCGTGAAGCCGTCCAAATTAGCAGTGTGAGAATTGCTGGTAGGTCCAGTATTCGTGGGCACATGTGGAAATAATTTAAAACATGGGTTTAGGGTGCTTTCAGAATTGAACATGCATTTCTGTCTAATTTTGAACAGTTTTTCCAACTTGACTGACATAATAATAAGATAATGGAGCATATTCCAATGATCCATGGCGTGCAGGGCCCGGTGGCTGCTTGGTATTGGCTCATAGATGAATATGCGAATATGCCGAGTGAAGTAGAGAAGTCCAAGTTTTTGCACATACAACACATGCCAACTGCCAAGACTTTCTTTCTTTCTTTTGTTTGGGAGGTTTGGTGCTAGCATACCAGCACATTGCTATCAACTTACCAAGTCATCTTGCATGCCTTGAAATAAATGTTTCTTTTATTACTTGCTTACATGAAGTCATGGTGCATGCCTTCCACCATATATAGTCCTTATTTCCTTATAATAATACCATTAATTATATCTCTGGGATGTAAATCGATGATCGGAACTGTTCAATTTTTAAGTTCTTTTTTAAAAAAATTTCATGTAAAAAATCAGCTAAGTTATAAATTGTTTAGCCGTTTGATTATTCACAATTTTTTTTTTGTCAATTTCATGTAACAAAACTACGTCATTTTTTACATTTTCAGTGACCAAATAATTTCATATCTTAATGATTTTTTTGCAAAGATAACCTGAGAATAGACAATTTCGATCGTTGAAATATATTGTTAAATAACTCTAAGAAGGATGTGTGCACTTTAGTTACAATAAGGAAAATTATTCATATATATTTGTTTTATTATTAGTGCCAAAATAGAATCTTTTACTTGTTTTAACTAATAGGGGGAATATGATTTAGGAATCTAATCACGAGTTATTCCGGCCCACCAAATTAGATCCAGGTAGCGTAGTTGTGCATCTTTATATAAAATAAATAAATGTATACAGTTTGACGAAGTATCAGTCCAAAGGAGAACCGTACGTATCTCAAAGAAGTTATCAAATGAGAAAAACATTATTTTCAATTACAAGCAGAGACGAAGCTTCTGTCAGAATGAAAGATGGGCTACAATCTGGACCTAGGGTTGATGGTGGACTTTGCGCTTGGCCTTTAGTTTATGAATTGATTTTCGTTGACCCAAAATGTATTTGAACTCATATAAAATTTCACCAGATTGTTTTATTTTTATTTTTAGTACAAGCAATTTGAGAAGGGGGATTTACACACAAATATTCATTGGGTGTTTAGGAGTTTCGAACATTTTAACAACACGAAGAGGATTATCAGAAAAGTGAAAAAAAAAGTTATTTTCGATAAGTTTATGGCTCCTCATGAGAAGCCAAAGTGAAGCAAATCAAATACCAGCTAGGTACTAGCTAGAATCTTGGAGACGAATAGAGAGGTTAATTACTTAATATAACAACAGTAGATGAAAAGGCCAAGAGCATGACAAGAATCGACTCCATTCATGATTAAGAAATGCTTCATCAGCTCACTCTTGTGTAATTTTTATTTTTTAGGTTTTATAATGAGAACTTCTTGTCAACCTTGACGTACGCAACAACTTTACGTAAATAATATATTTAAATTACGATCATCTCAAGGTTCATGGATTTCTTATTGAACTTTATTGTCAAATACATAATAGATAACTGGTTTTATTTTATCCTTTCTTGCCCTTAGCTTGTCATTATAATTAATAAAATTTAGTTGTTACATTTTGTAACCTACTAAAAGTATGAATTCTATTAATAAGTTTTCCAATTCGAACAGTTTAATATAGTGCACAATATTGTGTGGTTGTTCGTCAAGTTTTGAACACCGCGATGCCTCTGGCCGCTAGCAAACTGTACGTTGCCAGCTAGCGGTCGCTTGTTGATGAAGGAAGTGATGCGAGAGAGATCCAAGCCATAAAGTGGGCTTGAAAGCTACTCTCTGGGGAATTGCGATAGGCGTGCCACAACTAGTGATACTCTCCTAATAGAAAGAGGTAGTGAGGTAAAGATTAAGTCTGTTAAAGTGTTGCGCCCTTTTTTTCTTATCTTCTAATTAAAGCCATTGTGCTCTAAAGAGTGGAATCTAACTTTAGATAGGTTCTTTTATATGCTTCAATGAAGAGGGCTTTAATATTTCACCTTTTATAGAATAAAACGCAAGATGAATGATGATTTTAGACTATCATCAGACAAAGAGTACAATAACAACCTTGCATGAAAAGTGTCCGATGAATGACATAATATCAAGAAGCAATTATATATCCAACAGATACTTTTAATGAGTACAATAAAAGTAAAACTGGTTCCAACAAAACTACAGAAGCCTCATCGGACATCGGACATAACTTCAATCTACTTGAGACAGTGCAGAAGGTATGTCCGATGAGAGTTTGTCAAAATATCTGCAGTCAGAACTTATATGAACCACAAATAATAGTTTTGATTTCAGTAAGCTGGAAATCGAGACCAACTATCAAATCATACCAAGCAATGCTGGCAGAGCATATAGGTTACAAACAATAGCAATGCAATTCCAATTAGGAGTTGTCAACTCGGAACTAGACAGAGTATGTCTTTGGGAAAAGAATAGAATTCCAATTAGGAGTTGTCAACTAGGAACTCAAAGACACGGGGAGGATTCAATTCAAGACTTGGCTTTGATCTACTGTGAGACGCTTTGTAAGAGTTTGAGTCTGGGTTACTTCGAGGTTGTAGAGTGTAAACGTATTTTGAAGGCAGTTCAAAATAGGTTTGATTGATTCGCTGTTGGATACTTTGATACCAAGCTTTCTTCAAGGTCTTCAAGAAAAAGGATGACTTGATGGGCTCTGCTACTTCAAACCATAGAGAATTCACAAGATAATGCGCATATGCCTTTCAAGTTGATCAGAAGAGGTGCTTTTCAATCTCGAACTTTGGGATTGTTCTACAGGTGGCACCGTAATGGGCCAACTCTGAGTTTTTTTTACCATTCTTTACCTGTCAGAGACTGAATATTCTTTGTCAGAACAGACTTCTTTATTGCTTTGTTGGAAATCAGTGCACACCACTTGTAGAAACGAAGCAGTTTGAATTGTTTCCGAGCTAAAGCTCAAATTGCTTGTTTGTTTAGATGAACTGTAATTAACAATTTTTTATATTGGTTATTAATCCACTTCAGCTGGTTTTTATTGTAATTTCAGACATTTTCTGTTCGAAATGTGGTTGTAACATCGAACATCTCTTATGTCCAAAAAGGGACTGCAACGCTTGTGTTCGAAACCATGACTGTGGCGTAGGGCAGGTCTTATGTCCGAATTGAAGTGTAGCTTTGGAGACTTGTGTCCGAAACGGTGAACTATGGCATCGAACATTTGTGTTTGAAACGTTGCTTGTCTCCAAAGCGCTCTTTCATCACGCGATGGTCGACGTTTGTGGCTGGCTTATGTCTGGAAGGCCTTTGGGCCTTTCTAGTTACCATTTGGGCTTTCGTATGTATTGAATAAACCCTTGGCGATTTGGGCCTTTAGTTTTTTAGCCATAAGACAAGCTTCTTAACTGTAGGACTTAACCTGTGTTAATTTTGATATGAACATTTGCCCCTAGTTTTAATCAGTTTGTACAAAAATCAGTTCAAAACTAACCATCATGTCTTTTAAAGTGGCGCTTCGTAACTAGCCACATGTTGGCAAATACTTGCATGATAAATTTCTGTACGCACCATATCTCTGAAATTTTAATTGTTTCTTTTTATTTCAAAAACAGCTAAAGGCTTTTCCCCTTCTCCTACCTTATGTACTTAGCAGAAAAAGCAAAATCAAAACCTTAAAACATCTAGAGCCCCATTTTCTCCGACGCTTTCAATTTTTCAATCTCCAGACAATCCCCTGATTCCCAAAGAAACTTCAACCACTTTTGTTCAGGTTTCATCAGTCATCGGACAGAAATGGCACCAAGGAAAATGATGAAAATGAAGGAAACTAAGGAGGAGAAAATCATCAAAACGGTGCCCTTTCTGACTGGAGATGGAGCTCTCCTAGAACGGCAGCAGAATAGGGCACGATTGGACAAGTTGGATCAGAACACATTCTGCTGCCGACTTTCAGAAAATTACGGTTATGCCACTGAACTTGTTTTGATCGTAACACCTTCGTTTCAACTCCGAATCGAGCCCACTACACGTCTACGGACTCAACTCAATATGATCTACCCAAAAATACCAGTCACAACCCCAAACTCTTCCCAATTAAGAAAATGACCGAAATACCCCTACCCTAAAGGTAATTTCGTAAATTCACAATTAATATAATTAAATACTTTGAATAAGGAATTTAATTTAGAGTCGGGGTGTTACAACCTACCCCTCTTATAAAAATTTCGTCCTCGAAATTTACATACCTGTCAATGGAAGAGATAAGGATACTTAGCCCGCATCTGCGCCTTGGGCTCCCAAGTAGCTTCTTCAACAGTTTGACTTCTCTCTAATCATCTTCACCTTCTCGATTGTTGCTGGGATACTGTCTACCTTTTCCACTTTCTTGTCACCCACCTCATTCCAACAAATAGGAGTTCTACACTGCCTCTCATACAAAGCCTCATACGGAGCCATCTCAATACTCGAATGATAACTATTGTTATATGCAAAGTCCACCAAGGCAAGGTGAGTATCCCAATTATCTTTCAGCTGTAATACACAAGACCTCAACATGTCTTCCAAGGTCTGAATGGTTCTTTCCGACTGTCCATCAGTCTGAGGATGAAAAGCTGTACTAAATTGCAACTTAGTACCCATAGCCTCATGTAAGCACTTCCAGAAGTGAGACGTGAACCTTGCATCCATGTCCGACACAATGGACATAGGAGCTCCGTGCAATCTCACTATCTCATATACAAAGAGTTTTGCCAGCTTTGACAAGGAATAGGTTTTTTTATAGGTAGAAAATGAGCGGATTTGGTGAGTCGATCAACTATCACCCAAATTCCATCATGCCCTTTGGAAGTACATGGAAGTTTGAAAACGAATTCCATTGTGATATACTCCCATTTCCATTCAGGAATCGAAAGTGGTTGCATAAGTCCAGATTGTTTTTGGCATTCCGCTTTCACTTGTTGACAAATCAGACATCTGCTCACATACTTAGCAATATCACCCTTCATATGCGGCCACGAGTAGTACTCACGTAGAGTCCGATACATCTTAGCACTAGCTGGATGCATAGATTAAGTGGAACAGTGAGCTTCTTCCATGATTTCTCTTTTCAGGTCATCATTCTGAGGTACACAGAGACGAGTTCCAGTCACCAACGCTCCGTCCTCTCTTATTGCACAATCCGTTCATGTGCCATTCTCTACTTCCAACCTTATCACACAAAGATTAGGATCCTCCAATTGGGCTACAGTCACCCGCTCAACCAGAATAGGCCTCACATGCAAACTAGCAAGTATTCCTCCCTGTTGCGTCATTTCCAAATCTACACCATCCTTCCGCAGTTCCACCAATAAAGGAAGATAGGCCATTCTGAGATGAGCTAAGTTCCCACTGACGTTCCTACTCAATACATCTGCTACTACATTAGCTCGACCTGGATGATACTCAATTGTACAGTCATAGTCCTTAATCAATTCCAGCCAACGTCGCTGTCTCATATTCAACTCCTTTTGAGTGAAAAAGTACTTGAGGCTCTTGTGATCCGTGAAAATCTAACATGTCTCACCATACAAGTAATGTCGCTATATCTTGAGAGCGAACACCACTGCGGCAAGTTCCAAGTCATGGATAGGATAATTCTGCTCATGCTTCTTGAGTTGCCTCGAGGCGTAAGCAATCACCCTATCAGGCTGCATCAAAACACATCCCAAGCCTTGTAAAGATGCGTCATTGTAGATCACAAAGTTCCCCGAGTTATCCGAAAGAGCCAAAACAGGTGCGGTGGTTACCCGCTTCTTCAGCTCTTGAAAACTCTACTCACACTCCTCCATCCACTCAAACTTAACATTCTTCCTCATCAACCGAGTAAGAGGTGCTGCTATCGAGGAAAACCCTTCTACAAATCGACGATAGTAGCCCGCTAACCCCAGGAAATTTCGTACTTCTATTACACTTGTGGGTTGCACCCAATTCACAACAGCTTCTACTTTACGAGGGTCCACATAAATTTCTTCTGCTGATATCACATGTCCAAGGAAGTCCACTCTATCCAACCAAAACTGACACTTACTGAACTTGGCATAAAGCTGCTTCCTTCTCAAAGTCTTTCAACACCAGCCTCAGATGTTTCTTATGACCCTCCAAAGTTCGGGAATATACAAGGATGTCGTCTATGAACACAATCACAAAGCGATCCAAATAAGGTCGGAACACTCTGTTCATGAGATCCATAAACGCTGCTGGAGCATTCGTCAACCCGAAAGGCATCACCAAGAATTCATAATGGCCATAACGAGTCCTGAATGTTGTCTTCAGAATATCCTCATCTCGTACTCTGAGTTGATGATATCCCGATCTCAAGTCAATCTTGGAAAAATACTTGGCCCCCTTCAACTGATCGAACAAGTCATCGATTCGAGGCAAAGGATATCGATTATGCACTGTCACTTTGTTCAATTGCCTGTAGTCGATACAAAGCCTCATGGTCCCATCCTTCTTCTTTACAAACAACATTGGTGCACCCCAAGGGGAAACACTAGGTCGGATAAACCCAAGATCAACCAATTCTTGCAATTGAAACTTCAACTCACGCAACTCTGTTGGTGCCATCCTATAAGGAGCTTGATGAATTGGATTCGTGCCTGGAAGGAGTTCGATAGTGAACACGGTTTCTCTCTGAGGAGGCAAACCAGGAAGATCATCCGGAAAGACATCTGGAAATTCACAAACAACAGGAACATCTTCCAAGTTCAGAGTGACCCCATGAGTATCAATGATGTGGGATAAGTATCCCACACAGCCCTTCTTGAGTAATCTTTTTGCCCTTATGGTAGAGATGAGACAAGATTGGAGAACTCTGCGCTCTCCACAGATTTCTACTTCAGGTTGTCCAAGACTTCTATGTACGACTTTCTTCCGAAAACAATCTACCGATACATGGTGCTTTTCCAACCAATCCATTCCCAAATGATGTCAAGGTCAACCAAGTCCAAGGGAATCAAATCGGCTTCCAACATTGCATCACCCATTTGGATATAACAACCCCTGAAAACCATGTCTGCAAACAAGACATCGCCCGTAGGCAAAGAGATACTAAAACTTCCTACCATGGGTGTCGGTTTAACACTGGCATATGATAAGAAACTACGTGCAATGAACGAATGTGTGGCCCCAGGATCTATCAAAACACGTGCACAATAACCAAAAATAGGGATCATACTAGTGATAACATCGGGTGTGACCTGGGCCTCCTGCTGAGTCATCGAGAAAACGCGGGCCTAAGTAGTAGCACTCCCAGACTAACCCCTATGACCCCTACCACTTATCCCCGAACAGTGGACTGCACTCCACTGCTTGATGATGAGCCCGCTGCAGCCGAAAAAGCACCACTTTGTGTCTGACCCTGTCCTCTACTGCCTTGCCCCTACTGGACCCTAGTCTCCTTTCCAGCAATACCACCAACAGTAAGAAGGGGGCACTCACTCCTATAGTGTCCTGCCTACCCACAATGGAAACATGTCACTCCGCTCCTCTGGCTAGGGCCGCTAGTCTGCCCACGTTGTGGGCAATCCTTCCTGACATGACCTGTTTTCCCACAGTTGTGACAGGTTCCATTACATTGCCGCGAAGAGTCCCTGGCTGTACTAGCCATCGACTGTTGTCCCAAGTGCTAGCTCCAAGCTGGTCGAGAGCCAAACCTCCCATTGCCAGAACTGGACCCACGTCCTCCTGACCAACCATTACCAGCATAACTATAACTGGATCCACCCCTCTTTGATGGGCCCTGACTTGGCCCACCAAAGCCTGATGAGTCCCTGCGACGCCTACCAATACCTGCACCCAGACTGTACTTCTTGGCCACCTATCCGCTGCTTAGGCCAAGGCTCTCATGGTAGGATATGTAGTGGCAGTGACCACAGCCTGAATATCTAACCACAAACCCTATTCAAAACATGTGCACTTGTCTTTCTCTGTGGTTACCATCTCAGGTGCAAACCTGGACAACTCATTAAACTTGTGCTCATACTCAAACACTGACATGGAACCCTGCCTCAGATGCAGAAACTCGGACTTGGGTAAAACTGATCGAAGAATGCCCTCTGAAACTCCTCCCAAGTAAGGGCAGCAGGGTTAGCATACCCTCTGCGGACTGTCTTCCACCAGTGATAGGCATTCCCCTTCAGAAGTAAGGTGGCCAGGTGAACCCTATCTCCATCAGGGCACTGGAGAACTTCAAATACTCGCTCGACATCTGTAAGCCAAGCATCAGCCTCAGCAGGATCAACACTACCATGAAACTCCTTTGCCCCCAATTCCTTAACCCTATTTATGTCAGAGCCTTCAGTATTCTGTCTCCCTTGTAAGGCGGTAGACACAGTTCGAGTGAACTGAGATAAGAGATGCCGCAAGTCGAGCTCATTTCCTCCATCTTACTCTCCGGCAGGTGGAAAGGGTGGAGGTGATAGAGGTGGAGAAGGTGGTGGAGATGGAGGTGGAGGGTTTGCTCCCCACCTCGTAATACGACCACCCCTCGTCCTAGGACGTCATGGATACATGATTCTACACAAAGGAAACCATAGAATCATTAGTTTCAACAATGCAACAAAAGCGCGAATGTCGAAGGAAAATGAACCTAATGCTCTGATACCAAGCTGACAGGACCCACCTTGAATTTCCTCGAAAACCGAGACGGATCCTGCCTCAATACCGACATCACCCCGATGTCGGGCCCACTTACTAAGAGTCGAGACTTCCTACCAAAAATTTGGCAAAGTCTCCCCTGTAAATTGAACATTTCCCAAACTTCAACCTACTCAAAATTCACAGTTTAACAATCCCAACCAGCAGCATGCTTTAAAGCAAATGAACAGTTTACAACAAAGGCCTCCAACCTCACAAATCAAACCCTAACGCGGGCGATAACAGAGCATGTCCAAGAATTTCTGTTACAAGAAAACCGAAGTTCAACAAGAATAAGATGATGAAAGAGTTCCTATGAAGGCTCAAGATTCAGAAGCCCAAGATCCGGCTCAACTGCGAAGCTCAGTCAACTATTGGCTGGGGGGCGCAAAACAGAAAATTGTGAGTGGACAAAAATAAAGTTCAGTTCAGTAAAAACCAACATAATATAACCCCACCGTTTAGGAAAACATGCTAGAAAATCCAAATGCATCTCAAAACCATCATAACCAAGTATAAATATGTATCAAATCAAATCAAGTACCGGATGCCAAGTCCAAAATCCATAAATAACACTTCACAAACCCACCATTCAAAACTTATAAATCCCACAACTAAACTCTCGAAAGCGTACCCATTGGCACGACCGGCAAGGAAGTATCCTCACCGAGAAACAAGAACAAATAAATAGTTATATATATATAATTATATAATATAAGATATATATAATTCTATAATATAAGATATATATATATATATAATATAATATAATATAACCACACCTAGTTGTACTGGGGAAACAATCCAACTGAGGGATTGTTTGACTAGTCCACATGGCAGAGTCCACATAACCAAAAATTCCTCAATTCACCATGTGACTAGGGAATGAGCCGTCCAACTAGGGGACTAACTCTCAGCCAGCACGTATAGCCGAGACACTCAAAGCTCGTACGTCTGTGACCAGTCCTACGCGCGCAGACTACCCAATCAAGGGTCTACAGCAACATCCCGTCAAGGATGCCCCGGGTTCCAACCATTCCAAGTATCTCAAGTTTTCGTAATCAAGTTCCAAATATAAGGAGGTACATAGGGTAGTGCTTAAAGCACTCCAAACTGACATTCTATACTCAAATCTTTCCACAATCTCAACTCAACAACCCAAGTACCCCACACATAGACAATATAGATAGAAATTCTCAAAATCCATACATACATACTCAAGATACTCAAATATGTCAAAACCCAAAATATAATGCTAAAGCTTTATAAGAACATCAAATTCGACAATAAAATATATAATACATCCAATATACCATTTAAAACAATATGCAATATTTTCCATCAATAAAGCCATGCTTAAGATTTGAAAACAAAGTCCACTCACAAGTAGTCCCACACTGCTGACCCTGAGAGGGTCCCGCCTGCTGCATATGCGTGGTCGGAGTACCTATTTCAGAAGACGAATACGAGATTAACATAAAGCGTTTCGAAAGAGAACTTTAAATTAAAATCCTAGTTTCCCGGGTTTCCAAAGAGTGTACGAGGAACGAGACAAATTGAAAGTTCCTAAGGGTTCCACAAGGTTTAGGATACGCGTCCTGCAAGTTTGGTCTGAAACGGACGGTTAGATCGCTCACGATCCGTGAATTTCTACATGATCCTAGGAAGGTCTAGAGTAACATATACTGGAATGGAGTCGATCCAACGGTCTGAACCTATCGAACCCGAATAATGCACAATATGCGATATTCGATCGATGATCAAATGATAACCAAATTGAAATCCGAGAATACCGTTATACTCGGGGCAACACAAGGATGATTTTAGAATAAAATGGCAGACTGACGCGCCACCCCACGCACCGGCAGCGCATGGGTGCCCAAAGAGATTTTCGGCGGCCGGAAAAACTCCAAACCGCCAGCCAAGACTTTCAGGTTAGGTAAATCACATGCACTGGAGCAATTTTTGTTCTTGGACCTACCCCCAAAAAGTCGACAGAAGTGGCCGGAATCGGAGGCTGAAACCGGCCAAAACTCCCATTGCTTGGATACTTTTCAAAACTCAGAAATTAATCCTAAATACCACAAACAGCAGCTAGAGTATGTTGAAAGGATATAAATGCATACCAAGTTCGAAGAATGTGGTTGCCGGAATCACCCGAACGAGCTCCTTCAAGTTATGGGTAAAACTAGTGACTTTTCTGCAACTTCCGACTACCATGGGCAGTAGTGGTGGCGGTGAAGGGTCGGGATAGGAAGAGGGAAGTGAGCTTGACATTTTGGTACCAATATCAAGAAGTTTGGTGGCCGGTGGAGGAAATGGCAGGGGAAAAACCGTGCGGATGAACAATAACCAAAAGGGGTTGTTTCTGCGCGCAGGGAGAAAGAGAGGGAGAAAGAGTGAGAAAAAGAGGGAATTTCCAGATTTATTAAAAACCAACTTCGAGAAAATTATGGTTATGCCACTGAACTTGTTTTGATCGTAACACCTTCGTTTCAACTCCGAATCGAGCCCACTACACATCTACGGACTCAACTCAGTACGATCTACCCAAAAATACCAGTCACAACCCCAAACTCTTCCCAATTAAGAAAATGAACGAAATACCCCTACCCTAAGGGTAATTTCATAAATTCACAATTAATAGAATTAAATACTTTGAATAAGGAATTTAATTTGGAGTCAGGGTGTTACAGTCTCCCAGGTGGTGATGACACAATAGGGTGGTAAGATATTTCATCTACCTTTGTAATTCTGCCTGACCATGTTGTGTCCGATGTGAAGGATTCTTAATTTAACTTTTTATTGTCCTTGTCTGCAGATGAAGCAAGTGATGGGGAGGATGATTGCCCTTTGATTGTGAAGAAACGGAAGAGGACAATGAGAACTGCAAAGGTCTCTGAGGAGAAGGAAACTACTCAGGTTCAGGCGGAAACTGAGCAAGGGGTTGGAGCTACTCCAGCATCACTTTCTTCTCCAGTAGAAACAATGCAAACGTCACAACCTAAAAGAAGTAAGGATTTTATCTTTGCCCTGACATTCTTGTCAATTTCAAAGATCATTTGATTAACTAATTGGTTGATTTGATTTCTTTTGCAGTTAAGTCCCTAGCTCAAATGAGCTTTTGAGAAAAAGGAGGCCACTCATCCTGTGACAGCCAAAGATAAGGAGCAAAGGACAAAAAGAGTCATGTTGCGTCTACCCAAGTGCAAGTAGTCACACGTAGTAACAATCTTGGAAGTCCAAGTATCGTATCCTCAAGGAGCAGGTAGGCAAATATCTGCACACAAAGAAATAATTAAACGTACCACAATAAAAGTGACAAGCAAAATGGAAAAGTAATTTGATTTGATTGTTGGGGAAAATTGAGTTTAAAAATGAAATATCAATAATGGAAATGCTGTGGCATCAAGGTTCAATTCTTTAAACAAAATATGTTTCATGCTCTGTAATCCAAATTATAACTCGATTAAAATCATCATTCAGAAACTTTAACCGGAAGATAAAGAAATTAAAACCAATTTAATTTTTCAATGTAATCTTTTATTAATGATTGTTCAGAAAATGGAGTTGCTTAATATCTACTCTTTTAATTTAAAAGCATGCCAAGTCAGTTCTTAACAATGAGAAAAATATAATTGACACTACTACAAAAAGTGACAAAGACGACCAGAAAAAAACGACGGTCTAAGTGAAAACCGTCGTTGTTTTTTAAAAGACGACGGTTTTATAAAACCGCCGTGTAATAACACCTTAGACAACTAAAAAATGGAGATTCAAATGGCTGTTCCTAAAACACGACGTACCTAATTAAAAAACCGACGTCTTATTGAAATAGGATTTCCAAGTGGTAAAATCATAGCCAACAAATAACGGCGGAAGTTATGAACCGACCGACGTAGAAAGTAAAGACGACGATTTCAAAAAAAGCCGCCGTTTTTACCCAGAAATTAACACGACCAAGTTTTCGTATAAGGCGCCGTATAATTACAAATAAATCCACGGCGGTAAAATACAAAATACCGCCGTATTAAATTAATGTACAACTACGGCAAAGATAAATATAACGACGTCTTTCTCGTATTTCTACGACGATATCTTTAAATCTCACCAAGTTGGGGTTTTAATTTAACGACGTATTATACAATTTAACGTCGTATTTATCCACTTTATACGTCATACATTATATTTAAACCGTCGTCTGAATAAGAATTTTTTTAACAATTTATTTCTTGGATTTTGTTATCCTACGTCGGTAGATCTACTTAATGACAAGAATTGAAATAACCACGACGGTTTATATAGAAAACCGCCGACATAATCAGATTTTTCTGAGATCACAAGGGTTAGGAAATCTTACAAGATGGAACTCTGTTGCTCATCATAATCTTACCAGAAAGACAATATTTTAGAGGTTAATGATGTATGTGTATTTGTGTCTTTGAGATACACAAACGCACATACACATTAACATCCAAAAAATTGCTTCTGAAATTTGACGACGGCAGCCTCAGATTTGCAATCAGAGAGACAATTTTTTGGAAGTGGATGATGTGTGTGCGTTTGTGTATCTACACAAACGCACACACACATCAACATCCAAACAATTGCCTCCTAAAACTTCACGACGGCAGCCACAGATTTGCAATCAGAGAGACAATTTTTTGAAAATTGGTGATGTGTGTATGTTTGTGAATCACACACAACACACCAACATTCAAACAATTGCCTCCCAAGAGATGAGGTGAGACAGAGAAAGGGGCAAGAAGAAGTTGAAACCCTAATCGAATACTAAAACTGAAAGAACCGTGGAAAAAAAACCCTATTTATAATTAAAAAACCAAATCCACGTCGGTTATATTACACATAACGACGTTTAACAAAAATAATCCACGTCGGTAAACAAATACATTACGTCGTTTTAGTCTTACTTAAGACGACAAGAAAAAGACGACGGTATAACAAAAAACAGTCGTTGTTTTTATATTTGTATTTGATTTAAATCAGTCACCCAGAAAAGAAACTTTACAAATTCTAGAACATTAATTTCCTCGGGAAAAAAAACTCTATTTATAAGGCACTGTTTTTGAAAAATAAACTGAAAGAAACAAGGGAAAAAAAATTATATTTATAATTAAAAAATAAAATCCACGTCGGTTATATTACACATAACGACGTTTAAAAACGAATCCACGTCGCGAAAAAAATATTGCGTCGTTTTAGTTTAAAAAGACGACGGTATAACAACAAACAGTCGTTGTTTTTATATTGGTATTTGATTTAAATCAGTCCCCCAGAAAAGAAACTTTACAAATTCTAGAACATTAATTTCCTCGGGAAAAAAAACTCTATTTATAAGGCACTGTTTTTGAAAAATAAACTGAAAGAACAAGGGAAAAAAAATTATATTCATAATTATAAAAATAAAATCCACGTCGGTTATATTACACATAACGACGTTTAAAAACGAATCCACGTCGCGAAAAAATATTGCGTCGTTTTAAATTAAAAAAGACGACGGTATAACAACAAACAGTCGTTGTTTTTATATTCGTATTTGATTTAAATCAGTCACCCAAAAAGAAACTTTACAAATTCTAGAACATTAATTTCCTCGGGAAAAAAAACTCTATTTATAAGGCACTGTTTTTGAAAAATAAACTGAAAAGAACAAGGGAAAAAAAATTCTATTTATAATTATAAAAATACAATCCACGTCGGTTATATTACACATAAGACGTTTTAAAACGAATCACACGTCGCGAAAAAAATATTACGTCGTCTTAGTTTACAAAAAGACGTCGGTAGAACATAAAACCGTCGTTGTTTCAATTTCTTTAACCGTTCTCTTTCTGAAGCCATGGCTATCTTTCACTGCTATTCATTGCTAAAAACCCATCTTCTTCTTCAAGCTCTACTGATAACCCATCTTTCTTCACTAATGCCGATAACCCATCTTCTTCTATCACAAACCTACGGATCTTCTTAGCCAAGAAAATCGAGTAGAGGCTGACATCTGATCTTCAGGTTTCTCTGAGAAGCGAACTTTCCTTCGACAGCGAGTGGAGGCCAGGCTTGCATCTCTTTGATGGAAAGCAAGGAGTATTCAAAAGCACTAAGTCTCCTATCAGGATTGACAAGCTTCCTCTTGTGGACATAGATTTGTTGGAGAAAGACATCCAAATTATTGTCTTCGAGATGTGAGAGAGAGTGTCTTTGAGAGAGGAAGAACTTGGAAACCTAAATGAAAACTGAAACTGAAAGAAAGCGACAAATTTATACAATAAATTTTTAAAACCCACGGCGGTCCTTACACAAAACCGCCGTCTATTTACAAATTCCACGTCGGTATATTACAACAAAACGACGTATATTATAAAATAAACGTCGGTAAATTACAAAAACCGTCGTGTTAAATATTTCTACCATGACGCGAGATATTGAGTTATCGACTTTTATTTAGGAGTTTACTACGGCGGTACCTACAACACTACTGTCGTATTTATTTACCACGTCCTAAGTTCAAATTATCGTCGTAGTTTGTCTATTAATACGTCGTCGTTCTATGTAAACCGCCGTCTTATTACTATGAAACGGTTTGTATATATATACAACTTTTCGTCTACCTGACTTACACATGCACTGTTTCCAAACCCGAGAAAAAATTTCAATCTCCCAGAGAAAACTTTTCGTCTTTTTTTCTTGTCAGAGCACTGTCAGAGTATCTCATCGTCTTCCTCTCGTCTTCGTCGTCGTCTCTGAACTTAAACACCAAACTCCGAGAGAAAGCTTTCATTGCACGCAAAAGGTAAGCTTTCATTTCTCACTATTTTTGTTGCTATTTTGCATGCTCATACGGTTTTTGTTTTGAAAATCTTTTTACCTTTTTTCTGGCGAAAATCATTTTTATTCTTTCCAAGTTTGATAAAATACACAGACAGAGAGGGAAAGTTTCCAACTTTGAACACAACTAATTCAACTAAATAAGACGACGGTAGCTTCTTATTTACGTGGTTAAATATGTAGACCACGACGGTTCGTCAGTCGTCCTAGCGTCGTCTTAAAATTGATCTAAGTTGTTTTTAAAATGACGGTCAATTTTTATTTGCTTGTTTAGTTGCAGGTTTGATTTCTCTGAACCATGGTTTTCGTTTTTCCTAATTTGATAAAATACAAAGACAAAGAAAGTAGGGTTTGGTATCTTATATAGACGACGGTATCTTATTATTGACGCCGTGTGAATGTTCATACCACGACGTTATACTAAGATACCGTCGTCTATAAAAGATGCCAAACCTTTCTTTCTTTTTCTTTGTATTTTATCAAATTAGGAAAAACAAAAACCATGTTTCAGAGAAATTAAACCTGCAATCAAACATTCACAGAGAAAGAAAAATGTTTTTGGTTTCTTATAAATACGACGGTAGCTTATTATTCACGTCGTGTGAATATCCATAACACGACGTTATATTAATATTTACGTCGTGTTAATTTGAATATCACGACGTCGTGTAAATATCGCCGTAATAAGTTCTTATTACGTCTTATTTAATATTGTTTCGTCGTTGTTTAAACATTTATATTTTTCTTCTTTAAACATTTATTACGTCTGATGTTATGTTATTACGTCGTGTAAAATCTTATCATACGTCGTATTTTATAAATAACCGTCGTTTGTGTTCTAATTTTTTTCCTGAAATATTTTCACTTGCAGGTTTGTTTTTTCTGTAACCATGGTTTCTCAAGACCAAAGTAAGGACTCTGGCTCCAAAAAAAATGGAGGTAAGGAGCTTGGAATGGTAACTCCTCAAGACAAGCCCTTGAAGAAGATGAAGTTTGTTTCATCTGCTGAGACAGAACCAACCAGCACGACAACAATTTCTGAGGATTCAAAGTCAGGTCGAGGTATGAGCACAATGCCTCGTGTTGTGAAGAGAAAATTGCAGAAAATCAAGCCAGTTGTTGAGTACAATAAAAGGGGGAAAGGATGTGGCCCTGCACATACTGAGATGCAGTCCTACATTGGTGTGTTGGCACGCTCCAGAGTCCCACTTGTGGACAAGAAATGGGCTGAAATCCCCAAGGATATAAAGGAGCAGATTTGGGAAGCCGTTGACATGGCTTTTGTGGTAGGTCAAGGGGGCAAGACCTCGGTGTTATCTTCTGTTGCCAAGAAATGGAAGGATTTCAAGTCTACACTGACGAGGCATTATATCCTTCCATACATCAAGGAGAGGGAGAAATTAAGCCAACCCCCTGAAGTATATAAATTCATAGAGAAAGCAGAATGGGATGCCTTTGTAGCTTCAAGGTTATCCAAAGAATTTGAGTCTGTGCATTCTCAACATTCACAGATTAGGGAGAAACTTGAGTACAATCATCGATTGTCTCGAAAAGGATATGCTGGTTTGGAGGATCAATTGGAGGAAACCATGCCTGGGGTAGAAATTGATCGATCTACCTTATGGAAGAAAGCTAGACAGGACAAACATGGTAACATCCCGGATCCAAAGGTGGCAGAGAAAGCAAAATTAATTGTAAGCCTACACACTCTGTTTTAAATTTTTATTAAACTGTGTATAATTCTTATTACGTCTTATGTTATATTTTTCCGTCGTGTGAATGATTTTACTACGTCGAAATGTTTTAAAAAACGTCGTGAAAGATCTAAATCTGGAATCACAACTCTGTTTTCTGTAATTATAGCATAAGACGTCGGTGGTTAATTTTTTCGTCGTGTTAATGATATTACTACGTCGAAATGTTTTCAAAAACGTCGTGAAAGATCTAAATCTGGAATCACAACTCTGTTTTCTGTAATTACAGCATAAGACGTCGGTGGTTTATTTATTGCGTCGTTTGAAACAACTAACCACGTCGTTTTTAATTAACGTCGTTATAAATATTATAACGTCGATTTCTATATTGTTGCGTCGTGTGAAATTATATAATGCGTCGTTTGTTTATAAATAACCGTCGTGTGTTTTCTTGTGCTGACTTTTTTATTGTCTTTGTTTTAGGATGAATTGCAAAAACAAGTGGCTGAAGGCAGTCTTAGTTTAACTGGCAGTAATGATGTGTTGACCTTGGCTTTGGGTCCCGAGCATCCAGGGAGAGTAAGAGGGGTAGGTGCTGGGATTTCCCCTAGGCAATTCTTCAATTTACCTAGACCACAGAGGATAAAGTTTGCCGATCAATTGAAGGAAAGTGTAAGAATTGTCCTTCAAGAAGAGACTAAGAAGATGGAAGCTAGAACCAAACAATTGGTAGAGGCTGAGAGGGAACATTTACTAAGTCAGCTTTCCCACCTCATCCCCAATTTTGATCCAAGCATGCTTAAACCGAAAACTAGCCCCTGTCAAAACCAAGGTCTAGAGCAAAGTCCCAAAAATCCAATGTCTGATAAAGCAAGCTGTTCTGGGGCTGAAGTGAGATCCCTACATTTAGAGGATGATACTGCCAAAAATGGGGAACAGCAGGAAGAAACGGTAACATATCTGAACTTTGAATTCTCTGTTTTTTTTAAAACATTAGACGTCGTTATTTTGAAGAAACCCGTCGTTTTAAAACCATACCACGACGATTTTATAAATAAACCGTCGTTTTTATTTAAATACCACGTCGTATTTAGTTTACTTGTTTTACACGCCATTAGACGTCGTACTTTGTGGTTTTTAGACGACGGTTTTAGTCCTTACCGACGTAATAGACAATTACCACGACGTTTATTATTTACCATCGTTTAATAATTTTAAGAAGTCCATAATTCTTACATACCGTCTTATGTTATGCCTTACCACGACGTTTTGATTTAATTTTTTTACTTTCTGTACAATCTGTCTTATATATATATTTCTTTATTACTTAAAACAGAAATCTGGGGCTTTAGATAATCAAGATGAAGAGAAGAAAGAAGAAAAAAAAGATGAAGAGAAGAAGGGAGAAAAAAAAGATGAAGGGAAGAAGGAAGAAAAAAAGAGAAAAAAGATGAAGGCAAAAAGGAAGACAAAAATTATGAAGAGAAGAAAGAAGAAAAACAAGATGAAGAAAAGCATGACGAAGAGGTATATTCTCATAACTTTGCCTTTTTTATTTGTTTTTCACATTTCAGACGTCGATATTTTTCTTTAAACCGTCGTTTGTTTTCAAATTAGACGTCGGAATTTATTTTCTATGACGTAATAAATTATCTAAAACGACGGTTTTTTATTACCGTCGTTTAAATTATTATCAGACGACGTTTTTTAATTTAAACCGTCGTTTTTATTGAATTACCACGTCATTTTATTTTGCTTTATTTCTTTAAACAGGGTAATGAAGAAGTTGATTATTCAAATGTGGAGGTGCCATCTTCCTTACAATCCCTTTGTCGTTATGTGGAAACGACACTAAAGCCACAGGGGAAGATCATGACCTTCAACATTGAGAAGGAGGTGTTTGGTGCAGATCGCAGTACCTTCGTCTTGCATGAAGATATTACACAGTTTGCAGGCATGGAAGAAATTGGGGCTACTGTGGTTGCAGTATATATGAGGTTTGTCCTTATCAAATATCAAACATTATAGCATAAGACGTCGGTGGTTTAATTATTGCGTCATTTTAAACCACTAACCACGTCGTTCTTTTTTTACCGTCGTGATAAATTAGTTATAACGTCTGTTTCTATTTCAGTTCGTCGTGTGAAATTGTATAATACGTTGTTTGTTTATAAATAACCGTCGTTTGTTTTATATATTTAGGTGCTTATATGATCGTTTGAGAGAAGCAAATATGTGCAGCATGGTTGGCTTTATTGACCCTGCTCAAGTTAGTGCCAACGCTGGGTCACTAACTGACAGATCACGAATTGTAGCCAGTCGACTTCAGAAAACAGATGGTGAACAGATTTTCATGATGCCTTACAATCCAGGGTTAGTCTCCTTAAAAGGATTTTGTTTGTATGATTTTCACTAACTTACCACTTATAAAACTGTTTAACTAATTTTGTGTCGTTTGAAACATCTAACCACGTCGGTTATTTATTTATTGAGTCGTTTGAAACAACTAACCACATCATAAATTTATAATGACGTCGATGATTACGTTATTACGTCGTGTGAAACTATATAATACGTCGGTTTTATAAATAACCGTCGTTTGTTTTCTTGTGCTGACTTTTTATATTAACCGTCGTTTTTTATTTTAATTTTGTGCAGCCGTCATTGGGTCTTGCTGATTGTGAGAGCAAAGAGGGAAACCGTCTATTTTCTGGATCCTCTGCCTGGAAATCGTGTGGTTGATGAGGAGGGCAAAAACATCGTGAACAGTGCTTTAAAAATTTATAATTCCCACATAGGCAGACCAGGCCGTAAAGCACCAATTTGGAAAACTCTGTCAGGCACACCAAAGCAACCCAGCAATGTCGAATGCGGGTATTATGTGATGCGCTTCATGAGGGACATCATCATGGATCCTTCCTTGGAGTTTGAGAAGAAGGTAAGAAGAAAATTTTCAGAAACATTTTATGTGGTTTTTTGTATTATCAACGACGGTCCTTTAAAATTACCGTCGTTGAATCAATATACTACGTCGGTTATGAAAAAAAGCGTCGTCTGTGACTGAATTTCTTTTTATTTTGTAAAGCTTAATAATCATTGTTTATGGATTGCAGTTTGCCAAGGGAAAAGAGCAAGCGCCATACCCCCAAGAAGCCATTGATGAAGTCCGGAATGAATGGGTAGATCTTGTTTGCCTTCATATGGAATAGAGGATTTTTGGAACACTTGATATTTTTATATGTACAAATTTTGTCTATAATATATAATGTACAAATTTTGTCTATAATATACATCCTTTTTTTCCCTGAAAATTTGTTGAGGTTTTCATAATTTAAAAGAAAAAACAAATTGCGTAACCGACGTGTAATAACTTTCCAACGACATAATTATGTAAAAAACCGACATAAAATGATATTTAGACGTGATATACCGTTTGTACGTACATGGGACGTCGTTTTAGTGAAAATTTCGCCGTGGTTTCGCTTTTAAACGACGTCCTTTGAACAAGTAAGTCGTTTATTATATAATTTAGAGTTTAGGGTTTCGGTTAATACTTTTTAACGACGGTGATTCAGTTGTGGAATATGTATTTTACGTCGGATGGTGAAACATCCGCCATGGTTTCTCTTTTAAACGATGTCCTTTTACAAGTGAGTCGTTTATTATTATTTACAACGTCGTGGTTTGTTGTTGATATAAGAATATTTTATTATTTTTAATTCAAAATTTTAAAAATAAATTTAAAATAAATTCAAAAAATTCAACTTCAACTCCTATGAAGTCATTGATATATTTTCTTTCCCCTAAACCCCAAAAAATGCAGTTTGAGTAATAAAAGTTTAAATGACCAACCAAAATAAAATTGTGTTGATGAGTCATAACATCACTTATATAGTTTGATGGTTTAGGGTTTAGGGTTTGGGGTTAGGGTTTGGGGTTTAGGGTTGTTATTTATTGGGGTTTAGGGTTAAAGTATAATTTTTGGGGTTTAGGGTTTATGTTTGTTATATATTAGGCTGTAAAACCATAAACAATTTTATAAAATTAAATTTTACAAATATATAATTTATGGTTTTAAAGTTTAGGGTATTACTTTTGACGACGGTGATTGAGTCGTGGAATATTGAGTTTACATCGGATAGTGAAAAATCCGACTTGATTTCTCTTTTAAACGACGTTTTTTTACACGTGAGTCGTTTATTAACATTTACAACGTCGTTAGTTACTTAACCCCGCCGCGGTTTGTTGTTGATATAAGAATATTTTATTATTTTTAATTCAAAATTTTAAAAATAAATTTAAAATAAATCCAAAAAATTCAACTTCAACTCCTATGAAGTCATTGATATATTTTCTTCCCCCCTAAACCCCAAAAAAATGCAGTTTGAGTAATAAAAGTTTAAAATGACCAACCAAAATAAAATTGTGTTGATGAGTCATAACATCACTTATATAGTTTGATGGTTTAGGGTTTAGGGTTTGGGGTTTAGGGTTGTTATTTATTAGGGTTTAGGGTTAAAGTATAATTTTTGGGGTTTAGGGTTTATGTTTGTTATATATTAGGCTGTAAAACCATAAACAATTTTATAAAATTAAATTTTACAAATATATAATTTATGGTTTTAAAGTTTAGGGTATTACTTTTAACGACGGTGATTGAGTCGTGGAATATTGAGTTTACGTCGGATAGTGAAAAATCCGACATTGTTTCTCTTTTAAACGACGTTTTTTTACACGTGAGTCGTTTATTAACATTTACAACGTCGTTAGTTACTTAACCCCGCCGTGGTTTGTTGTTGATATAAGAATATTTTATTATTTTTAATTCAAAATTTTAAAAATAAATTTAAAATAAATCCAAAAAATTCAACTTCAACTCCTATGAAGTCATTGATATATTTTCTTCCCCCTAAACCCCAAAAAAATGCATTTTGAGTAATAAAAGTTTAAAATGACCAACCAAAATAAAATTGTGTTGATGAGTCATAACGTCACTTATATAGTTTGATGGTTTAGGGTTTAGGGTTTGGGGGTTTAGGGTTGTTATTTATTAGGGTTTAGGGTTTATGTTTGTTATATATTAGGCTGTAAAACCATAAACAATTTTATAAAATTAAATTTTACAAATATATAATTTATGGTTTTAAAGTTTAGGGTATTACTTTTAACGACGGTGATTGAGTCGTGGAATATTGACTTTACGTCGTATGGTGAAAAATCCGCCATGGTTTCTCTTTTAAACGACGTTTTGTTTACACGTGAGTCGTTTATTGTTATTTACAACGTCGTTAATTACTTAACTCCGACGTGGTTTTGCATAGTTTTAACGACTTCTGTTTGATTTTGCGTCGTACATAGTTTTACCACGACATCCTTAATGTAATAAGCATCATGTTTAATGTGAAATTTTAACGACGTTTGTTTTTTCGGTCGATGTTTTAAAGAGTGCGCTTTCTTAAAATATTCGCGGGACCTAAAATTTTCAGATTTGGCTCTTAGTTTTATACTTCTAACCCTGAACCCTAAAATTTTCAGATTTCGCGCAACATAACATTTCGCTCTCTCACTTCATCTCTAATTCAAAGTTGGGCTCTCCAGGCTGTGTCAAATCCAATTTGGTCATAATTTGTGAGCTCTGCCAACCTGTAAGTACAAACCCTCTCTTCCCCTTGTAAATTCATTGAATGATATTACATTGTTTTGTTAAAGGGTTTTAGGTATATGTTTTGCGATCTGTTAATAATGTTGTTGGAGGTATGGGTTCATGGATTTTCTGTTTAATGTTTTCTTGATCACTCTCTGTTATGTTGAATAGGGAATGAATTTCATTTTGTCGGATCTTTTAATCACTCTCTGTTATGTTGAATTGGGAATGGATTTGTTGTTTTCATGCTTAGTATATGTTGGTTTCATGCTTGGTTTCATGTATATGTTGTGTTCTTAATAGGGTTTTGGGATCTTGAAAATAAACTGGATATCGACGTGTTTTCAGGCATACAACGACGGTTTTTACTTTAAACCGTCGTTTTTATTACTTATACACGACGGTGTTATTTAACTACCGTCGTGGTTATAATTAGACGACGTTGAAAATCCGTCGTCTATATATGTCAAATACGTCTGTTTTTGTTTAAAAACCGTCCTCTCTGTTGTATATTACTTGCTATTAGACTTTATATAATCTGCTATAGTGATGGTCATTGCTTGTCTTTTCACTTTATTATATATAATAGGGTATAGTGTCGGAGATGGATAAGTCATGGATGCACTCAGATAGAAGATCGAAGGCATATGAGTTAGGGGTGGAAGCATTTTTGAACTTTTCTGTAGAAAATCTTCTAACTACAACACATATCCGTTGTCCATGTGTTAAATGTGTTAATTTGAAATTGTTTGGGGTTGGAATTATAAGGGATCACTTATACTTTAATGGAGTTGACCAAAGCTATAAGAATTGGACATTTCACGGAGAACCTTGGGAAGCAACTACTAATGCTAGTAGAAATGTTGAAGAAGATGATGACCATAGTAGGTACAGTTTTGTGTCTGAAGAAATGGAGATGGATGATAATGATTTTGGTGATTTTGGATCTGATCCTTATGAGTTTGCCAATGTGATTGGGGATGGAGATCAACCATTGTACCCTGGTTGTAGAAAGTACACGAAGTTATCGGCATTAGTGAAGTTGTATAATTTGAAGGCAAAACATGGGATGAGTGATGTCTGTTTTACAGAATTATTGATACTTCAAGGCGATTTGCTTCCAGAAGGAAATACAATACCGGCCTCTATGTATGAGGCAAAAAAGACTTTGTGTGCATTGGGGCTGAGTTATGAGAAAATGCACGCATGCCCCAATGATTGCATCTTGTATAGGAAGGAGTATGAGGATTTAACTCATTGTCCTAATTGTGGTATCTCAAGGTGGAAGGAAGGCAAAGATTCAATCTTGAAAGAGGGTGTGCCAGCGAAGGTGGTGTGGTATTTTCCTCCAATTCCAAGGTTTAAAAGGATGTTTCGATCACATGAGACCGCTAAGAGTTTGACTTGGCATGCTGCTAGAAAATCAATTGACGGTTATATGTCTCATCCAGCGGATTCCCCGTCTTGGAAACTTCTTGATGATAAATGGCCCGAGTTTGGTAATGAGCGAGAAACTTGAGATTGGCTCTTTCATCTGATGGATTCAATCCCCACAGTTCTCTAATAGCAGATATAGTTGCTGGCCAGTTATCTTAGTTACATATAATCTCCCTCCATGGCTGTGCATGAAACGAAAGTTCATGATGTTGACCTTATTGATTTCCGGTCCTAAACAGCCCGGAAATGATATAGATGTCTACTTGGAGCCTTTGATTGATGATTTAACATCTTTGTGGGATGGGATTGGAGGAGTGTATGATGCACATAATGGAGAATACTTTACACTCAGAGCTGCATTAATGTGGACAATTAATGATTTCCCCGCCTATGGAAACTTATCTGGTTGTGTTGTTAAAGGATATAAAGCTTGTCCAATATGCGGCGATGATACACCTAGTCACAGGTTGAAAAATGGCCACAAAATTTGTTACATTGGGCATAGAAAATGGTTACCGATCAATCATCCATATAGGAGGCAACGTGCAGCTTTTAATGGGAAACCTGAATATGGCACGCCTCCTGAGCCCTTAACCGGAGAAGAAGTGCTGCATATGGTTGAAGATGGTGACAGAGTTTGTTGGAAGAAGAAATCAATATTCTTTGATCTCGAGTATTGGAAATACCTTCCTGTGAGGCATGTCCTAGATGTTATGCACATTGAGAAGAATGTTTGCGATAGTATCATTGGTACATTGCTGGAGATCCCTGGAAAAAATAAATATGGGATTGCTGCTCGATTAGATTTATTGAACATGGGGGTCAAAACTGATTTGCAACCCGAGTATGGAGAAAGACGTACTCGTTTGCCTCCCGGGCCTTGGAATTTGTCAAGAGCAGAGAAGAGAGAGGTTTGCAATTCTTTCTATGGTATGATGGTCCCTGAAGGTTATTCTTCAAATATAAAAAATATTGTATCTTTACAAGATTCAAGACTTCTTGGCCTTAAATCACATGATTGTCATACCTTAATGCAACAATTGCTCCCTGTGGCAATTCGTTCTGTTTTGGAGAAGCCTGCAAGGTATGCAATAACTCGTTTGTGCTTCTTCTTCAATGCTATATGTGCAAAGACTGTTGATGTTTCCAAGCTAGATAAGTTGGAAGAAGATGTAGTAGTTACTTTGTGTTTGCTTGAGAAGTACTTTCCCCCTTCATTCTTTAATATCATGGTTCATCTAGTAGTACATCTTGTCAGAGAAGTTCGTCTATGTGGGCCAGTATATTTTAAATGGATGTATCCGTTTGAAAGATATATGAAAGTGCTAAAGGGGTATGTTCAGAATCGTACTCGTCCCGAAGGTTGCATTGCTGAGCGGTATATAGCTGAAGAAGCTGTAGAGTTTTGTACCGAGCATTTATCTGATGTTAGTATAGTTGGAGTGCCTTCAAGCCAAAAGATGGGAGTTTCAAAGCCATTATCAGGTTGCACAGTGAGCGTAGTTGATCGGGACCTGTTGAACCAAGCACATCTATATGTCTTGGAGAATACGGAGGAAGTCCTACCTTATATCGAGTACGTATGAGTTTTATTCTTTAAGTTTCCATTTTAAATTATTTCTTATGTTTATCTTATATGTTTGGGACCGTAATACTTGAATTTGTGTGTCATGTAGGCAACATATGATCCACATTAAGACCGCTTATCCAAAATTTAGAAAGAGAACAAAGTGGCTGCAGGATAAGCACAATAGCACTTTCATTCAATGGCTATGCTTCAAGGTATATGTTATTGATTAACATATTGGACTTTTAATTTTCTTCTTTCTATGTTAGATTGAATTAAGTTATGATTAATTTGCAGGTTCAAAGTGAACTTAATGAGGAAGACAATCATGGCGTATCAGAAAATTTAAGGTGGCTAGCAGCTGGTCCAAACATGGCAGTGCCATTATATAGGAGCTATCTCATTAAAGGTATTAAATTCAACATCAAGGCACAAGATGATGTGCGGACAACTCAAAATAGTGGAGTTTATTTACTTGCACATACTATGCAAGTTGCTAGTGCCAAGGATAAAAACCCAATTCTCTCAAATATGGGTTTCTATGGTGTCATTCAAGAAATTTGGGACCTTGACTTCCAAAAGTTTACAATCCCAGTCTTTAGGTGTGATTGGATTGATAATACTTCTGGTCTTGTAGTGGACGAACTTGGATTTACCCTTGTAGATTTGAGTAAAATTGGACATAGGAATGACCAATTTGTTTTGGCTTCTCAAGTCAAACAAGTATTTTTTGTTGACGACCCGATGCATCGTGGTTGGTTGGTAGTGTTATCAATGCCTAATAGAGAATATAATGATGTTATTGGTGATGATGTCTTAGGTGATGTGAGAATTGAGTGTGAGCCATTTACTAGAGGGATGCCAAATGTTGACACATTTGATGAAGTGGTGGTTGAGTTAGGGAGTCAAAATATTCGAGATGGGTGTGAAGATATATGGGTTGAATGACGCTTTATGTAATTGGCAGTGTATGACATTAATTTTGTAATATATTGTAATGTGATTTCTTCACTTTCATTATAGAGGTTTTGGCCACAAAACAATCAGTACAAAAATTACTGGTTCCAGATTACAAACACGACGGTTTTGATAAAAATGTGAAAAACAAACGTCTGTTCTAATAAATAACGACGTTTTGGAGCATTCAACGACCGCAATATATTTACCGACGTCTTAAAGCAACGTAACAATGAAGAACCACAACGCTATTGTGAAACAGTTATCCAGGATAACACGTCGGACAAGCATAAAGAACCGCCATGTAATTCAAAATAACACGACTCCAATCCCATAATACCGACGTCTAAAAGACGAGAACTTTAACCTGAACGTTACAAAAGACGACGTCGTCATGAATTTACCACGTCGCATGTTCTTTCATAAACGAAGTGGAAAAGGATGAATTCACGACAGTATTTGAAGTCCATTAAATTTGTCGACGTTAAGATTTATGAATTAGACGACGTTAATTTTTTTAATGAAGACGTATAAATTATTAAACACGACGGTCTTTTTCATGGTAACGACGTTGTATATAGACGACAACGTCGTCCTTATAAATTACTGTGTCGTAATTAATGACCCCATCATTTTTTCCACGTCGTTTATTTTCAAATATGACGTATAAATTCTGTAATACGGCTCTCATTTATTTGGAACCGACGTTGTTTATTCATTTCAACGTCGTCTCTGTAAATACACGCGTCGTAAGTAATGAACTTGACATCTATTTCCACGTCATAATTCATAGAAAAATCGAAGTGGAAAATTTATTTTACGACGGTTGTTGGAAATGTTGTGACGTAGTAGGTGTCAATAACGTCGTCTATTATGATTGTAAAGACGTCATATTTATATTTGTCATTAAATATTTATTTAACGGCGTTAAGTTTTAGTTCTCGTCGTTGTATGTTTATCTTGCGGCCATGTTCTGTTAATATATGTCATATGTTTCCTTTTTAACGACGTTTTTTTTTGGAGTTGGTTGTCTATTCTCATCCTCGACTGTTTTTTTAATGTCTTTTTGCAGCACAAAGACGTCGGTTTTGATTTTTGATGACGTTTTTTGTTTTAACAACGACGGTTATTCACCATCATGGTTTTGTTATGGAAAAGATGTCGGTGGATTCCACGACCATTTGAAAATAGAATACACGACGGTGAATTCCCGTCGTGTTTTTCCTTTTTTGTAGTAGTGTTTGTGAAGAGTAGCGTTGTTGTTTGTTTCCGAAAATTGACTTTTAGCTTCGGATAGTATCTATTGCAAAAGGTACCTAAGAACCGAAGTATTGGGAACCGATGCATATGATATAGTCATACGCTTCGGATATTATCCGTTGCTAAAGATTATTTACGACTTAGCTATTTACATAATCGCCAATGCGTAAGTTGTTAACATGTGCCAAAAGTGCGTTGACCTCCAATGCCTGCCTTGCATCCCCATATTTTCAAATGTTTCAAGCTTGGTTTTCTCTTTTTCCAAACTCCATAAGGGATATTGTTGATACTCTTGGTTGGTACTGGATTGAGTATGTAATTTGTTGTTTTCAAAGCTTCTCCCCATAGAAAAATTGGTAAGTTTGTGCAACACATCATGCTTCTTATCATATCTTTTAGAGTTATGTTTCTCCTTTCTGCAATTCCATTTTCCTGTGGAGTCCCTGGATTAGTGTATTGAGCAATGATTCCTTCTTGATGTAGAAATCTTGCAAAAGGACTAGGATTCCTCCTAGTCTCATCGAATCTCCCATTAAACTCCCCTCCACTGTCAGACCTTACAACTTTTATCTTTGGTCTAGTTGGTTTTCCACTTCAGCTTCATAAATTTGAACATGTCCAAAGCACTTGATTTTTCTTTGATCAGATAACATGTGCAAATCTCGGGTAGTCATCTGTAAAAGTGATGAAATAGTTAAACCCTTCATGAGTTGGAGTTGGGAATGCTCCACATATGTTTCCATGGATTAATTCCAATACACTTTGACTTCCTACAACACCTTTCTTTCTTAGGTTGGTCAATTTTCCCTTTGTGCATTCTATACATATATCATCTGCATTATCATGATTCAATGGTGGTAGAACTAATTTTTTGCATAGTGTATTGATTCTTTCCTTTGAAATATGTCCAAGTCTCTAATACCACAGTTTAAATGATATTCTTTGTATGGTTTGGATTGAACTGAGTTGATTTGCATAGTTTCTTTGCAGTTAATCGAAACATACCATCCACAATACTTCCTTTTCCAATTAAACTTTTATTTCTAAAATAGAACAACCAAAATCATCAAAGTTCAAAGTGAACTTTGATTTTACAAGCCTAGTAACTGAGATGAGATTCTTCCTCATTGAGGGAACATAAACCACATCTTCTAAATCAAAGACAAAACCACAATCTAGTTCAATCCTAACTACTCCAATATTATCTACTTGCACTTTTTCTCTAGTGCCTACGAACACCTTCACTTCCTCCTTGCTTGGCAGCCTCCTCTTTATGAACCCCTGCAAAGAATTAGTCACATGAATAGATGCACCACTGTCTACCATGAATCATTAGTAAAATCAACTAAATTAGATTCAAAGCAAACCAAAACTTGATCACTTTTAAATTTAGTTTTCTGTTTGTCCAACTATTTCTTATACCTTTTGCATTCCTTTTTCATATGTCTAGTTTTCTTACAGAAGAAGCATTTCAATCCCACTGGTTTCAGATATTTTGAACTGTTATTATCCTTTTCCTTTTCTTTCTCTTTTCCAGCAGCAGTGCCTTTGTTCTTATATTCCTTATTTTGCTTTGACTGCACCAGATTCACCATTTTGGCACCTCTTTCTCTTATTATATTGTGTTCCTGTTGACGCATATGGTGATAAGATCATTCAATGTCCAGCTTTCCTTTGAGCAGTGTAGGTATCTTCGAGAGACTTAAACTCCTTTGCTAGCGAATTCAAAGCAAGATGAACCATCACATCTTCATCTACATTCAATTCCAAATCCTGCAACTTAGTTCCAATGTCAATCAGATTCATGATATGAGCTCTCACACATCCTTGTCCATCATATCTCATATTAATCAACTGATTTAGTAAGGTACTTTTGACAACTTTCTCAGACTCCTTGAATCTCTGTGCAATAGCTTCATAGTATTGTTTAGCATTCTCAAATTTGGGAATGCTACCTCTCACAGATGATGCCATTGACTTTTGCATAATCAACATACTCATATGATTAGCCTTTTCCCACTTGGCATATTTGGTTTTCAATGCTGCAGAAGCATCTGCAGCTGTTCTTGATTGGGTTCTTCTCTAAGCACATAGTCATAATCAAGAAAACCTAAAGAAATCTCCAGATCTTGCTTCCATTTTTGGTAGTTCGATCCAGTCAGTGTTTCAATGGATTGATAGTTTGAAGGATTCACTGTAAACATATAAAAATAATAAATAACTGTCCCCACTAAACTTACTTAAACATTATCAATTCATACCTGTGGGTTGTGATTTGAACATGTTCCTAAATACTGGATTTGAGTTTGAATAAACTTCCTGCACAAGTAGAACTTCTCATCTGTGGATTGAGAAGTCTTCTTGTTAGTCTTTTCAGTCCCTTATCCATATTGTACAATCACATCTGTTATTAGTATGTGTACTTACTATATGTGGATAGAAGTAATCACAAAAGGCTACCAGTTGTGATGCAAGTATAGATCAATCTTTCGATTGAAAATTACTCTTGCAACAATTAAGCAGCCGTGGCTTACTTAATTAAGCAATAAAAATTCATAGTCCTTGATCAATAGCCTTTCAAGTATGATCGAGCAAATATTCTTGATGCCCTTGATCATACCTTATCACATAAGATATGCAATTGGTTAAAGTGTAACGACCCGGTCCTAATAAATGTTTGATTATTAATTAAACATGATAAAAGACCATTTTGCCCCTAGAATATTTTATTAGTATTCAAGTTGATTTTTTGACCGGAAGAAATTTGAGAGTTTCAATTGTACTGTTCCTTATAACACGGTAAGGTGAGTCCGTAGACACGTAGTGGGCTTGAATCGGAGTTGTAATGAGAGAGATACGATCAAAATACCTCAGTGGCATAACCGTAATTTTGGCGAAAAAGGGTTTGATAAAAATCAGATTTCTCTCTCTCTCTCTCTCTCTCTCTCTCTCTCTCCTCTGCGCAGCCTCTCTCTCCCCTCTCTAGCGACGGCTGTAACAGTCGGCCATGTTTTGGTTGGCCGTGCTCTCGTTCGGCCACCAAAGTTGACGGGCCGTCGTCCTCTTCCAACCCTAGCCAAGGCCCGCCGCCAGCCGCTGTGGTTTCACCAGAAAAAGCTGTGGAAGGGGCCGTTTTCGTATGATCTTCGCTGGTTTCGTTCTCCGTCGTCTAGTTGCCATTTTTGGCAATCCAGGTATGGAAATCCATCTATTCCTCGAGCTCTGGCTGATGGTTGGGTAGAATTGCATCAATTTCTAGCCTAGGAGGTTTGATTTTCAAGTTAGGGTTCAGCCGGTTGTTGATCATAATACCGGCCACTTCTGGTCAGTTTTTGGGGTATGCCCAAGAACAAAAGTGACTCCAAATAGGGTGTTACACCTAGGGTAGGAGTCTTGAGCCGTGATTTTGAGTTTTTCCGGCGATGGGTTATCGCTTTGGACGCCCACGTGCTGTCGGTGCGTTTGGCGGCGCATGGGCCCTGTAGAAAAAGGGCATTGTGTGCCGAGGTGATCTCTTGGTCCTCACAAGTAAGTAGGTGTGCTCGGATTTCAATTTGGATACCGTTTGAGTCACGAACGGATATCGCCTATTTCGCGTTATCCGCATTCGATTGGTTTGGGGCCGTTGGATGGCCTTGAATTTATTATATGTTAACCTGGACATCCTTAGGATTGTGTAGGATTCGACGGATCGTAAAATGGAGTCCCGGATACTTCGAAAATACCAACCCTAGGGCTAATATTTCAGTAACCGTCCGATTATGCGATCGTGAGCGATCCGATCGTCCGATCTGGACCAAACTTGCAGGACATGTGTCCTAGACCTTGTAGAACTTATAGGAACTTTCATATCAGAATTTGGAGGTCGTGGACCCCATAGGCCTATTTGACCGAAGTTGGGTAGTTTGACCCTAGGTTGACCGTGAGACTTCCTAGGTAGTGTTACCTTCCTAGGAAGATTAAAATGACCGTAGAGACAGGCCTTAATTGTATGTTGGTTATGTGGGATTAGGATATTAGTTTATGATTTTAAATTGGGGGATTATCGGATGCCATATCGTGGTTGAGGCTTATGCAATAGTGGAGATTATATATATATATATATATATATATTACTTTATAAAGGTGTTTGATGACTCTGTAAGTACCATCCTGTGATTGTGAGGTCGCACGCGGCGTAGGATTTTTCGGGGTGTTGAGAGGCCCCGTACGCAGCGTTGGATTTTTTTCGGCGTATGGGGTGATTCTACGAGATGTGATAATTGTGAGGTCCCACGTGTCGTAGTATTATCCGGCGTGCGGACAGACCCCATATGTGGCGTTGGTAGTTCCAGCATATGGGGAGATTATGTGATATGATGATGAGGTCACACGTGTCGTAGGATCATCTGGCGTGTTGACAGACCCCATATGTGGCGTTGGTAGTACCGGCATATGGGGGATTATGTGATACGATTGTGAGTCTCACGTGTCGTAGGATTATCCGGTGTGCAGACAGACCCCATATGTGGCGTTAGTAGTACCGGCATATGGGGGGATTATGTGATACGATTGTGAGCTCTCACGTGTCGCAGGATTATCCGGCGTGCAGACAGACCCCATATGTGGCGTTGGTAGTTCCAGCATATGGGGAGATTATGTGATATGATGATGAGGTCACACGTGTTGTAGGATTATCCGGCGTGTTTGACAGACCCCATATGTGGCATTGGTAGTACCGGCATATGGGGGGATTATGTGATATCATTGTGAGGTCTCACGTGTCGTAGGATTATCCGGTGTGCAGACAGACCCCATATGTGGCGTTAGTAGTACCGGCATATGGGGGGGATTATGTGATATGATTGTGAGGTCTCACGTGTCGTAGGATTATCCGGCGTGCAGACAGACCCCATATGTGGCATTAGTAGTACCGGCATATGGGGGGATTATGTGATACGATTGTGAGCTCTCACGTGTCGGAGGATTATCCGGCGTGCAGACAGACCCCATATGTGGCGTTAGTAGTACCAGCATATGGGGGGATTATGTGATACGATTGTGAGGTCCCACGTGTCGTAGGATTATCCGGCGTGCGGACAGGCCCCATACGTGGCATGGGTAGTTCCGGCGTATGGGGAGATATTGTGAGTATTAGGGAGATAAATTAAAGATTGTGGTTGGTGAGTTGAGTTTTAAAGTAAAGGATTTTAGTGAAAGAACTACGTGTGGCTTGATCCCTCTCAAGGGGTATGTAGGCAGCCTAGGGTGGTGCCTAGGTGCAGCTTCGGGCTAAACTTTACTTAGGTGGTTTTGTTGAGTGTGGTGCTGACCTTGCCGTGGCCTGAAACTCGGAGGGAAACGAGGCTTGATTGATTAAATATTTATTATGTTGTTAATTTGTGGAGGTGATCGAGTTAGATTTAAACTCATTTTGGATTGTTGTATGATTTAGGCTGAGCCCTTAAACTACTTGTGTTGTTTAGGAGGTTAAAGCGTCATATGTTGAAATTGGGATAGTTAGATGTTGTAAACTTGGCATTCAGCTTCCATATTTATGTTTAAGTTATTAATTGCCTCATGTAAAGTACTATTTGGTTCAAGAGCTTGTTGGTAGTTTGGTTTCGAAATAATTGAAGGGCGGTGGCCAATTAAATGAATTGCATGAATTATATTGTGCATGCTGCCGTTTGGGATATTAAATGTGTTTTATGCATGTGGAAATTTTGGGGAAAGTCTGAATTACAGGGGAGACTCTGCCGAAATTTCGGCAGAAAGTCTTGTGCCCTTACTCCTTTTGAAAAAGGAGGCTACATTTTTAGTCAGTGAGCCTGGCATGGGTGTGATGCTAGGGTTTCCACAGGATTCGTCTCGGGTTTCAGGAAATTCGGGGTGGGTCCTGTCATAAAGTCTACATGCTTCATGACTAATGATCAAAATTTATTTTAGTAGCAATCTTTTATAAATCAGTAGGATAGATTAGAGAACAAGACCTAGTGCTCTGATACCACATGTAAGTTCTATCATGTCTTTGAGTCTCAAATACTATACTTTGATCAGACATTGTGAATAGGATCTTCTTCTCCTACTCGACACTTTATCTCTATCTCTGGATGGGTTCAGTTTTCTGTTATGATTGTGTTTTTGCCAATAGGGAAGGGACCTTATTTATAAGCATCTGTTCCAGTACCTTACCCATCAAGGAGTACTCGAACATATACTGTTTGCTTAGGAATAGGATGTTTTAGTCCATATAGAATTAGGAATTCTTAATATTCTCTTATCTCAATGTAAACTCACTGTTTGATTGAGTATCCTACTGGCATTAGGATTAATACTTCCTGATCAATTAAAGCTCCTCCAAACCAAATATGATTAGAAGGCCACAATTTAGACTAAGACGCAGATTTGTCTTAAACTTGTCCTTTGATTGATTTGTGATCTTCTTCATATCTACGTAGGAATATCTACTTGGCTTGAAAGCTTTGTAATCCTCTAAAAACTTTTCGATTTTTAGTCGATTCTCTTTTTCCTTTTGATCAGCGCTATAGACACCATGCACTTCAATGACCAATACTAAAAAAGAGGTGAACCCAGCGTTGCACCTACAAGTAAATACAATCCTTGAGCAAACACATATCTTCCAATGTCTTCTAGACTAGGCATGTAAGAAAGCAAAAGAAAAGATTGGTTTTAGGGCTCATTTGGGAGTGCTTTAGGAGCAGTGAAAGCACTTCTAAATGGGTGAAAGTGCTTCTGTCTTTAAAAATGGTGTTTGGCAAAAATTGCAAAAGAGTTTTGGGTGAGATCCAAAAGCACCTTGAGTGGTTTTGGAAGAAGCACTTGAGAGGTGCTACTTCTTAAAAGTGTTGCAGGACAAAAACACGGGAAGCACTTAGCTCCTTTAATGAAACTTTTAAAATGCCAAAAATACCCATATTTAATTTTTTTAAATGCCAAAATAGCATTTCTTTCTTTTTCTTCTAGCATGTTCTATTGAAACGGTCGAAAACCCACCACGACCCTCAAACTTGGAACACATTTCCTTCATAGCCCACCCATGTTTGTAGAGTAAGAATCCTCATCTACTCACTGCATAATAGTAAAGGGGCAAACAGACTCAGCATCACCAATTGTAGAAAGTGGAAGAGGATCCATTATTCCATTTATCGATTATACTAATTCAGTTCTGTATTTCGTACAAAAAGGTTTTGTTTTTCTAGGTTCGCTTCTTCCTTTGTGATGTCAAAAATTGAGAAGTAAATCATATGGTTTGTTGTCATATCTCGGATCGGCTATGCCGTAGCACGATATTGTCCGTTTTGGGCCCCCTGCCCTTATGATTTTGTTTCTGGGAACTCACGAGAAACTTCTTAGTGGGTCACCCATCCTGAAATTGCTCTAGCCCAAACTCGATTAACTTCGGAGTTCCCATGACTCCAAAGCTAGTGAGCTCACAAAAGGCCTCGTGCTAGATAGAAGTGGGCACACATGTACATATAAGGCACATCACCCCCTCTCCATTGGTTGATGTAGGATGTTACAATCCACCACCCTTAGGAGCCCAACGTCCTCGTCAGCACACTCGCATCACACATCAGAGTGGCTCTGATACCATTCCGTCACATCCTAGATTGGTTGCGCCGTAGCACGATATTGTCCGCTTTGGGTCCGCTGCCCTCACGGTTTTGTTTCTGGGAACTCGTGAGCAACTTCCCAGTGGGTCACCCATCTTGGGATTGCTCTAGCCTAAACTCGCTTAACTTCGGAGTTCCCATGACTTCAAAGCCAGTGAGCTCCCAAAAGACCTCGTGCTAGATGGAGGGGGGCATATACATAAAAGGCACATCACCCCCTCTTTGCATATGTTTATTTTATTTCAGAAATTTGGTATAAAATTATGGTATGATTTTGTGTGCTCATTAATTTTTTTAATTTTTTAATTTTTGTGGATTTATAGTATTTGCAAGATGTTGCAGTGTATGCGAGAGTAAAGAAGAGGCTGTGAGCATGACGAGATTCTTAGCAGGCTAGAAAAGGTTGAAAATGGTTTTTCTTTTTCTTCCTGTTTTTGTTACTCCAATATTATGTTTTTGGCGGACATCTACTTAAATACTGTAACGACCCGGCCTAAATAAATTTTTAATTTTTAATTAAACATGATAAAAGACCATTTTGCCCCTAGAATATTATATTAGTTTTAAAATTGACTTTTTGACCGGGAAGAAATTTGGGAATTTCGACTGTACCGTTGTGTATCGGAGATGAAACGAGAGAGATACGATCAAAATACCCTCAGTGGCATAATCGTAATTTTGGCGAAAAGGGTTTTGATAAATATCTGATTTCTCTCTTTCTCTCTCTCTCTCTCTCTCTCTCTATCTATCTCTCCCCGCGTGCAGTCCCTTCGCCCTCCGATTTTTTCTGCAAAGCCGGTGGCTTCTCAAAGCCACCGCCGCCACCATAGTTAACGACCGGTCCTGTTCGAACTGCCACTTCCCCTTCTTCCTTTCCCGACCAGCACCGACCCCGGAAGCGCCGGATTCCATTAGAAAGAACTCGGAATCGCGCCGGTTTTGACAGAAACTTCACCAGCTTCGTTCTCAGTCGTCTGGCCGCCATTTTTGGCAATCAAGGTATGGAAATTCATCCTTTCCTCGAGTTCTAGCTGATGGTTGGGTAGGATTTCATTAATTTTGAGCCTAGATTATCTGATTTTCGAGTTAGGGTTCGACCAGTTTTGAGTTAGCGATTCCAGCCACTTCTGGTCAGTTTATGGGGTATGCCCAAGAACAAAAGTGACTATAAATAGGGTGTTATACCTAGGGTAGGAATCTTGAGCCGTGATTTTGGGATTTTTCGGCGATGGGTTATCGCTTTGGACACCCACGCACTGCCGGGGCATGTGGCGGCACGTGGGGCACTGTAGAAAAGAGGCATTATGTCTTAAAGTGATCTCTTGGTCCTCATGAGCGCGTAGGTGTGCTTGGATTTCAATTTGGATACCGTTTGACTCTCGAAACGGATATCCCCTATTATGAGTTATCCGGGTTCGATAGGCTTGGACCGTTGGATGGTCTTAAATTTATTATATGTTAGTTTGGACATCCTTAGGACCGTGTAGGATCCGACGGATCGTAAACGGAGTTCCGTATACTCCGGAAATGCCAACCCTAGGGCTAGGGTTTCAGTAACCATTCGATCGTGTGATCGTGAGCGATCCGACCGTCCGATATGGACCAAACTTGCAGGTCATGTGTCCTAGACCTTGTAGAACCTATAGGAACTTTCAGATTGTAATTTGGAGGTCATGGGCCCTGCGGGCCCGTTTGACCAAGGTTGGGTATTTTGACCCTGGGTTGACCATGAGACTTCCTAAGTGATGTTACCTTCCTAGGAAGATTAAAATGACCGTAGTGATAGGCCTTGATTGTATGTTGGTTATATGGGATTACGATATTAATTTATGGTTCTAAATTGGGGGATTATCGTATGCTATATCGTGGTTGAGGCTTATGCTATATTAGAAATTTATATATATATATATATAAATTGTGTTTGATTACCCCGTGTATGTATCATCCTGTGCTTGTGAGGTCGCACGTGTCGTAGGAGTAGCCGGCGTGTTGATAGACCCCATATGTGGTGTTGGTAGTACCAGCATATAGGGAGATATTGTGATATGCTTGTGAGGTCGCACGTGTCGTAGGAGTAGCCGGCGTGTTGACAGACCCCATATGTGGCGTTGGTAGTACCAGCATATGGGGAGATATTGTGATATGCTTGTGAGGTCGCACGTGTCGTAGGAGTAGCCGGCATGTGGACAGACCCCATATGTGGCGTTGGTAGTACCGGCATATGGGGGAGATATTGTGATATGCTTGTGAGGTCGTACGTGTCGTAGGAGTAGCCGGCGTGTTGACAGACCCCATATGTGGCGTTGGTAGTACCGGCATATAGGGAGATATGTGATATGCTGTGAGGTCGCACGTGTCGTAGGAGGAGCTGGTGTTTTGACAGACCCCATATGTGGCGTTGGTAATACCGGCATATGGGGAGATATTGTGATATGATGATGAGGTCCCACGTGTTGTAGGATTATCCGGCTTGCGGACAGGCCCCATACATGTTTTTGGATGTTTCGGCGTATGGGGAGATTTTGTGAGTATTTGGGAGATAAATTAAAGATTGTGATTGGTGAGTTGTGATTTAAAGAAAAAGGGTTTTAGGAAAGAACTACGTGTGTCTTGATCCCTTAGTAAGGGTACGTAGGCAGCCTAGGGTAGCACCTAGGTGCAGCCGCAGGCTAAACTTTACTCATGTTGTTTTATCGAGTATGATGCGGACCTTGTCGTTGGTCCTACTATTTGGGTAAAAATGAGATGCAGTTGTGTTAGGAGGTTAAAACCTTGCTTGATGGTTATTAGGGAAGTTATTCTATATTGATCACAGTAGGCGTCCCTAAATAAGTTGAGTTTGTTATACTCATTGTTAAATGCATTAATTTGATATAAGAACATTGTTGGCGGTTCTGTTTCGAATCATTTGAAGGCCAGAGGCCATTTATGTGAATTACATGAAATTATATTGTGCGTGCTGCCTATTGGGATGTTAAATGTGTTTTATGCAGGTGGAAATTTTGGGGAAAGTTCAATTTACAGGGGAGACTGTCGAATTTTCGGTAGAAAGTCTCATGGCCTTACCCCTTTTTGGAAAAGTAGATTACAGTTTGAGTGAGTGGGCTCAACATAGGTATGATGTCAGGAATTCCACAGGATTCGTCTTGGGTTTCGAGGAAATTCGGTTCGGGTCTTGTCAAATACAGTTACAAAAAATATTTATGAAACAAATATTACATAGGGGCAATTGATGGTACAAATATCCTAGTAACCGTGCCTAGAGAAAGACAAGTACCATATATTGGAAGAAAATATATCACTACCCGAAATGTTTATTATAATATTTTTAAAGTTACTTTTGGGGGGGGGGGTGGGGGGGGTGTGTGTGTGAATAGGGCAATTTAAAATTATAATCGATACAATAAACTTCAGTAACATGATTGATATATTTTACGTGAAACATGTTGAGCATAAAATAAAGGAACATGCAGCGAATTATTTTACGTGGTAAAACTCCACCTTTTCTAGACCAGCTCGTAGACTTCCCCAAGATATATGCTGCATCATCAAAAGAAGCAACAAATTGTTTCTTCCCTTCTGGGATTTCACATGGCAACCCACATACCCATAATCTTCCTTTTCTTCTATTTAATTTTTTTGTTTCCATGTGGCTGACTTCTCTCTTTGGATATGCAGATTAAGGAGGTGCCTTGCCGTGGGCCATATTGAGAGATTGAGATTCCTTTGTTTGTAGAGAAAGCAATTTGTCTTCTTGTTTCATAAACCAAAGACAAAGCTTGGTTGGTATTTGCTTTTGCCTGTTCTTCTTTTCTTGTCTCTTCTTATTGCTTATTTTTCAGTATTACTCCACCGAATATGTTTTCTTTTTTCAGTGATAGTCCACCAAATTTGTTTCCATTTTTCAGTGATCATTTACTGAATCCGTTACTGAGTGTGTACTTAATATTGTTTTTTTAGATATGAAGAGGACTCACAGAGGTACTACTGAGGCTTCATCGTCTTGACCTGATAGACAGCATCCTACAGCCTCAACGAGGAGACAGAGAGCGGCTCCCTAAGATCACTTTGAGGATACTATAGAGGTTGAAGATGTAGGTCCTACTCGTGATAGTAATGTTGACACAGAGGTTGAAGATGTAGCTATTACTCTGTAGTGGGTGCATTTTCGTCAGTCATTAAGATGACCGTATCTGTAGTAGCTACATTCTCCACTCTCGGAAGTTGTTGAAATGCATCCACACGCGCTTGGTACCTCGAGTACAAATGTGTTACATCGCATATGTCACTTTGTTCATGCCACATTCTAGAAACTGGTGGAATAGGATGATCTGGAGACAAATGAACCTACAAAACAAGAATTCATTCATATATGCACAACATATAAAACTAAACTATGTAGCGTAAACAAATAAATTCATACTTGGACATAGTGATCATCGTCAACAAAACCAATGGCAATCTCACGTAGCTTGGTTTCACTTGATTGAACTGAGAAAGGAAGAAATGTAAGGCATTAATGCATGCTTAAAAGTATTAAAACCACATTATAACATGTGGCAATAATATGCCCCATATCAGACATGATCATCCAACAAAAGAATGGTGCAAATCCATCACCAAAATAATTAGCACTCGCTCAATCTCGTTGTATCGCTCCTCTCACAAGCAAGTATTACTCGAGGTCTTCTCTTTCTCCCACCTCCATAATCAGACCTTTAATTACAATGACAATATTATTCATTTTTCTTTGTGCACGAGCCCATTTAAGTAATACATCTTTACTATTGAATATATACACATAAAACTCATGTTATTTAAAGATAAAATTTGAAACATTAATGCCATGTTAATGATACTAAAAAGGATTTTAGACAAAAACTCAAAATAATTATCGAATAAGTTGTGAATTGATCACTATAGTCCATTACACATTATGTTTCCACATTGTTGCCTTCAGTAGGGGCGTCACCTTGTTTTTGTTCCTTCAATAGGAGTAAGATCAAAATAGCTTGAATTAAATTTGTGATCGACAATAAGTTATTGAAAAAATAAATAAATTTCAGTTCGTTGCCATTGAAATGCAGGTAAAATTTCAGTAATAAACCACTGAACAACGTTCCATGTTACAGTGGATCTCCACCGCATATTAAGTTCATGACCAGTCAAACACAATCAAAATAGGTGCAACTTTCAGTGGCATCCCATCGAATTTTACCTATCGCGTTCAGTACTGATGTGCTGAACGCAACCAGCGACCATCATGAAATACTAAACTTACAAAATGCCAAAAAATAAACTCATACCTCATTCGAAGCCTCTCTCACTTCAATCTCACCCTTCATGAATAAATACAAGATATTTTTTCACCAATATAAATGTATAAATCTCGTTAGAGTTGTAGGTGTTTGGTCCCAAATTAGCACACCCAGTCTAGAATTAAAAAGCCCATTTTCGGCAGCCACCAAAAGTTACCTTATGCTTGGGCCAAAATTCTGCACGCCAGCACACTTCTTACGAAGAAAGCCCCACAAAACAGAAAAGAATAGAAGACTGGGCTTTGATTTCGAAGAAAAGCCCAAACCAGTCAGAGGCCCATGGCTTTTACGAAGTGGCAGAATTGAAAAAAACACACGAAGCAAGTCAATAAAATTGCCAATTAAAAAATGGCAATTTTAAAGAAGAAATTGACCACCAAGCAAATCGATAAAACTCTAAAGAAGAAATGGATTGTGCCCTGGTTCTAAATTCTCACCATTACTCTCAAAAAGCCCAGAAACAAGTTAGCAGATTCTTCTTGGAATGTCCATTCTCAGAAAACCCACGTGATTACATGACTTTGAAAAGTCAACAATTTCAACTATCATAAGAGAGTTGATAGGGAGTTAATGAAGGCAGGTCTTAAAATAGGAAGATATCTCCAGTCTTTCCAGTCAAAAGAAGATCAGAATCCCTTTCTATATAAATTCTGCATCAAAACAGGCATCATTTCCAAGGGATAAGCAGACTACATTTTCTAAAGAGATAAGTAGGGTGCAAGGAGTTGTTCATCTGGAAAATCAAACTAACCATCACAGCAGATTGAACTCTTACAAAGAAGAGTTAAAGATCAAAAAGAGATCACCATAAAGAACTGATTGTTGATGGTTTGTCTGCCAGAATAGATAAAAATCCCCTTTTCTTTGATATTTAAAATAAATGATCTTGTTTTTAGAAAATCTGCCGCCCATTATTAAAGGATTAGAAATCCCACTCCAGCATTTTTTATAAATATGAGAGAAGGTGAACAGATCAAAGGACAGCCAAAAAATCAATAAAAAAAAACACTCAAAATCATCAATTGATCTCAAAGGCCTTCAAAACACTGAAGCAACCAAAAGCTCATTGAGCCACAAGAAAGAAGTCAGCTATAATTCAAGATCTCTAACTTCAGTTCAGTCCCAGAGAAATAGTCATTCAAAGCGAGATTTCTTTCGTTACAAATTTGGTTCAGCATAAGCCAAATCAAGTAGAGTTCGTGTTTCACAAATATGAAAACCTCAACAAATTTATGGAGAGCCCTGATCAAGCATAACAGGTACTACAATGCAGTTCCAGCTCAATAATCATCAAATCCAGCCACTTCTGCCCTTTCCGGACTGAAGATGTTCTAATTCTGCCCGTTCAAAAAGCCTTCCAGGGCTTGAAATAGATTGAAGCTCTGCCAAACTCAAATATTGGTATCGATTTACAGCTGAAACTTGACAGTTGAAGTCCAATGTTCTTTTTCCATTTTTTAGAGTTGGTCTTTCCCTTTTGAGCTTTGTAAAAGGCAGTTCTGCCTGAAAACAATTCACTTTCCTATCATTATTCTGGCTAGAACTACCAGTTTTGTACTGTGAAAAATTGTGAAGTCCTCATCAGTCTGAGGCAAGAAGAGAACTTACTTGGGAGATATTTCTCACCCAAATTGACAATCTCTTTTTTAGAAATCAGTAACTTGGGGCGCAAGTGATCTGTTTTTAAGGAAGCCTTTTATTGCTAGCAGTGGCACGCTCATACACAAAAGAAAGTTTACTTATTAATCCCAAATGGTTTTCAAGACAGTGGGGAACTTTACCCTACCGTCACAGGAATGAATATAAAATGGGTGAACAATTTGGCATGCCCAGTGGGACTTCTCAGTACACATACTCCTAGAAAAATCTTCTACTATATGAATATTGGAAGTTCTGGCCAGAATCCACGTTGCGCCATGGATTGAGATTAGGCAACTCTCCGAGAAAGACTTGAGTCAGAAGAAAGTGATGCTAGGCAATCAGCCCGTGGCAGTACCAGGGGTAGACTTTCCAGGTCTGGTTCAAGAAGGTTAAACTAGATATAGGAGGTTGTGTTCCAGCAGGAGGCCACAGCGCAAAGGAGCCAGGATACTCTTAACAACATGACAACCATGATGCAATGGGAAGTTAATAGGCAGTTCAGGAAGGACCATGAGGCTAGTATTGCCAGAATTCCAAACCCATATGTGGTGGTCCAGTTGCTAGATCTCCCTTTTGGACCTTTACCAGGACTGGCATGGCTTACCAAGAGAATCCTCTCATTCCACAGTTAGCCGGAATCCCAGGACAATGAGAAATACAAGCTTGACAAAGGGGATGAGCCCTTCCTCTCCAAGAACATGAGGCTCCAGTTCGTCCAAAAGGCCCTGCACCAGTTCAGGCCCCCCAGAACCAGCCAGAACCTCCACCTATTGCACAACCAGTGGTCCCACGTGATCAGCCCTTGGCACTTCTACCTGAGCAGCCTACTGTATTGCCTCCACTAGCAAGATGTAGGAGAGGCAGAGGGGGAATCAACCTTTTTGCCAACAACGACAGGAACAGACCGGGGGAAACTGGAGGAATCATCCAGATTTCGAAGAAGAGGAAGAGCATAGAGAGAAAGTTCTGCCCAGACCATACAGGGTGGAACAGAGGATTGAACACAACCAGCCAAAACATGAGTGAAATCTGCATCCTGTCAATGCTTTGAATGACATAAGGGCACTTCAGAGAATGATTAGAGAAATGGTGAAACCGGAGGCCCGAAGAGGAGAAAGGCCCATCTACAGAAATCCATATCCAGCTTATATTGATCAAATACCTCTATCCTCGGGCTTTAAGGTACCAAACTTCACTTTGTTCAACAGAGAGGACACCCATGCTTCATCAGTTGAGCATATAGGCAGATTCTCTGTCCAGTGCATAGCCATAAAAAAATAACCCTCTCTTAAAACTAAGGTTTTTTGGAGAAGCCTTCACCTGGTATACTAGCTTACTTGCTAATTATGTTCAAACCGGGGAACAAATGGAAAATGCCTTCCATGACTACTATTTCAGGATTCAGCCAGAAGTCACCATCAGTGATCTTGCTGCCCTCAAACAGAGTGAAGATGAGCCTGCCCAAGACTTCATAACCAGATTCAAAAAGCTCAAAATGAAATGTCGAATCCCTATGGAGGAAAGGTACTTCATTCAAATGGGTCAAACTGCCCTTACAATTTCTCTGAGGAAGAGATTTGATGGGATGTTGTTTGGAGACCTGGCAGACAAAGCATCAAAACACGAGGAAGTGCTCAGGGAAGAACAACAGAAGAGGAACTCTTCCAAAGGCACATATTACAAAACCTCATCTTCTTCAGTACATCTAGTTGAGGTAGAATCAGAAGAAGGTACAGAAAGCTTGAAAGAAAGGGAAGTTGCAGTGGTAGAAATGGAAAAATTAAACCATCCCATCAGTTGTAAGGCTTTAACAAAGCCACCAAAGCACCAAAAACCGCCACCATTTACAGGAGGGTTTGTTCCAAACAAACTAGCAAAGAACAAAATCTATTCCTTCGATTTAACCAAGGTTGATGCTCTATTTGATGAGATGCTGCTGCAAAAGGCAATAGAGACATCTCACAGGTTGCCCAAGCCAGAGGAACTCAGGGGCAAACAATATTGCAGATGACACAACTCTTGGAACCAACCCACCAATAGTTGTGTTGTTTTCAAGGACGTCATACAAGAAGGAATAACGGCAGGAAGGCTAAAACTGGTTGAGAAACCTCCCTCAGTAACAACGGATCCTTTTCCCTAACCTCAAGTGAACATGGTCGCAGAAGAGCCACAAGATAGGCGAATTAGAGGCTAAAGGCAACCATTTCAGCTGGGGTAGTTCTGTGCAGCAGGTGCAAATGCGAAAGTGAGTTAGAGGTAACTCTGGATAGGCAAAGTCAGCCCACACCTAGTGTTTTTCACAGGATTGGAACATCATACCAACAGGGCCCAGTTCCGGCTCCACCTAGAGGTAGAGCCAGACAAAAAGACTATCTAAGGCTTGCCCAATGCAACAGAAGAATAACAGAGCAGCCAAAGAAAGATATACTAGTTACGATACCCGGAAATGACAAGCCCTTGGCAACTATCATAGAAGGCATATGGCATTTTGTTGGAAAAAGCGGTAGATCAACTCTGGAACTAACCAGAACACAAAAGAGGAGAGTTGAAAGGCAATACTGCATTTTCCTCAAGAACAGGGATGACACACAAGTACTTTCAAAGACCAATTCTGCAGAAAAAGGGAAAAATCCAGAAGTAGATCCTCACGCAGAACAGACAACATCTCAACCAGAAGAGTTGACAAAGACAGAGTCTCCAACTAAACCTTCTATCCATCCTGCCCCATCCTCAGTCAATCAGATAAGACCTTCACAGTCGCAAGGTCAATCCGGACTTATTCCAATAGAAGGACAAGAAGATTGGACTGAAGAATATGAAGAGGAGTAGTTGGACTACGAACCATCTGCAGACGACCAGATTGGACTCCTCGAAACAGGTGAACAAGAAGACTGGACAGAAGAATATGGAGAAGAATAGATGGAGTATGAAGGAAAGCTAGATGAAGAAACTGAGGCTCTCGGTGCAGAATTAGAGAGCTTATTACAAGGTTATCTAGGCATTAACATGGTGTTTATCCTGCCAGAAAAGTTCAGGGCAACAGAAGGACAAGAAAGCATTTGGAAGGAGATGTGCTCTCCTGGGAAAGTTTTGAGTGCAGGTTGGCAAAAGTAAAGAAGGTGCCAAAACAGCAAACATCTATTGCCAAAGTAGGCAGAACTGCCATGAAATTAGCCACAGAACAACTATTCTTTTTCGAATCTACCAAAGAAATGGCCAATCATCTCAGACCTTTATTTATAACAGCAAACTTTGGAGTGTTCCTCTTCTACCTCACAGGTTGCTGATCAAGCAGGGCAGAACCAAGAAGGATCTAATTCCAACACACTTAACGGTCACCAACTTTGCTGGGGGCATCACTAAGACTCATGGAATACTAGATGTGGATGTCATAGTAGGAACCAAGAAGCTGAAAATTGCATTTTTCGTGGTAGACACCACTTTTACCACTTACAATGCACTGCTAGCAGAGATTGGATCCACCAGAGTCTGTGTGTTCTTTCCACTCTACACCAGCAGTTGGCCATCTGGCATGAAGACGGTTTTATGGAAATTGTGGAGGCCAACCCACAGTTATTTCTGCCATCTACATTATGTTTTGAGGTCCTTTCACTTTCTTCAGAGTTAACTAGAACCGCTGTCCTCATGGTGTCACAGCCCAGAAACTCATTGAGGAGGGTCTGTCTAGTTCTCTAGAGGACTGGAATAGACCCTACGTTCTCAACCTTCAAAGTACTGATGTTTAGCTCAAACCAACAAGAAAAGGATCGAATTGCAACAATCTGATCCATTACAAATAGATTGTTGGTATATTGAGAAGAAAAAAAGCTTTCTATGCATAATCCAGCCATTAACATGGCAGAATTTATGCATGAGAGTACAGAAGAACATGAAGGAAATTTGCAAGAGGAAGAATTGGAATTTGCACCGGCAGCACTGGATGATTCCTTGCCAGAAGTAGAGGATCCATTACAAGAAATAAACCTGGGAACAGAAGAAGATCCCAGACCTACTTTCATCAGTACCTTACTAGAAGAGCCAATAAAGAGTGAAATCATTTCACTTTACATGATTTCAAAGACTATTTTGCATGGCACTACCATGAAATTCCTGGACTGGATAAAGGATTGGTAGAGCACAAATTACCAATAAAAAAAGGTTACTTACCAGTTAAGCAAGCCAGAAGAAGGATGTCCACGGAGAGGCTAGTTAAAGCAGGTTTTATCAGGCCAGTCATTTATGCTGATTGGTTGTCCAATATTGTACCACTACTTAAGAGAAAACAGTGGCAGTCAGAATATGTGTGGACTACAGAAATCTGATCAAATACATGCTAACAAGGCCAATGTTGAGAGGGAGAATTGGTAAATGGACTCTGGCCCTATCAGAATTTGCCTTCAGATATGTTCCTCATAAGTCCATCAAAAGACAAGCTAATGCAGATTTCTTGGCAGATCATCAAGGAGAAGAAATTGAAGACATGGATTCTATAGACATAACCAATGTAGATCTATGACCAGAGCTCACACCTGCCTCAATAATCCCATTTATTCAGTCCATCTCACCCCTTGGAAGCTATACTTTGATGGATCTAAAACAAACTCATGTTTTGGAAGATCCACTAGGAATCAAACATTGTTATTCATTCCAGCTAGATTTCCAGTGCACCAATAACAAGGCAGAATACGAGGCTTTAATTATAAGACTAGAAATGCTGGTGGAACTAGGAATCCAATCTGTCGAAATTCTAGGAGATTCCATGCTTGTGCTAAAACCGATTGATGGAGAATACAGGTATTTGAGTCCCTCTCTAGCTGTCTATTTGGTAGTAGCCAGAAATCTCTTGGCAAGATTTAGGGAAGCCACTTCGGAACATATTTCAAGAGAAGAAAACTTTGCAGCTAATGAGATGGCCCAGATAGCAACAGGAGTATAGATGCCTGAAGACTGGAAAGAAAAGCCTACCATCTATCCTGACCAGAGGAATGGAAATAGATGTCAATGCTGCCATAATGACTAAAGAAGATTGGAGATTGTCTATAATCAATTATCTGCAGTATCCAACCATTCCCTTTGAAAAAAGGATTAGAATCATAGCCTTAAACTACCTCATGTGGAATGGAGATTTGGTTCGAAAGAGCAAAGATGAGTTACTTTTGAGGTGCTTAGGGAAAAAAGAGTACATGAAGGTCATGGGAGAAACCCATGAAGGAATCTGTGGAGCTCATCAAGATGAAAGGAAAATGTGCTGGTTAATTAGAAGATATGGCTACTTCTGGCCATCCATGATGAAAGGCTGCATTAAATATTCCAAAGGATGTGAAGCATGTCAAATGTATGTACCAATCCAGCAGTCTCCTTCAATTCCCATGAATCCAGTGGTCAAGCCATGGCCATTCAGAGGATGGGCAATGGATCTTATTGGCAAAATCTATCCAGCCAGTAGCAACAACACTGTTTCATCATTGTAGTTGCAGACTATTTCACCAAATGGGTGAAAGCCAAACCTGTTAAATCCACCACATCTCAAGAGATCATCACCTTCATAGAAGAACAGATTATACAAAGGTTTCGTATTCTAGAGTCAATCACAACTGACAGGGGATCTTTTTTCATATCTAGAGAAATGCTAGATATGGCAGAAGCATTCAAGTTCAAACTACTTCAATCCACTCCTTATTATGCTCAGGCTAATGAACAGGCAGAATCAAGTAACAAAGTGATCATCAACATTATCAGGAAAATGCTTGAGAAAAATCCAAAGCAATGGCATGGGAAATTATCAGAAACTCTCTGGGCATATAGAACTTCAAAGAGAAAGGCAATTGGCATGACCTCATATGCTCTAACTTATGGTCATGATGCAATTCTGCCTATGGAAATAGCAGTCCAATCTCTCAGAATTGCTCAGCAACACAATCTGATTGGAGAAGACTACTCTCAAGCAATGCTACTAGAACTAGAAGGTTTGGATGCCACCAGAATTGATACCCTCAACAAACTCTTAGTAGGGAAACAGGTTGTATCAAGGGTCTTCAACAAAAGAGTAAAAAACAAGACTTTTCAAGAAGAAGAAATAGTCTGGAAAGCAGTTCTGCCCCTTGGAACTCATGTGGATGGTTATGGAAATGGTCACCTACTGGGGAAGAACCTTTCACAATTCGAGAAATTCTCGAATTGGGGGCATACAGGTTACAAGATCGAGATGGAGATATTAATGTTGCGCCAATCAATGGTGAATAGCTAAAGAAATTCTATCCAACTATGAGAGATTCACAAGCAGTGCAAACAGATCCTGGAATTGAAAAAGAAAAGGATAGAACTGTTGTTTAAATTCTTGTTCAGAGTTGTGCTTTAAATTTACTTTAGTGTATTTCATTTTTTGCCTTTTTTCGTTTTATTTAGGCAAAAGAAATCGAAAATGCAAAAGTTCCACATAAATAAATAGCTTTTATTAAATATAGTTTTTTTTCGTAACTATGGTTTTATTACATTTGATTTTCAAAATTCGAAATCCTAATTTCCTAAGGGTTTCTTGCAAATGGGTCTTCTTGATGGAGAGTTCTTTTTAATCAGTACCCCCTGATGGATTAAAGCCTCTGGGCAGCATTGCACAAGAAAGGTAGCCTTGGTCTTGGAACTCAGTCTAGCCCCAAGCTTGTTCTGCACCTCCCTACATTTTGCCAATTGCTTTTGGAGTTTTTCAGTTTGCTTCTCCAGCTTGTCCACAGTGGCCTTGGCTTCTTTATAACCTGCAACCATCTGGTCCAGTTCTGCCTTCTGTTTTGCATAATCAGCCAAGTTGGCTTCATGAGTAGCCTTGCAAAACTCAGAGGTTTTGAAGGTAGGCTTGAGATCCTCATAGCGATCGTGAAGGCTGAGCACATTTCTGGCCAAGCCAAGGCTCATCTTAAGTATAGGCTTGGGAGCCATGTTCTGTCTATGTAGTAGGTCCAGGTCCTTCATCAATTGGTCAACAGCTTCTCTATTTTCATCAACTTCCAGCTCAGTGGACTGCCAGATCTTCACCCTCTCCATTGCCTTATCCACAACCTTGGACTTGGCCTTGCCAGGAGTGGAACTAAGCTTCTCAAGTTTGTCTAGCTAGGCATCCAAATCTATAGCTTCAAACTTTGCCAACTCTGGATCAGCAAAGGAGGCCGTGGTAGATGAACCTGGGAGAGAATGGGATGGGCATCTACAAAAGGAACTCAAGTTAGTTTCAAGCAGAGTCAGAATAAAAAAGGGAAAAGAAGGACTAAGGCATAGTAATACTTATAGCCACAATGGGTGGTTTGAGAGGGTTAGTAACCACAGCCAAAATCCTGGCAGTTCTATCCTCCTCCACCTAAAAAAATAGGATCCTCAAGGTTAGAAAGATAGAGATGGATAGGACAATAAGATAGAGATGGATAGGACAATGGAAACCGGACAGAATTAAGAAAGAATGGAAGCTACCTCAGGTGCTGGAGCAGCAGTAGAGTGTTCTGCCTCCACTTAATCAAAGAGAGCTAGTTCTGAAGTGGTAGGCTCTGTCTTTTGAACCTCTTGTTGTTTTTAGCCAGCTCAATGCTCTCTGCTATTACTTCAGTAGGAATTTCCTCCTGCAAAAAGATAGAACCCAAATCAGAAGGAATGCAATACAAAAACTATGCCAAAGGAGGAAGGGAATCCTTGCTATAAACTCACTTCTTCTTCTTCTCCTTCTTATGCCTTCTCTTTGTCCACTTTGGAAACCTCTTTCTCCTATCCTACGGCTTCAAAAGCCTCTTGCAGCTCTTCATCAGTTTCGGTGGTTTTAGTGGGAACTATTGCAGGCTTTTCTGCCCTTTCAGATTCACTAACAGCCCTCTTTCTCAGTCTCTTTCCTGGAGATTCAGGATGGAAAACACTGTCTTGAGCCTGAGTAGTCTCTTTTCTTTTGTTCTTTCTAGCAGGGGTTGCCTCAACAATTGGTTCTGCCAGAGTATCATGATCATCCTCCTCATCACTAAAAGGGAGCTCCAGGTCTCCAGCAGTAATGACATATGTGACTTCACAGAAAAGGAAGGGGTCAACAGACAAACCAACAAGAAATAAACAAGAGGGCAGAATTCATAAACTTACCAATCACCTCCCCATCTTGAACAGCTTGTCCTCCAAGGTTGTCTATCATGGAAGGATCTACAGAAAGCAGGCAGAAGAGGTTAGAACTACTAGGACAGGATGAGATAAATCACGAATAGAACAAAAGTATGAAGGCAGAATTGAAGACTTTACCTTCAATTACTTGAGCATTTATGCCTTTCACCAGCTGCACAATGAACTTCCTAGCATCTGATTCTCCCAAGACAGTGCCAGCATCCCAGGTATCAAACAACACCTTCACAACAATGCTTGCATCCGTTAGGCTAGAAAACCTAGCCTTCCACCAATCGTCAAAATAAGCAGAAATGTAGGAATTAGGCTCCCATGATGGATAGAGAGCATCCACACTTTTGTTAATCTTATTAACTGAACATTTGCAGTCCTTGTGCACGTCCAGGTCATCTGAATTCCTCTAGGAAGTAGCCCGATTGCAGCTTCTGTATGACTTAAGAGGAATTAGCTGAGGAATACCAAGTTGCCTGGCACAGAAATTGGGGTGATACACTTCTGCCCCAGATAATAGTTGGGGGGTTTGCCTCCACCAAATGGCATGTCCCTGGGCAGCATTACACTCAAAAACTTCTTCTGAAATCAATCTTGGCCTCCTATTCTTCTGGCCTTTTCTCAAATAGCCTGTACCCAGGTTGAAACCAAGGGTAGGTCCTCCTAAGCACTACTTGCCACTATGCAGCAGATCTCTTGATGAAGTGCCTAAAGAATATCAAGTATTCTTCAATAGAGGCGCTTGGGTACTTATGCTGACATTAGCGAATGAGCCACGACCTGGTCTTCAGGCAGAACGATGTCTGGGAACCTTAATTCTAGGAAGTAGACCTGCAGCCAGATCTGGATCATCCAAAATGCGCCAGGAGCAGAAAGTTTCAGGGGATTTTCCAAAGTAGTGGTGTGCAAATTCTTGTATAAATGGGCCAGAACTGTTGGACCAAGCCCCACATAGTATGATTGTGCAGAGCTTTTGCCAAATGCCTGTACTCGAGTAGAACTGCTGAGGAGTGGTTGGGAAAGATGAACCTGTTAAGCCAATATAGGAGGAACAACATGTGCTGCTGAAACTCTATCTTTCTCTGTGCTGAACTTTTTCAAATAATTTGAGAACGAGCAGTTCTAATTGATTGTGGCAAGAGAGATGGTGAATGGCTTGGCCAACTTTTCTTGATTCTTCCTCCCGTGGTAATCTCCAACCGAAGGTTGGAATCATAGGACCTAGGCGGAAGTCGAAAGTGTTGCTGGCAGAATTCTAGAAATATAAAGCAGCAACCAGAAGATTGTCATCTCTTTTGATGGATTGCTTGGACAAAAGGATTGCATTGTAAATACCAGCCCTCTTCTAGTGAGCTCCATGCCTTGGGAGAAGCCTATCAATCCAGTCTGACCATTCATTGCGTTGTTCCTCACTTCACTTGAATGAAACAAGCGACTCAGGTTCTTGTGACCCAAGTGTGAGAAGCCAGAGGAGTAGAACTCTGAAAGTAGAGAGGAGGTTCAGCGTCACCCTTGAACAATTCTGCCATTTCAGCAGGACATGGCCAAACCAGTGAGGGCCTAGAACAAGTGTGTTCTTGAATAGATGATGGACGTTCTCTTCCAGGTTCTTTGGGGAAAAATGATAGAGCTTGCTTCGAACCTCTATTGCATGGTCATCAACTCCATCTCCAGTAAGATATGCAAGAGATCGTGAAGAGGAAGAGCCCTTGGCACGAGTGTTTGGAGAAGAAATTCTCGAAATCAAAATGAATAGGGAGGAATTGAAGACACGAGCCAAAGAAAAGGGAGAATTCTGGAGAGATTGAAGGCTGAAACAAGCCAGGTTTTGATGAACAGTAATGGAGTTTAGCAATTTTTATAACTGAGCAAGAAGATCGTGGGGAGAGTGGGAAGAAAGGAGTTTTGCTCAGATTTAATTAGCCATTAGAACCCATTTCCCCATGAACCCTAATTGAATAAGTAGACGTGCGCTAGTGCAAAGGCGAGAAATGGCGCGCATCATTGATTGGCCAATCATTAAGTCTGAAACCGTTTTAAAACGATTCAGACTTAAGGGAGCATTGTTTGGGCCTAAATTGGCACGCCCAATCCAGAATTAAAAAGCCCATTTTCGGCAGCCACCAAAAGTTACCTTATGCTTGGGCCAAAAATCTGCACGCTAACACACTCTTACAAAGAAAGGCCCACAAAACTGAAAAGAATAGAAGACTGGGCTTTGATTCCGAAGAAAAGCCCAAACCATGTTAGAGGCCCATGTCTTTTACGAAGTGGCAGAATTGAAAAAAAACACGAAGCAAGTCAATAAAATTGCCAATTAAAAATGGCAAATTGACCACCAAGCAGATCGATAAAACTCTAAAGAAGAAATCGATTAGGCCCAGATTCTAAATTCTCACCATTACTCTCAAAAAGCCCAGAAACAAGTCAACACATTCTTCTTGTAAAGTCTATTCTTAGAAAACCCACGTGATTACCTGACTTTGAAAAGTCGACAATTTCAACTATCACAAGAGAGTTGATAGGGAGTTAATGAAGGCAGGTCTTAAAACCGGAATATATCTCCAGTCTTTTCAGTCAAAAGAAGATCAAAATCCTTTCTATATAAATTCTGCATCAGGACAGGCATCATTTCCAAGGGATAAGCAGACTACATTTTCTAAAGAGATAAGGGTGCAGGGAGTTGTTCATCTGAAAAAATCAAACTAACCATCAAGGCAGATTGAACCATCAAGGCAGATTGAACTAACCATAAAGAACTGACTGTTGATGGTTTGTTTGCCAGAATAGATAAAAATCCCCTTTTCTTTGACATTTAAAATAAAAGATCTTGTTTTTAGAAAATCCGCCGCCCATTATTAAAAGATTAGAAATCTCACTCCAGCATTTTCTATAAATATGAGAGAAGGTGAACAAATCAAAGAACAGCTAAAAAATCAATAACAAAAACACACTCAAAATGATCAATTGATCTCAAAAGCCTTCAAAACATTGAAGCAACCAAAAGCTCATTGAGCCACAAGAAGAAGTCAGCTATAATTCAGGATTTCTAACTTTAGTTCTGTCTCAGAGAAATAGTCATTCAAAGCGAGATTTCTCTCTTACAAATTTGGTTCAGCATAAGCCAAACAAGCAGAGTTCGGGTTTCACAAATATGAAAACCTCAACAAATTTATGGAGAGCCCTGATCAAGTAGAACATGTACTACAGTGCAATTCTAGCTCAATAATCATCAAATCCAGCCACTTCTGCCCCTTCCAGACTGAAGAGGTTCCAATTCTGCCCATTCAAAAGCCTTCCAAGGCTTGAAATAGATTAAAGCTCTACCAAACTCAAATGTTGGTATCGATTTACAGCTGAAACTTGACAATTGAAGGTGTTGATAATTCAATCCAGCATAGACATACCTGGTCCAGCCCAGATTAGAAGCATTTGTCCACACATAAATTGAAGTCTAACACTCTTTTTCCCTTTTTTAAGAGTTGGTCTTTCCCTTTTGAGCTTTGTAAAAGGCAGTTCTGCCTGAAAATAGTTCACTTTCTTATCATTTATTCTGGCAAGAACTACCAGTTTTGTACTGAGGCAGAAATGAACTTACTTGGGAGATATTCCTCACCCAAATTCACAATCGCTGTTTAGAAATCAATAACTTGGGGCGCAAGTTATCCATTTTTAAAGAAGTCTGCTAAGGTTTTATTGCTAGCAGTGACGCACTCATACACAAAGGAAGTTGACTTGTTAACCACAAATGATTTTCAAGACAATGGGGAACTTTACCCTACCATCACAGGAACGAATATAAAACGGGTGAACAATAGGAACATGATGGTTTGAGAAAAAAGCCAAACTAGGGTTGTAGGTAAATATGTGGGGTGCAGTGAGCAATTTTAATTTAATTTTAATTTTTTTTGTCCTAAATGGTAATATGTACAGTGGTAAAATGGTTATTCATGTTTAAAATAGTATGAGATGCAAAGAGTAAATAATGGGGTGCCAATAAAATCTCCCTTTTAATTTACTTGAGCAGGCAAAAAGCAGTTACCAATTTCTTAAATTGAATTGATACCAAAGTAAGGTTGTTCTATTTAAATCCCCATGTCGATTTTCAAACTTTGTTCACCCTTAGTGCCCGTTTGGCATTGCTTATTTGGGGTGATAAGTGATTTTTAAAAAATTTTGAGAAGCCCAGCTCATTTGGTAAACTATGAGAAAATCTTATTTTTTTAATTGTTGTGAGAGAAAGCTATAAGGGAAAGCAGCTAATGTGTTGGAAATTAAGAACATTATTAAATTGTTATTTAGTTTCCTTTTATTAGTTGATTGTAATTGATTTGGAGTAGTCCCCAAGTAACCTAGTTTCCTAGTTAAGCTTGTAATATCTCCATAAATACTTAGCCTTTTGGCTCTATCAATAACAACCGAGAATTATTCTTCTTAACAAAATCACTAATTTCACATGGTATCAGAGCACCGATTCTAGGGCGTCTCTTGAAACTTTTTACAAACCTTATTTTCTTCACAATCCGATGTTTCACAACCCTAGTTGCTAATCTTTGAAATCCTCTGCCAAATTGAGAGTCGTTGGCACTTTTTCATCCCTCACCCGTAATGGGTATTCATCTTGTACAGTCGTCTTGTTCACCCTCTCCTCAATAATCAATATTTATTCCCGCTACCAAAGCCATACCATCCCACAGTTCCTACATCTAACTAAACCAACAGTCGCACCCTTCTTTGGCGCTGCAATTTCCTTATGTTTTTCATACAAGTATTGCTCTCTATACAAATCATATTGAGCCATCTCTAGTCATGCTCTCTGTTGCAATCAGATATTGAGCCCATGTTTTCATGTCTACTACGATTGCCACAACCACGCCACCTTCAGCCTTCATCGAGCCTACCCATCATTTTTTTAAGTCGTCTACGCTTGCTGCAGACACGCCGTCTTCATTGCGATTCCTTCATGAGCCTCGTCACTGTCACTGAGCCGTTTATTTCCTCCGTGAGCCTCGTCAACGCTCACCGAGCCATCATGTCTTTGGACAAACCCACGACATCACCAACAAACGCAGGAGGCTCTACACTAGCACCACTGCTGTTGACCAGCCACTGTGTTCATTGATTCTTTGCCCCTGCCTAGAAACCATCGAGCGCTCGTATCCAAGCCATCTATCGTAATCTTCCTGAGAGCACCTTTGCACAACTGCTGGTCCTTTTTCTCTGTGTTGCCATTGCTTCTTTGCACCACGACAACCCAACATGAGGGTTCACTTTCTCTCCTTTGTTGATATATCAGTTTCTCTTTGAGGTTTCACATCAAACCCAATTTTTTGTGTTCTTTCTCTAGCTAATTTGTTTTCTTGGCCAAGTTTGATATTTTCTTTCTGTCTCCACATCACTCAATTCTTCTTCTTCTTTTTTGGCTAACTTTTCGATGGGTCATATCCTTTTTTCGGTGGGTCATTTTCAAACCGAAAAAAAAGAGTATTTTTTTTCACTTTCACGCCATCTTCTTGGCGTTGCTCCTTTTCTTTTTTTAATCTCTCTTTCATCATTATTTTCATTTTCTCTTCTCTTTTTCCAAATCTCAACCCTCTACAAGCTTCGGATTTGAGGGGCAAATATGGGAGATAGACACATTGTCACACATCAGCTGCACACAGGTAGCTGCACACCATCATCAATAGCTTCCGCACAATTGCACCAGCAACATCATCAATCAGTTCCACCAGCAACACCATCATTCAGCTGCCCCAGCAGCATCATTATCAGCCTCAAGAAAAGGCATCATCAACAACATTTGTTGCACATTAGCAACAAAATCACCGTCGTTGCACATCAGCAACATCAACAACAGCCTCCATACATGCAAAATGCGTTGAACATCAGCACAACTTTATTTGGGTTCTGCTTCCTTCAACTCACGACTCTCATACATCGTCGGATTTGAGAGGAGCAACAACCCCTTTACAGCAGCACACCGCTGCTCCAGTTGCCTCCCAGATTTGCCTTCATTACAACAGTGACGCAGCTGAGAGGCAGCTGCCCCCTTTACAGCAGTGACACCACTGCCTCTTTATTAGCAACCTTTGGGAGTAACACCTTTCACAATCTCTTGTGCAAGTTGGACGTTCTTGATATCCACCCTCCAACTTGAGGGGGAGTGTTGGAAATTAGGACGTTATTAAATTGTTATTTAGTTTCCTTTTATTAGTTGATTGTAATTGATTTGGAGTAGTCCCCAAGTAACCTAGTTTCTAGTTAAGCTTGTAATATCTCCATAAATACTTAGCCTTTTGGCTCTATCAATAACAACCGAGAATTATTCTTCTTACAAAATCACTAATTCACATAATGAGGTGTTTTCATTTCTGATTATGCGGGAATCAGTTTCGAAGAGACGCTAGATTTAATGATTATGCGGGAATCATTTTCTGATTATGCGAGAATCAGTACCAACACTCTTAACAAAAAGTTACCAAACGCCAAACTGCTTCTCTCACAGCAAATCTAACAGCGATTATTTTTCATAGCAGCCTGGAACTTCAATGGCTCTAGACAAGACTACATTCGAAACCATAAACCACTCGTTTCATCACCATCACTTTCCCCAACCCCTCCAAACTCAACCACCCTCATCTGCGTCGCTGTCCATGACACACCTTTTCAACTCACCGGCTTGAGTCGTCACCATGCTCGTCCCCAAACAACAGGAGTCCGACTGGATCTTCTCCACTGAGTCCGGTCACCTCTAGCTCCTGCTCAGCTCTCCCGGGATCTCCCGCCTAATCCTCACTGGCAACCAGCCCATTAACGGTCACGGTTCACCAGCAATTTACAAACGTCCGGCTAGAAACGACTCGTCGGGTGAGTTTGAAACCTCTTTTCCTTGCTTTATTTCCTAAGTCTTGATTCAAAACATGGCACTCTGAGATACCCATTTTGAGTTATGAGGATAATGTGATTTGTAGTGTGGTTTTGGAGAGGTGTGTTGGGTCTTTGGTTGGTGAAATGGTGGTGGAAGATGTGGAGATTGAGAGTGGTCGTGAGGCTTCAAAGAGGGAGTTCAGGAGGCGTGTGAGGGTTAAAAGAATGCGCAATTTGGTTTCTAACGGAGGTACGTATTGTCCCCAACACGGGTTATGGCTTGGATTATGTGGAAATCGGAGAAGTAGAGTTTAGGCTGGATAATAGTATTTTAGTGCACCCTTATTTGGTTCCTATCTGGCAAGTCTTCAGTTGATTCCTTCTTATATTGAGGACGGATTCGAAGTAGGTTTAGGCCGAAAGCTTTGTGTTTAGGAGTTGGAGGTGGAGCTTTGCTTGGATTTTAAAAAGCCAACTGAGATTTCAGGTTGTGGGTGTGGAGGCGGACAGGAAGTTTTAAGAGTTGCTACGAAGTATTTTGGACTGGAAGATGGTGGTGAACATATCAATGTTTGCGTTGGAGATGCAATAAAAGTTATTGAGAAACTTGCGGGTAGAGGTAAGGACAAAGTTGGGGTTCTTTTGGTGCTCATGAGATAGAAGGTGGTTGTGGGATGGGTGATGGCAATGACATTGATAATAAATTTGATGTAGTGCTAGTTGATTAGATTCAAGTGATGCTGGAGATGGTATAATGGCTCTGCCATTTGAGTTTGTTAGGAAGCATGTCCTTTTGGCTGCCAGATCAGTTCTTTGTGATAATGGGATCCTCGTATAAATGTTATCCTCCAAATAGATCATTTTACACAACATTGATACAGGAGTTCAGAGAGTTTTCCACGAGTTATATGAAATCGATGTTAGAAATGGGGAAAAATTATTCTTATTGCTCTTGTGTCCCCTGTTACATCTTCTACTAGTGATTGTGAGAAGTGCTTCCTTAATAAACTAATAGTTTGTACAAATTTCCTCACGAGAATATTCGTCTAAGATTCCTTCGTCTTCTCCACTTCTCTTTCTCCCTGCAAAACAGATCGGGGTAAAAGGACCACACCCGGGGGGTGTTGGCCAAAGGCCCTCCGATGCCTAAGTTAGGTAGGGTATGTCAAGGAAAACCGGGTGGCCGGAGCCGTGTATGGTGGCCGAAGCCTAGTGTCAGAAAGAGAAAGAAAGTGGTGGCTAGGGTTTGTGAGAAATAATTTCTGCAGAGTTTCAGTAGGAATTTAGACGTACCTTGACCTTTGTGCGTAGCCAAGTATTTATAATGGTCTCGGAGATTAGGGTTTCAGAGGAATAATTCCGTAGTTGGTAAGGAATTATTCCTCCCTGATTTGGCATTGATTTGATTAATTAGGGATTTGATTTATTTGGGTAAATCAAATCCCTAATCGTGGTAGGTATCAGATCAAATCCTAATTTAATTAGGTAACTCCTCATTTAATTGGGAATTGGGGTAGGAATCAAATCAATTCCCAACTTAATTAGGTAATTCTCAATTTAATTGGGTAACTCCCAATTAAATTGAGTAACTCCCAATTAGGTTGAGTAATTCCCAAATAGGTCAAATAATCCCCAAATGGAAGGAATTATTTGACCTAGGGTATGATTTAATTCGGTTCCCACAAATGCCCCCCAGCTTCTGCATGGCACGTGGTGGCATGTAGGAGATGTGAATTGTTTGTTGGGCTGTCCAGCTGTAACTGGGCTTCCTCCTTGGATTTGGGCTCCTGAATGGAGGAGGCTTTTGACTTGCCAACTGGTCTTTGACTTGGGTTGTCCAGCTATAACTGGGCTGGAGGCAAGCTGGCCTGCTGCTGGAGCAGGTGGCAGTTTGGGTCGGCTTATTTGTGGTTGATCCAAACTGCTTCAATTCCTTCTTCTTTTTGTGTCACGAACTAGGAACAGTATGAGTCAAGGCGATCACGTGTGGAGCACGGACATGTTGGAAGTCAGCGGCAGACGGGTAGGGGAGGTTGGCGACGGTCCGCTCATTCCTCTCACCTACTGTGATGGTAAGTTGCATCCCTATGATCTGCTACAGTTGCCATGGAATTCTTGCTGTGTGTGTTGACGACTTCTGTCTCATGCTTGTAGAAAATGACATCCACAAGAAGCTCGTCTCTGCCGGACACGACAAGGTTCATCAAGCTTTGAACATCCTGCCAAGTTCGTGGAATGGCGCTGGTGTTGAGTGAACATCGGAAGGAGGCTGGTGGCTGCCCCCAGCCGAAGATGTTGAAAGATGGAAGTTGCAATGCCTGAAGCTAAGTGACTTGCCAGTTGAGCAGGATGAGTCATCGACCGAGTCCCCCGAGGATAGAAAGGCGCGCAGTGGACCTGCCCGTGACGGAGCTGCAGTTTCTCGATCAATGGATACGTCTCTGCAGCGGGGGTAGCCGAGATCTTCTCTTGCCGCGAACAAGTCTTCCTCATAGTAGGCCTCGTCTGCCGGGATCAAACGCCTCGTCAGCGGCGAACAGCAGGAAGGCCAACGGCATGCAGGAAGTTCGGGATATGTTGTTCAAGTCGCCAACCGTATTGCCCAAAACTTGTGATCTGCCTTGTAAGGAGGCCGTTGAGAAGCAAGGTTCGGGGCGTCTCGCCGGTCTGGGGACCAAACTGAGAGGACTGTACAGATCATCCTTGGGTGTTTCGCCATGTATTCTCCTGAGGCTTGACTTGTGATCAGCTGGGAATCTGAGTAGATGGCCAGCTTTTTGATTGATAGCTCCTTTGCCAAGTGCAAGCCAGCGAGCAACGCCTCGTACTCTGCCTGTTGTTTGAAGCCGGGAAGCCAAGCGTGATAGCTTGCTCTAACAGGGTTCCATCTGGGGTGATGATGATGACGCCTGCTCCAGCTCCTTTCTGGTTCGACGCTCCGTCTACGCGCAACTGCCACCATGTCTCTGGGTTGGTCAGGTTTAGTAGAGGTCTGTCTGCTCTCGAACTTTCCTTCTTTTTGCTGACCAGCTTCTCTTCTTCGGCTGATGGTGTGAATTCTGCAACAAAGTCTGCTAAGGCTTGAGCTTTTATTGCAGTCTTCGGCCGGTAGAGGAGGTCGTATTGGCTTAGCTCTATAGCCCACTTCATGAGTCGCTGAGAAGCATCAGGGCTGTGGAGGATTGATCTCAAAGGAAAGTCGGTCATGACGATGACTCGGTGAGCTTGGTAATAAGGTCGCAGCTTTCTCGCAGAAACCACAAGGGCCAAAATGAGCTTCTCCAATTTGGGTAGCGAGTCTCTGCATCGAGGAGAGCTTTTGACGTGTAGAATATCGGATGTTGGGCCCCAAGTTCTTCTCGGATGAGAGCTGAGCTGACGGCCGAGTTGGACACTGCCAGGTACACGAACAAGTCTTCACCAGGAACTGGCTTTGAGAGCAAGGGGAGGTGAAGTAAGGTAGGTCTTTAGATTCTGGAAAGCTACTTCGCACTCTTCGTCCCATTTGTCTTTTTGTCCTTTCTTCAAAGCTTTGAAGAATGGTCTGCACTTGTCGGTAGACTTTGAGAGGAATCTGTTAAGGGCCGCTGCTCTGCCCGTCAGGCTTTGTATCTCCTTCACTTTGGAAGGCGACTTCATCTCGAGAATGGCTTTGATTTGGCGTGGTGTGCCTCGATGCGTCACTAAGTACCCTAGGAACCGGCCAGACGATACACGAACGTGCATTTACTTAGATTCAGCTTCATGCGATATTGGCGGAGTAGGCTGAACGCCTCGGTGAGGTTTTTGAGGTTGATGAGTCGATTTTATATTATATATTAACCTCATTCTTAGTATATTTTGGTTAATATTTTGGAAGAATTTTGATACTTTGAATTATATTTCCAATATAGGACTTTCGACTCCTCTGGAGCAAAACATAATCAAAGGACGAATTTTGGAGTAATTCCAGTTGGAGGACGTTCGTGAGCCACTTAGCTTGATCGTATCAAAATTCAGACTTTTCCACCAAGCGATGATTTCCTGGTGAATAAATGAAGGAGCAGTGCACTGTGCTGGAATAGTGACGTTTTGGGATTTTATTGCGTTTTTGGAGCCCAAGATGACCTCGGATGGGTTCGTGGCCTTCTGGAGAAGTGTTCGGAATATTTTTATCTTTAAAACAAGCTATCTTGGGCCAGATTTGGAGGAGATTTGAGACCAAAACGTGGCTGGGCAGATTATGGGCAGATTCTCCTAATCCAATTTGGACTTTATTTCCTAGTCTTATTTTATTTTAACTTAGTTTCCTTGTGGGGATTGGGTAGCTAGGTTTTAGGAGGTATTTAAACTCCTTTTCACAGCAATTTAGGGACTCCTTTTTACTTCTTTTTGGCTTTTGGAGCAATTGTTAGGGTTTTGGATTTTCGCGACTTTCAGGTGTTTTCATTCTTATCTTCTTAATGATATTTTCTTGGATTTCAATTGTGAACATGCGTAACTAACTCTCTTTTGCTAGGGTGAGGCCACGAGCCTTAGCAAGAATATGTAGTTTCTGTCAATTTGCTTATGATTTATATGCATGCAGGTTTTCGAATTATTCATCACTGGGTTAAACTATCTAAGTGTCTTGATGCTTGATCACCATTAGGATGTTTAGAAAAGTAATTTGATGCATTTTGGTCGGAGGTCGGTCCCTGAAATTGACGAAGGCTTCTTGTGATTAATATGTGCAAGTTCACTTAGGATGAATACCACGTCTTAAGGGTTGCATGGTTTTTCAAAAGTTTCACAGAACTTAATGAGTCATGTATGTTTAGATTTGATCGAATACCACAGATGATTGCATGTGGGATATACGCTCTATGTTGGGGGTCCAAGTAGGCATATATTAGGAATACCTAACCTTCGAAATATGCATGTCTAGGTCATAAGTAATTGAGGGAACTATATAGAATTGTTAAGGTGACGGCGGATCCCTAGTGCTTTCTTAATTTGATTTCTAAAAAAACAAGGTTCTCTTGCTCGCTTTAATTTTGCGTATTGCGTATTTTATTGTTAAATTCTTTAATTTAAGGTTTCAAATCAAACATCTCAACTTTCTCTTTTGAAATAAGTTAATTATTTTGGTTTCTACGAGTTATTAAAATCCCGGCGGACACGACTTGCGAGAATCATTTATATACACATAACCTGTAATTCTGCAAGTTTGGTAGGAGTTTTAAACCTGTTTGAACAAGTACTAAAAAGCCTAATCAAGAAATTGGCGACGTGTGACAGGGATATTTAAAATAATTGTTATAATCAGATTCTGCATTAATTATTTGCTGTATAATAAATACACAAAAAAAAAAAAAAAAAAAAGAAATAATTTTCCGCTTTTTATTTATTTTTGAAGATAACAGAGATTAGGGGGGGGTGGGGTTTTTTTTTTTTTTTTTTATTTTTTTTCTTTTCTTGTTGGGGGGGGGGGGGGGGGGGGGTTTTTTTTTTATTGGACAGGGCACAGACCATATGGGCCAATGGTCATTCCACAGTCAGCAATTGTTCCGTTTGATCCAGAACCTAAGCAATCGTAAGGGAGGAAGAAGAGGGAGCAAAATGTAGGTGGTTCCTTCAGTTCTTTATATTCTGAGGACCTGAATAGTACAGAAAACAATGGCTTTTGTTATTCCAAGAGGCTGGTGATCCTTTGGGTAATTCTTTAAACCTCATGCCACTAACATACCAGGTTGCATTACCATCCAGCAGTGGAAGAAGGGTCTACCTTCGAAATCAAGCATCCCATGTTGAGATTCTACCTAACATTTCATGGGTTATCAACCGATGATCCTAACATGAACATTGCAGAATTTTAATGGGATGCAAGAATATTTTGGTGAAAGGGATTCTCAGCGGAATCTATTAAGCTTGGTCTATTTCCTTACACATTGAAAGATCAAGTAAGGAGATGGCTCCTCACCCCCCCACTCCATCTGGAAGCATTAGCACTTGGAACCAATCAGTGAAAATTCTTAAACAGATTATCCAGATTAAAAGACTCTCGACATGAGAAACTCAACTTGTATCTTTTGCCCAAAACCAAAATGAGAGTTTCATGATGGCGTGGGCGAACGGTTTAAGAGTTGAAAGAAAATTCCACAGTATGGTCCTAGCAGTACGGAGAAGTGATATATTTTTCAGAGGGTAAAATGACACCAAAAACTCTTGTCAAGCGTTCGGGAGGATCATACAAGGATAAAATGCCCACGAGGTTGTTATATTGGAAAAAATTGGCAGCAGATTAAACAGCAATGGGCAGTGAGCAGCCACAATCAAGGCTGGTTTTGAGATATTAATGGTTCAATATATGGCGGCCAAATTGAAAAAATGGGAGGGAGGAAAAAGCTTGAAAGATTTGATGCAAAATTGGAATGGTTATACAAAGACTTCCAGGTTCGCAAAGGTTGTGGACAGCAATTTACCAGCTGACTGTAGCATTTGCAAATGGACAACAATGATTCTTTACGCTGTTCGCATAAAAAGACGATTATCCGGACTTGCAGCGGAACAGTAATGCATGTAATAATTTCAGGTCCACGAAGCCGAGTTTTAAAAAAAAAAAAAAAAAAAAAAAAAAAAAAAAAAAAAAAAAAAAAAAAAAAAAAAAAAAAAAAAAAAAAAAAAAAAAAAAAAAAAAAAAAAAAAAAAAAAAAAAAAAAAAAAAAAAAAAAAAAAAAAAAAAAAAAAAAAAAAAAAAAAAAAAAAAAAAAAAAAAAAAAAAAAAAAAAAAAAAAAAAAAAAAAAAAAAAAAAAAAAAAAAAAAAAAAAAAAAAAAAAAAAAAAAAAAAAAAAAAAAAAAAAAAAAAAAAAAAAAAAAAAAAAAAAAAAAAAAAAAAAAAAAAAAAAAAAAAAAAAAAAAAAAAAAAAAAAAAAAAAAAAAAAAAAAAAAAAAAAAAAAAAAAAAAAAAAAAAAAAAAAAAAAAAAAAAAAAAAAAAAAAGGAACGGCAGGGCAACGGCACCCAGTTATCATTTATCACCATTGTTAGAAAAAGGACATGAGGGGGATGTTGTAATTGCTTTTTTTCCTTAACCTATTTTTCTATAAATTTTGTTAAGGTACAGGGGTTGTGTATCCTGAATGGTTTTTAATCGTCAGAAGCTCTTTCTAATACATAATACATAAATCCGAGAAACACAATAATCCCAGCGACTTTTTATTGCAACTAGTATTAGCGAAATCTAATGAAGGTTGCCACCACAATTATAAAAGTACTAACGTTACTACGATGTGCGGTGACCTCTTACATTTATAATTAGATTAGTGATAATGATGGGATGAGGCAGGGTTGCGTGTCCGCCGTCCTTGCTTGCAGGATCTGCTTGTGTCATTCTCAACGATCCTCTACCTACCGACCCTACAACCCAACACACACACACCAGTTGCTATGCGCGCTTATCTGGAAGTCGAGAAAACCAAACGACCCTTGCCCCACCAAAAATACACGCGTTCTCACTTCACAATGATATCAGCCGTTATAAATTAACGCCGTCCTCAGCCGTCGAGTAGGTGCTTTGGTTGGACAAGCTAACTGGCTCACAGGAAGCGTTTCCCACTTCATCCTCGTTTTCAATTGTTATTAATTGATTCTTACAACTCATAATACAATATCTGTTTCACTCAAAATACAAGTTTCCTAGAGGTGCAATCCTTGACCCTTCAAGATAGCGTTGCGTATGGCCCATTTTGCATCACGTCTGTGATTGGATTTCATAACCAGGAACGATGGACCGCCACCCCCTTAGAGATTTACGCTTTGTCTTTCTTTTCTCATGAAGGGCTTTGTCCCGCCCGACGTGGCTAAAGGATAGAATCAACTGCAGTGCAACAAGACTCATGTCATCATATTCCCTAAATTCGACCAAATAAGTTTTAAAAATTATCAAGACCCCAGCTCGCGAGTGTTGATGTCAAATTCTTCTTGGATTTTCCAATCATATGAAAATAGAACAAATAAGATCGTCACTAAAGGATTTGATATGGCTCTTCAATTCTTAAGTTCATGTTTAAAGTTATATATATTTAATTTGCCTTTTAATGACTGGTAAGTAGTCCATTTACTATTCAATCACCTCATTTTCATTCATTCTTTGATACACTTCCAAATCAATGGGTACCTATCCTCTTATGTCGCGCAAGTAAGAGCTCTCTAAAGAATTTCCAATATCTCCTTGGCTTTCCAAGCATCTCTAAGGGATTTGATATGGCTCTTCGATTCTATAATTTTATGGTTTTAGGCACAATTTAGAAGTACGCCTGTGTTATAATCAATATGTACAGAACAAAATATCTTACCCACTCCATTCTGTGTTCTTCACATTTTACATAAATTACGTTCACCCAAATTGGTAGGGTGGTCATGATAACAAAATTACACAAATATCACTAAACTCAAGTATCGGTTCCCCTATCTACATAATGACCTTTGAGATTCCCAACGAACCGCTTTCAAGCTCAAGCTTCTTCTCGGGCACATATTCTTCCACAATCTATATAATCTTCCTCGTCTGTTCACAAATCAATATCTGCCCGATGTGCGTGTGATTCAAAAATAGATAAAAAAAAACTTTTTAATGCCAGCAATAAACTTTATGTTTGGAACATCATTAGTCCTAATTCTAACGCCAAAATTGATCACATTGAGGCGCATAATTAACTTCTAAGAAAAACTCGGTCTTTATACTCTCATTGACGAGTATGTTTAGGTTGGTTCACAGTATCAAAACCCTAAATCTTCTTTTTTTACGAAGATTTACCTAACTATAACATTGATGCATAAGAGTATAAGAGGGATATGGTCGACTTGAACAAAAATGAATGTTTAAAATAGTACATGAGTACTTCACCCAAAAAAAAAACATGATAAAAACCTTCAAATTTTATTAACTTGTACTAAACTGTTTTGGAAACCCGTTGGGCGGCAGCAACCAACCAAAAACGGGCTCCACCTTTTGCACGATGTTTTGTGGCAACGTGCGCTAGTCCGTGTCGGGTCCTGAGTCCTGACGAATCCAGTCAAAGTCAATGTACAACGCTAGTTGACCGGTGTTACAACAATCAGGCGATCAACGGCTTAAAACCGTTGTGCCGCTCCAAAACAATCAAAGTCCGTACAGTACAAACCAGTGCTGGTCGGTCCCCCCGAACCTAGGTCTTAACTCCACCACAGAGTCTCCAGTGTTCCGTCTCTATAAACCGCCCTACCCCCCCCCCCTCTCCCTCTCACGCGTATTTTTCGCCATCGGTCAATCTCTTCACCTCAAATTTCGCCTCAGATATTTTCTTCTTCCTTCGCTCAAAGCTTCGCAGAGGTAATGAAACAAGTTCTCCGGTGTTCTTCTTGATAAATTTTATCGCTTGCTTTTTTTGTTAATTATGTATCTCTGGTTTACGAACATCTTTTACTTCCGTTTTGGTTGCTGAGAAAACGAAAAATGGAATCTTGAACGATAGAAAACTAGGTTTGGGTGCGGAATGAAATTAAGGCCAGAAGGTTCAATGATTATGTAAACGATGCTGTTGAGTGTGATTTAGCTTATTTTGGGTTGGGTTTGTCTCTACCTTGTCTGATTGGGTAGATCTGGTTGTTCAGAAAGCACAAAATTGGTGCAGGAAATTGAAGATTTGAAATCGGATTTTTAATTTATTTTGATCTATGGCTTTTGATGACTATGATCTTTGAAGAACTTTTTTTCGTATTTAATTTTGAAGATTATTATTTTTATTTATTTGTTTAATTTTTTGTATTTGATGAGCTTTTTCGGTTATGTAATTATCCATTTCATATAGAAATGGTTAGATTCTGGGTCAGTGTGTCTAGATTTAAAAACTTTGGTGGGAAATTTTATTAGTTTAATATAAAATCAACAATTCTAATATTTTTCAAAGGACACCTTAATGTTGAAGCCTCAGTCGCAAGGCTGATCTGGATTTAAACCATGGGTGGTTGAGATTTTTAAATAATTTTGCAAAAAAGTGCATTGCTTAGAAAGGGGTGGATCTTAAATTGCATTTGCTGTCTTCAATTTGACATATCTTGTATTTAAATGGAACTGCGAAGCGTAAGAGAAATTTAGTATCTCATTTACTGCATTTTTCCTTTTGCAGTTAATTGCCTGTAGCCAAAGATGGCAATGGTTCAGGAGGATCAACATTGAACCCCAATTCCCCTCTCTTTATCCCTGCTGCTCTTAAGCAGTGGAGGATTTTCTCCCCTGATGGTGGCAACTGGTTACCACTCCACATGGTACCACGACTACTGGCTCAGTCAAAGGGCGAGGATGGCTTCTATGATAATGCCCAGGGTGATGTTGACAATGTCGCAATTTGCTTCCAGAGACCTTTGATCTCGAGTGCTGGCGAGGGACTTCCCATTTTTTTAGAAGCTCCTTTTGAGGAGTTCCTTCATTGTCCTCAGACTGAAAGTAAAAATGGTATGAACAACTACTCCAAGAGAATGTATATTATTGCAATTGGGATTTAAAAATTTGATGGCAGTTTCCGAAATGCTGGTAGGACCTGTTGGGACGCAAATTTTCTTTTGGAACAACAGGTTGGGAAACACATTACTGCGGTCCTTGATAATTTGAAGTCACTGGACAGACCCACGTTCCCAGTGGGCAAAGGAGGTATGCTGAGACCCTGCCAAACCGTGAGCCGAAAGCAGCCCCCGCTTCATCCAGCAGCCCCGTTGAAAGCAGCCTAGCTTGTATGACTTCGTCCTTGGTTGTATTTAGCCAAGGGCAAAACCTAAGTATTTTGTAGTTTTTCGCCGCTGAATTTCTGTATAGATCAAAGTGGAAACACTTTCTTCCATCCTTGTTCTTCCGACTCTTCGTGTATTACCAAAAATACCCTTGGGTACGAAAACTTTTAAAAAAAAAAAAGGGTTAACGGCAGAAGTAAAAGAGAGAAAAATTTATATTTCTTTGATGTGTACAGATTTAAGTTTGGCAATTGTTAAACTTATTTCTCCAGCTTGCGCAACTTTTGACATGTTTTAGAGTTTTCCCTGCTAATGGGTTTTTGGACAACGGTTTTTACTAGCTTTGGTTTTATTTTTTTGGGTAACATGGGGGCCTAAAACCCACACAGCAACACCTAGGCAGCAACGAGACGATGCCTGGACACACCCAGGGCATCAGCATACAAATATCCTTCAGTAGTCAGGAGCTGTCTCAAAGAGATGACCCAGGACCAAACTGATTGCCGCTAGCAACAAGCTCATCACAACTTCTTGCTGAGTAAGAATGATTAATATAGCAATGCCAATCCTTGTTGATCGTTGACTTGCAACACATAATTGATGCTTAAGACTGGGATGAGTGGGATGGTACGCTATTTACAAGGAAACGCAATCGCAGAGTCACTTTCCACCTCAACAGTACGATACCGGTCCCCATGCCAGAGTACCCCCCCATAGAAATACCCCAGAATCAGCCTCAAGACAAGCCATTACCTAAGTTCACAGAGAGACCTTTTTTACTAGCATTTTTTTTGAAGTTTAATTAGGCATTTTAATTCTGTAAATTAGACCCATAATTGTTCATCATACCCCACCCAAAGAATTTTTTTTTTTATCACATTTTGTTTGTTCTTCCCCTCACCCAAATGGTGCCACATTTAACTTAATTTCTCTCAAATTAAAAAAAATAAAAATAAGAAACAACAATCATATTCCCTTCTCATTTGCGTGGGAAAAATCTTCTCCTAAAAAGAAGCAATTCCGCCGTCGCCAATTCCTTAGGTCCATCCTAAAATCTTGGGCTTAAAACAAGATTCAATATAATTTTCACCCCCTTCAAACCAATCTCAGAAATGAGCGTCATTAAAAGCCTCCTCTCAATTCCTAAACCAGGAAACAGTATTCTGATTATATACTCCCCACCACCATACTTTAAGCTCAGGTTTACTCAAAACAATGTCTGCATAACATCATGTTTCCTTCGATTAAACTAGAGGAAATGTTCCTTTAAACTGTGATCGCTTCTCAGAGCTACAATTGACCATGTTTTCAGCGGCAAATATGCAGGCAACCTGCTTATCTTCTCTTCAAGGACGCCTCTCGAAGGAATTCTGTACTCTCACAGTTCAAGCTTTTCCTTGAAAGCTGCAAGTTTGCTCTGGTTTCCAATGGCCTCGGATATTGCTTTCGGTACCAAAACCCCGGTCCTCTCAGAGACAGTGCTCGATCCAAGACTAGTGGTTCTCTCAAAGTGATTCAATGCCATCATATGCCCACAATGCACGGTTGCATTCCCCTTTGAGACCTATAGAAAACCACCTAAACCAGCTATTGCAATATCAATGCTATTTACCTCCCAACTTGCGCTCCGTACCCTTTGTGTCCCTCTCTTCCCATGTGCCCATCTCAAAGCACGTCCTGCGCCATTGGAGGCGTCCAAGTATAAGCCGTGTACGTCGTAAACGTACACTTAACCAAGGAGTCCCTTCCATGTTATTTCTTGAAAGATTCAAAGGGGAAAGAAACGAATTAATGAAGATTGGGCAACTAACATAGTATTCTAACAGGGTCCTTCAATGATGTTTATCGATTTGAGAACAACAAAAAAATTTTTACATATATAATAATGATTAATCCATCAATTGGAATGATGCCAAGGATGCTACCGTTCATTTGAGACCTTTCCATGATAGTAAACGTGCCTTCAGTTTGAAGACAATCAACTTCACATAGCTTTACTTTAGTGCCAAGCACGTCAACAAGGCAGATACAAAACATGTTCAGAGACATAAAATGATACTTATTTTACAAGAAAAACCGGTTTCAAAACACACTGGCAAATAGGTATTGCAGTCTCTTCTGTATCCAAATTATCCTGGCAATCTCAATGCTACTTCGAAACAGTCAGGCGACACTGAAATATTATCTCTGGCGTATGTTTGAGCTTTAGGTTCACATATAGACTAGTCCTGGGACACAAATACGTTGTGCTTTGTGCCTTCTGAAAAACTAAAGTAGCTTGAGCTGGGGATCCCACTTATAGGACTTATTGTCTCTTAGTTCCTTGAGCATCTAACTTTTCATAGACATCCTATTGTACTTCTGTTTGGTGATAGCTCGACGCTTGAGGAGCCCATGTTTGTCTTAATTGCAAAGGGCATTGGAACATTTCCCAACACATCAATCAGATTCCTTGTCACATTAACATATTCTAGGAGAGGTTTTCGGCCTTGTGACTATAGGTAAGCTGGAATCTTCGTGGATCAGAGCACTATAATTAACACCCCCTCACAGATGCCAAAGAATCCAGTCCAAACATTTGGTGGCCTTTTCTTGTAAGACTAAGTTCTTACTGCTTACTAAGTTTAAATGATAATCCATTGGTGCTACCACACTAAAATATATATATATTTTTATATATAGTAAGAACAAATTTCTAGATGAATTTTCAAAATACATCAGTTTTAATATTACTGCATATGTCAGGACATAGATAACTCTTACATGTTTTTAGATCCAAAATTAAAGTGCATTGAGCTAGCTATGCTACATAAAATACATAGACTGGCAAAGATGTATCTAACGTGATAAAGAACTACCTGCAACTAACACCACCATGGTTTCCTCCATGTCTCATCCCCTTTTCGGTATCTTGCCCCTATGTAAGAATATTGGCGACGCCCCAACTGTTAAATAAATGTTTCCACAAAGCTTGAATAAGGCTATTCTCACTAACCACCGACATGTATGGTTTGCCCCTGCTTCGATATCAACCATATGATTATTAAATCCCCATGACACTTAGGTTGTCAAACCCTCCCCGTGCAAAATTTTACTAGTCCAGCACTATCCCAAGCTACATGCAAATCGGCACTAGGTATATCGATAGAATCTAAATAGAATACTGAGTTGATACTAAGGGGCTCTTTGTAACACAGCTTATGATTTTCGGTTTTAGTCGTTCTCCTTCCTTGCTATGTTTAAAGAGATGTGGGAACACTAGGGTGAAAGAGGGAGTGGAGGGAGGTGCTCGCGAGGAAGAAGGAGGGATGGAGATAGGAGTGCGGAAGAATGAAGGAGAACACTTAAAGAAACTAGAGAAACGTTTATTGTTTTGCATTTTTATTCATGAATCATTTTTATTGCTTGTGCGTAATTTGTCCTTTCACCCATATTTAATTAAAATAAAACCACAACGTCTTTCTTCTTTCTCACCAAAAGCCTCTTAACAACTTAAAGCAATTGAAAAAAAACTAACTACGAAAACTGGAACACTAACATAATAGTAAAAAACACCCAAACTATTAATCTATGTTCTTCCCTTGCTTTCATTATAGAATAATCTACGTGACCTTCCATCTCAAGTAAACAAAATAATCTAATATCTTACTGAATTTTAAAAAGCCTCTTTGCCACGAAAAATCATGTTCATAGCCAAACATTCTAAGGTAAATCCAGTACACCAATTCAACTGACACTCACAAATCATTCATAACCTGAACGTAAAATAAGAACCAGAAAAGGATTAATTGCTTACAGAAGCAGTCAAGTTTACAGGTCTTTTATTAGGGCGGAAAAGTGGGGACCTATCTCGAGAGTTATTGAAGATGTTCATATTAATTATGTCAATTATTAGGATTTCAACAAGAAATCTCACTAATTAGTTTTATACTAGCTTTAGTCAAAATGTGCATAAGGATAAAATACAGATGAATGCACATAACCACTACAAACATATTTAAAGAAAAAATGGTCCAAAAATAAAACAAAATGGTACACACTAACTTGCCTTTATCCTATAAGTCCGAGGACGAAGCTCCTTCCGTATTTCAACCATTTTCTGTTCATCCCTATTTCAATCTCATGGACACCAAATAGGGATGTAGAAGTCCTGGAGTGTCAAACAACTTTGCCTTAGCCGACAAAATCCCTCCAACTCTCAGGATCCCCAGTGTTGTCCCAGGAACTGGGGCTTCAGGAGCTTTGTAACCTTTGCACCTTCTTTCTTTGCCAATGCATTTATTAGAGTAGACTTGCCTGCATTTTGAGCCCCAATAACCTACATTCCCTCGAGGACCACCAATTCTTTAAGGAAGGACAACAAATTCCCACAACCCAAACCTTATTAGAACTAACTATAACCACCTTGCTTAGGTCCCCCTCCACTTGAGCCGATGGCGGACCCATCTATCCAATCTAGGCAGGTGTACGTGTGATGGGCGGAGATCAACCTTTGGGGCCACAGGACAAGCTTTGGAAGTCTTTTTTTAATCCTAGGATCATTTTCGTTCCTCTTATGCTGCAACAATGACTTGGCATCCCGTTAGAATGACCCATCAAATCAACACAATCACAACCATCCCACTACAGTATTGGGCCCCCCCCCACTTGCACAGTTTAATTAACCGGGTAGCAATCACCTACAAAATCAAATCAGCCATTAAAATTTCCGCTGCTTGGTTCTCACACGGCCCATATTTCTTACGAATGCATCGCGCACACACTTTAACCTCTTCTTTCTCTTTCTGAGCCTCTTCTAGCCATTCTCTTCTTTTCTGCTTTAGGAATCTTCTTCTTCGTCCATTTTCCTATAGTTTCCTCTTAGGATGTTACCGTACCCAACCCCTGCGGAAGAAAACCACCACAAATCCAAATCATTTTTTCCTTCCCCAACAAACTTCCTTCCAAGTCCTCTAATCCCAGTCCCACTCATCCCCCTTTCCATTTCACTTGCTTCTCATCACTTCTTCATACTTTACCTTCAATTCCATCAGAAAATCCTCTTCTCTCCTCTTCTCATCAACTCTCAAATTCATCCAACACCCTCCTCACCATTTTACAATTCTGATACAGTACGCTTCCTTTTTTGATAATCCCAGGAAGGTTTGGGTCCTATCTTGCATAAAGACCCCACGCCAGGGCAAAATGGCCCATTTCTCTCATCCGCATCTCTTCCTTCCTCAAAATGGGAATTCCACCACCTTTTAATTGAACTTCCTGGTTCTCTAATGCCTGTTTACAGCAAAATTTATAAATGAAACTTTGTTGCCATGTTTGGTTTTTTTGTCTAAAGTAAAGCCTAAGAACCAAAAAACAGTGTATTTTGAAACGCGGGTTGCAGTTTCTAAGCTAAAGAAGATAACAATGAATGAAAACGGAGGAGTAGATGCGTTTTACCTGCTGAACGAATGAAGCTTTCGGAATTGGGTTTTTCGTGTAGTTGCCATTGTTTAAAGCTTCAAGCTCAGCTTTGCTGTTGAAGAAGAGTTACTATAGATACAAAGTTGTCATTTGTTCAAGGGAAGGAACAGTGGTAAAAGAAGACCAGTTGTGTGCCTAAGCTTTGGATGGCAAAGGCCGGGTAGAGAGTTCGGGCCGGGTCGGGTTGGCCCTTCAAGTTCATGTTGTTTGTTTTGGCCTGAAACAGGTCAGTGGAATGCGCACCAAGGATCAGGCTTGAACGTGTTGCAGCACGACATAAAGATTTTTATACACTCGTGTCTATAGATTTTAGGGGGCATTTCGCTTTTGTGAATTTTTTTTTTTTTGGACAAACCAATATTCGTCTCCGTAGCGTGATGAAATTTTCCACTTTGCATACCTGTAGTTTCAAAACTGTAAGTTCGCTCTTAATTGCTGTTTAAGGTTACAGGCAATTTACGTCAAGAAATTAGTAAAGGTGCCTTTGGAGTTTGATTTTTATTGCGATTTAAAGACACCTACGTAAGAAAAATAGTATTTGACTTGTAGTTTGATTTTTATTTGCGATTTAAAGCACATCCAATATCTTGACGGAAATAACATGTGTATTAGTGATGATTATTGTTGGACGGAATTTTAGATGTCTGATAGTTTTTTAGAAATGACTTGGATGCCTTTGTGTTAGTCCTCCTTGGAAGGGTGCCAAACTTTTCTTTGCTTTTGGTGTGTCCTCATTCTATAACGTGGTCCTGCATTTTTGCAAAAAGAAAATGTTACTTTGTTGTTGGTCCTGCCTTAAAACAATACTTACACGCAAAAGTTGTTGAAACAAAAATAAAAAGAAGTTGTAAGAAAAACAAATGTGGTGAAACATCATATAGCTCTAAAGCCATGTTTTGTCCCAGCAAGGGACCTCTTTTGCACCAAGCCATGTCCTTAAGTTTGTCCCCATGCCTTAGGCAAGTTAGGCATATCTCTTTTACACACACCCACACACAACAACATGTTAAGACACATTTTTAAATATATAAAACACCATTATTAATTTATTGACTGGAAAGTGATCTTATTAAAGATGTAGGTCAATCTCATACGTTTTGTTTGGCTTTTCTGTATGGCAGGACCCAGTTGACCTTCTCCGGGTTTCAAAAGCACCCCCAAAAAAAAAAAGGAATTTGAGCCATAGTCCTTGCTGTATATATCAGTTTCCGATTTGTTTTTCTGGGACACCCAAACACCCATAAAAAGCTCGTAGGCCAAAAAAACTACAAATACATTAAAAATAAAAATAAAAGATGATGTATTAATTCCTACCGCACAAGGTAGAAAAAATGTTGAAAGTATCTCAGAGCATCATCAACGCTCACATTCTCCAAGTTACAACACTTAAAATCCCCACACTCCCTTTCTTCACCTTCCTCCTCCTTCCAAACCCCAACTTCATCATCCCGCCACAATCCCACTCGCAACTGCACTCGAACCGCAACAACACCCCGGAGAAGGAAGCTCCTCCGAAAACCAACCCTCCACCCCTCCTTTACCTATACCATTTTCCACACCCAAAAACACCTCCACCCTTCCACACAACATTCCACGTCACTCTCACCGCCTCCTATCTTCCAATGCCGGAGAAAGGGGGGGGGGGGGGGGGGATCAACACCGCTCGGGGTATTATCCAGCATCGAGTCGAACTTGACTATGCCATTGGGATCGAGGGTTACTCCTTTCCGGGTTTTGGAGAGTGCAAGAAACTAGTTTTTTGATGAGTATTGTTAGGGCGGAAGATGGTTGATTGTGACGATGAGGGTGTTCATAAGAAGGCGGGGTTTCGGGGCTTTGTCGCGGCGTTGGCAGCGGATCAAGGCCCAATGACATAGAGGCGGCGGTGGGGACGGTAGGGTTTGGTGATTTGAGGGTCAGAAGCGAAGGGAAATGTGGATTGCAATTGGCTTCCAAGGTTATCAGAGGACATGGAAATGAGCCTGACTTGCACGCACCCTGAGGCTACGGCTAGGGCTTTGGGTCACGATGGTGACAAAACAGGTCAAGGACTTCCCATTGGGCCATGGTGACGATGAAAATCTGTGCTCGCGGAGCGTTATATATGAGGTGGTGTCGGGTTTTGTTTTGAACCAAAATATCAAAGAGGAGTTTTGCAAAAATTTTGGTATGAGGTGGCGGTGTTAAAGTGGAGGGCTGTGGTGTTTTTTGGGGGAGAGGCCCGTGGAGGGATGTGGCGTTTTTGCCTGGATTGAGTTGCCACTTAGATTGCAGTGTGTTTTGAGGATTCTGAGCGGAACACACCGTGCCACTCATGGATGTACACGCGTGTTATTTACTAATCACTACAGAAAGGAGATCATACAACTACCAATGATGTAATAACATGCGGCTGGTTTTTTGAGCCTCTGTTTGTGCTTCGAATCGATCTTGGCCAAGTAATGATTAAATTTTTCGTTCTAAATTTTTGTTTGTAGGTTTCAATGGCAATTCAAGAGTGTGGACTTCGCGGGTGGGGGTTGGGGTGGGTGATGGTTTGCCACTTGCAGTTCCTGGGGAGGGTCCGATAAAAAGAGATAAAATTTATTATCATCATTTTTTTTCACATGTAGCATTCATTTCACTAAAAAACTGGTCCCACTTATTTCATATAATTGTTTTTAATAATATTTTGACGGACTTAACGACATGACCATGTGAACCATCAAATTTTGGTTAGTTGAAATTAAAAAAATAGTTAACTGATCATTTTTGGAATTTTTTTTTCCTTTAATTATTAGATTTAGTGTTTATATATAAAACGGTAATGTTACACTAACCACATTTTTATCTCACATTTCCATACCACCATGATGTGATATGTCCATATTATATGTCACATCAATTAAATCAATGAAGTGTATTTTAATTAAGATAATTAGAAAACAAATACTTGAATAAAATATCAAAAGAAAAGAAAATATTAAATTTTTAATTGATTTGTCGTCCACTTCTTGCCACATAAGATATATACGGATATGGTATACCAATATAATAATATAACATAATTCTATAAAATCACCGGAATAAATTCGAAAAAAACAAAGAAAAAAGAAAAAAAAGTGCTTTTATTATGGGGTATAAATAGAACATCCCGTCTCACTTCTAAATTGTGGCCCCATTTCCTTTCCCGCTTATTTACCCTCTCCCCTCTTCCCACTTCTAAAATCAAAAACCACACCTTCTTTCTTATGGCGGCCAGAAAGACCGCAACAACACGTCTTCCTCACGCTCTCCCGTCCCAATCGGTAAAATCTCACTGAAGAAACCCTAACCACTAGAAATTCATTCCTTCGTCACCTTCGCTTGCCGCGCATGTAATTGCGAGTTCACAGTGGAGCACTAAGTGCATTTCCATTCGGATCCCAACACCCTCCATCTCCGTTTCCCAGGAGCGCCAAATCACATCTCAGGTACTTATTCGACAACCCTTTCCACCCTTCCCATATTATCTTTGAAAACCAACAAAGTCACAAGTCTTTAACCTTTTTTTTTTTTTTTCTTCCTCATATTTGCATTCGTATTTAGTAAGTTACTGTCGATTGTGCTTATTGGGTTGTTTTTTTATGGTCGTGAGGAAAGAATGGATAGAAATAATGATCGTCTTGCGTCATATAAACATTTCTAGGTTGGTAATCCTTCGTTCGTGGTTGTTATCCCAAAGAGCCGATAGCTGTCAAAAATCTTATCTCCCAGGTAATACTGTTTATGCTACTCTTCCCTTGTTGTCTGTGGTGTTTGTGGTGTATATGAAATAGATGCCCTCCTTTATCTGTTAGTTTTAATTGAACCGACATCTTAAGCGTTTCTGCCAAGGATGATCTCATATGATTTGTTCCTTGTAGGAAGTACTAAAGATGTATATTATGCAACTTCAAACCCCCGCAAATGAATTTGCTGCCAATACTGAAAGCAATCAGATGTGTTTCAGAAAGATGCTTTTAACTAATGGGTATCTTACTAACTTCTTTTATTTTATAAACTTTCGTAGTTCTGTGCCTATTTTGTGTTTTCACATCTTGTCTCGACATCTAATCAAGGTGGCCTTTGCATATCTCTATAGATGTTTTTTTTGTTTCAGTAAATTATTGCCTTGGCTTGTTTGAAACGCAATCTGTGGGAGATTCGAAGAGGTTAGCCTTGGCTGTCCTCTTTTTCTCTGGGCTTTTGTCAACTGAATTTTTTTACCCCTGACATTTGTGTCCATGTTGATAATTTTCTCTCCCCTTTTGTCCACTTCCACTCCGTTTTTGTTTTTTTTAAGTACTTTTCATAACACACAGGGAGTGTCGTGACAAAGAGAAGTGGGAAACTCTCACCCTTTAAATTTATTGTTTAGGCTTGAATAAGTACGCATGGAATGAAATTCATTAGCCTTTTTTTTTCCTTACTGAATATTTGTGTTCTTCCTGTTTTCTTCCTTTCCCTCTGTTTATTTTTTTTTTTTTTGCAGGTTCTATCTGCAAGCCCTTACCAAATAGTTTCCTGCTGATACACATATGCCTGAGATTCCTCTTGCTGCTGTATTTCAATTTACCAACACAAGTCTTTTCTCCTATGTTTTTCTTTTTGCAGGTCTTTTTTATTCTTTATTGTGTTACCTTAGATTAAAGTTTTGTTTAGTATTGGTTGCGTTTCCCTGGGATATATGTTTTTCGATTCTTAAGAATGGAACAAACTTACACCCAATAACATGATTAAATGCTCCTTTCTAAGAATGAATAGCGTTTGTTTGGTTGTTACTTTATGTGCCTTTCATATTCCCCTCCCCCCCATTTTAACTCTCTAGTACTACAATGTATTTTGTGGGATTATTTGGAAATTGCTTTTATACTGTTAACTAAAAAAATCAGGAATTCCAGGGCTTTTTGGTACCTGCTTGTATTCATGGAGCTGAGAAAGAGACTTCAGAGTTGGATATGTACATATTCGTTGGGTGGACAAGGATTCTGAAAGGGGGGGGTTTTGGCTTAAACAGGTAATCCATGATGTAAATCATCGAATTGGAGCAGGACAGCAGGATATAGGACTCTACTTTATCTTGGTTTTGGCAATCAGTATTTTGTTTGTTCTGTTTGAATAAGATGGAATATATGTATCACAGGGAAAGTAGTTCTCTCCTCAGTGTCCCCTCTCTCTCTCTCTCTCTCTCTCTCTCTGCTCTCTTACTAAACACGGCCTGATGCACAACACTAACTTAATCAACATTTAGATAGCGAAGGAACTTCGTAAAGATCTACATTTGACAGTATGAGGGGACATTTTCTGGAATTTCGTGCCAAAAGCTACTTCTTTTTTCTATTTTGTGTCCTTTTAAACTTTCCTGTTTAAAAGTTCGATTCATAACTTTGAAGTGTTTCTCTAGATAATTGATCTAAATGCAGGGGTTTGTATTCCAAGCAGAGGTGGTACAAGGGGTAAATGCCGCAGGATACCTATTAAAGCTGACATCGTCAGCTTTAGCTTTCCGGTGGTAATCAATCAGGTTTTACTATTAACCAAGGATGTTTCCACAAAATACTTCAGAATCTGTGGAAGTGGCTTTTATGAAGCCTAAGGAAAAAGTCATCTACTGCTTTGGAAACCCAACTGCCGGGGATTTTCATAAAGGGAATTACACTATATGAATACAGAAAATTCAAATGTCCTTTAAAGAAGTGAAATTGTAGCCATGAAAATTGGGTTAAGGACTTCCCAAGAGAAGTAAGGTTAGGGTGTTTTGGTTTATGCAATTCTTTGAACTTCCAGTGGTTTTCTTATACAAACACAAAACAACATACATACATACATACACATTACATACATACATATATATTATATATATATATATATAACATATCCTATAAAAACAAAAGGGTAATGCATCATAGAATGCACGTTTCTTACTGTAGATTAACCATTATGAAAATTCTAAGCAAAATGATTTTTTCATTGACACACCACTAATTGATTGAACTCTCACAGTTGCCCAATATCTGTATATAAACTTCAATCTGTTATGATGGTAAGTATTAAACGATTTATGTTTTGGTAGGGTTTTCGAGTGTCGGGAAACCAAGCAGTGTATAAGGGATCCATTTCCTCTCATCAAGAAGACTCCCCAAGTTCGGTCAGTGCTGCGAGGTATCACTATGGCGTTGATGCTGCGGTAAGGCAGTTATTGTTCCAACAATTTCATGGCAAGAGAGAAAGGTCTGGGAAGCGTCAATGTCACATTGAAGTCCAAGAAAGTAAAGGGAACCATCAAGTTGGCTCCAACTGAGGCTAATTCGTTAGTTCAGAAACTGATGGAAGTGATTCTGGTCTACGAGGGTGCTCCTTTGTTTCTTACAAAGACAAAACCTTTAGTTGCAGATCCTCCTAGAGATCTTTGGGTAGGTAGTTACAACGGAAAAAAATGCTGAAGATGTGGCCCTGTAATATTACATCAGAAACTTTAGTCAGGAAAAGGAATTTCAGACACGGAGAGAATTCTTTAAAATCTGTTGATGAATATTGCTGATGATACCAAAAGCAAATCTCACAAAGGTTACATTCTATAATTCTGTTTGTCAGATATCAATAATTGTGTCAATTTCATTCTGATTTGAGCATCCATTTTTGAGTTGAAGATATGTCTTCATCTGCAGAGTGCAGTTTGTACCACAACAACTTATCATAATGTGTGTGTGCATATTTTTGTTCAAATCACGCTTCTCTATCTGGAACTCACCCTACAGAAGAGTGGGGTGAATAATATAGGGCTTTGATGGACCTGGTAGATATTTATTTTATTTTGACATTAGAAAGGGGACCAATTAATATCTTAGAGGTGATACAATACTGTATCCTTTCCTCCTTGCTCAGTGGTTCCTATGCGGGACCTGATCATGGGCGTGGCTTGGAGATCATTCCTAAAAGAATAGATCTCCTATCCTCCAAACTAATATAATGTGCGAGAAAAGATGAGTTTGTCGGTTATATAAATAAGGAGGCTGTACTTTTTGTTTTTTATCATTTTAATGCATTCCTTTACTTTTTCTTGTTACACTGATAATCGTTTTTCAGTTTTAGGGTCCAATATTTGGAATGAAATTTAATTATTTTCCCTCCACTGCATATAATTATTTGAGTTTGTTGATTTTTATATTTGTTTTATATACAGGTAATTGAGGACCTTGGTGGTGCTATTACGTGATGGAAGCACAAGCACACATGTTGTCACGGGGGAAAGTGAGAACAACTTTGAATTTTTGTACTGCTCTTTTTCAGGGTTAGTAGTCAATCTCTCTCTCTCTCTCTCTCTCTCTCTCTCTCTCTCTCTCTCTCTCTGCTACTGTCATTGCTAGTGCAAAAATCTGTTACATTTTATGATCTCATAGGTTTTGTAGTCAATTATGTAATTACAAGCCTTTATGAAGTGATTTCTTTACTATTATATATGCTGAACATATTCCTCACATTTTAATAGGTACTATGATAGAAGGGGGACTCCCTTTGTGTCCACACATTATGCTTTCAAAATTACCATTACATTAACACTCATTCTGTAATGAGGGGCTCTCAAAGTGTAGTCCTCTCTCTCTGGGATCGAGGGTGGAGCTTTGCGTCCTGTGGCATTCCTGAGGACCCTATTCTTGCCTAATCCTCTAATATTACACCTAAACCTTATGTGTTCATTAAACCAAAATAGCAGAAAATATTCACATGGGAGATTGCCAGTTATATCAAGGTGGTTGTGTAATCACAGTCAAACTTCATTGGGTGGAGTTAATGTGTTATGGAAGTTATGTATTTAGGATCACTGGATTTGTTGATGTGGCGATTAAGATTGATTGGAATCCACAACATAGTAGTGAGAGAAGAGATAAATTTTTTATAAAGAAAATTTATATCCTTTCTTGTTTTTATTGTGTGGTGAAGTAGAGTAAGGATAGCTGTGGTTCGGTAGCTCTCAGAAGCATATCGCTCTGATAACATGTAGAAAAGAACATTAAAAAGGGAGAAGACGATCATCATACTTTGTCATTCCTTCGTTGAGTAATATACGTAGCCTTATATAGCCTCAATAAACACAAAGGTGGTGACGCTCAATCAAATCAACTAGGTTAGCTCAATCAGTAGCCAGAGTTAGTTATACTGAAAAAAGTAGCCATAATTTAGCTACATAAAATCAACTGAATTAGCTCAATCATCCCCAAACATAGGTTGTTATAGCCTACATGAACAACACGTGTAAGCCCCAACTACTCCTGGTATTTTTTCACATTTCTGTGTAAGCCCCAATTATGAACAACTCATTTCTGTTTTAGCCGTAATTTATTAGGAAAAGTTTAGTTTTGTTTGTCCTATAATATATTTATATTATTAATAGAGCTTTCTGTGCTGTGCAGAGCTTGGATAGTTTCTCCCAGCTGGTTGAAAGAAAGCTTTCGTCAAGGAAGATATGTGGGTGAGTTGAATTGACTATGGTTTTGTTGTATTAGTAACACCTTAAGCATTTTTTTTCCCATTGTTGGATTTCTTTTTTTCAGATGAATCATCTTACATATTAGATGATAAAGAATACGTGCTCAAATATAAAACTGAGTTAAGAGGTGCAGTTCTCAGAGCAAAAGCAAGTCCCCAAGGCTTGCTTAAAGGCTACGATGTATACATAGCAGCTCATGTTCAACCCACTGCTAGGATGTTATCTTGCATTGTCAGGTCTGCTGGAGGAAATGTAAGTTCCTCACTCTGAATCTAAATATTGGTTAAGCATGCTTGCGATTGAAAATGTGAACATTTAATGGTCTAGGGGAATGGCATCTTGCATTTTCTTTGTCATACTTATAAAATGAATTTTTAGCAAATGAAACCTACCAAACTGGCAGGATGTGTTTTAGAAAACCTTAATTTCAACCAGAAAGCGTTTTCACTGCTAACTACGTGTTTTGTGCTTCAATATTTATCTTCACCTTTCTTAGTTTCTAGAGGAAGCAACGAAATAAAAATAAATAAAAAATGCATGTTTTACAAAAGTGTCAAGATATCAACTTAAGATTCTCAAATTTGGACATGGGACACACCAGCTTGAGCAAGAGGCAATTTCAACATAGCATTTTCCGTATTTTCCCCCATCTTCATTAAACTGCTCAGAACTGGTTGTGTGACAAGTGTAGGTTCACTGTGCTTGATCTTTACTGGTTATCATAAACATGGTTAGATTTCTGGAGATTGTAAGTCCTTAAATTGATTATTATCTATTATAGGGATGGGGATCTATAAGAGGGTAATATGGGGAGAAAGATGACCAGAATGTCTCTTGGCATTTTGTCTTGAAAACAATTTCGTACATTCTTTCTTAATACTTCACTTTTATATAATCATTGTTCTCCCGTCTGTCAGGAGATAAACTGTTAATGGTAATGATATTGATCTGGAATGTTTACTCCTCTGTTAGTCTCAAAACTATCTAAACTTTTTGGGAGGAATATCGAATTTGCCATTGGGAGGGATATTGTTGCCAGTATACAATATTGAGCTTGTGAATTTGATGACGTACATGGCCCACTTTGTTTGTATACCTGTTTGCCATGTTCATTTTCCTTCATTGTGGCTTTCAGAACTAAAACGCTGCTAGTCAATGTCTTATTTCTAAGCAGTGTCTTCATATTATAACGGTCGACACTGATTAATGTTGGATCAAATTCAGATTATTAGTGAATTGGAGAAAGTAAATGAAGCTTCAAAAACAATCTTTGTGGCATGCGAAGAAGACATGGAAGAAGTATTGTTGGCTGTAAAGAAGGGGATATGGACATTAGCAGTGATTGGCTTATGAACTGTGTCATGGGACAAGAGCTTGACTTGGAGGCTCCCCAGTTTGCAGAGTCCCTTTGATGAACTCATATGCATGGTTTGGATGATCTCTAGTGAATGTAAATATCTCATAACAGAGAACTCTTTTGTTATAATTTTTGTTTATAATATATTCTAGAACTCTTTTAAACCATGAAAGACCGTTTATTCCTGGTACCCAAGGCGGATTTCCAAAGTCTTTTCGGCTGGGATGCCCTTAGGATGGTACAGGCCCATTTTGTTTTCAACTGAAGCATAAGTTGTGTTTCTAATGGGACTGTAACTTCGAACTTTGGGAGAAATTAGTGCTAGCTGAATCTAGTCTTACGTTATTGTAAAACTCAGTTTTCTAAGTGTTAGTGTTACTGGTTGTGGTTAACTGCTGGTTATTACGTTAATGGTGGTGGCCTCTTTTGTAGTGATGATTAGTAATTTCTTATCGGGAGTGGGGATAGGGATGGTATTTGCCATACCCGGCCCCAAATTGTCCGTTGCCATCCTTATATGTGTGAGTTCCCCCCTTTCTCTTTCCTAACTTAAAAAAAAAAAAAAAAAAAAAAAATGATGGTTGTCTTGAATTTGACCCAAATTCATTATTCTGAACCCTAAATTCATTTGCGGTTATGAGGTGTTCACATTTTCCTTTTTAGTAAAATATGTAAAAAATAAAACAAAAAATAAGAAAGTTACTTGTGTTATAAACTAGGGGGAATTGTAGAGAGCAATGAGAGAAAGAGAAAGATAGAGAATTTGTTCTATGAACTTCTATGAACTTGTATATCATTCATCTTTAATGTCTACTATTTATAGGCTTCAGGGATAGACAAACATTCACCACCCATTATTAGTAGGTTATAAGCACATAATTACAACCCATAAATGTACTAAATACAGCATTCACAATGATGCTCTTTATTTCTTAGTTAAAATTTAGCTAAAAATTTAAGAAAGTTATTTAAGAGTTCTCTAAAAAATTTCAATTCCAACCGTACTCCCTAATTTGGAGAGTCATAAATGCTATAACTCTTTTTGATTGGTCCCATCTCTATTAAAAAATAAAATAAAAAATAGTTAGCATAAATAAAGATTTGAAATACTCATTAAATAAAACAGTATTAAATTATAAGGAGTCACTAGGAGTCCTTTCTCTCTCCTCATATTTAGGATCTCCTAGAGAACTCCCTATTTTAGGAGGTGGATAGGGAGCGTGGTTGGATTTGTATTTTTATTATTCCTCCCTAAAATTTGTTTAAGGAAGTAGTTTATGGAGCCTATTGTGGATGCTCTTAGTGCATAGGTTACAATGACATTATGATGTGTTTTATGGTAGGTATATGAGTGATATTATGGTGGTCATTCACAATCAATAGATTTACAACACTCTCCTTTGGATGTCTACCATATAATAATATAGTTGCCTCATTAAAAACCTTGCTTGGAAAACCGAGTGGGACAAAAACCTAAGCAAAGGGGACAATAGTGCAACAATTTTATGGATCATTGATATGGTGTTGGACGCGCTTATTGTTGCCTCATTAAAACCTTGGGAGTTTCACTAAAACACCCAAATGGGGGTTGAAATTATAAAAAAACTCAAGCACTATTTAAAACATATAAACACACCCAAAACCCATTATTACACACAATCAAAACCCATTTATAAACACACCTAAAAAGTTGACTTTGATGTTGATTTTGGGTGTGTTTTTATGTTTAAATAGTGCTTGGGTTTTTATAAATACATGTCTAGGATTGGGTTTATTTATAAATTTGTATAAAACCTTTTCTAGGAAAAGCCCAATGAGACAAAACCTAGTCGAAGGGAAAAAGAGTACAACGCGCATATGTCCTGTATGTAGTAGAACTGGAATGCTCCCCCTGATTTATATTCCCCCATAATCTTCAACAACTTCTAGAATCTTGACTTCGAAAAAATACTTCAGTAAAGAGGTTTGCTTACATTAGCCTTGATGAACCATTCTTTCACTTTCATTATACAAGTAGCAATGTTTTCATACATGATTTTAGGAGAATTTACTATTGAAGGAAGATCACTAGTGTTCCAAACACAATGTTGTAACCATATCGAATTTAAAGTCAAAGTACTCACAAAAGAATTTTAGATCAATCATAATAATATTGAGTACATAACTTGAGCTTTGGACTTTTAGTGTCAATCCTTTAATTAAGAATTTCATGACACTTTATATGTGCGAAGAGATCTTTTCATTTAATGAGCTTTTAAAAATTTCCATGTATCATACAGTCTATGCATTTAACACATGCTAAAAGTTTGGTGTTAAAATAACAATCCTGTGCCCGAGACACACAAGGTATACTGGTTTTTGAAAGGCCTAGGCCCAAACTAACAGACTTTCGTCATCACCATCATGGCAAAACATCTGTACTTATAGAAATGTGGATGCATCTACGATGGGAGACCAAAATTATGTCTCTAGCAGGATGATACACCAATCTGTAACCTTCATTTGTAATTTGGTGTTTAAGCTATAGGTTCAATATCTCACACTTCATATTTAGTGATAAATGGAATTGCCTATTTCTATTTTGGTCAATCACTTAACTTGTTGACATTCATGAAACATGATTTAATGTAATCATAGCCCTTGATGATTGTAGTAGCTACTAATAAACCAAATGTACCATCAATTCGTGATCCCACAATTCTCATGTGCATGTGCATGCATAATTTATAAGCATCTTAGTGCTTTAGGGTACTAATGCCTCTTTAGGGGCTTCCATTATCACTTATAGGACAAACATCTCTTTTAAGATGAATATTTTAGAAACTGTGGATCATAACCTCCTATAGAGCATTATTTTCAATAGGGCTTATTTTTCAAATAATCTCCATTTATTGGGAGTTAAGTTTTTAGGACTTATAAATTTGTCATGCTTTAGGCATGCAATATATTAGTTATCGATAGTTACTTATTGTCATGTTCATGGATTGTGATACAAGAAAAACAATCCATGCTAGCATATGTATACCTTATATATGCATTATCTTGATGAGACAAAAGTGGATTGATTCAACTCTTTTCACGATGTTCTTCAGGAACTGCCATATCTCCCCTAACAGCGGGAAAGTTGTTTAATCAATGGGACAATCCTTAAAACATGCAGTGAAGTGCAGGCACAACCAAAACCAACTTAGATTTTGAATTTGCATTGATAATTCATCGCATACATTATGTTTGTGCAATAGGCACATAAACATCCAAAAATACATAAATGTAGCCAGTAATGAAATGTACGAGGGGATTGTTGTTCATTGGAAATATGCCACAACCGAACTAATAATGTAATATATAAAATGGCATGGGCTTCAACTACTTTAATGATTGTGTAATACAACCCACAAAAGAAAGTATGAAGTTTATCTAATAAACGTATCTAGCTGACAATATTGGGGACAATGCAAAAACATTTATTTAGAATCAAAGAACTTTAGATTCTGATTCGATATAGGAACTTCAGGTCCTAATTTAGTTATATGATGAGGATCGAGGAACTTCAGGTTCTGATCTCTTCTAAAAAAACATGCTTAAAATTAATAAACAAACTAATTAATTATTGTATGATTAGATATGAGAAACATGTCAAGTGTGAATGGAAAAAAAAAAGGTGTAGTTGTATGAAAGAAGAAAAGAAAAAATGTCAATAAATTATTCCTTATACATTATGCATATTCATTTTTGTTTTCAAATAGCTACAGTAACATTTATGCAAGTATATTAGGCGTATGCATGCATTACAATTGTTTTGAGGATATGAATGCATGTTATCACACTCGGATACTATGGATACCAATTAACTATGTTTATGCATATCAAATAACTATGTGGTTATTATGGTTATCACACCAAGATATCAAAAGAAAATAAAAAAAATATAAAAAGAAAATATAAAAGAATCATAAGCATCGTGAAGTCATGCAGGTGAGTACATGAAAACTCTAAATCACGTGATGACTCTAGTTTAGATAGAAAAAGAAAATTCATATAAAGAAATAATATAAAGAGCAACATTGTGTTGATAACGTTTTATACAACTATGGGGAATTGTAGAGAGCAATAAGAGAAAGAGAAAGACAGAGAATTTGTTCTATGAACTTGTATATCATTCA